GAAGAGCTTTGACCTAAACTTGGCCGATTCGCCGAGGCTCAGACCTTGCTCCTGGAGATCATCATGGTTTATACTGATTGGTGGGGGAAGGCACCACATGGAGACCATGCGAGCCATTGACGAGCTGGCTTGGATATTTATGGCAGAGGGCAAAGAGAGGCAGGCGGCGAATGAAATCGGGGAGCTAGAGCTACAAAATGCGGAGGACCTTTGGAAAGAGGCTTTGAGCTTCTGTCGGAGCATCGACGGGGAGAGGCCGGACATGGTGGTCCGCATCCAAGCAAACCTGCAGTATCTGTACACATTACGACAGCCTCCGTGAGATCCGAAAACCGAAGACGACCATAGTACAGCCAGGTTGGATACTATGGTCTCACCCTTCGAGATAGAGACTGGGGTTTGAGGCTCAATAGCAACAGGATAGTCAATTCACGCCACGATCGTCCCGCATTACGGCCCTGCATTGCATCATGCCTCCTCACAGGCATGGTCAGGCATGATGGCCGCTTCATTTCGTTATCCAGTCGGGATGTTTAAAGAAGCCGCCTGCCCTACACGCATGAAGACCAAAACCGATTATTATACTGGTGTGTAACCTGATAGTAGCTCGCGCATAGTCTTCAAACTAGTGAAGGACTCCTTCCATCGCTCTACTAGCAGCTCGGTTGCATCGATATGGAGTATGGCCTGAGGCAATCTATCTCCCTTTGCTAGGTAGAATAAGAAAAAAAACATACAACAGCATAAGTATGGCGGTACTCACTAGGCGCTGCGTGGGCGGCTTGTCGCTCTATTCAGTCTTCCTTCAGGGCAGCTCAGGCCCCTGTTCACCCACCTCAATACTACACACCCTCGAGCTAGCCGGAAGTCACATTTGCCCAAATAAGACCAAAATTATAGTAGCTAATACTCTTCGGTAAAGAGATCCCGTGAAGCGTCGGCGTGAAAGTTCCTCAACACCATCTCAGAAATATACAATAATCTTAATACAAAACAGGCATAGATGATATCACAAATGAAATTAAGAGAAAAGAAAACGCTTTATATAAGGTTAAACCAGGCCCGTCCACTCTTTGGAGACAAAGAGTTTACTTCGATATAGGGAATTAGATATAGTTACTATACAAGCCCTATCACTTTCTTATCTAATAATAATGTCGCTAACTACCCCTGCGTCAGTATCTCCTCTTTCCTTAGCCTTGACGGCAAAGAGGACAGCATGTCCTCTAGGTTGTCATTTATTTGTCGGTTCGGCGTCGCCTCTTAGGGAATGCAAATGAGACGTAGTTGCAAGAATATTAACAGCTTATCAGTTTATGGATGGATCCAGTTTATGTCTTGGCACGGCCCCAGCTCCGCTACAACCTGGTTGATCCGTTCCGCCATCCACCCCGAAATGACCCCCGGTTTGTGGCTCCCCCGTCGCACCAGCTTCGACGTCAGGCACCGTCCTGGTTCGTACGAGTACTGAAGACACTCCGCATCCAGCGCGCACTGCGCCTGGCAATCAGCGACGCTTGCGACTCCCTCGGTGACATCTGGTGACTCGTTGTCCCAGTCTGGTTCGTTCTGGGAGAGTCGAGGCTGGATGAGGGTTTGGAATACGTCGCGATACAAGACATTCGCCTCTCTATCCTTTACGGTGTCAGCAGCCAATCTTCCTATTCTGGGAGACACCGCTCACCTGTCTCGACTGCATCTGCTCAAAGTCCCACATTGCTTGTACCCCCTCGGGCGTCATATGGTGATAGGTTACTGGTGGATAGCACCAGGGCGTCTTCCCAAATGCTGGCGACAAATAATCAAAGAACCACGGGTTTGAGCCCTGCATCATCGGCCAGGACCAGAGGAGCCCGACGCCAGCGTCTTGGAGCGCCTTGCCTAGCACGCAGTCACCCGCCCAATGATGGTCTGTGTATGTATCCCATTCTGCAACCCGCGTGGAATGGTAGTCGACGACGCGTTTCAGCGCCGGTTGGGAGAGCACAAAGCCTGATCCGCCGTGGGCGAAGATTACATCGCCGATCTGCATCTGGTTGCCTAGGTAGAATGGTTCGTCTGGGTTGAATCGCATAAGCCAGTTAAGGAGATTAGCCCACTGGACATACGTGTCGGTCTCCATAAAGAAGTACCATGCGGCATCATCGCGAGCTTTGAGGGTCTCATGCATCATTGGGAGGAACTTCCACTTATCGAGGATCCAGCCGGGGTTGCTAGGCTTGCCGGATGGCGTGCTGGGATCGTCGTGGTGCAAGTCCCATGTCGACAGTGCTTCTTTTCCGGACTGGCGTAGATGGGTGTAGAGCTTAATCGGGATGGGTAGATTTGATGCGCTGGTCGACCCCTTGGAGTACGTCGTGGATTGGGACCCCAGAGATCTCGTCCTCGTAGTCGGAAAAGATAGTATAGTTCTGGACGCATCGCAAGGTAGTGTTAAAATGGATAAGAAGTTTGGGTATAGCTTCCGTCGCACCGGTCTTGAGCACGACGTGAATATTCTTAAAACCGGAGGGACACTCGATCTTTTCCGGGTCCGGGGTGATAATAAGGGAGCTGGCGGGACTCCCGCTCTTCGGCCAGAATAGATACCACCCAACTATAAAACAGCTCAGAAACGGGGAAGCCAGATAGATCCATCGCGGCAACGGCTTGCTCCCGCGGGGGAGAAATGACCACATGAATGGATTTGATGCGAATTTCAACGGTTTAAGATGAATCCTCGATCCGATAGTTGCTTAATGGTCCGTGGTGTCTTTTTGAATGGGTGCGAGTCCGAGGGGCGTGACTTTAGCGCCTGTTGGCCACTTGAAGCAGGCTCGGTTAAGATAGACCCGCACCAATATGCATCACAGATCTTGTAATTAGATCATAAAGGTGAACCCTGGACGTAGTGGCGCTGCGCGCGCTTCCATCTTCCATCTGATTCGAGTGACCTATGCCGTCCTTGATCCGCTAGGCTTAGTTGTGAACAAGGCTGTTAACGGAGGCTGACCAACCCCGCCGTGCGGCCCGAACCGACTAAAAATGAAAGAAAATAGGGGGATGGGGCGTTGGATAATAGATCTTCTCTGTCGATGTCAGCAGCGAGCTGGGTCTCTTGTGCGAAGCTCAGAGTGACACAATTCGATTATCCAGAACCCTCGTCTTCTGGCTTCTCTCCTGTACTACGGCTAAGTGCCCTTCGGAGATACTCCCTCCCCCGAGCCTGTATAAAGAAGAGAAGTTTATCTATCCCAACGGGACGCCGCAATGTTTTAGCAAAGGATCGCAGATGAATGTGAGCTGGTCGACGACCTACGATACGACGAACCTGTATCTCATCCAGCGAGGCGACTTTAATAGCCCAGTCGGGATCGTTCAAGTCGACCCCGACTTAAGATGGGCATTATGGATCAGGTTAGGTTATGGGTGACACCGAATTATAACCAAATTCACGCCAAACAATCAACAAAAGGCAACCCAATCTTCTCCTGAATCTCTCTAAAAGCCTGCAAAAGTTTCTCCTCCTCCAACCTCTTCGCAGCAAGCTGCAAAGACACGGGGGCATGTTTCTGCGTCATGGGGTCATAGTGCTCATACACCCACGCATCAAACTCATTCTTCGGCGTGTAGCTGGTATCTTTTGCGTCACGCTCGGGGTCAACCCTTGTCACTGGAAACACGAGGGCCGAGTAATCGAGTAGATTGAAAAGAGAAGTATACCCCCAGTACCGCGAGGTATCATGGAGGGGTGCCGGAGTCGGGAAGGCGGGGCAGAGGATTACGTCCATTTCTGGGGCTGTGGTGATCCAATCTGTAGGTTTTGTAGATAGAATAAGTTAGTTCGGTTTGCAGGGGCACGAGGCAACCTGGTTAATGGATACGGGACGAGCGGTTACTCACGTTGCAAGTAGGCATAGCGGAACAGCTCTCGTTTGCCAGTCCAGTCCCAGACACCCTGCGGGCTGAGTTCTTCAATACCGGGAGTATCGCGGAGGGTCCACGCAGTAAGTGGTGTATAAGGTTCACCGGAGGACTCGAGATGTCTGGCAAAGGCCTTCCCACCATCCGGGGCATACAGTTTTGTCTATTTTGAATCAGTCAATAACTCAACCCCTACGCATATCATGACAACATGGCAGAAAGGGATCAACTCACCAAAATCTCCAAAGCCTCTTTCTGCCGAAAAGCCTTCCACTCAATGACCTCAACTCCCTCAACAACTTTCAACCGCTCTACAACTTCCCTTAGCGCTCTCGTCACCGCCGGCGCAGGCGTCACAACATCATCCGTCCACATCACACCAACAGTCAACTTCTTGCCATCGCGACGGATATGTGAGTCCTGATCGCGCCACGGGATTGGCAGCACCATGGGGTCAGTCAGCCAAGGCTTCGACTCGATAATAGTCTTCATGAAGATTTCAACGCCGCCCAGTGTCGGCGAGATAGGGCCCAGTGTCCCGAGGATTGTTTCGCAGCCTAGGACGTATGCACCGCAGCCAATTAGGGGTAGCCGGCCTGTTGAGGGCTTTAGGCCATACAGGCCGCAGTTTGCAGCGGGGGAACGGATACTTCCACCTATTATGGCATCAGAATAATATCGCTGGGCGAGTGAAAAGAAAGAAGGGGTGGGGTTTGTATATGGGCAAATACCAATATCTGATCCAATCCCCAAAGGGCTGCCATACAGCGCTTGCAGTGCGGACTCTCCACCAGAGGAGCCACCCGGCGTGAGAGCGGTGTTATGCGGATTGGTAGTGGTACCGGTGATATTGCTACACGTTTCCAGGGCCATCTACCGCAAAGATGGAAAAGCTCCATCAGCTATGTCTCCAATACAAGACAGATTCGCAATCTTGGCCACTCACCAGTCCCTGGGGCTCGGTTGTCCTCGCATACACGACGGCACCGGCTTGAAGAAGGATCTTGACGATATTGGCATCTTCGGCGCTCTTCTGCTCGACCCAGCTCACAAAGCCGGCAGACAAGTCTCGGCCTGCCAGGCCGACATGTTCCTTGATACTAATCGGGAGACCGTGCAGGGGGCCGGAGGGCTTTCCATGTTTGGCAAAGTATGCATCGAGCTGCTTGGCTCGGGCTCGGGCGCGTTCGGGCAGGAGTTCGTAGATACAGTTTGTCTGGGTAGAAGACAATAGAGTTAGATTGGAAGCTCGAGGACAGAATTTTTGGGGAGGATTTAGGATTCACCAGTTTCTGAGCAATTGCAGCCCGGCGAAGGAACACATTCGTCACAGCGAGCGCAGTCAATTTGCCCGCTGCCAGGGAAGCCACCAGGGTCTGTGCTGAGCTCTCACTGATGGCCTGTTCGGAGGGCGAGAGGTAATTCCTGGCCACATCGATGACTCTGCCCGCGTGTGTCTCTGGGAGGGCTGCAATGTCTGGGTCGACCTGTTCAATTGACCGTTCTCGCGCCGCTTGGACCTGGCGGGCGATCTCTTGCCAGGGCTTCTGTTGTGAGACAACGGTCATGGTGAGTATTGCCGGCGGGGATGATTGAAGCAATGGTAGGGTGTAATCAATTGATCTTCGGCCAGGGTCTCTCTCTTTCAACTTATCATTCTCCTGTCAATCATATACGGAGTATAAAAAAGCACCGAAGTCAACTGACGCAGACACACCCCAGTTTTCGACCCCAATGTTGCATCACTGTTAATTTGGGTGTGGAGCTGTCTGCATTAGCGCATTCCGTCGATCCTGGGCGGAAAACTGAAAGTCCAACGACTGTCACACCATCCAATATATGTATATCCCACTCGGAGACAGGCCGCGCTGGATCTGCAAACCACCTGTATCTATATAGTTTGACACTATTTAGGTCACTCAGAGACAGGCCGTGCTGAATCTGCAAATCGCCTTCTTTCGATCCTGGGCGGAAAACTGAAAGTCCAACGACTGTCACACCATCCAATATATGTATATCCCACTCGGAGACAGGCCGCGCTGGATCTGCAAACCGCCTGTATCTATATAGTTTGACACTATTTAGGTGACGCGTGTGGCCCCATTTTTGAACGTTTGCACGAGTGACTGGACCCTGAATCCCTGCGAGGCCCCACTGGAGATGACAGTGCGAGATTTTTTATCCTTCTCCATGGACGCCGGCCCCTGATGCCATGGGGTTGGGTACCTTGTCGAAAGTCAGATTCAGTACCTAGACACTCAGGCATTAAGAAATGATATCAATAACACAAAAGTTGGAGATCTTACACATCTTCCATGAGTCGTAGGAGTGGGACCATTCTTGATTTTAAATTCTCGACTCTCGATTCCCTCCCGTAGGAAGTCGGCTTTCACTTGGCTTCGGATCGATGTTGGAAAGTCGAAGCTGATTCCCGACAATGATAAACCTCAACGAGGACTTCGGACCGACGCTATGGGTGGTAAACAGCATCTTCATTGTGCTAGCGACTTTCGCCGTCTTTGGACGCTTTGCGGCGCGACGACTGCGAAAGATGCCGCTTGGGGCCGATGACTGGATGATTTGTGTCGCGCTGTTCTGGGACTGGGTTCTCTACGGAATTTTCATCGGCTGTAAGTACTTGGTTCTATATCTGGTACACAACCATTTAGCTGTATGATACTTATGCAACAACAATCCAGGCCGAATGAATGGCCTCGGCAAGCACCGCGCAGCCCTCCCACCCGAAAAAGTTGCCATATTCGCGGAACTTCTCTACTTCTTCCAAATCTTCTACGTCCTCGCACCACCCAGCGTCAAACTCTCTCTGCTATTCCTGTACCGGCGAATCTTCGAGCACTCGCGGTTCCTCCGGCTAGTCTACGGCGTGGTCGGACTGATCGTGGTCTGGGCGATCATCATGACATTCCTCTCCATCTTCAACTGCAAGCCGATCAGTGCGTTCTGGACGACGAAAGGGACGTGTTTGGATTTTCGGCAATTCGCAATTGGATACGCGATAGTAAATATCATCACCGATTTCGCCGTGTGGTTGATGCCGATTCCATCAGTGTGGAAGATCCAGTTGCCCCAAGCGCAGAAGATCGCTTTATCGTTGATTTTTGCAATAGGGCTTTTGTACGTCTCCCTTCCTCTTCCTTATAAACCAGGAAGTAAATGGAATTGGCAAACTTCAAGAGCCTTGACTGGATCAATACCTAATATTTACAGTGACTGCGCCGCCGCAATAGCCCGCCTCATATTATCTATGCTTGTTCTCGGCGAGTACGACACAACCTGGCTGTACGCCAAGGGATACATGTGGTCTATAATCGAAGTATCCACGGGCATAGTCTGCACCTGTCTCCCCACCATGCGCATCTTCCTCAAAGCCGCATTCGGCGGCCGGTTCGCCCGACTCTTTGGGCTGTCGAGCGGAAAAGCGCGCCAGCAGCGCCCAAGCACAACACCCTGGTCACGCACAGACGAGTGCTATAACGAGACTGGGGAGACGCGAATCATAAAATTGTCTTCGTCTGGTCATCGGACGGAACTCACGGATTCGAATTCCCACGACCCCGAGTGGGACGCGATGTCGCAGCGGATTTTGGTGACGAATGAGGTCAATATTGAGATGCAGCCGGTTAAAAAGACAGCTGTTATGAAGATATGATTTCTTTACTCCTCTCCTAGGATTTTGTTAAAACTACAGCGTACAAATAGTTAATCTGACTTTGCGAATACCACGTATAGCGAGCAAGCAAATGAAGTCTAGATAGTGCGACGTTGAAACGAGATATCGCCAGATCCAACGTATGTTATATTCTTGGGGGCCACTCGCAGGCGGTCCTGGGGCTCTATTTTGGTCCTCGGACCTGGACCGGAGTCATGGGACTTGGGCAGTCCCAAAGCACTCTATTGTTCTGGGTCCAGAGTCCCAGGACCACTGTAATCTCAGGTCTGCGGCTTTCTGAAGCTTCATTGTCTAGCTCCGCGGTAATACCCTCTGATTTCAAAATTAGCATGATCACAGATCCTAGCGTCTAAGCACCAGTGGAGATGCCTGCCGTCACCTTGGAGGGGACGTATGGCTGCTAGTATCTTGGATCATTACAGCTGGCACGTACTAAGCCCCATACTATTCCTGAAGATCAACAGGGTACAGGAAACTGTAGGTATTCGGGCGGCCAACTAGGCAAAGCATTTCTCATTAACTGAGAAGGAAATTCCCAAAGCGCTCTCAGCAAACTATCTCGAACTCAGTCCATTAACAAGGTGCTGTTCTTGGGGCTGCGAAACTTCGTCTCCAAATTCCGGCAGTGTAAGTGTATATCACGATACCAATCAAAATCGGGCTTGGAATAAAATCGAAAATAAGTAATTTCTTGCGGAGCTCATGCAGAGGCACAGAACTTGAGTGGATGCTTGCTCATGCCGACGAGAAAGGATAGAATTTACGAGGATAGATGTTATCTGTCTCCCCAAAGAAGGATCGGAATTTTTACCTAAGGCAGTAAGAGATCTCAATTATTTGGCCTAATTTCGAGTTCTGCGCTTTCCCAAACGGCATTGTAACTAGTCAGTTCCCATGAGTGCCCCCAAGGGCGAAGTGTTATGAACCAACCAACCAACCAAGAAGTCAAGCACAAATAGACCAGCGACAGGGAAAGGCAACCTCATATATACCTGCAGAGCACATATCTAGAGAAGTCACCTCACACTTGTCTACTTTGTATGGGCGTGAATCAAGGCCGGTAGGAGGGGTACGATAGCTTTGAGCAAAGCCATAGTACAATCAGAGGATACCCCTGTGTAGCAAGAGGTTCAGAGAGGAGTGAATGAGAATAGAATGTTGGGTATAAGCGACCAGCAACCACCAGCGCTGGATTTTTGGTCATGTGGCATAGAAGCCGACATCAAGACAGAAAAATTGGAGTTGGAGAGGAACCCCTTTATGTGTCATAAGTCCTGACCCTCGAGGCAGCCTTGCATTAGTTCTTTCCTTCAGCTCGCCATATTTGCTTTTTCATCCCACTCGAAGAGGAGTGACTCCCTCCGGGCGATAAGCAGCCATAAGGGTAAAGAAAGGAGAGTGCGCTGAAGATCAATGAGGTATCGCGAATCGGCTCAAACTACTTGCATCTGTCTCCCAACCGAGTGTTTGTTGTCACGCAGCCGACAAGTATGCCCAGGCTGTTGAGGCGCGTGTACCATTTGCTGAACCGTGTCCACTTTCAGACTCGGCTTTCCCTGGCATAGGTATCGTTGCACTTGTGGACGATATGGTTACAAACTCGATGTCAGTACCACTATTACATGTAAGCTTTCGAGGAAGTCCCCGCATGCAAGCAAGTAACAACCGGCGCCGCATTTCCTGGAGTGAACATGGCCGCTACCGGAGTGTTTTGAATGAGCCATGGGCTTTGGAATATGAAGATAGCCATTCAATCAGCATAGTGAGACCAGGGTATGGGAAGTAAGGTAGAGCAGCCAAGGGCCGCAGGATATACCCATGACCGGAAGCGAGTGGCTGAGCTGGAAGGTGAGCTATCTATATCCTCGAGATGATTCTTGAATGCGTTCATGCCTGTCAATCCGGTTCGGCTACTGGTTCCGGTCCCGCCTTGTGCTTGGATATGAATATAACCGATGGTCATCATATAGGAAGATACAGCGAGCACTCATGGCAGGAGAAACGACGCACAGTTTATTATAGAGATTTGTCCTCTGCTACTCATTCGTCTCCATGTCCGCATCAAAGACATATTATATTTTCGGCCAGGGCATATCACAAAGCCTGTCCCCAGTCATACACAACGCAGGATTCCTATACCACGGCCTTCCCCACCATTACAGAATCCAAGAATGCCCAGATCTGGATGCTGTGCGCCCTTTGATGGAAGATCCCGCCTTTGGAGGATCCAGCATCACCATGCCGCATAAGCTGAGCGCATACAAGTTTTGCGACTCGATCGCTGACTCCGCCACCACCATTGGAGCGATCAACACGCTGGCTGTCCGTCATGGACCGTCAAACGATGGAGCGAGCAGGCGAAGTGTCCATGGCGACAATACGGACTGGTACGGATTGTACAGCCTGGTAACGGAGTATCTGAGGCAGAATCAGCTCGACGCCCCGGTTGGTCTTGTCATTGGAGCGGGAGGCGCTGCGCGAGCAGGCGTCTATGCGCTGATCCGGGCTGGAGTCAAACACATCTATCTCGCCAATCGCACACTGGCAACAGCGCATAAGGTCGCACAGGACTTTGAGTACCTGAGCAAGGTCATCCCCGTCGGATTCCCTACTCGACTTCCCGAGGCTCCCAACCTCATCATTGGGACAACTCCGGGACAGGCTTACCCGACTGAAGCCTTCGTTGATTTGTTTCAGAAAGAATGCGGCTTATGCATTGAGATGGCATACAAGCCTCGCGTTACCCATCTCTTGGCCGCCGCTATGAAGCACACCAGTTGGGTCAAAGCTGATGGATTGGAGGTCCTCCTCAGGCAAGCATTTGAACAGTTTCGTCTCTGGACAGGGCTGGAACCACCGGAAGCCGTCATGCGGAAAGCAGTTGCCGACGAGATTAGGAAAAGGGAGCATACTCTGTAACTGTTCACGGTGGGGTTGGAGCTATGTACGTCTTCCTGCTGGAAGCAGAGCAAATACGTCTTATTATTACACTTTTGAGAGTTATGTGGAATGTCACCTATACTGCATTTCTTCAATAATAGGATATATACCCGTAAGGAGGCATCCAAGGCCACGCCTTGGCCAGCTCAGTTCTTGCGAATCATATTTTTAGCTGCATGCTGAATGGCCGCTTCGTATCCATAAGTTCCCAGACCAACCAATATCGCCGATGCCTTGTCTGATAGATAACTATGATGCCTGAACGGCTCCCTCGCGTGCACATTCGTGATATGGACTTCGATAAACGGAATCGAGACGCCGACCAGAGCGTCGCGTAGCCCAACACTCGTGTGCGTCAATGCGCCAGGGTTGATGATAATGACATCGATGTGGCCTCGGGCGGAGTGGATGCGGTCGATAATATGGCCTTCATGGTTGGATTGGAAGGTTTCGAGGTCTATTCCGTAGTTGTTCGCTTGGACTCTTGACATTTCCTCAACATCTCGGAGGGTGGTGGCACCGTATAAATGAGGCTCGCGGGTGCCCAGGAGGTTCAGGTTGGGACCATTAATAAGAAGGAGGGACGGCATGATGACATCGAATAGATATTTCATCCGTATTTCTCTCCTGAAGCCAACATGATAGACTTAAATACAGAGCCAATGTGTCGGACTTCCGCGGCATACAAGGCTATGGATTTAAGCGTAGTGGGGAACTACGTTTGTCAAAAGTGTAGTAGATCGGATACGTCTTTACCCACTCCGCGGTTGTCCTTGTAGCTGTTGCATCCGTGAAGCATTGGATATTCCTGACTAGATACAATCTTTGAGCCCAAGCCCGATCACCACGCAACATCCTTTCCCTCCACCCAGTCGCGGGCCTGTACATACAACAGATCATGCTTCTGCCCGTTCACAGTCGACCCCTCTCTCCGATGTCCAGGGAGGTCGAGAAGAACTTTCACGCCCATGGTGGATTCCTGTAGATATGCCAAATGCCGGTACCCAGGCGGATATTGCTGCAACTTCTCCAGGTCGATAACAGGATCACGACCAGCAGTCACCGCGATCAACTTGTCTTTCTCATACCAGTGTCTAACAAAGCGAGCCCGCCATTGTTGGTCCAACTCCGGATACTCGGAGCCGTCCAGCTTTTCCCAGAAGAAGATAAACCGGCAGTCGCTCTCGGCATCAGCTTCACAGGTGCCCCCAGAGACGCAGGGGAGACCAGAGAACCTCTGGGTGATGGTGGCTTTCATTTTGGTAACAGCACGTACCCCGCTTGGGTCGATATCGGTTGTGCTCCCGTGGATGCGGTGCATGATGAACACACCATTGTCCATCCCCGTCTTGGAGGCCTCGATGAACTGGAGGTGGTGCGTGAGACCCGTCCAGGTGGTGTAGATATGGGCATCGGGATGGAAGATCGAGCGCAGGTTCTCCCACTCACATGCGTCCCGATAGCACGGCCATCCCTCTGCCAGCTCCCGGAGTTTATATCGCTCGAGGGCAAGATCGGACGGACCGTTATTGCGGATGGCGCGTTCTGGGCGTGAGCCCGCCGGAAGGGTGTGCAAGTCGGGCATAATGACGACAGTGTAAGTAAGATTGAGGGCCTTCACAGTGTACGATTGAGATTAAGTAGCCAAAGTTCTCCGGGGAATGCACTGTAGATGATCCGACGCACACCCGATGGTGATCGGCTAGGAGCGCATCCGGACGGTTATGACTTTTAGCGATGACCAAAAATGACCAAACCTGCGCCGCCAGGAATGCTAAAGGTACTTCTTGTCGTTTGCTCGTACGAAAACCGCAGCATTACTTCCAGTAACAGTGATTATAATTCAAATTTCTGCCTCCGTTAAGATCATGGACTCACGCGCCTATACTTATCTCGTCGGCGTCGGCGTCACCCATTCGATCGCCCCGCCGATGCACAATTACATCGCCAAGTCATTGGGGTACAACTGGGAATTCCAAGCACGAGAATGCCAATCCGTTGAGGATGCAATCGAGCTTTTCCGCCAACCAACCTTTGCCGGAGGCGTTGTTACGATGCCCTATAAGCGAACCATCATGGAACATCTGGACGGGCTGGATGACTACGCAACCAAGCTAGCTGCCTGCAACAACGTCTACCGGTCTTCAGATGGACAACTGAGAGGCACCAATACCGACTGGAGAGGAATCGAAGGGTGTCTTCTCAGTGCGAGTCCTGAAGGCAAGGGAAAACCGGCCGTCGTGATTGGGGCGGGGGGCGCATGCCGTGCGGCGATATTCACCCTGCACGAAAGGCTGGGTTGCAGTCCGATCTACATCGTGAACCGTGATGCAGATGAAACGGCCGCGCTATTTGAAGAAACCAAGCAGAACTACGAGCAAGACCTTCAGTTGGTGCACGTACAGTCTACGGAGCAAGTGCGCGGTTTAGCAGCACCATACTACGTCGTAGGTACGGTGCCTGATGCGGAGCCGATCGCACCGGAAGAGGTGCAAGTCCACCAAGTCCTGAACGAATTCCTCAAGGCTGCCGAGGACAAAGGTGTTCTATTGGACATGTGCTTCAAGCCTAGAAACACACGGATTCTGCGAGCCGGTAAGGCCATGGGATGGAAAACGGTTGAAGGAACTGAGATCATCGGGCATCAGATCCACGAGCAATACCGGCTGTGGTGTGGAGAGGAGCAGAGCAAGAGGATCCATGCAGAGGAGGCCTGGGCTGTGCTTCGCAAAGCAGCGGAGGAAAGTCCGGCCATCAACTTCTAGCAAACACGGCTGAGGATATAGCCGAAGGCTGCATGAGCTCATTCGATTATATAAATAAGTGTCAATGGAGCCACTCGTCATTCAACCTTAAGCTTTCCTTTTTTCATCGTTTGTTCTACAATTGTAAAGCACCATGTCTTCCTGCAGGCCGGCAATAGCTTCGATGTCTCTTGGAAGAGCATGGGTCCATCCGCTCTCTGAAAAACTCGCACAAGCAGCCCACGCCGGCTTTGAAGGTGTGGAGATCTTCTACGAAGATCTCGAGTATCTCGCCAAAGAAAAAGGCACTCTCAATAATGAGAACTTGTTTGCAGCTGCCCATGAAATCCGGGCCCTATGCGATCGGTACAAGCTCGAAGTGATTGGGATGCAGCCATTCATGTTCTACGAAGGATTGATCGATCGGTCTCAACATGAGCAGAAACTGCAAAAATTGAAAGTCTGGTTCCAGATTGTGAAGATCCTAGGCACCGATATCATCCAAATCCCGTCCAACTTTCAGTCCGACGGCATCTCCGGGGACCGCGATCTGATTGTTGCCGATATGATCGAGATCGCCGACCTGGGGCTGAAGGAGACCCCAGTCATCCGCTTTGCGTATGAGAACCTGGCTTGGGGCACTTATATTTCCACCTGGGAGGATATGTGGGATATTGTCCGTCGCGTTGACCGACCCAATTTTGGGTGCTGCCTGGATACCTTCAACATCGCCGGCCGGGTCTGGGCAGATCCCACAAGCCCCTCTGGAAAGACGCCAAATGCCGACATGGACTTGAGCAAGTCCATCGAAAGCCTCACAAAAACGATAGATGTCAGAAAGGTCTTCTATGTACAGGTGGTGGATGCCGAAAGAATGGAGTCGCCCTTGGTCCACGGCCATCCGTACCACGTCGAAGGCCAACCAGCGCGGATGAGCTGGAGTCGCAATGCACGGTTATTCTTGTACGAGGAGGACAAGGGAGGATATCTTCCTGTGGTACAAGTAGCCAGAGCCTTTCTGGAGGGCCTTGGTTACAGAGGATGGGTTTCAATGGAGCTTTTCTCCAGGACAATGGCGGATCCATCCCCCACCACACCAAAGACACACGCACAAAGAGGTATCCAAGCATGGAACGGGTTAAAACAGGAGTTGGGGCTGTTGTGAACCAAGTTCTACTCCAGCAAGAGGGAGGTCATCAAGTGCGTATGCCGTATCACTCGCGGTCCAGATAGCGAAGGGAATTCAGAAATTCAGAATCTATATCCCCAGCGCAGAACCCTAAATTATGAGCAAAGGATGGCGCTGTTCTGGTTCAGGATTAGTCAAAAGCAGCCCCATCACGATGAAATAGTGCATAACATACTCTGCATGCATCATTGCCATTTCTTCGAGCACTGCGTCAAAGCAGCTGATGTCGTCAGATTCATGTGCTTGTTGTGAGGTGTAAGCATGCGCTTGATTCGGATCACCGAGGTTCGCATTCGCCTGGGAACAGGAAGTAGAGGATTCGGAACCGGATCCTGCCACATTCTGGACGAGCCCATCACGTAATTGAACAGGTCGCTTGTACCTTCTGCTGCATCCTGCAGTATCGGTCCAGTCAAGTGTCGACTTCATCTCTGCCAGTTGTGTCAACAGTTCGTCTTGTTGGGGGCTGTCATTGGCTATGACTACCAAACGGAAAGACGACTCTGCATGGTGAAGAAACCAGCGTAATAGCGGGGACGTTCTTGTTGTACCTGCGATTTCAATATAATGATTCAGCAGGTGAAGTGTAGATCGCACACTTGCCCTCACTGAGGCTACCGCGGATGAGCTGGGTGGAAGGAGCTTGCAGATGAGGTGAGAAGTCACAAATTCCGAAGCCAAATGTAGGGTCAACAGTGCAGGGTTATGGCTGGAGGCGACAGGATAGCGACTAGCGAGGGCCAGCTTCCAGTCCTGCCAATCAGCCATCAGCCCACCTACATCGTCCTGGGAAGGCTGAAGGTGAAGCATCCGTACTAGATGCTGAGCGAGTTCACTGTCCAACTTGAACGCACTCAGGGCACGTAGAGGCCCTCTCTTTGACGAGTATGGCATTCGCTCATGATCCCAACGAAACGGAACCCACACATCCCATTCCTCCAGCCCATCCTCGTCAATCTTGCCATACCCATCATGAGTGGCCCCAAACTGGCAAGGAGTCTGCTCTGTAAGAGCCGATAATATAGTATCAAGGAAACAGCAGCCATGACGCGTGCGGCTATACCAAGCGTCTCTCGCTGAGATCGGCAATATGGCCAGTAGTCTCTCTGCTTGTCCAACTCCAACCCATGCCTTTGACAGGTCTCCAATTCCGACGTCTAACAGTGCGAGGATAAGTAGGGCCTCGGCATGGCTCTGCTGGAGTATGTCTGAATCCTCGAGAATGCGCAGCTGAAGGAAGGATTGAATCTGCGCCCGCCAAGAATGCCGTTCTGGATCCATCCCATCTCGTGCAACCAAGACGTACAGAATCACTGTCCAGAGTGTGATGCGACACCCTGCAGTTGGGTCGTCTGGGGCCATAGGGTTGTTGTGCATTGACCGGAGAATATCTCGACGCTCCAGTATAGGAAACCATGAATGAACGTGAGAGAAATAGTACTCCACTATCTGGACTACATTTTCCGGTAGTGACCAAGCCGTAATATCGCTGGGTCTGTTCAGTGAGAGACTCTGAGACTGTGGCGGGTGGTTCGGGCAGTTGGAGCAGACGTTAGATGTCATGCCAGCAAGGGCCGTCGAAATAGGCGTATCCTTTGGCTCCGGCTCAGGTTCTGGCTCGCGCTCCAGCTCATCATCATCTTCTGATATTCTCTTCATGCTGGGGTCAAGCATTTGCAGCGTTTCCCTTGATAGTTTGGAGCCTCTCCAAACGGCTATGTACCGTTCGCTTAACTCGCTCCCCAGGAAGTCACCTTGAAGACTCGCATCCCCGACAATCGTCTTCACTGTGGCCTCACTGCTGGGAACATTTTCGAGTACAATCCCGAGGATCGCTTGGAGCGCCCGGACGTAGCCAGACTGTAATCCGCGCCGTCGGCCACTCGGGTTATATGTACAACTGCGTCCCGCTGCACGGCAGATGGAGCAAATCGGCTGTGCGCCATCGCATTTGGATTTACGGCGCCGACACTGGTCGCAGGCACGACTAATGCGCTGCCGCTTTGATGGACGGAAGTCAGGCATCGTCTTGTCCAATTCGGAAGACAATGATAATAATGGAACTACTCGTATTCTGGTCGCCCGGTTGCAGTCGTGGTGGAGGTCATGTGATCGGGTAGACTCTTAGCCGCCATATCGGCAGCGTCTGGCATCATTCTGGATGCCCTCGCCCTCCAGTTCAAATGCCTTCTGTTTGGGATTGATACGCGAAACACACTTCCTGTACCAGAGGCGATCATGTTGTCTGAGAAATCCCGCACAAATCTCGCTGCGGTTCTTGACCATGGCACAGTCTCATCTGGTGGACAATACCCCCCGAATGCTACTCTACTACTGATTGGATTCCCCGGCGCTGGAAAGAAAACCCTGGGAATCATGGCATCGGTAGCCCTCCGACGCCGATTTGTTGATTTTGCTGCCTGCTTTGAGGAGGAGTTCCATGTCTGTCCTCAAGCCTATATCAAAGCGAACGGATCATCACGCTATCTAGAAGCCGAACGGCGTGTCTATGATGATTTGTTGGCAAATAACACTCATGGCTGCGTGATCGTTGGGACTGGATGGATTGGTAGCAGTGGTTTGCAGACCATATTCAAAGAATTCGCACGACGGCATCCAATAATCTACATCCAAAGAGACCAAAAGGCTTTGAGGCGAGGCATGGCGACGACAAGCCCCGAAATGTTTGACCGCATTTTGCGAACCGGGCACCGAATTCTTGAATCATGCTCCAATTTCGACTACTATAATCTTTCAGAGGATCTCGTTCCTGGGACGGACAATTCCCGACCTCTATATCTCAAGCTGAAGGAGACGGAGAAAACCTTTGTCAGGTTCCTGAAGCATATCTTTGGGTTTCCGGACCAGTTGCCCTACTCGACTGAACTCTTTTCGGCGTCTCCTACATATGCTCTCCAGGTACCACTGGCTTGGCTGCAGCGGCCGTCCCAGAACTACGATGAACTAGAAAATGGGACAGACGCCATTGCTTTACTTATCGATTCTGCGGAGATAGGGAATTGCCTTATTGCCGATGTGCTAACAAGAAGTGTATCCCTTATACGAAGGCATTCGCGAGCGTTCTTAATTGTCGATGTACAAATCCCCGAGCACTCAGATATTCCCAGTTATCTCAACGCCCTGGCGCGCATCAGTCGCTTAGCACCAGACGCCTTGACCTGCTCGTTAGTCTGCGATGATGCGGATTATATGCGACTCGCCGGTAACATCGGCCGAACAAAGCTCATAGCCACGTACCATCAATCGACGCCGCTGGAGTGGAGCAAGGACCATCACAGGTTTACCCTGATGTGCAATCGAGCGCATGCGCTCGGATGCTCCGCGATCCGAATAACAGGAGAATCTCGATGCTTGGAGGACAATCTGGGGTGCGTTAGCTTTCAGCAGAACCTCACCAGAGTGTCTCCGATACCTGTGATCGCTCATAACGTCGGTGGTGCCGGGCGTGCGTCAGCCTGCCTGAACCCTGTATTGGCTCCTGTGGTTCTAGAGTCAATGAGACCGAACGGCGTCACGCTGCGGGAAGCGCAGCTCTCCCTCTCGAGTTGCTTTCTCTACCAGAAGAAGAGATATACTATCATTGGCCAGGACTTGTCCTATAGCCTGTCCCCGGAAATGCATAACAATGCATACGCTGCGTGCGGGCTCCCTCACATCTATGATTTAACCAAAACCTCAATCCTATCCGACATTAATCGGCTTCTGGACAGTGACGACTATGGGGGTGTCGCTGTATCACTCCCCTACAAGACAGAGGTACTAAAATACCTCGATGAAGTCAGCGAGGACGCCAGGAACATCAATGCCGTCAATACGGTGGTGGTCGAGATGTGTCAGCAACCGGGGGAGCCTGCACAACGCCTACGAAGGGGTTACAACACGGACTACGTCGGTCTTCAGAATTGCGTGCATAAACATCTCTCACCCGCAAACGGTATCCGTGATGGCACAGCGGCTCTGATCATTGGTGCTGGAGGTATGGCACGGGCAGCTGTATATGCCTGCTATCAGCTCGGTGTTCGGAACATCTGCATATTTAATCGGACCGCTCGCAACGCGCAAGCCCTGATCGATTACTTTACCCAGTGGGCAGCGTCTAAGCCTGGACCCGGCCTGACCTTTACACTACTCCAGTCAACTAGTACTGGCTGGCCGTCTCACCTTCGCCCGCCGACTATTGTAATATCATGCATTCCGCATGTGGAAAGTGACCATAAGTCACCCGCTGTTCACATACCGGTCCAATGGCTCCGCAGCAAGACGGGGGGTGTCTATATAGAGGTAACGTTTTTCCTGGTCGACCTGGTGGGTTGGGTTTCTAACGTTGTGATCCAGGTAGCATACGGCCCACGGAGGACCTCGTTCCTGACACAGATGGAGGCGTACAGGTCTAAGGGCTGGATCATCGTTGATGGGTTTGACCTCCTGCTGGAGCAAGGTATTGCACAGTATGAACTGTTTACTCGAAGACCGGCACCTGTCCATGTAATGAGAGACACTATCCAGAAACTTAAATTTAGCTCATAGTTAATGTATATTGATAATGAAGCTGTTTATCCAGTAAGAAAATCAAGTAAGTATGCTACAAAGAAATAGACAGTAACAGATTCTACTAAAATCGGACTTTGTACCTCATGTCGGAGCGCGTTTAACATAGCACAGAAAGTTTGCCTTAAAACGAAATCTAATATTAGATATAGTTTCCACATACATTACGGGATTTTTGTTTCCGGTTGCCGCGGGCTCTGTACGTGTTCTACAATACAGGCAGATCATCCTGCGCTACACCATGGCGGAAAAAGATGCTAGGGTCAGAGAGTACTATTATTCCGGTCCCAAGTTATAATTGCAGGGAAGCCCTGGCCGGCAATACGAGACGCCTTGGTTTGACCCCCCAAGACCTGGACTGAAGCCTCGCTGGCGTTGAGGCCGCGTAGGGCATTCGTCCAGTCATTTATAACGTCTTCAACGGCACTGATTAAACTAACGATGTATCAAGCTCTATACGCTTGATCAACTTTCGTCTCGCCTGCCATCCAGGTAGCAACGAAAGTGTACCTGTACATATGTACTTGATTTTCTAGGACAGTCGATGTACTCCTCTTTCCATTTTAATGCTCACCCCTCGATGCTTTTTGCTCACTGAGTAGATCGGAGCACGATCTGAGCGCACCCTGAACAGCCTGAGGCAATCAGGTACTGCGCGATGTCAACGGCAGCAAATTTGCCTTGATTGATACCATCATTCGGATGGCAGATGCGGTCGTTGATTCTCTACAGGACCGTTACGACGATACCCACATGAGCGGCGTTTGCTGTCGTGGCATGACGCAGAATGGGACTGTTACGTTGCGGTGGGCAGATAAGGAGAATGGCGAGCATCGAGCGTGGGCGAATGGGGTGCGGGAGAGGTATAAGGTGAGGTTGGACAGTGGAAAAGCTGCGGAGGCGGATGGAGTGCCACATTATATTGTCTATGTGGAGCGTCAGTTCCCTGTCCTTAGTTTTGACGGAAGTGGTTTATGCTAATGGAATCTAGCTGGTGGCTCCGTTGTTGAGAATACATATCGCGAGAATATCGGTCGACCGAGGGAGTTGAAGTGCAAGTATGATTCGACGAATCTGTTTCGCAAGATGCGTCCTATTACACTTGATGGACACCTCGCATGATTGTTCACTGGACAGGAATAGGATAATCGTAAGATCAGGAACAAACAAAGTGAACTGAGATGAAGGCAATGACGGTACAAATGTCCGTACGATTGATGAGCCCTGAATGTAGTAGTTGGATTCATTTCAAATTTTCGATTATTCCAACGCCGACAGGTTAAGAGCATGACCAGAGGGCTGTAACTGCCTAGGCTCTGCAATGACCACCGGCGTGACTGGGGTGGTGACCGTGGTCATGGGCATGTCCTAGGATTGGTTTAGTGTTCTCTGCCTCAGTGATGGTGCCAGTAGTCGTAGAAACGAGGCTATCCGTCGAGCTGTTCGCAGTTGGAGAAGTTGATGATGTTGTTGTCGGAATAGCGGTAACCGAGGCTGACAGTATAACCGCCGAAGTTGAAGGCATAGTACTACTGGTCATCGTCACGCCCTGCGTCAAGTCCTCCAGGTCCGACTGCTCCAAGCGGTAGAGCAGCGTTCCCCAACCAACACCGTCGTAATGACCCGAGCCTTCCCCATACCCTATGCCTTTCTCATAGCCGCCGAAGCCCTCCAGAGTGTAGTTGAGGTATGCCTTAGTCCACGGAGCTTCGAGCCCCTTGATATGTACGTAGTGCGCGTACAGAAGTTCCCAGGTCGGGCGGGTTGCACCGCGGCTGGCAGCGCTGATATCGGTATAGCTCACTATGCCGTTGGTGTAGGCTTCGAAAGGGACGTCGTGTCCAAGATTGTATCTAGCAAAATACTCCGCGCTAGATGAAATAAATATACGGTCAGTTTGCGGTTCACGGCGCGGACGTAAGAGCTGCATACCCGCGAAGTATCAAACTATCATTAAACGCGAACAGGTCTTCCCCCTGATTCCACGCCTGCTGCCCAATGGCCGCGAGGAGCTGCTGATCCAGCGCAGAGTGTCCCTGATCGCGACCTGATTCCTGACCCTGGCCCAGCAGCGTTCCCGTCTCTGGTTCCTCAACGAGATTGCTAATGGCATTACGGATCGCACCATTTCCATCCCCACTCTTGAAGTAATCAATCGCATAGTCCCATGCCGTCTGATTCTCCGTCAGGACACTAATCGCTTGGATGGACGCGAGCTGCGCGAGTTCCCAGTTGGCGAAGAAATGAAGCACGTTATGCTCAGACGGCTCTTCATGGTTGAGGAATCTTAGATTCAACGGAAGGATGACGTTAACGGCCATGTTGGCGAAGGCATCCCAGCCATCCTGGACGAAGGGCGCGTAATCGCGTAGCAACTCAGCTGCATTCGCCAGCTCGTAACCCTGCAGGCCCGCGGAAAGGTAACGGTCATCCCCACCCGAGAATGTAGTCAGGGTGTGGCCCCAGGCTGTTAGAATGGCAGAGGCGGCCTTTGCATATTTTTCTTCCCGAGTCACGCGCCAGCGCAGAGCCAAGTTGAAGGCAGCTGCAGCATCGTGCCAGAGAACGTCGCCGTTTGTGGGACGATCAATGTCAGATACGGCGTTCGGCGAGTAGGAGCTGCTGGAGAAAGAGAGGGATTCGAAGTATGCCCAGGAGCTTACCCAGGGCTCTCTTTCCACAGCGAGTTTGGCTTGGATGCGGGCGATGTCCGAGTCTGTGACCAGCAGGCCCGGATGGGTCCAGGAATAGGCATGCAAGCTGAAGGCTAAAACGGAGCATATCAGAGGCACGCGCATGATTAAAGAGCGAATAAGTGAGAAAGGACTGATCAACGATTGAGAGAATCATGGCAGCTTGCACAACAAACAGAAGCAGGACCTGACGGTTACTAAATAGCCAGGCCGAAAGAGCTGAGTATCCGATGACCCCAGTCTGGAACAGAGACATCTGTCCACCATATGCCCTGGTTGGAAATTGCAGGGTTGTTACAAAGTCACTACAAAGTGGGTGGGAAAGCATAATAGATGAAGGAGTGTCCATTTGGCCAGTAAATGTGCCAAACTTGGCCCACACCTTGAACTATCCCACCCGAGCATTGGCATCATGGAGATCGCACCAAGCTAGAATGGGTTATGTGAAACGCCGCGAGAACCCGGGCAAGTTGGACCTGAGTGTGGGACTCGCACTGATCTTAGGACAACTTGGTTCTATTGCCAATAAACATTTAGAGTGTTTTCCGGGCTGTTATCGCGCTAGCCCCGATCTTCAGATAGATAAGTAACCTTTAAAAGTGAAGATTTCGTTAATTCCTTATTCTGTCGAGATAGTTATATGTAATTGTCCATTAAGAGTCACCTTGTTGGAACTGAGCACCACGAAGCCCACCGTAGGGAGGGTTTCTACTCCTGGGCTGAACCCCGCGAGTAGATAGATGTTCCTAGTGCCTTCTTTCCCGTTCTTGACATGCCCGATCCCGATTTTGTGACTTAAATGCGAAGAGGACTAATCGGGGGGCAATCCATCAATTCTTCAAACAGTGTCTCCCTATCGAATAGCGGAGTCCAAGATTCAAGAAGCGCATCCCTCCACCGTTTGATTCACAAGTCAATTCTACGTTCTACCCATGGGTGAGGCCTAGTTTCAAGAACGTTAAGTAGACCACGTCCTCCGAGGGCCTTGGAGATGTAGCTCATGTTTCGCCGATCCGGATTAGAATATACAATATGGGTTAGAAATGGGAACATGCTGATAGGAAATGGTTCTACCGCCCGACGAAGACCAGATCTCAAACAGGATACAATTTTTTTGGGCAAGATCGAATGACGATGGGGCATATTGTTGGTCTTGCAGCTATAGATTTCAAAGAAAAGCTCTCAGTGCTTCATTGGTCAAACCCAGAACCCTGTTAAACTGGTCTTTAATATGCTATCGCACGACAGTTTTCCTTGGTGCCACTACTCACGCACGTAGGCGTGTCCTTCCACTTCGCTCCGGCTATTTCTCTTGAGGAACTGATCTTGCTCCTGGCGACTCTTCTTGAGGTCCACCCCAACAACCAGGATTCCGAAGCCCAAAATGCTCAGCGCAAATAGAAAATAGAATGGTGAAGAAGAGTTGCCGGTGGGCGTAGCATCAATAATAGCACTAGACACAAGAGGCCCAATAAACGAGGATGTCTTTCCAACAATACTGAATAAACTGAAGAAAAGGTATTCGTATCCCCGAGGTGTAACCTCTGAGATCATAATCTGCGAGTAACTATACCACGGGCATATAAACAGGCCATAGAAAGCCTGATAGACCTAGAAATATGTGTTGGTGGAACTTCATGGAATGGGAAGTGCGTGAATCCGTCTCTATGCGCCAGAAGAGTAGGAAAGCTATGTAAAGAGAATTACTTACCCATACTTCCCACACATGATGAAAGCCAAACTTGTCAGTCCAAATTCCTATCATGCCCCAACCGTCAAGCAGAGTGATACTGACTGCGATGGCGTTGAACATTGTCTTTGTGTCGAGCTTATATCGTCGTTGAACGCTCCAGAAGAGGTAAATTCCAACAGTCTAACGACAGATGTTAGGAAGTAACTTCATGAGCTCAATCGTGGCTTACCTGAGCTGCAATCCCGACAATCAAAAGATATGTCAACTGTAATGTGTTGTATGCCACCAAACTGTTCTGGAGGGTCGAAATGACAGTGACTGTTGTATTCAAGGAGTCACCCAATAAGAAGTACCCTTAGACAAGAGACACTCATTAATCGTCGTAGCAGATGATAGAAGAGACAGGAACGTGTCATACCAACCAGGTAAAGCAAGCTCTGCTTCAGCTTCCACACCTGCCTCATTGTGAAGTAGAGCTGGGACAAGCCTGCCATTATGATATTCCTAGAGCCAGGATCTTGACCCGGTCGTCGCTTCTCAAGAAAGAACCACGGCAACGAGACAATCAGCCAGACACCACTAGCAAAAGCTATGAGCACACTTAAGCCCCAGCTGTTCCTTGCGTCACTTGCATTGACACCAACTCCGAACATAATGCCAACAATGATAGCCAGGATGAGGATCTCCGCAAGTGATTGAATGTAGAACGCAATGTTCGCAAGCTGACTTCTCATCATTGTATCAGCGCAATCGTATTCTTCACGAGAGATGACCCCATGGGTAAGTTCATCGGCTTTTTTTCTCATCTCGGCGCTGTTACGCGCAAGTGATGGAAATGCAGCGGTCCAGAAGGTGAGTGTGGTTTGATAGGTAATAAGCCCAACAATATAGAGCCCAACACCTGTCCGCCATTTGTCTTCTGTGTGAACGCCTAGCCAAGCGAAGCCTACGGCGTAGGCGATGACTGAGAAAACGATCAGGATGTTTGGGCGCCAGTTCCCAAGGTCTGCGAAGCTTCCTATCACTAGGAATACCAGAATTTGAATGGAAAAAGATATCCCGTTACATAGAAGAACGATGCTATCGACTGAACGGCGTTTCCCCGCAAAAACAAGTCCATCTGCATCTCCTGCCGCTTGGTAGAGAAGATTCTGGAACGCGGTGGGAGCAAAGTCTATGTCCGTCAGTAAATAGAAGAAACTAGTTAACATCTATAAAGTTCAAAATATCAAACCTACTGAACAGAGACAACCCGTTGTTCCCAATGTAATAGCTGCAATATTGGAACGATCAATGAAGACCTCCAAAGGGGAGGTAGGCAACTCACCTGTAATAAGCCCAAATTTCCCATTTTGTCGCGAGGTGTTCATCTTTCTCTTGATTCAGAATATCATTCTTTGTGTACTCACTCAAGGTGAGCTGCCCCATGGCTGAAGATGTTGCGAGTCCGAGATCTCCGTCGGAAGTTGAACGATTAACCGCCATAATAAATTGAGAATCCTCGTCCTTGAAGAGGTTTGGAATATTGTGGGCATGAAATTGCTATTAACACAGTGAGAACTATTGAACGCGGTAATAGGCATGTCTCTCTCCTTGACTCTATGTCCCTATCTAACCATCTATGATCGGATCAATTGACGAGTGCCGGGCGTTGCTCTTGTCAAGTGACAGTATAGATAAGAGATTAGCATTTCATACACTTCGGCAGATACGACGATCTGCCTGTGTCTTAGCATGAGCTTCGGGGCACCCGTCCCTAATTGAAAATGTTCCGAGGGACTACAGTGCAGATGAATATGATTTCCTTGAAAGGCAATACGCAAAGCGATAGCGTACATCAAAGCCACGAGTTACGGTACCCGTAGATAGCGGAAAGCGGAAACCAGATCCGTGGTGATATCTCAGGACATAATTTCCCGGGTAGGAATAGCGGTTGTATGAACGTAGGCTGAACTTAGCCCTGCAGAAATTCTTTATCTTATAGCTTGTTCCAGCGCGCGAATCTCCTATGACTTTTATTCCCTCATACGGACTCTAGTTCGCAAAACTCCTCTCTGGGGAAGCAGATTTGAGACGCTGTGAGCAGATTGAACAATACCTCGCCAACGTATCACAGCCATGGAGAATCCCTTGAGTCTGTTGGGGTCCTCGACTGGCAATCCTGTCCAAGATCCCACCAAGGACGAGATATTCGATCCTAAAGTATGTGCATCCAATTAAAATATATAAAGGTTTATGTCGGGACATTCAAGCTCAAGTCGCAATCGGATAGGTGCATCTCAATTATGTCCCTCCTGTAAAAAAGTTTACGATGCAAGATTTGGCCTTAAAACAAAGCGCGACAGCATCCCCCATTGCTGGAACGACACCTTTCCCAATGTTGTCACCGAAAGGTGTCAGAGCTTACCGAAAAGCCCTGTTCCAGCAGGATTTTATAAACAAATATGCAAGCTCGCCATTTCCGGGGACTCTAGTTCTCCGTGATACCGTGAAGCACTCTCAATTTATCAGGGATTTTTGGACACACTCTGAGACAATGAAGATTGTTTCTGAGGCATGTGGTGTACCTTTGGATGTGATCATGCCGACGGAAATCGGGCATACAAACATTCAAGTCGAAGGGACGACTATTTCAGAGATGTGCAGTAACCTCAAGGTTGAGCCGTCGGTAGAGAAATTGGATTTGACTCCGGAAGAAAGAACTTACGACCCCTTGAAAGACAAAAGCTCTATCATCCCCTGGCAGTAAGTCTGGTCACCCGCTGTTTTAACGACACTATGGGAGGTTTCAGGACTAAGTTATCAAAAGCTACGACTCTTATCCATATGTGTGTGTGTTGATGTTGAGTGAGACTGAAGGGATGGTCGGAGGAGAAACATACATAAGAAAGGGAGATGGCGAAGCACAAAAGGTCATTTCAGCTCTACCATCGTGGGCGTATCGTTCCAAGCTAAATTGCGTACAGATTGAGGGCCCTCAAATTGGCCATGCAGTGATGCTCCAGGGAGGCGAGGTCGAACATTTGGCTGCTCGCGCCAAAGGAGTCAAAGAACGCATTTCTACCATCACCTCATACCGATCAAATGTGCCGAATGTGTACGACTCCAGTTACCTGACTAATGTTCGACCCTACGCCAACCTCAAATCTCTATATCCAGAATGGACTCAGTACCGCCTGCGGAAGCTGAGAGACGAGATTACCCAGTATCTCACTAAGAGTGAGAATGAACCGGGCTTATTCCAACAGGAGGAGGTACAAGACCTCATTGATCAGCAGGTTGAGTACTTGCAACGGACCTCTCGACAGATGGTCTCACCTCAGTATCAGAAGCAAATCTTGGAAAAATACGGTACAGCGGCTTACTATGATGTGTCCAGGATATGGGAAACCGTTCAATGTCTAACAGATTTCGAGAAAACTGCTTCCTTGGTGGATCGAGATCGACGATGGATGCCGCAGAGTACTTATTGGGTAGATCTTCAGAAGTCGATCGAGACGATTCGCATGGGAAAGCCGCTTCGCAGTACATTTGGAACCCACTTATGGACCAAAACGAGGAAGTATTATATGGGCGATGAACTATTACGACAAGGTCTAAATGAGATATTTTTAGACTGGTTTGGAAGCTCGGGTCTGTGGGATCTTTATGTCAGGTGTTCAGCATAGGGAAGTGTGTTTACTGAATGCTAGATCCCTTTAATCCAATTTTCACTTCTACATCATTCCGTCACATTCTGTCATTTTCAAGGAGTATCAGTTCCTTCTATCGAGCAATATCAGTATCCTGTTTGTCTTTCAAATTCAACACCAGAAACTTCTATTCAATCGAGTTTTCACATGTTGTGATCAGATATAAATGAACCTTACTTTCCGACACAAATGCTCAATAGTCTGTCAGCATCAGGATATTCCACAAACTGAAATCTCGACTTTAGTACACTAAGGCATTGGTCTCAAAGGTTACCCATGGAGACCCGAACTCGAATAAAAATGGGCCAATGATACTAAAATAACAAGGCCAACGAATAAGGAAAGGAAAGACCAAAAGAACCGAGCGGAGGACACAAAAGGTTGTATCACAATACCTCGAAATCCAGAACTCAGAGGCTGAACGACATTAGTAGTGGTAGCATTTGGGCGAGAAATAATGTCTCCAGGGCCCATGATACTTTTTGTAAGATAGCAACATAAATGCTTAAAATCTACGCCTATCGATATGTAAACTTCGAAACAGAAGATTCGGAGATTAGATCTCAATCCTCTTCGACTGTTGCTTTCCAAATTTCCATTGGATCATCTGCAGGCAGCCGTATATCATTTGCAAAAATGGTGCATCACATCCCAGAGTCCGAGCTATACGGAGGGGATTTCCAAGGATGACCTCGACCTCCATAGGGTTACCGCGATCTGCGTCAACCAACATGCTCGGACGAAATCGTAGTTCTCGAGACATCGAAGCAATTGACACCTCTTGGATATTGTCTGGCAGGATATACCCACTAGCCTGAGCAATATTGACAATCTCATCCATCACTGGGCGAATCATCGTCTCCACACCACCAGCATCTATGACAGATGTCACATCCAAGCCTGTCATGACACAAGCACTGCTGAAAGACGCATTCCACACAAGCTTTTTCCAACGCATCCAAATAATATCTTCGACAATGACACAGGTAGCTCCACCGGCGCTGTACAATGAAGCAAAATATGCTGCGACTCGGTCTTGCTCCTCTTTGGCAACAGCTGCATTATAGAATGGAGCTAGATGGAGGATATCAGGGTGACTATGTTGGATAATGCCGTTCTCTAGTTGGTGGGCACCGATCATGCTCACGCCAGAGAGAACGATTATCCTAGGAAACGCATCGATGAATGGCTGTTCGTTGCCGATACCATTCTGAATCAAAACAATTATCGACTGGGATTCGGCGACGATAGGGGCGACAAGCTGTGGAATTGAATAGACATCGGGAAGGCTCTTCATTGCCACAACAACGAAGTGGAACGGCCCATACTGAATGGCATCTTGGACAGAGCGCACGACTATGGAAACAGAACACTTAGCTACCAACTTGAATATGACTTCTTCAATTCACACTCACCATGGGATGGACGCCAGCCAGAGAGTTTGCCATGATCAACACTATCAATCGTGAATCCATTCTTTGCTACTGCCGCGAAGTTGGATCTCAAAACAGCTGTCACGGTTGCTTGATTTGACTTCTGTAAGGTGACGGCCGCCAGGGTGCCAACTGCGCCACACCCAAGGAGGAGTATATTGACACCCGCGTCAGCCATTAAAAATTCTTATCTCAGTCGATACTCAGGTAGGTCTTCAAAATGGAGGCAATGGTAAAGTTCAGTATACTTGTATCCTCTTTGTTCTTTTCCTTTGCTGATAATTTCAAGCCCTTTCCGATCTCCATGACGACGCCTTTTGGGGATACCAAGTTTTCGGCCAGTCCGACATACTGCATACCCTGAAAAGATATCCAGATCGGATGTTAGTCTAAAATCTTCTTTGTTGCCTCTCGTCATGGGCCCCTAAGTTATCTGTATCAAATCACATACTTGACTGCCGAGAATCTTCTCGTCCATCCCTCTAGAGTAAACTAGCTGAGCAATCATATTAGCCTATCTCTAGCAAAGCTTCAAAGCGCGATCGGGCCGTCCGACAGTTGAACAATCTCTGCATGACAACAGAGCGTTGCAGATATTACACTCGACATTAGGAAATTTTTCCCTCTTTGAGCGGCAATAAACGATGGGCTTCTTTGCAACGCGCCGTGTCTGTTCCACCTGCAATGCCTTACCTATTTCCCGTAGAGCTCCTGTCACTATAAGTACTGCTTTTTCGATTGTCAGAAATCGCGTACTTTCTGGATAAAGGTTTCGAGAGGCGAACAATTGCCCACTTGACCATCGTCCACCATATTTGTTTTGCCCAAATCACATTCTAAAATGAGCCCTGCCGCTATACCTAAACTTGCGCAAGAGAATGGCATTCCGGCGATTTCTAAGGATACAGATATATCCTCAAAGGCGACGCCACTCGAGCAAATGGGCCATCAGAATGTTGCTCTGCCAAAGATACCTGTATTCGACTCCTTTGAAGCTCAACGCCAGTGGCAGCTTGGACACATGGTTAGGGCATTCCATGTCTTCGCCCGGGAAGGTTATGCAGAGGGCATAAGTGGTCACATCAGCGTTCGGGATCCTGAATTCGAAGACAGATTTTGGATTAACCCTCTCGCGGTGCATTTTGGAATGATGAAAGTGAGCGATTTGATCTGCATTGATACCAAGGGGAATGTTGTTGACGGAAACATGGTAAGATTCCCAGTAGAAATGTATCGAATGAGCCTTTTGCTGATAACAATTAGTCTGTTCCCGCAAATGCAGCGGGGGTTTCTATACACACGGCCTGCCATCTCGCCCGTCCGGATGTCCATGCTATCTGCCATACACATTCGCCCTACGGGCGGGCCTGGTCCGCCTTCGCACGCCCTCTGGAAATGCTCAGCCAGGACGCATGCTATCTTTACAACGCACACTCCATATATGAAAATTTTGGAGGCATTGCCCTGGCAGAAAGAGAGGGGAAACGGATTGCAGCCGCCCTAGGCCCGAAAAACAAAGCATGTATCCTGCAGAACCATGGACTCTTGACCGTTGGTGGTACAGTTGATGAAGCCGCGTACCTTTTCATCTGCATGGAGCGAAGTTGCAAAGGGCAGCTGCTTATTGAGGCAGCCGCTTCTAACGGGATTCCTAAACTGCTTATCAGCCAGGAGGAGGCAGAGTATACATTTCGTATGGCCAGTGACCCCCAAACGCTCTATTGGGAATTTCAGCCGCATCTGAGATACGAAGAGTTTTGTGACGGATATCGTGGAAAGAGAGAAGATAAGACCCGGATATGTAATTCTGAGGCCATGGAAGAAGCAAAGACGAGGGAAAGTTGAGAGGAGGAACCTAGAGAGTTACGCCTAGACCCCAATTCAGTATTAGAGCAGGGCAAACTCGTGGATGTACTTGAAAAAAATGCTCTATGAAATCTCCTACCCTAATAAGAGGGGAATTCAGATAGGAGAATGAGCTCAAACGTGGCTTTAACCCCCTCCTTACTCCAACCCGGATCGCACTGACAATGCAGGTAATTATCCCAAGCGCTACCATTGCCAGGAGGATATCATCGCAGTAGCCCATCCGAACCACTACGTTAGTCTCTTCCCTGGGCAATAACTAGAGGCACAATCAACATATTGACTGGGAAAGAAACTACTTCGTCACCCCCTCTCCAAAAAGCGTGAGCAACGGCGCCAAGTCGGAGAACCGGTTATTGCTGAAATCCGAGCCATCGAATTCGTTGCCTGAGTCTCGAGGGACGAGGAGCTTCGTCGTGGAATGTGAGATGTAACGTAGTCGAGGTTTTGATTGAACAGTAATTTCTTTGGGGCAGGAAGTGTCAACGCCGAGCCTTTATGATTGAGGGACGGCTATGATCCTGAATATAATTGGTTTCACTTGTCGAAGAGAGATTGAAGCAAGAGAGATCTTGAATGGGCCTGCCGGCTGAAGCGGCTCGTTCAGCTCGCCCTTCCTCATACTGTGCAACTATCCCTTTCCGTCCAGTCAACGCGGCACAAACCAGCTTGGTCCTCTAGCCGGATAGCTTTCTCATAGCACCAATAAACTTAGTGCTGACAAGGGGCATACTCCGGAGTTTAGGCCGATCCGCTCACGACTGCCCAACTGCAACGGCGCATTGTCACCAGCTCAAACCACCACTGACTGTCATAGGCTGGATTAGCTAGATAGTACTAATATTCTAATATCCAAATCTCCGCTGAGGCCCCAATCGAAAGCGGTCCTAGGCTATGAGGGGAACTGAACCTTTGACAGGGTGACGTGGCACGCATGATGCATCTGGGGCGACTGATGGATGACCAACGGGAGAATAAAGAAAGAGCCTCATTCGGATAATTGATAAGAACATAATAATGGCATAAAGAGGGCACCAATATAGGTTAACAAATCAGGTCGAATCGTTTCCCAAGGTCCATATACATATATAGGTTGGACTCATGTATGCATCTGGCTGCTATTCCCAAACAGGAAACTGCATGTGATCTTATCGATAACAGATAACTCTTTTTCCTCTCTTGAATCTTCCATCCTCCCTTCCTCTTCTAACCATAACACCTCCAAAATGACCACTCAAAAAAAAGAACACATCGCCCGGGACCTCCTCTCGCGTGCCCACTCCCCCGACACCGCCGACCAGCTCTTCACAGAACGCATCAAGCAAAAGCCCCTGTACCTCCGACCAACCTCGCCCACCCCAGAAGACAACCGCTCCCGACGGCGTCTCCATCGTCTCCGCAAGAAAGAATACTTCCTCCGGAAGCAAAAGCCGCGTCCGCTGTCGGCGCGCGAAAAGCGAGCCTCGGGCCTCTACGACCTCCCCAAGGAAGAATGCAAGTACGCCATCTTCAAAGAACTCCACACGATGTGGGTGGGTTATATGCAGGAAATCCTCGACATGAAGATCCGACCTCCCGCGGAAATTAATGTGTCAGCGTTGTCGCATGGGAGTAAACTGGTCAGCGCTGATTTCCACGGGGCCTGCGTCGAGGTGGTGCGGAGTCGGTGCGCGGGGCGGGTCGGTGTGAAGGGGATTGTGGTTCGGGATACGAAGTTCACCTTCGTGGTCGTTACGGAGAAGGATGAAGTGAAAAGTGAGAACCCTCCTCTGGGACTTGTTGCGATGGTGTGCTGACTTTTGCGCGTTGGGACAGCAATTCCCAAAGAGCAGACCATCTTCCGGTTTTCAGTGCCCTTTCCTGGGACGGAGGCGAGCCAGGATCCCGAGGGAGACGGCAACAAGAAGACTAGGGAGCTCGTTTTTGAACTTCACGGCAGCCAGTTTGAGAATCGCCCGGTCGACCGGGCAAACAAGAAGTTCAAATGGCGGAATGTCGATTACCTCTAGGTCGTTTAAGATAACGAGGATTAATGATCTATCACGACGGTATGAACTAGCGATGTTGTGCATTCGTTTGGCGACACGTCGGCCTACAGAATTCCACATTACGTTCGCATTCTTACTCCAACATCTAAAGCGTCTACGGCGTCTGACGCCGTGCGCACAGCTTGGCAATCGATATTCCCGATATGCCTTGATAGTCGCTTTGAACACGACATTTGCCATGCAAGATCTACCAATACTATAGGGTGTGGCATACTACCCACCGTACGAGTCTTCTATCGACCTGACCGTGAGAATGGAGATGACATATATCACAATTTATTGTACACGTGAAACAATCTTTCCTATCTATGGGTATCTTTACATGGCAGAAACAGCAACCCCAACAAATGGGATCAAAATATTGCGTGTCGTGGGTTTGAACGCACCTCAGCAATCAGTGAGCTGTGACAGACATCTTCGGCTGACCGTGATGCGCTGCCCCATACTAGCCGACCCTGGGCGTCTTGTTAACGCGGTTGGTTGTCGATCGCCCACACGGCGGCGCGCAGGATTGCAAGCAGGATCTGCTAATACAGCACATCCTGGGTGCATGTGCACAGCAAGTGCGGACATTCGGACAGCGCATGCTGCAACATGCAGGTAATGGACGTGCGGTCCACTGTGATTGAAGCAAGATGGATAAGCAGCCAACAGCTTCACCTCACATTCCAGCCCACTCAAGACTGAATGTTCGAACGCAGTCCTGATAGTCCTTATGCTCCTCAGCCTTCCTCTCCGCACCGCCGATGAGGAATCCCTTCTTCACACCGGTACCCAGACGACCACCAGAGATGAGATCCATCAAGTCAAGCTCTTCATCCCATTCCGCAGAGACAACAACGAAGTGAGAATGGAAGCGCAAAGGATCCCCAGGATAGGCAAGATACTGACATCCGAACCGCAATCCCGGAGAGAGAAAGTAGCCAGCGGAATGCAAGTGAGCGAACAGAGGGTACGACGACGGCACCTGGGGCAGCGGCAACAGTTGATCGTCGGATGGCTTGGATGGAAGGGGAGGATGGGACGTGGGAGGTGTAATGCCCATCGCGGCGTCAGATTTAGAAATCGAAGCACCAGTCGAGGATGAAATCGTCGGGCTAGGACTCGCGGCTCGACCATTATCGTCTGCGAAGAGATCCAGCATTGGATTGTCCGCCTTGTCGTCCGCCTCGGACGCTTTCCGGGCATCACTCTTCGCCTTTCCGGCCTTCTTCTGCTGTTCTATCTTCTTTAAGGCTTTCTCTTTCTGCTGCTCTTTTCGGCTAGTCTGCACGCGCATAGCTTGGAGGCCTTGGGATTCTAGGTCATGGAGATACCGCCTGCGGTCGTCTTCCATGAGGGCTTTCATTCCCTGCTTCTGGACTTTTACCTCGTCTACAATGCAAGCTACACCCTTTTCCACCAGCAGCCGGGCTTCCTCGGGCATTAACTCCAGGGGCAGGCCCAGGAAGATGTTTTGTTGGGGGATCTGCGGCAAGGTGCCTATGAGGACGCCGCAGATATGGTGCTCGCGTCTGAGGTACGAGACGGCGTCAATGGAGAAGACATAGTAGTTACCCGCAATGTACGAGATCGGGATAGGAAGGTCAGGTTGGAAGTCCATGTTGAAGGCCAAGAAAAGATGAAGGGTTCACTGCGTCACAGCACGAGTTAGCGTTTGAATCCGCAAGAGATGTGTGACATAATCATGTAGAAGAATTGGACAAGTCATTTTCCAGTACGTTTCTCAATCACAGGTGCTCTTTTTTTTTGAGATATTAAATGAGCTTCAGGGGATTGACAGATTTTGTAGTTATATAATCATTCGAGGTGCGACGGATGAAATGAGATGATCAACAACTTACCATCAAATACAATAAAGCATGATCAGAATTAAACTGCTCGTCCTTTGAGCAGCAGAAGCTGAGATGGAAAAGGAAGTGGAAGAAGAGTCAAAATTCCGTGGGAGAACTTTTTTAAAGAGACGGAGCCGCGCTTTACCTATTATGGACGACCCACTCCAGCTACGGAGAGCAACCACTTGCGCTCCTCACCACAACAACTCTTGAGGTCTAAAGTATTCCTGTTATCATTATTGCAAACGGCACTTCTGCTCTATATTCAATCCCCAGTCATTCTTCCATCATGAACTTCATCTTGCTACTAATCCTGGTCTTCTTTGGCCCGTTACTCTTGCTGTTAGGTACGTCGCCTGTCCAACCCCACATCCGGCCGTAGCTGACCAGATGGACCTGAAGCATGGCTCGCTCTGTCGTCCTGCCTGGGGACGTCGTTCCGCTCTCGCTTCTCGTTCAGATCCGGGATGGATGCTTACGGAAGAGACTACCTCCGCACGATGGCGAACTCGGGCCCCGCGATGTCCGAACAGATCGAGTTGGAGAACATGCTCGCGGAGTCGGACCACGAAGAGTGATGGATGATAGCTAGTGCACTTCTCGCCCGGCACCTAGTCTTTCGTCTTAGAACTCAAGATCGGCCTTTTTCGGCATTCCGCCCGACTGCCCGCCGTCCTGCGCCTCCTTGTCACCTTCCGCCGGCGGCAGACTGAACGGTTTGATTTCGAATTTCCGTCGACTCAGCGTGAACGCCCAGTCTTGGCCGACATTTTGGTCGCTGCCGCCGCCCCGCTCGTGCAAGACGGGCAGTCGGTGTGTCTTTAGCATGCCTTGTGGGGGCTCCTCATGGGCCGTTGCGGCGCCGGATGTTGCGAGCGCGTCGGCGGAATGCGGAAAGGGACACAATTCGATCACGCCGTCGCTGAGAAGCTCCATCCACCGGACCAGCCCCGACGTGCGGGGGAATAGCGAGAGCGGTATTGTGATCATGGCGGTAATGCGTGCGCCGGTCGTGCTGAGAAGAGCCTTGAGGGAATGGAGGAATGGGAGGAGGTTCTCTGGTTGGACCACCTCCGGTGGGTATAATGTGGGATTGAGAAGTGATGGTATCACGATACGGTGGACGGTGTTGGCGGGGCTCTGCGCGATAGCATTCTGGAGGCGCTTGTGGATGGAGACGAGTAAGGGCTCGTTCGAGGGCGTGAGAGGGATGTAGGTGATGTTTGTTATGGACGGATGGGTGAGACGCTTGGTGAGGTCAAACGCATGGCAAAATGAGGGCTGTTTCGCTTGACCTCCGTCCCCCGCACTCGTGCTTTGGTCTCCTGTGTTTGCAGCGGGCACTGTATCTGTGAGCGCTGTCCACTGTTAACAGTTGAGATCGGCTTACCTCTGGATCCTGCGACCCCAGCGCCAAACTCGCCGAGACGCTCATATCGCCAAGCGATCTTCATGCGCTCCCCTTTCCGCTTGTCGGCTTTGTCGTCCGTAGCATCGGCGGGACCTATTAATCCTGGCAGGCTGCGACCCCATTGCTCAGGCATGCCGATGACGTGAATCTTCTGATCCTGTACCACGCCTTCTGCGGCATAATAGCGTAGCAATGCGCCGGCAAAATCCGTCGTACCATTCTCCTCGATCAACAGCATTTTCCCGATGGGAAGTCCTCCATGTCCCGCGAGAAGATTGTCGAGCGACGGCGTGCCGGTCGACGTAGTTGGGCGTCCATCATCGGGGGATGGGCGAATTCCGGGCGTCGATTCTGGCGCGAGTGCAGGAGATTGCGGCTGTGCAGGGTGAGGAACAGATGCGCGATCCGCACCCGTAGACAGACCGATATTCCTTTTGCGAAACGACATTGTGGTGGTAGCAGGAGGAAGCTGTCGTGCGCCCAAATAGTTTTTTGGCGGATGAGCTGCGGGGCAGATGCCGGGCGGAAGCAAAAGCGGCGGCGCGGTAAAAGTCGAGCAAAAAAAGCTTCGGCGGCTTTTGTCCCTTCAACCATCCATCCCCCAACTGCTGGTGCTCTCCGGTCGCTTTCACCACTCGCTCCCAGATTTGGGATTTGACATATTCTCGACACATACATATATCTGCGACGCTTCTTTCTAGACTATTTGATACCCTGCTTATCGTACACCGCGACCATGTCCGACCCCGTCCTGTTCGAAGATACCTTCACGATCACTGCGATCAACGCGCAGAAGTACGATCGCGTCTCTCGTTTGACCTGCACCTCCTCGGATAACTTCACAACTTTCACTCTCGATGTGAACACAGAACTCTACCCCTGTGCCGTGGGCGAGTCCCTGTCCATGGCCATCGCGTCGACTCTGTCTCTGGACGGCAAAGAGGACAGCGGCACCAAGGTCGGCTGGAGAGAAGTCGGCATGGGCGAACAGAGCTTGGCAAACGATTACGATTATGTCTGCCACGGCAAGGTGTATCGATTCGAGGAGGGATCGACTTCGGGCAACATGTAGGTCCCTCTGCTCTGTTGTGCATTCCGTGCTTGCGACAGATTGAACTTGTCGTTAAAAAGGGTAAACCTTTGCTGACCGATATCTCAGGGCGGTGTTCATTTCGTTTGGCGGACTTTTGCTTTACCTCGAAGGCCCCTACAAGAAGACGGCCCCTCTCCGCATCGACTACGTGTATCTTCTCCTGAAGAAATAGAGTCTCTATCGTTTTGTGCATCAGGACGTCTCATGGATATCACCGTCCAAAGTTGATTCCCAGATAGTCTAAAAGTGTGCTTGGTCGGGTTTTACTGGCAGCGTCGGCGTTCTATTGGTGGCTGGGTATATCAGATAGAATATCAAATATCTTTTTCACGTGGTGTCGCTGCGTATCGAAGCGTAGATTGCCTTCTACGCCTTCGCATGAGAGGCGACCGGGAATTCCAAGCGCCGATGCATCTTGGCCAGTATGTCGAGATAATCGGGTTCGTTCTCCGCCGTCAGGATGCCATGCCGGATGAAGAAATCGATCAGGACAACCGCGCAGTTGGGCTTGAACTCGCCGTTGGCAAGCGCCGCCTTGGTCTCCTCAACGGTGTACAGGTGGAACGCCTCGACCTCGGTGTCGTTGGGCTTGGGCGTCACATCAGCGCTCAGCTTGATGTCATACACATACTCGACCTCCGGCTGCAAGAGGTTCGTTTCGCCGCCTGCCCGCGCATCTCGCACGTAGAAGTAGGAGACGTAGCCAACCGGAGTGGTATTGGCTTTGACCACGTCCTCCGGCAGCGACGCCTCCTCCATCGCTTCCCGGACAAGACATTCAAACGGTGGCTCCGTGGTGCTCATACCGCCGGCCACGGAGTTGTCCAGCATGCCGGGGTAGGTCTGCTTCGTTCGCGAGCGCCGGGGCACCCAGATGCGCAGGCCCTGCTCGTCCTCCACGTAGCAGGTGGCATGCACGCCGTAGGACACCACGCCGAACAGCGGGGTGGCGCTGCGTTCCATCTCGAACAGGAATTCTCCGCCCGGCCCGTAGATGGGGTACATCTCGTTGCGCCATCCTTTCAGGACTTCGAAGGTCTCCCGTCGGACGGCCTCGGCGAGCGTATTGGCCATGAGACGAGTTCGATCTTGGGGGGTCGTGTTCGGGGGAGTCACGAGCGTCACGGTCTGGTTCGCCGAGTCGATGGCCCAGCAGTCCGGGGGCCAGAAGAACTTGTCGACTACCGAGTTGACGATGTAGCCTAGGACGGCATCGCATCCGGTGACTTTGAAGGCATGGTAGTTTCGGAGGTGGGCTGTATAGTATGCTGGGTCGTCTTGATAGTACGGAAATCTAGGAAGATAAGGTGTTAGATGCGGCGTTTCGTTTGGGTTGGAGGGGTGCAATCACTTGTCGCATTCATTGACCAGCTCGAGATTCGATTTGCCCATTTTGCAGAACGTCTATGCTGTGTGCGTTGGGTATGACTGGGAGCGAAGCGGCAGATGATATCCCTGCGGAGGGGAAATATATATATTTTCCTGATCGGGTTAGCGGAATATACTCATGCCTGAGGCAGAATCAGAAAACCTACCACATTGGAATGAGAGGTCCAAAAACTGGTAGGTTGATAATTCCACCTTGTGACGGTGAATATCAAGAGTTTTGATAATGAGGTGTGAATGATGAAGCTATACAGATGCGCGCAAAACCCGAATTCACTGTACAAATCCGAACCTTACCACAGATGTGAGGGCCCTCAGGAATGTGGTAGGTTTTATCCCTGCTGCCTGAGGCCAGCAAGCCCTTATCGATAAGGGTACTGCACTATTTCGTCACTGCGGGCTTTCTTTGAGATTCCATCATCGATCCCGGCCGGGGAAATTCTCCAGAGCTCCTTTACATCTTCACAAGCTCCAATCTCCTTGATAATGCACATCAATTGCCGCCTGCGTCTATAGTACGGCACATATCCACCTCATCTTTCTCATATTCCCTTCCAATTCGATACCCCGGCGTACTCCATTCTCTTCCAGCATGTTCTCCGTCATCATCCCCGGCAGGCCCTGCCTAACAGACATCGTCGCCCTGGACGCCCAACCCAACGGCCAGGCCACCAAATTCGCTTTCAACTTCCCCATTACTCCCTCCTTCACCGAGATCGTCGTATTCTTCCTCCCGGGGACCGTCCTCCCCCAGGACACCGCCGCCGCCATCTACATCCAATTCCCCGGCGCCGAGTTCCGCTTCATCGGCGCGCTCGCCAACGAGCAGCCTTCCGCCGTGCTGAAGGTCCGGCCGCCCCCGCGTCGCACGGAAGCCGAGGAGGAGGACGTCATGCTCGACGAGGGTGCGGCCGGGAACGCGACGTTGGGTATTTCCATCGAGCCGGTGCAGAACGTTGCGCCGCAGCTGGCGGCTCTGGAGGCGGAGAAAGGCGCCGGCGCCGGGCCGTCTACAGATCTGGTGCGACAGACTCGGCAGCAGAAGGAGATTACGACAAAGGTGCTGGCGCAGCGCATCATTGGGAATGCGTTTAACTTTTTGGCGAGTTTTGCAGAGTCGGATCCGAACAATAAGGGGCAGGAAGTTGTGTCGCTGAAGGCGTTCCGGGACTGGTGGTCGAAGTTTGAGCGCAAGGTCGATATGGATCCGACGTTTTTGGAGCGAGAGGACCCGTCTGCTTCAGGGTGATTCTTTGCGGGTGCGGGGGATCCTGATAGATCGGGTGGAAGAGGGCCTTCTCTTGGTTGGATGTTTACAGTGAAGGCAGATGACTGCGGATGTCTGCTGTGCATTGAACTGATATTCTGATGTGGTGACGAATTTCATAGGCTATGGTGCTTGGCGCTTTCTTTGGCGGATGCAGTGCGCTTTTGATAGAGAATTCACTCTATTCTGTTGCATTGGACCGTGTACCTACGATATGCAGGAGATAACCAATTTCAACATAGTGCCTGACATGTGTAACTTCCATGGAATCTATAGTAGTCTATATTCCGTGCAATCTATGGTCTACTCGAGCAAGAACTTCAAAAAGGCCGCACCTATCGCGACGCCGTCGTGCTCCCATTTTGCTCGTTCCAGGGCGTCTTCGCCCTGTTCCTTCGTAAAGACCCCGGTCTGCGTCCGCAGCTTCACAATTTCGGTAATGATTTCCTCGTTGAATTCGGGGTGTCCTTGAACAGTCATGAACTTGCCCGGTCGATACATGCCCTGCACCGCACAGCGGGGAGACGAACCCAGAGGGACGACATTGGCGGGGTACTCGTACACGATATCCTGATGCATTTGTTGGATTCTCTGATGTATTGTTAGCACTGAGGCAGACGAGCAAGAGCCAGCCGCTTACCAGTTTATCCTTGCCGAACAATTTCTTCCCCGGCTCGGAGAGATCCATATCGCATACGGCAATCTCCCATCCGACATCGCTGCGGCCGACCTTCACCCCCAGCGCACGGCCGATGATCTGGTGTCCGAAGCAGATCCCCAGAATCTTCACCCGGTTGTCATCAATGGCTTTTTTGGTGTACTCGACTAGTTTGGTGATCCACGGGTGGTCATCGAAGGAATTGTGTTCTGCGCATGGTCAGACCTCGCATGCGACGCCACCAGACTATGACTCACTCGATCCGGTAAGGAGAAGGACATCGATGTCCTCCAGATTCGGGTATTCCTGTTTGCTCACAACATCCCAGCCGGAGATGACGAGGCCGCTTGTAGGGTCGAGTCTATCGGGTTGACCAAGGGCCTGGGCACTTGCATGCAGGAGAGCGGCAAAGACACCACGATATCCCTTGTACTTTTGATCGACTTTCTCGACGGGAGTGTCGCATTCGAGAACGGCGATCCGAAGAGGGGGGCGCATGGTGCGATTGAGATGCGGTATGAAAAGTGTAATAGTGCGTGAGGGATGTGTCTTCTTCGATATATATTGAAGGAGTGGTAGAGAAATGAAGCAGGGCTTATCGTGGTTATCAGCCGCCACCGCCTTTCATCTTCGGAATTCCATGCGGGGTATCCAGGAGTATTTCCGTGGATCAAATTCTTCAAGGAGTAAGATAGACTGGCGAGTCAATGTTTAGTAGTACGGAGTGTTCCTGTCGCAAGGTGTCCATATACGAAGTAAGGATACCCCTGGACGGTTTCGACTGCCACACCGCATCACTACGAACAAGTACAACTGAGATCGGCTCCCGGCAAAGAATCTCGGCCATCACCCCCGCTATTGATATGCATAGTATGCAGATGGTCCGATGACTCGACCAGAAGAGGGGAGACTGTCCTTCGCACCAAGTGGATCCTGTGATATTAGGACCCGGGGTTTCTGGTGGGATGTGAACGAAGCAGAGTCAAGACTCGTGGTCCAACGATATATTCAGATAGAAATACTCACAGAGAAGGGAAGATGTAGATGTATAGAACCAGGGAGAAGTGCATTGAAAAGGTTGAGGGGAATCCTGGTCAGTCATAGCAGGTGCATTAGTTAGTGTCTCCCTTATCAGTTAGGGCCTTCCTCCTACGGAGTATAAAATCTTCTCCGCTTCTGTCATCTCCATTTTTGCATCTTCTTCACATCTTCCATAGACAAAAGTTTCTACGCCCTCACCCTTTTTAATAAATACCCTCTCAAGTTAGATCTTTACTCTCTCTCAGCAACATCGCAATATCCATCTCTATACAATAGAGGTGATGCATGGTCGAGTACAGGCTCCCCATGTGGACGAGTCCACCCCGCTGCTCAACCCCAGCGCAGTAGACCCCGAACCGCTGTCGAGCTCGTCGTCAATCGTGGACGAAGATGCCGCCCTTCTCAATCTCTCTCGTGTCAGCTCGATTCCCCAGGGCCTGGAAGTCGACTCGGGCGTAGGGCGGACTCCTTGCGCGACTGAAGACCAGACAAAAACCCTCGCCGACCTGGAAGGAAAATCTGACCCTTACGCCTCTCGCTTTATCAATGTCTCTCCCTTCCGATTTTGGGTGATTTTCAGCGGCGTCTTGCTGGGATATATGATCGGCTTCTTTGACTCGACATTGATGGCCTCCACCCACCCCGTCATCACATCCCACTTCCACGCCTCCAACTCAGCCTCATGGCTATCCACCGCTTTCCTCTTGACCTCCACCGCCTTTCTCCCCCTATTTGGCCGGATTTCCGACACCTTCGGTCGGAGGCCGGTGTATTTGTTCTCGATCGCCGTGTTTTTCGCGACCACCGCATGGTGCGCAACCGCGCAGAGCATCGGAAGCTTCATCGCCGCCAGAGCCTGTTGTGGGCTGGGCGCCGGGGGCGTCTTTTCCATGGGCATGATTCTGACCAGCGACCTCGTTCGCATCGAGTATCGAGGCATCTACCAGTCGTATCTTAACCTGGTCCTGGGGACCGGGGGTTGCATGGGCCTCGCGTTTGGTGGCATCCTGTGCGACACGGTGGGATGGAGAGGTGCGTTCTTCGTACAACTACCATTTATCTTCCTGTACTTCCTCGTCGCCGCCTGGACCACCCCCACCGACCTGGGATTAACGAAAGCGCGCGCCGAGCGGATGACCATTCTTCAGTTAGTGAAAAGCATCGACCTGATCGGGTCTTTCCTCCTCGTCCTCGGCGTGACCGCCCTGATCATGGGTCTGAACCTGGGCGGAAACGTGTATCGCTGGACGCACCCTGTCGTCATCTCCTCCCTGGTACTGTCTCTCATCGTCGCCGTGATCTTTGTCCGGTACGAGCGCAATGTAGAGCGGGCCGTCATGCCGATCTCCCTGCTGTCCAAGGATCCTCGAGCCAGCCTGATCTTTGGGAATTTCTTCGGCGCGATCTCGGTCAATGCCATTATTTTTAATGCTCCCTTGTATTTCCAGGCCGTCAAATTGGCTAGTCCGACTGACTCTGGTTTCAGACTGATTGGGGCGACCCTCGCCTCGACCATCTCCAGCGTGTCGACAGGGTTTCTAATCACCTGGTCCCGGCGGTTAAAACCGACCGTGATAATCGGGGATATTTTCCTCCTCATTGGAGGCTTGACCGCTGCCTCAATGAATGTGAGCACCCCTGATCTCCTTGCCATGGCCTGCGTGTCTCTCTCAAGTCTCGGCCAGGGATTTTCGAATCCGTCCTTGATGGTAGCCGTCCTGGCCACCAGTGAACAGGATGAACAAGCCGTCGCGACGACTACCCTGGGACTATGGAGGAACCTGGGGTCGGTGATGGGCGTGGCTACGAGCAGCTGGGCGTTTCAGAACACCCTGCGGTACAACCTGGAGGAGATGGTGACCGGTCCTAACAAGGAGACGGTGATTCTCCTGGTGCGAAAGTCGGTCCAGGCCATCGCAAATTTGGATCCTATGCACCAGCAGCAAGGTGATTCTCCAATGACACGTCCCTCGATACTTACTGCCGTTCTAGTTGTGGCTAACAGTGTATCTGCAGTGATTGGAGCGTATGCCGCCGCTCTTCGCGTCACCTTCCTGTCTGCAGCTGTCTGGGCTGCCTTCATGTGTCTGATGCATTTCAGACTCCGACTGCCCCGACTTGGGAGTAAGGCTTGAGTTGAGTATATATGACAGGTAATGTCCTTTCACGCCTTTCTGTAAGCCCTCTAGGTACAAATTGAGAAGGACAAAAAAGGATGGAAACGATAAAAGCAGACGATGTTCGATTGATTATGGAGGTAATGATAGCGAGATTTGTATCATTTCATGCGTTAATGGATATGACTAGAAGGGAGCCATCTTTCTCTCTATCCCAAGTGTTCTATTGTTTGGGAGGCCTTTCGTAAGCCCCTTGCAGTTTGCAGTTTAGCGGCCGCATCGCCGTCTCCCCGCAGATCTCACCGGCTGCATTATCTCATTTTCCTTCCTTGTGAACCCGCTTCCCTTCGTGCAGACCGTCTTAACTAAGTCTACAGGGTTATCAGTATGTCCTCGCAATTCAATTCCTGGTCTCTTTGCATATTCTTTCCTATTATTCGCACCAAGCTGCCCATATACTGACTGTCGCTCCAACAGGCACAGACCAGACCGCCAACACCGATTCCCTTCAATGGCCCGACTCTACGCCCCCATCTTCGGTTTCTCATATGTCGCATCGCCTGGTCGTTACTATTCATCTCGTCCTTCGTCCCCTCCCTCCCTCGCGGTATAGAAACCCGGTGTGATCTGTTGGAACGTCCAGCGCAGCAGGCCTCTCGACTTGCCACGATGCGCTGGGATCATCGGTTGTGTGGTTGACAAGAGGCTACGTGATAACTGGTGTGTCGGACAAAGGCGATCAGTGACTCGACACTCGAGTCGAGGTGGCACAGGATCGTCTGATATGGCACCTGCCGTCAATGCCCAGCTCCCGCCATCCGGCTCTGAGCTATCTATAGCTCCCACACCCAACACCGATGGAGCCGGCACCGACATTGACAGTGCGGTGCCAGTGGAAACGCCTCAAGATGGTGGCTCGCTCGACGAAGGGGGTGTGCCCACACCCAACAGCGTCTCGCTGAGCACTCCCCGCGTTCTGGGGAGCGACACGAACCAGCCGGATGAAGTCGCGACCAAAAAGTCCAGGCGTGTTCGGACCGGATGTCTGACGTGTCGGGAGCGTCATCTCAAGTGTGATGAGGCGCAGAATCGGTGTCAGAATTGTCGGAAATCAGGTCGGATATGTCGACGCGGCGTCCGGCTTAATTTCATCGACACACAGGTCTCGGCGCCGCCTCATTATATCGTCCCACCGGCCGGAAACCGCGTCACATTCCGCGATGAATCGAGGCATATTGCGTCGGAGTATGTTGGGGGCGATGAGAGATATCCTCCTCCGGAGGCAGAGGTGAGCCCGGAGAGGGAAGATTGGGGCAGTTTTCCCATGTATCCTGCGTATAATATGCCGATGGTGCCTTCTTACATTCCAGAGTTTGGTACTGCGTTGTCTGGCCATACGATGGCTGGGTTTGATGACAATCATCAGCCTGTGGCGCTTCGCCCTCAACGTCAAAGCGCTTCCAGCGTTCCTTTCCACTCCGCAACGCAAGGAAGAGCCGGCTTCGATAAGTATGCGTGTCTGAATGATCCGGAAGAGATACTGCTGTTGCAGGTCTTTGTGGAGGAGGTGGGGCTCTGGATGGACTCGATGGATGAGGCGAAACATGTAAGTCATAGTCGTTCCGCAAGGATATTGCTGCGCTGACTAGCCAGTTCACCCATATTCTGCCGTATCATGCGCTAGAGGAACCGATGCTGCTCAGAGCCTTGATGGCTTGCGGTGCACGTCATATATACCTTGTGAACCCTTCATACGGCGAGGAAAAGGCTGCGTTCTTCCACGATACAGCCTCGGGTGATCTACTTCGCTTGCTGCAAAATCCGAACCGAGACTCTGCTCTGTGTGCAACGACAGCTGTCATTCTTAACGTCTACGAACTGATGTGCTCAAGATCTACATTGTCTGCTCAAGGTCTGAACCACATTGCTGGTGCAAGAGCTCTGATCAAGGAATGCCAGTGGGACGCCCGGACGCAAGGACTTGGTGGCGCATGTTTTTGGCTGAATGTCGCCATGGAACTGCTCAGCTGTTTGCATTTCAACTGGACACTTGCCTGGGACCCTGACACGTGGGGCGTCCAGATAGACTTGGACCATATGCAGTCGAATGTTGCTGGCAATGAAGAAATGTGGACTCACTGGATGGTCTATATCTGTGCGAAGGTTGCAAACTTTCGCTCTTCGATGTCCCACTTTCTGGATACCAACCAAACACCAGACGATAGAGTCCAGATGGACCAACGATACCAGGAGTGGTGCAGGTACAGCGAATGGTGTGAGCGATGGGAGAATGCGGCGCCTCGCTCTCTGAAGCCACTGGGGTATCTCCACAATTGGCAGACCCACTCGAAGACCGTCTTTCCCAATATATGGTGCGCTCTAGAGCTTGTCTTTGATCCGGAATGCGTTGACTGACATCATCTTAGGCTGACGAAACGGTCTTCGATCGTAGCCCGTTTGTTCTACCACACCACCCAGATTCTGCTCACCAAAACACATCCGTTCGAATCAGAATTCAGCTCTGAGATGCAGAGTCAACAGCAACGACATGCGCATGATATCTGCGGTATTGTAGCGCATGTGAAGGACCGCGGCATCGCCAGTTTTTCCATCCGCTTTCTGGCCCTTGCGGCGGAGTGTCTCGCAACCAGGGAAGCGCAGGAGGAGATTTTGCACATTCTCGACGACATTATGAAACGGACTGGGTGGCGAGCAGAGCATATAAAGGATGAGCTTCAGGCGGCGTGGGGATGGACGACTGCCCCCAAAGAGCCTTCTGTGGATACTACGGACGACGCTTTTGGGTTACTCAGGGATCTTTCGTCCCTTGATTCGGGTGCTATTCCGGAGTCACTGAGAATGCCACCCGGTGTGGTGAATCCGATCATGGTGTTTGCCGATTTTTCGATGGACAATCACCCCTACCAGGAGTATTATGTCGCACCGCATCGTGGGGGGAACCACTACCAGGGCGGGAGTTTTTGACTTGAGTACGGATCGGCGTTATGAATGGTTGGGAGGCGTTTGGAAGATACCATGGATAGATTTGTTTGCAGCAGATATGTTTTCTTTTGTGCTTTCCATGTCATTCTACCAGACAATATGTCGAAGAGTATAGTACTTCGTGCTGTCAACGGATCTGATAATGCCCCGCCATACTCCGTAGACTCCAGGCAACGGCACCCTGGGAGCGCTGTAGGACTAGCTTATCATATTCCTCGTACATGGGACGGATAAAGTGAATGGGAAATTTATCATAGCTCAACATGGGTCTCTTGCGGTTTATGAGCAGCACCCCCACAAACCTAGGACCAAAAAACCAAACGCAGTCTTGCATCTAAGACACACCCGGATGAGTCCTAATAAGCGTGATATGTAGTTTTGCAAGAGATGGAATAGACATACATCATAAGGATGTCGACGAAATACATGCCGTAGTAAGGATGACCTGTCAAAGACAAGTTCCTTTCCGTATCTGAAAGAGACTTGTTAAAGAGTTGGCCCTGTCCTGCTCGGATATCTGACTTTGAGATAGGGTTGATGCTGAGTGGAATGACGATGGCGATATATAGGAGCATGTTGAAGAATAGAACGATGAATGTTACGGCTTGTCTTGCTTCTCCATCACTTGTACTAATGCAGCACACAGAAGACGCGATAACAAGACTAAGAGAAGACTAAACTAAGATTGTTACTTGGGCTTCGTTAATGCCAACGCACCGGAATGAACATGCAGACATACCGCGACTAGGTGAGCTATTCCAATGGCGCTATGAGTATTTCGCGCGACAGCCGAGGCTGCAAGTCCAACACCGATCGCCGAGAGAACCCAGGTCATATATATCATGCCTGCGGCGGCAGCAGTGGGAACAGGCACGCTCTTGGCCATTATGGTACTTCTGAAATAATATCGGGCTCACGAACACTGTATGGTTGATGGATTCTCCGCGTGCTGTGATGACAATAAATACTTCAGCTGCGGCGTCTCTGAAGAGAAGAACGATAGCTCAGCTAGCCAGCAGTAAAGTAACACGTCACGGCTGCAGGTAGTAAGATTGCTCTCCTCCTGCAGTCAGACGCCTCATCGAACCCAAGCCTTATTTCGTTCTGTTTTCCTTTGTGGTAGGAATGGCTGAGGTTGGCTGATAGTTGCTACCTGCAGTCATAATTGGCTCACGGCTTAGGGATAGTATTACTATAGAGCAGATGGTTGGTTCGGCTTATTGCCCAACTGTTGGAGATGAGACAGGAGGTATTCCACAGCGTGGCTTAGAGTGATGATTGTTTCCCATGGTGTATTGAGCGGTGGGAAAGAAGGCAGCAGATAAAGAAGTAGGATTTCGTAAACAGCAATGTCAAAGATAATATTGTGTTTGGACAAGGGTAGTTAGACATCGTGCACGAAGGTATATAGATAGTTGGTTCGGATAACAGATTAGAACCTTATGCATTATCATCAAGTACAGAGTCTTATATTGTCTTAGGTTTTGTTTAATTTCCCATGCGATATGGAAATGGCTGAGATAATCCAGGTTACAACGTGCCATTTTGTATAAAAAGTATGGAAATACAACAAAATTCGTGGTTCGGTAGTTGAAAACGTTACTATATCCTGCTCTCTAAATGCTAAGCGAGTCTACCGTATTATGAAATGCCAAGGCTGCCGTCTAAACTTCTGCCGCCGATTGACATCCGCCACAACAACTTCATCTACCGACAGATAGACGTTTCTTCACAACATCCAAAGACACGCCTGGTGATCATTCCCACGTATTGATGGCAAATGAGTGAATCAACACCTCAGCATCACCCCCCAGCAACTCCCATCTACATACTCCGCGGCCACGCATCCCCCATCCATGGCCTGCACATCTTCCACCAGAACCTCCGCCTGATCTCCGGCGACGCCGATGGCTGGGTCGTCGTGTGGGATCTAGTATCGAAGCGGCCGGTCGCGTCGTGGAAGGCCCACGATGGGGCTCTTCTCGAAGTGAAGGGTTTCAGCCCGGACGCGGCGACGACAGAAGTATACACGTGCGTTCTCTATCCCGATCCTTATCCGTAAACCAAACCATCTAACGATCACCAGACACGGAAGAGACCACAAGCTGCGCATGTGGCGGTTCCGCGCGCACGACGAACAGACCCTTGACAAGCGCCTCCCGGTGGATGTCGCCGGCCAGACGCAATCGCCGTCCACGGCCCCAAGCCAGCCGTGGCTGGTGCACTCGCTCCCCGTCAACGCGCTGAACTTCTGCGCCTTTGCGATGGTTTCCATCGCGGCGGACACCGAGTCTTCAACGCCACCAGCCACCCTCATCGCAGTCCCAAACGCACTCAATTCCGGTGCAATCGACCTCTTCCATCTCCCCAGCGAACGCCGCGTCTGCACCATCCCCGCCGACACCGCCGTCCAAACCGGCATGGTGATGGCGGTGCAGCTTGTCCTGGCCCCCGCGGGGGAACTCTCCGTTGCAGCCGCGTACGAGGACGGCCATGTCGCCGTGTTTAGCTGCCACGGGGCGCTGCGCGAGAAGGACTTTTCGCGCGGTAGTACGACCGTCTGGGAGTGGGTGAAGCTCTACTTCTGTCGGCCGCATACGCAGCCTGTTCTGTCGATTGATGTGGTTCCCGCCGGGGGTGAGTTTATCTCGTCCGCGGCGGATGCGCTGCTGGTTAAGCATCCTATTCCTCCATTGGGGTCTACGGTGCAGAGTGCGCCGCTCAAGCAGGTGGATACGAAGCATTCCGGCCAGCAGGGGCTGCGGGTGCGGTCTGATGGGAGGGTCTTTTCGACGGCGGGGTGGGATGCACGGGTGCGGGTCTATGCGGTGAAGACGCTGAGGGAGCTTGCGGTCCTGAAGTGGCATAAGGAGGGGTGCTATGCGGTTGCGTTTGGGGCGGTGGATTCTGCGTCTGCTTCTGATGCGGATGCTGCGTCGGGCACGGCTGCGGGCGAGGAGTTCTCCCTCGCTACGGTGCAGAAACAGCGCAACTACAAAGTGCAAAACACGCACTGGCTGGCGGCGGGGTCCAAAGACGGAAAGATCTCATTATGGGATATCTACTGAGGATGCTATTTACAAATTCTCGCGCCGCGCTACGCGAGATTGAACTCGCTGGCGCCCGCCATGTGCTCCTTCATCTTGGCGCGCATCTTCTGCGCCGCGCTCGCGGTGTCGGCGGCAGCCGGGATGTCATCGTCGTCGCGGCCGCCGGGGGTCTTCCGCTTCTTGCCCGCGGCCGGGGCCCGCGCGGCCTTGTAGTCTTTCTTGGTGTCGTCCTTTCCTTGGCGCAGGCCGGGCACGTTGATCTTGCTGGGGCGGTCGCGCAGGGCGAACGCCTTGGCGAGATGGCCGAGGTGGAGCTCCTTGATGTTGAACATGCTGCGCTCGCTGGCGACGTGCGTGGCGTAGGCGCGGATGTGCGACTGGTACGCGCGACGCGCCATCTCCAGGGACTCGGGCTTCTCGAGCGCCCAGCGTTCCAGGTCCATCTGCCAGTCCGTCGCCTTTTCCTCCCAGTCCTTGTTCTCGGACTCGACATTGCCGCCGAAGCCGCGCTTGAGGATGTCGTCCGCGTTGGTGCGGGTCAGCGCCTTGCCACCGTCGCGGTAGCCGCGCTTGAGAATCTCGACGTAGCCTTCTTCGCAGCCGGGCTGGAGGAAGATCAGCGCGCGGCCGTCGCGGCCCAGACGCGCCGTACGTCCGATACGGTGCAGGTGGTCTTCGGCGCTGAAGGCCGGGTCGTACTCGATGACGAGGTCGACGTTGGGCAGGTCCAGACCGCGCGAAGCCACGTCGGTGCAGACCAGCACGGAGGCGTCTTTGTTGCGCGCAAAGGAGGCAAGGGTGGAGGTGCGGACGTGTTGGGGGAGAGAGCCGTGGAGTCGGTGCAGGGTGACTGGGTTCGAGGGGTTGGAAAATGCTGTGGCGCGCGCGATGGTGTTGTGGGTGAACGCTGCGGGCTTCTCTTTGGTGTCGCTTGCGTCACTGTCCTCCGCGTTCTCGTCGGAGTCTTGTAGTTTCCTAGTAAATACTTCGAAATGGAAGTCGACAGAATCGGCGCATGAGACAAACACGATGGCCTTCATCACAGACCCCTTTCGCATGAAGGTTCGCTTCAGGAAAGCAGTCAGCGTAACGAGTCGCAGTTTGGCTGCAACGATGGCGTAGGATTGCTTCAACTGAGCCGGCACGGTGAACGCGGACTCGTCGTCGTTCTTCGGCTTCGCGTCGCCGTCTTCATCCGCCGGGTCGGCCTTGATATGGATCGCATCCTTCAAACTCATCTCGCCCAGTTTCTGCACGTTCATCTTGAGCGTGGCCGAACACAGAATGGTTGTCCGTTTCGTAGGCACCCCGGGGATGCGACTGGGCCGTTGTCTGGCGTCCAGCTTCTTGATGATCCCCTGCAGCTCCTGCTCGAACCCCAGCTCCATCAAGCGATCCCCTTCATCGAGCACCAACCACCGCACGTTGCTCACATCCAGCGCCTGCGTGTTTTCGAGGTGATCAGCCAGTCGACCGGGCGTGGCAACAAGAATATTCAAGCCCTTCCGCAGCCGCGCCTTCTCCGACTTCTTCTTCTCACCACCAATGACCGTCCCCGCCACGATCCAGTGCGCACATCGCAGCAGTCCCTCCAGCACGACGGAGATCTGCTTGCACAACTCTCTAGTCGGCGCGAGCACAATGGCAAACAGCCCACTATCGCGGTGGACGACCGGCTGGCCCTCGGCGTCTGTCGTGCTCGTGGCGTCCGTACGATTCGTAGGGTGCGAGAGGGCCATGATGCGCTGGACGAGCGGGAGCAGATACGCCAGCGTCTTTCCGGAACCCGTCTCAGCCTGGATGAACGCATCGCTCTCCTCCTTGAGCAACTGCGAGATGGACGCCTTCTGAATCGCCGTCGGCGCCTTCAGCTCGAGCTTCGTGAGCAGATGCGCCGCGAGCGTCGGCGACAGCCCCAGGTTGGTGAAGGTGTCGAGGCCGTCGATGAGAGGTGCGTTCGTCGGTTTCGCATCTTCGGCCGGGGCCTCGTCGGTGGGTTCCTCTGCGTTCCGTGGGAGCGGGTTCTTCGAGAACAGCGACGAGATGAACTGCCGTGGGTGCTGGTGCTGGTGCTGAGACTGCCCGGCGCGATCGTGGTCGCGGAGGCCCGCATCGTGGTCGTCGTCCGTCCGCTGTCGCTTCGCTGGCCGCGTGCCTGACACCTGGATCCGGTTGGGATTTTTCACGGGTCGCGGGGCGGCGGTGCCGTCGCTGGGTTTTCGGGGCTGGGCGCGGTGTTGGGCGATTTTCTTTGCGCTCAGTCGGTCGCGCCAGGTGCCGCCTTTCAGCTTCGGCTCGGACTTCTTGACGACATCGTCGCTGAAGGTAAAATTTAAGAGCATTCCATCGTCCGCCATTTTGATTGATTGGGACTGGGAAGTTGGGGTTGCGATGGATGCTTTTCGTCTGGCGTCAGTTGCTGTACTGTAGTCCGTAGAAGGAAATTTTCTCGGGCCGACCAGCTTCCGAGCCCTGAGGATTTGCCCTACTTTCCTGTTTGGTCATCTCCCGACGACAATGGAAGTACTACTCCGTATTATGTATGTTATGCATGTATCTATTATACATACTTGATTTTCTAGGACGACCGTAGACTTCCTCTTCACGATACCGCCGCTTTAGTGAAGGCGCTAAGAGGTCTGCTTAGCGAGTATTTCACTGTACGGATGACCTCTCACGTAGAACTTAGCCCTTGCTCTTGAGCTATCACGTGTACTCACTGAGCCGCTAACCCCCATCTATTTTACGCGGGTAGTTCAACCACTACTTTCAACCATATTTCTAAAAGTCCGCTTAAATACCCCCTCAACATGACGACGACAGGATTCAGCTTGCCCCTATCAGTAAAGTTAAGTAGAACAAAATTTAAGGGCATTAACAACAAATCTTAAGGGCAGGCCCAGAGGAGAATATAAAGGCATAGCACTTTTTTGAGCATTTTGCCTGGCATGCAACCTAAACATCCTTCCAAATCTACATGCTATTTTTCCTTATTATAAAGACAAATCTTTCTTACTTCTATATACTCCCCTCTCCGAGTCGTAGGCCAGCAATAAGAAAAAGGGCCTTTTTCCAGAACACTGAAAACTTACACAAACATCTTAAGTGTTACGCAGCAAATAGCTATATTCCAAGAAATTATATCGAAGACGCCGTGCGGAAAAGGCATAATTATACCAATAAAGTCAAACAACTACACGAGCAATATATAAAACTCTATAAAATGTATGTTATCCCAGACAATATCTTCTAAAACATGCTAAACTTGTATATTAGATTTCTAGTACACTATAGCCATAAGCAGGGATGCACGCGGTGCGGGTTGGGTACAACCCGCAGGGTTAGAATTCAAACCGCGCAGGTTTGCGGGCTTTAGAAAGATAGCCTAGACCCTCACCGCAAATATATATATTTCCTATAACCCGACCTACTCCAGTCTAGTCGTCACCTCACTGATCTTCACATTGAAAGAGCCGATTGTTTCAGAAGGTACCACGATACGGCCTGGTGGATCAATTATATCGTATATGTCGTTACAGTAGTCGTCTCTATAGAGAAAGACATGTTCATCAGAGGCAAGCTGTGAGATATAGACAATGTTCCCACTTTGGAAATTAGCCCGGGTGCAGGGCTGTGCTCCCTGGCCTATCCAGATATCGGATGGTGCATTGATTCTCCACGCAGATGTGGCTCACACACAGGGAAAATGTGATAGCATTTGCGGCTTTGATGCCCTTCATTTCGTGAATTGGGATGGACTAGGTCTACTGACAATTAGATCCAGAAGTGTAAGAGGTGGATTGCTAATTTTCGTTCTATAAGCTCTAGTATACTGCGTGCAGTGTGTTAACTTACTGTTCAAGTAACTTGATCAATTAATAGATGAAGTGGATGGACAGGAAGAAAGCCTTGAGCTGAACAAGGTTGGGTATGTATAGATACTGTTGTCTATAGTATGATCTGCAAAAATCCTGCGAGCGGAATGTATTAATTATATAGAAATATGATGCAACAATGTCCGCTGCAAGGGAACTGGTATTTGCCAGTTGCGGTACAAACAGCAGATAGATAATATGCTACTCTGAACAGAGTGTTTCTCATAAGAATGGGGCCAGGTATTCTACGGCCTGCAGTAGAATATTAGAATGCTTGTGCAACTATTGTAACTTCCCCTTGCTAAGTGGAATGTATAGTCTGCTCTTCTAAAGACGCAGATGGGTAGGTGACCCTAACAAAATTGCCACTGGGGTTTGTAGTAGCTATCAGAGGTGCTAGAAGCAGGGATGGAATATACTCGAAACTCCCGCGCAACCTTTAACTATTTGGTAATTATATACTTTCTTGATTGGACTAGGTATCTGCAACTGCATTTATAAAACCGAAGGATTATATAAATGGTGTCTCCCTTTGTCAGTCTCGGTACCTAAGTTATCTTCTAATTGAAGAAGGGGCAGCAGCTCCGTGCAACCAAAGACCGCGGCCATCCGATAGTTGCACAGCAGCAATAGTTGACCGAAATATTCCGGAATGCTTTGGGTCTGCCTATTCAGTGTTGATTTTTCCATACAACCTTATTAGCCTGTAAGGCTCCATCGCAAACCGCAACTATTAAAGGCAGGATCATTATGGCTCGGCATGTATCACTGCATGAAACTATCTGAAAGAGATTCTGCCTGGACCATCGGCATTGGCAGCCATACAGCATGCACCATCAGGGTTCTATTTAGGAAAACCACAAAGCTCGGCCTACTTATGCCTCCGGGTTGCATGCCTTGACTTTTTCAAACTCATCCCCACATACCGTGCCCTTCTTAACCACCTATTTGGCTTCCCATGGTACTGCCCACATGAGCTCTCAAAGAGGAGGGCACGCCTGATTGTTTGAGTAGTCCATCTGTCGAGTAGTCTCTGTCCTGGACGTCCTGCGTCACGCATTGGTATAGATACTGTTCCAATGGAACCTAACACCAAGACACATGGTATATAACATTAGTTCACCTAGTTCCGAAGTTCTGGCCTCTGTGGCTGCTCAAAGGCTAGATTGCCGATATATCTGATACCATAGTATATAGTTGGCCATATGTGGCAAATTATCTTATTCAGTTTGTCTTGGACTGCTCTAACAAGTATGGCTTCATCTGTCAGATCATGTAAGTAGGAGTGCATTCAGCACGCTACCATGCACATTCGCAATTGGCATTCCTAGTTAGCAACTTGAAGGCTACATGATGCTATATGTCACACCGAATTTATTCTGCGCATTCAGATGACGTCCTAGATGCTATGTAGGAACACTTCCTACACGGGGACCTAGAGCCGTTCGGCTTGACCACTCGCCTGTACATGTATGATGAAATAATCTGTAAAACTATCATCAGCTATTAAATATGTACTAAAGCTGCTGCACTCTGATCAGTGCTTCACGAGAACACGAAGTGGATGCACAGTAGAGCGACGTATTGACGGGAGGAGCGGAATCAAAGTCCATCACTGGACAGATTCGGACGGCAAATCATTTCGTTTTAATGTCCCCGGATTCAGAAAGGGATAGAATGCTGATGATACATAGGGTAGTATAACTGCCGAATAAATATCAACGTTGCATGCATATTTGAAATGTACCGCTGATTATTATCGAACGAACAAACCCGCAAAAGTATTAATCCACAAAATAGCTGGTATATATCATAGTGCTGCCGCCTCAAAGTACTCTACATGCTAGCGAAGAGTTAGGAATTTGTGCACAACCCCTCTACTTTTCCTGTGCTTACCACAATGTGGACACTATATAATCTGTCTCTTACTCTCCTCATCTGCTTCTCGCATACTGGAGCCACCCAGTTCCTTCAGACGGACTACTTGTCGCCTCGGGCAGAGAATGCAATTTACTACAATCAGGGTTGGAAAAGCCTTAGCAGGGATGTTCTCTCCAGACCATATGATGGAATATCTCCCGACGGAATGTACGTCATCTATTCCAACACACGAAGACCAATCCCTAAGGCTTTAAAGCATCAATTTAGGTCTCGCCGAAACCTGGCTGATGCAGAAGACACTCAGAAATCTTCTGGATACAAGTGTAAAATACTTTTTTTTTTTTTCTCTCTCCCTATCTGATTCACTTGTTAATTTATTGCAATAACAGTTCGTCATCGACCCGCTCTATCATTTAACCTACGGTCAGGGAGCTGCTGGCTCTCCCTTTCTTCGTAAAGCTGTTGCAGAATTCTTTAATGCCTATTTCGATCCGCGTCAGCCGGTTAATGAAAGTGAAATCATCATTGCTTCAGGTGTTACTGCTTTGATTGACTCGATCGCATGGAACACGTGCAGCGATGATGAGGGGATCATCATTCCTCAACCTCTATATAACGGCTTTCCGACAGATACGCGACTGCGGAGCCAAGGCAAGCTGCTCCCTGCGTCTTTTGTGTGGGATAATGAGACCTACAATTTCGACAAGGTATTCGATGCGACAGCAATCAATGATTCCCTGGAACGGACTTGGAGTATGTATACGGAATCAACAAATAAGACAACGATTCGAGGTGTAGTAATTGCGAAGTATGTTACTACGGAATCACTTTCTTGGATTTGGAATGGATGACTGACGAGAATTTCACAGCCCGCATAATCCACTCGGACGCTGTTATGTTAGCATGATCCCTCCGCGTCCAACAATATATACCTTCGATTGCTTACATTGTTCTAGTCTAAAGACGCATTAATCGCCATCGCACGCTTCTGCGGTAAACATAAAATCCACTTTATCTCCGACGAGATTTACGCGAACACCGTCTTCAGCAACCCCGGGAGCAACGCCCCCAACTTTACTTCGGTTCTTTCCCTTGATCTGGATGACATTATTGATCCTAAGCTCGTCCATGTCCTGTATGGAATGAGTAAGGATTTTGGAGCAAGTGGGCTTCGACTGGGTGTTCTGCATTCCCGTAATGAGGATTTGATCCAAGCTGCTTACGGTGTGAAGTAAGTACGCCCTTTCCTGTAATCAAGGCTGTGTCTAACATGAGCAATGCGTTAGCCTTTTCTCCTGGCCCTCCTACCTTGTCCAAGACATGTGGGCCCGTCTCCTCAATGACACGGACACGACGCGTGATTTCCTCGACGAAAATAAGCGGCGACTTGGGGAGGCCTACGGTACAGTCACTGACTGGCTTCGGAATAAGGGCATTGAGTATTATGATCAAGGGTCGGTCTTGCTTTCCTCCATAGGCTCTTCTAATTGCCCTCGCTGATACAACTTAATAGAAATGCAGGACTCTTTGTTTGGGCCCGGCTCCTTCCTAATTCGACTGCTAGACCGGAGTGCTTCCTGGAGATATGCCGTAACAATAATGTTTATGTCGGAAATGGAGAAAACTTTCTCCCTGAGAGTGGACAGACTGGATGGTACCGAATTACATTTTCGTATCCCGATGACATGCTCAAGCTTGGTTTGATACGATTGGAGAACGCTTTGAATGAGACACCATCATCTTGCTAATGGATCCCGAAGTTAAAGGTTTCATAGAGGTGGGACACGGGACTGGATTAGGAGTATAAAACATTCAGCCACTGCCAATGATGTGCCTATAAAGAATGTGAAGTCAGCTCCCATAGTCAAAGTCAATGGAATATCAAAGTGTCGTCAACTGAAAATATCCGGATTCATCCCAGAAAGCCTCCTTTCTACTTCGTGAAGTGTAAGCTAGGGACTGCAAAGACAAGAGTCTTTATCGATGTACTTCCGGTGGCCAGAGAACAACAGCCTAATGGAGAGGTTCTAGTTGACCACAATGTGCGCTCATACCAAGCAAGATTAGTTGAATACTGCATGATGATAACTGGTTGGGGAACCGCTCAAACAGAAGATCACTTGCTGAACACCAACCACTGCCAAATACTATCAGTAGCGTGTGGAGCACACAGAGAAAACACAGAGCCCTGGGAAAGTTTGTGCTATACATTGCTTCCTTTAACAATAGAATACTAGAGAGTATAAAGGTCGTCGTGAATTCAGAGGAAGATTAATTGTACTATTCTTATTTGAACTCGAGAGCTTATATACATGATGGATGTCGGCTCTATTGAAGTACCGACTCCATAATATCTTCTGGATTGAGGCTCATTTGATGAGATCTTGCCTCAGGATCGCTGTGCTTGCGTGGTGCTACTGCACAGGAGAGGATCTACCAGCTCTACGTAAACCCACCAAGAACCCTTGCTGGGAGAAACGAAAAAGGCCGCCACTGAGGTCTTTCCCGCCTCACCGGCAGATCATGCCAAGCCACTGATTTTGCAAACGCGTGAGAATTAGTTAGAGAATATGGTTGCGTCGGTCCATTGGTTGTCTGCAGCTTGGTTGGGATATATTTCAATGTAGATTAAGTGCATAGCGGGGAGATCTATTGATGCCAATGGCTATTTCAATACCTTCCCGCACACCTACCTTTTAGTTGAATAATTCGCCCTTCTGAGAAGCAGCCTCCGCTCAGGCGATAGACACTCTAATGCCCTGAGCCAGAGAGCCGGCCATGGAAGTTCCTAGAGATATTCTCCTTCCCTTCGGCGAGTTTATCCAAAAGCATGAGATCGAGGGGGTTCCTCCCCTTGTTTTGGATCGGCATGGGCGATGTCCTGCGTCTTCCCGCCATCTACGTGCTCAAACACTACGGGCCCGGAGCTATCCATTTCAACACCTCCTGGACTCAAGATTACAACCGCGAGATCTTTGAAAACGCCTTCCATATTCTCCAAGATGAAGTTATTCTCTCCTCCCGGGTCCCATCACTCGCACGCGAATCCTCTAACGTCAGTATCTGTTTGGATGGGCCGCATGGACTGGTTGTACTCCAGATAAGGAAGCTTCTCGTGTCCATTTCTCCGCAGGTCAACAATCTTCGCGGATTCGACTTGACCAATCAGGAAACTACTCTATCTCGACAGTTCCAGAACGTGGGATATTACACTTCTCTAGTCCGCATTCCCGGGCTGCCGTCCAATCGAAGCGTCTACGAGAACAGCCGTCTGAAGGCGCCATATGATCTACCCCCATTACCTGCTCCCTATTGGGCCACAGCCACCAAGATCACCAATGTCTACCAGATGGAGAAGCTTGCTGGAGACGTGATATAAGGTCCACTTGCTCCATCGTTTGGCGCACCCCTGAGAACCATGTTAATAACAAGACTGACAACATCTGAGGCATATCGTACGCGATGCATAGTTATCATTAGAGAAATCCATCCAGTTCTCGGGGCACTTGACGTATACACTCCAGAAAGTGCCCTAGACGCTGTTTCACTGGTACGTTTAAAAGTTTGAATACAGTCGTATTACTACTAACCCGTTTAGGGAACTCAATATTCGGCATGTTGAATCTTTTTGAATCTGATGCTTTTTGTACTGGCCATCTGCCCGGATCACTGCCTATATCCAGTAGGGTATGATATTAGGTACCCTCTTTAGTATTTAATTATTAATACTATTTGATGCTTCCTTTACTACCTTAAGTACTAGTAGTAGTATTTATAGAACTCTGGGAGTTTTACTAACTCTAGGAGTTTCTTAATCGGGAAGTCCCTATCTAACCTGACTTCAGACACAGTTTATTAAGGAAACTCCCTACTACCTAGTAAGCTGAGGCCTAGGTGAAGTAGAAATAGGACTCTGAACCCTTACTTAGCTTGATGCCGAAAACTTAAACGTCTTGAGCGTTACGCAGCAAATAACTACCTACCTAGGTAGGTATGTAACATGTCCTAAGAGCTTATATCAAGAAAGACACCATACAGAAAAAGCATGATCGTACCGATAAAGTGAAACAACTGCATAAGCAATATATAAAGCTCTACAAGTCGTAAATTATCTTACACTATTTTTCTCTAAAGTAGATATACTGAACTTGGATATCGGATTTCTAGTGTACTTTAACTATAAAAAGGCTACTTAAAAACTAAAATATAGCTGTCTAGCTCAGAATCCAATTTCCGCTAAAAGTTTGAGCTGCCGTCTCTGAAGCCGAAAGCGCGAGGACTAATACTATAGTAAGAGTAGGCCATCGAGCGTCCTAGATAATTAAGTACGTATGCCAAAATACACGTAAGTTAATACAGAAAAGTCTCGGAGCATATGCAAGGAAGCATCACACCACCATCAAAGCGAATACCTCGTTCAAGCATCAACTTAAGCAACAACTACAAGCAACGGTTGCAAGTACACAAAATTGAGTGACCCTAGCCATCCACCGGATCCTACAGCACCACTTAGACTTTAACGACTCCAGAACCGAGTGAGATCGCCAAGAGGCAAAATCGGAGGAAATCCAACAGAATCCAGCAGCTGAACGAACAGCAGATACCACCCCGTTATACTGGAAACAAAAAGGGAAGCTCCTCCGCCCTATTCAGATTGTCAGTCAGAAGCAAAACTTATTGCTCCAGAGTGTAAGTATTCTTACTATGGTAAGGCGAATGCCAATAGTGGTATCCCCAAGTCCGAGTCTCCAATAAGCCCCACTCAAGCAAGCAAATACCATGAACAGGGACGCGAAGAGAGTCACAAAGACTACGTTGATCCGACAGGAGCAAATGGTGAAAAACAAAATCATGATGTCCATAGACACGAAGAGGAATGCTAAACTAATTAGCCAGGATGGCGCAGAGTAGGTTACAGGTCATAAACTTACCATATGTGTTCTGGAACTCAGGGCTTGATAGTCCAGCAACAGTGTTTAGCCCGTTGTCAGAATACGGAGCTGTTTATTGCCAAATCAGTTGATCTTAGGTACTGTACTTTCAAGAGGCTTTTGGTATTGAACATACCCGCCGCATTGAAGAATGGCACCATAGTGCAGCCGAAAGTACTAAAGAATCCACCTGATCTCTCGTGTGAGCATTGCTGTTCATCAGCACTAATGATAGGAAGAAGGAACGTACCAAAGACGCAGAACACGACCGACGGAAAGATATTGCCGAGACTAAATTCAAGGATCCCGCAAACCCACACCGTCAAGCCACCCATAATGATCATTGCAGCGCTGTCAATTAGTTAACTCAGTTAACTTTCAAGTCACGGAGCTACTAGAGCTCCTGCGCTGAAGGGTCACATTACCTCAAGCCGATTCCACCACCTCCAGCCCCTCTCCAGCCCATTAAAGCACAAGAGACGGGTGTTGTTGTCAGCACAAAAGCTGCTAGCGCGCTGGGAGTGACGACGTCAGCATAGCATTACTACTTGGATCTGTTCAACTGACATTGGAGTAGGGTTGCCCATCGTTCGCGCCATTGCATTTTCAGGCTGCCTAATTTCTTGACGGAGCTCTTCAAGATGCCCTCCATTCCTCTCGGAAGCTTTCAGCTGGGTTTTGAAGACATGCGAGTCCGAGTGTAGTGCAGGAACATTGATGGTCTCCTCAATAGACCGGCCGTGGATGGACATGTTGGACATGTTGATATGGCAGATCTTGCTTCATGGACGGGTGGAAAGATATTTGAGAGTGATCACGACTTTATTGTCGACACAACCGTCAATTTATCTTGTCGATTTCGTGGAGCTCTCCATTACTGGGTCAGCTATTCGCTCACATATTCTTTCAACATGTTCTTCGGTTCAGCAAGCTTGCATCTGCCATTTGTACCGGCCGGCCTCTACGGACCGTGTATTTCCGACCGCTAGTTCATTTTTGAGGGAAGAGAGATAGGGTGTAATATGCAGAACACATGTACAATATAGAGTTTACAGGAAACCTTTCCTCGTCCGGGATCTGATAAATGTGGGGGCAGCAGATAGTACTCCGACGTCGATCTTTACTATCGCGTGGCAATTAAGCTTTGGTGGGGAACATGATCGGTCCGATTATCCTATCTACGGTGCCTTATTTTACAGGATACAGGTATGTGATAGGGTGAACGAATTCCCCGACTCTGGCTGTTCGTTGTATACAGCCGACCCGAATATCCTATCTGGATTCGACCCAAACTTTGGGCCTTTTTTTAGGGAGCATTCCTTTGCATCACCATGGAAGTGAATACTATAAGATTAGGGGGATTGTAGATGCATTCCAACCCTCTTGTCCATTTGATATCAATCAGATTGCTAAGATATTATCATCTTTCCCGGTCTGTTGTTCATCTCCTTCAAAATTCCTTCAAGACTTCCTCACGTCTCCTGCTTGCTTACTCAACAATCGACATCATGCTGCGAGCTGAATTCAATAAAGCAAGCCCATTCTTGCTTGCCGTCTTCGGATGCCAATACCATGGGCTACAGCCTAATGCGTCCAAGTCTGCTCTGGCATCCGAGTTCAACGATCTGATTCAAGAAGCGAGTGTTCCAGTCGAAGTGATGGAGCATGACGACTTTGAATTGGAAGACTGTCGGAGCAAAGTCTGGATGGGCTACTGGAAAACGCCGGAGGATTACAGAGCCTGGTGGTGCAGCCCCAAGGTGGCCGCTTTTTGGTCCAAGCTTCCCGACAACGCAGGCTTTTGGCGAGAAAGCCTGCGCTTTGCTCATTCTCGAGTCTTATTCGAGACGAATCAAAAAGCGCCTAATGGATTTGCACATGTAGGCTCTTTTGAGCCTTTGGTCGAAAAGACCGGGTATTGGGGTTCCTACAGAGATCGACTTGAAGATGCGACAGAGCTTGACAAACTCAGTACCCCAATCCAACCACCAGTGCTACCACCTCGGAAATCGACTAAAAACATTCGACTTGGACGTGTGTCGATGGAGAATTTCCCGGATAACCTGTGCTGTGTGGTGGAGGGACAAGACTATTCAGCCATGGGTAGCGTGGAACATGACTACTGGATGGAAAACTTCCACAACTTGACGACCGAATGGCTCACAACCGCACTGAAGGCGCCCATTGAGGATGGAGTTGTCTCTGCTCGACTCTGCCATGATCCCCAAAGTGGATCCATGGACAAGGCGCCAGCTGTGCCCTTTTTCAATGCGGCCCTGAATGCCAAACGAAAGCTGCAGCTTCTGTATTTCCTAGATCTTTCCTGCATGGAGCGGATTGGGCGAAAATACAAGAGCCATGTGCAGTTGAGACGGAAATTTATGCAGGCTTATGGTCCAAAGGGGGATATGGAGGGAGGAGATCTGCTTTTATGGGTTGATTTAGGAGTTCTGAAGGCAGACGACATCAGCGCAGAATATATCGGGTGTCATGAAGGGACGGGATTTTTGGCCTACGTGGATCATCCTGCTTTCCAGAAATAGTCCAACTAGATATGATGAATTGAATGTCTGTTGAAGTTCCTTACGCCTCAATTTATTGCACGATTGTGGTTAATGTACGGATTTTTCTTATGGAATTCACCATACTTATGACTATCACTAGAGATGGTTTGGACGGAGGGGCTTGCAATGACTGGAAGTCGACTGTACTATGGCCAGACACGATCTGCAAGCAGGTTGCGAAGTATATTTGATGACTTTATTACAAACAGGGGTCCTTCCAGACTGGAAAGACTTCTGTCTTCCAAACGGATCGTCAAGGACCATACATCCAATCTTGGTGGCTGATTAGGTTGTGATTGCAGATGATGGTATCTCTTCCACATATATGAACTCGAAAGAGTAGGGGCTGCAGGGAAAAGTCCAGGTCGCCATAAAATAGCCAAATTTTATCTGGACTTGCAGTTTCCTGTAGTTTTTTTTATCAACCTTACCAGCACGATCGTCCATTATCGTCGCAAGATTGAGCCTACTTATGTTGAGGGAGCTTATTAGTCCTAGAAAATCAAGTACATATGTATTTTTTGATATTATTCTCTTGTATGATCTTCTATATACTCTGAATCTCCTAGATATACAATGCTTTTATGGTCTCCTCATTATGTATTACACAAGCCATAGCCATCCTCTGACTCTAGGCACGAGGCTTCATGATGAAATTGTCTATCAACCTCACCGGGACCTTTCCATCGCCCAGACCGCAGTCTTCTCCCGCCTTGGATTCCTCAAGAGGAGCCATCTTGACTGCTCCGCTCAGGATGGCGCCGCGCGAGGGATCAACAACGTCTAGTTCATCCAAGCTCTCGGGGTCAGCCAGGGAGATATAGTCGACCTCAAAGAGCGCTCTCTCCGCTGGCGTCAGCGCCTGCTGCTCCGCCAGGACCTGAGAGGTGACCGCATTGGCCGCCTCCAGGATTTCATTGCGGGCAACCTTGCCGGAGGTGTATGCATTTTCGGCTGCTTTCAAGGCGGTATAGAGGACGAGGCCCACCGCACGTCTTCTCGCGCCCAAGTACACATTCCGCGAGCTCATGGCGAGCCCATCATGCTCGCGGACAGTGTTGCCGATGCGGATTTCCGTGTCGACATGAAAGTCCTTCACCATGCGCTTGATGACCACCGTCTGTTGCACATCCTTCTGGCCGAAGTAGGCTCGGTCGGCGCCCACAATATTGAACAGTTTCATACAGACGGTCGCGACACCACGGAAGAAAACGGGCCGCGATGCGCCCTCCAACCTCCGAGAGATGGGGGTGATGGTGACAAACGAGCCGTCTCCATCGATCTCCGACGAAGGCGGTAGGGTGGGGTACATGACTTTGGAGGTGGGGGCCAGAATGGCCGTCACCCGACCTGTGTTGGGTCCCTGTCGCGCTAGTTCGGTGTTCAGGTCCTCCAATTTTGCGACATCACTGTCCCATGTGCGAGGGTAGCTGGAGAGATCCTCGCTGACGCCGAATTGAGTCGGGTTGACGTAAATGCTCACAAAGACGTCGGTGTTTTCTGCCGCGGCTTGTCGGATCAACGAGAGATGGCCTTCGTGAAGGGCTCCCATGGTCGGGACGAACCCGACGGTCTTCTGGTCCAGTAGGAGCTGCCGTCGGAACTGTCGAAGGGGCGGGACATCGCGAAAGACTTGAAAGGAGTACTGGCGGAGGGTTTGGGTCATGACGGAGGGGCGGCGGAGGAGGGATGCGGCGGCTGGAGGAAAATGTACGGTTAGAGGCGCTATGGAATCAACTGAGGAGATCAGACCATACCGGAGAGACGCCTCGTCCAGCGAAACATCTCGGAGGCTTTAATATCTACAGACAGGGAGGGAGATTCATGTGCAAGTCGGACCGAAAATTGTCGGTGGTGAAGTGTTGTCCGGCGTCCCACAGTGGAGCGACGGCGGCTCGAGACTAACCGGCACGGGTGACCGCAGTGACGCCAGAGCTGTCCGCGCAGGGATGTTGCCAGGGATGGCGACTGGATAGTTACAGTAGAAGGAGGAGATGAGTGGTGATGTTGCAGATGAGCCGATGCCTCCGGAGTACATTTCACGATAATGATGTCCCGCGGCCCAAGAGCTGCTTAGGTAACAACCGGTCTTGGCGTCACGTGTGTCGTAACCAAGTGTACATACGGAGTACCTACCTACCTGCAGGCAGTAGTGTTACTAGACGGTATCTTTTGGCCGAGTTGCTGGATAAAAGACTATTTGGCATGTGTCAGCTGATGGTTGCATCGAAAGCTTAGTGTGGCTTAACAGATTCGCCTGTCCCATGTCTTCTCTTTTCCCATCGACGCTAACAAAATCTACCACCGATTTCGAGTCCGGAGTGCAGATCAATATCTGACCTTCCACAGGAAACTTATTCACTCTCTAACTACTCAAATAACCCAAACCTCGCGATGGTCACAAAAGACGACTTGCCGCGACCCGGGGTCGAAGCCCCGGACATGCCATCTGTCGCGCCGGATGCACTGTGCCTGGATGGCCATCTATTCCGCATCAATTACGATGTTCCAGATGAGATCACTCTGCAATTGGAGGAACTGTACGACCGTGATGCAAAGTACGAGGAGATCCCGGAGCACCTGAAAGCATACGAAACCGAAATGGAAGACTCGGATGTGGAAGAAGCAAGAGAGATAGAGCGGCTGTCTGGGGAACAGGCGCAGGGAAAGACGACCAAGATATGAAGGATCGAACCTGTAGTCCACCTTCTCCGTCGGTTGGGAGGTATATGGGGGTGCACTGGATGTTGTTGGAGGGGAGTCACTGCTCAAGTCTGATATGCTCATCCCAACCGTCTGGTATCAACATAGGGATCGTGCGTCAGGTAGAAAGAGGCTAGGAACACCATGGAAAGTCTCTATCGGCATCACGCAACTGACGCAAAGGACTGATTGTTCTTACTGCGAGGTCGGAAGATCAGAGCATCGAGTTTAGCAACAATAATGCACCATGCAACAAGATTCTCGAATTTGTTGAAGAAACAAGCGTCTATTCTCTCGTATGGCGGCGATCCGTTTCAAGTTGTTCGGAGTCATTTGGACCCTTATGAGATCGAGGTAGATGATGTATTGTTGTTGACGTTACTAAAGAGCAAATAAAGTCCTTGGCTAACCGAAGGGAACGCCACGTGATCGACATCCGAGGTTCCCAAAGCGGAGCTAGCAAGCAACTCTGGGGAAACTCCCGCGGGAATCAAGCGGTTTGTTGGGAAGTCGCTAGTAACCATCCGACCTGCTAGTTAGACTCGCACCAACGGTCATGCTGGACTCTTCGTCCTCCTCCTCCTTCCTCGGTATCCCTTCGTTAATGGCCCTGGATTGTCTTCCCTTATCTGTTCCTGATTGACCCATACTTAATCCTCCATACACCTTCCTCCGCGATCCACACCCCCTCGCCATCGTCTCCTCCTTTCCTCCCCGCTCCGCTCTATTCCATCACCCCCAGCGACCATGCCGCCGAAAAAAGCTCCCGTTGAGCAGTCCGCTCCCGATCTGGAGATCGTGGGCGATCAGCTCACAATCCACCCCAGTGGCTTCACCGGAGGCCCCGAGCCGCAGGACGACCAGATCATGGAGCGGAACCTGGTGCACCATATGGCTCGCTTTCGCGAGAACCCGTTCGAATTCCTACGAGAAGTGAGCGCCCATATGCAGGGAACGGGATGGCGCGCCTATGACAATGTGATCGGACAGCCAATATTCTACTCGGGCTTTACGGAGCGCATGAAGTCGTCCATCGTTGACAGCCCGCTACTTCAATCCAAAGTGCACGAGTTGGCAGAGGCACGATTGGTCGTCGAAGAGAAAGAAGGCCTCTTGGATCCGCTCCGGCGGGACGCGCGTCGAAATGAGCTCCGAAATAATCTGATGGTGGTGGTCGACAGCATGTTGGACAATATGATCTGCAAAATGGAGAGCAAACGATTCATTCGGGGCGCGTATTATCTGTGCACCCAGCTTCTTACCCGCGCGTACCATCAAGGTGCATCTTACAGGTGGTCTCATCGTGTTCTGAGAACATTAGAGCTAACCATCACATTGCAGGCATTCATGTGTCGAGTGAAGAAGTCCTGCGTTTGAAGCGTGTTGCCGAGGACGCAGCAAAGAAGAAACAGTCGATCGTTTTTCTCCCTTGCCACAAGTCACACGTCGATTATGTTTCACTACAAATTATATGTTATCGTCTTGGAATTGGTCTGCCAGTGGTGGTGGCTGGCGACAACCTAAACATCCCCCTCCTTGGTCCTTTCTTGCAGCACGCCGGTAAGCTATCATGTGCCATGAAAAATCGGACCATTCTAACTACCATAGGTGCCATGTGGATTAGGAGAAGCTTTGGCAATGATCCTCTCTACAACACGGTCGTCCAGGCGTATGTCGACACATTGCTCCAACAAGGCTTTAACTTCGAATGTTTCATTGAAGGTGGACGGTCCAGAACCGGAAAGCTGCTGGGTCCGAAATATGGTATCCTCCGGTTCATCGTCGACAGCCTATTGTCTGGTCGCGTTGAAGATACCATCATATGCCCAGTCAGCACTCAATACGACAAAGTCATTGAGACTGAGTGAGTCCTACAGAGCTTTTGTACCTCCCCTTACTAAAATCCGATAGCTCCTATGCCAGTGAACTTCTCGGTACCCCCAAACGGAAGGAAAATCTAGCCGATCTGCTCTCATCTTCCTCGGTCCTATCCCTGAAACTGGGCCGCGTTGATGTTCGGTTCCACGAGCCATGGAGCTTGAGAGAATTCATCAACCAGCAATTAACGCGTCTTTCGGTCGAGATCAACCCTAACGGAGCTCAGAATCTGACTTATGAGCAACGAGGCCGACTCTTGAGATCTCTGGGTTACCGGGTGCTGTCGGATATCAATAACGTGGCGGTGATGATGCCTACCGCTTTGGTTGGAACTGTGCTGCTGACTCTTCGCGGCCGTGGGGTGGGCAAGGCTGAGTTGGTCCGTCGTGTCGAGTGGCTCTGTGACAGAGTTCGAGCGAAAGGAGGGCGCGTCGCGCACTTCTATAGATATCCCACGGAGGTAGTTGTTGATCGTGCCCTCGATGTTCTTGGGCCCCAACTGGTGGGTATGATTGCTGGACTTGTCGAGCCGACCTATTACGCAGTGGATCGCTTTTTGCTCTCATTCTATCGCAACATGACCATTCATTTGTTCGTTACGGAAGCATTGGTGTCTGCAGCTATGTATACCAAGATCAAACAGGGCGGAGGGCCCACAAACCAAAGAATCTCCTATGAGGAGCTGCATTCTCAGGTTCTCTTCCTGTCTCGGGTTCGTTCACCACACATCCCCTAACATGATGCCGCTAATCAACTCAGCTCTTCCGTGGCGAGTTTATCTTCCCTCCTGAAGGTCTGGAAACAAATCTGGACAACACCATCAGGGGCCTGGAGGAAGACGACGTGATCGCTGTCACAAGAGACAGTGATGGCAAACCCGAATTCGTCGAGTTGAGCCAAGCAGAGCGTCAATGTGGAAGAGAAAATTACGACTTCTACTGCTTCCTGATTTGGCCCTTTATCGAAGCCTCGTGGCTTGGCACCGTGTCGCTCCTGGGCCTCACTCCCCCACGAGATGGACCCCAGGATGTTTGGATCGATATGAAGAAGGCGGAGAACAACGCGCAGCTCGTAAGTCTTCCCACAACATTCCCGCACGGCCGCATCCCTGACTCATATATCCAGCTTGGGAAAACCCTCTATCACCAAGGCGATCTCTCTTATTTTGAAGCTGTGAATAAGGAGGCTTTGAAAAATTCGTACCAACGCTTCGTCGAAGAGGGAATCATTGTTGTTGCTAAGGATAAGGGATCCGGATCTTCTACCTTAATGAAACTGGCGCCTGAATGGACTCCGGAGCGCGATCCAGACACGGACAAGCTTCTGCCTCATGGCCGTCTTTGGGACTTTACAGAACGCATAGCTCAGTGCCGGCGTGAAGGGTGAGTCCACTTCCTATTATATTCGGTCCAGCTGTACTAACGAGCGCAGAAAAAATCGCCGTGATGGAGCCACGGTCTCTTCGCGTGTGCTCACACTGTCCGACAAGGTCGGCCGCACGTTGTTCGCAAGTGCCGCCAGACCGGAATCGCCCGATGATGCCGACATTTTGAGTCGGGAGAGGCGCAGACAGGAAATCACTGCGACACCCAAGCTTTGATTCTACTGTCCGATAGTCCTGGACTCATAAGTGTGGATTGGCGACACCACGCTTGGTAAATATTGCTACCCGCTGTGTATACCCGATTCGTCTCATTGTATAGGTTATCCTATTACTAAACTAGCATAATGCATTGCGATATCTCCATGCCCACTTCAGCAGCTGTTGTCAATATTGGTCGGTTGATCGTAACCAAACCAGCTGCAACCATCGGGTCATGGCTGACTGTGTAAGACCTCACAAAATCGACCACTTAGTATGTTAGAACGATAGGATCAGAGAGAAGGAAACGGGCCCTGGTTCCTGATGTCTTGAATCATCTGCATCACTGATTGGGTATGTCTCACGTTTGTGTGCTTCCCTGCACCTCGTATCTGCATCATGAGTAAGCAGGTGGCATATTGTTGGCCTTGACGAGAATTTGTGTAGGAAGCCTCCTTGGCATACGCCTCGCAAGAAGGTGGCGCTCAGAAATACACCAGGAACGCGTCAATACGTGTAAGTATCTTGGTCACTGTGTATGCGTTCCAGATGCTACGAGGAAAACTTAAGCGACAGTATATTTGCTCCAAGCCTGCCAAGATGTACCATTTTCAAATTCGTCTGTCAGCTGTGAGGGGTATATAAGACATGGTGACTACCTACCATCAGCTACTGGAAGAAATGTATCCTTCACTTGACGAGAATTGACCGAAGATGGCAACTAAGCTGGTTGCGACCTTGGCCTTCGCCTCTGCCTTGATCTCAGCATCAGCCGCACGAGATGCACTTCTTCCATCATCTCTACAAACCTGTTTGAGGAACACTGGCGCCAAAATTGTGTACCCTGGCGATCAGAGCTACGACGCCCTGGCGCAACCCCAAAACTCCAACTACCAAGCCCATCCGGAGGTGATTGTTGTACCTACGTCGGCCGAACAGGTATCCGCGACGGTGAAGTGCGTCGCTGCCGAGAAAGGCAATGTGAAGCTCAGTCCTCGCGGAGGAGGCCATAGCTATGCTGCGTATAGTTTCTCCGGCCAGGTGGTCATTGACCCAAGTCAGATGAAAGGCATTTCCATCGACAGTGAGAAAAGCCAGGTAACGGTGCAGTTTGGGCAAACGCTAGGCCCCTTGGCTACTGCCATCGGGAAGAAAGGATTCGCCTTGCCGCATGGCACTTGTCCGACTGTTGGTGTCGCGGGACACTCGCTGGGTGGCGGTTGGGGGTTTCCGTCACGGAAATGGGGGTGGCTTGTTGACCGGAGTAAGTCTGCGTATGGACGAGGTAAACCGGGATGCCGATTCTGATATGTGTCTAGTTGTGGCGCTGGAGTTTGTCGATGTCAATGGTGCCATCAAGCAGCTGAGCGCCAGCTCAGTCGGGAGCGATGCAGAGCTATGGTGGGCACTGCGCGGCGCGGGATCGAATAACTTTGGCATCGTCACGGCGTTTACCTTTGCGATGGAGAAGGCGCCTCCTGCGACAGTCAATTATGAGCTCTATTTCGGGCCGGAGTCGGACTGTGCACAGGTGCTCTTGCAGGTGCAGGCGCTGGGACAGCTGCCCGCCGATGATCCCAACGGGCTTCCGCTGGATCTAGGAGTTGAAGTACTCCTGATGGGCAGGGATAATTCGGGAGACAGCGCCTGCATTCTTCAAGGCCAGTATCTGGGCACCAAGTCTGCGTACCAAACTGCCATCAACCGGGTTCTGCGCAAGCTCGCAACGCAGGGCATTAAGCCCGTCGAATCGGAGTCGATGGTGAAGGTGTTTAGTAACTGGATTTCCGCACTGACGGACCTCATGGGGCCCCTCGATGCGTCGAATGATACTCTCCCATATTATGCGCAGTCTCTGGTTGACAGCGGGTCTCCAAGCTACCAGAAATCGCATATAACTAAGGTCTTTGACGGACTTCGCACCGCAAGAACGGTCAAGCATTCAGAGCCTGATGTGTCGTTTGACCTGCTTGGACCTAGTGCAAAGACAAATCTACCGGTTGCCAGTGGTCCGATGGCATATATCCATCGGAAGAGTCTCTTTCTCGTTCAGATCTATTCGGCGTATTTCCCGGGCTTTGGTGACTTGGCTGCGCGCGAAAAGGCCGTCAATCAGATCACTAACATTACCCGTGCGATGAGACAGGCTCGACCGGAGAGCGAGTGGCACTCTTATCAGAATTATGTTGATCCGTATCTGAAGGACTTTGGGCGGGAGTACTATGGCGACGGGCTGGAGCGGCTGAAGACGTTGAAGACTGCCGCGGATCCAAATTTGATCTTCGACTTTCCTCAGGGGTTAGCTCATGCGTGAGAATTCTAGATGTCTTTCGCATGTTTGAATTGTAAGGACGCTCAACTTGTGTTTCATGGGTATCTGTTTCCGTGTCTCTCCGGACCGATAAGGATAGCCACCCTATAGTACAGACCATATAGCCATAGGGCAGAAGGTTATCTTTATCTCTCACCAATGACTACTTCGTAGTCTAAACTGCACTCGGTGGCGAGATCCGGGGGCCTTGCATAGAGCCAATCGTAGTGCATCCTGCTCCTATCTTATCAGCATCCTCCGTGTCTGCTTCTGATCGCTCTGCTTGGCGGAGCACCCACACCCTTGGTGATGACTAGGATAACTTGCCTGGGTGGGTTATCATCACCATCTGGATCATTTATATCTGCTAGAATCTCTTGGCTCTGCTTGATAGCGTGTCGGACACTGTTCAGTTCGGGGGCCTGCTGGGTCCCCTTGCCTAATGGATCCAGAATGGATCCAGCCAAGAGTCATGGTGATCCAGAGCAGCAGAGAGATAAATGAGTTGATGGCCATCTCGCGCATCGATCTCCGTTTGCGGTTCCGCTGGTTCGAGAATTTAGAGAGACAGGTCGACGAAATTAGAGCCGTTGAGACCCCTACCGAAAGCAGTCCGTTTCGTCCATCATGGCCGAGGTGAGTGTCTTGATTCTCAAAGCGATTGGGTCAAATCAGCTCACGAATGCGATGAATACAGCCAGTGTACAATGCCTCGACGCCTCAGGGAGGCAATCCGTTGAAAGTCGATGTGAACCTGCAGTATACTGGAGTCGAGTACCACTACGTCTATATCCTTCTCTGCACATTTATCGTGTTCCTCATCCTGCCCGGCATCGGCTTCCTGTACAGCGGCCTGGCACGAAGAAAGTCGGCATTGGCGTTCCTCTTCCAGGCGTTCATGGTCCTTGCAATGTAAGGAGCCGATGGATCGACTGCAGACAAAAGCTAACAAGTATCAGAACGACCTTCCAATGGCTATTCTGGGGGTATTCACTCACCTATTCCAGAGACGGTGGCCCATTTATCGGCACGTTGAAGGTGTTCGGCCTCATGGACGTCATGGTGGCGCCTTCGCCTGGGTCCGCGGTCCTCCCTGAGTTGGTCTTCTGTCTGTTCCAGCTGCTCTTCTGCGCATGCACGGTACGTACTAGGTAGCCAGGCATCCGGTCCGATGAATCTTACATCCCTAGGTGATGATCGTGATCGGCGGCGCTTTTGAGCGCGGAAGCATCCTGCCCTCTCTCATTTTCGGATTCTTCTGGGCAACGATCGTATACTGTCCCTTGGCTCGCTGGACCTGGAGCAGCCAAGGCTGGCTGTATAACCTGCCCGCCATCGACTTTGCCGGCGGCGGTCCCGTGCACATTGCTTCGGGCTGTTCTGCCCTCGCATACGCGGTGGTCCTGGGCAAGCGCAAGGACTACGGGGCACCTTCGTTCCGCAAGCCGCACAACGCGACCTTGGTGTTTCTGGGCACGGTGATGATTTGGACAGGATGGTTGGGGTTTAATGTAAGTTCCATCTCTACCCCTACGGAGTGGGTTAACCTGACAAGCATGTAGGGCGGTTCGACGCTGAATGCCAGCATGCGCGCCATTGTCGCAATCTTCAATACTAACACCGCGGGGTGCACGGGCATCTTGGGATGGGTGCTTGTCGACATGATCCGCAACAAGGGCAAGTTTTCACTCGTTGGCGCATGCGAAGGCGCCATTGCTGGTCTGGTCGGAATCACCCCTGCCGCGGGTTGCGTTCACGTCTGGCTTGCGGCATGTATCGGCTTCATCACCGCTATAGTGTGCGCGTCAATCCAGAACCTCAATGACTGGATCCGCATCGACGAGGGGATGGACGTGTTCAAGCTGCATGGGATTGGTGGCATGGTTGGATCTTTCTTGACGGGCATCTTTGCCAGTGAGTCGATCTCGGCGCTGGATGGCGCGAGCCTGATCTCTGGTGCGATCGATGGCAACGGCGTCCAAGTGGGAAAGCAGTTGGCTGAGATCTGCGCCATCTCGGCGTACTCCTTTGTCGTCTCGTGCATTCTGCTGTACATCATGAAGTTCATCCCCTTCATGGGGTTGCGGGTGGACCCCGAGTCGGAGATGGTGGGACTGGACCGGGCTCAGTTCTTCGACGAGCAGATAGGCGACTGGTCTCTAGTGTCCGGGACGTCGCCGCTGACGCTGGTTGGAGTGTCCAAGGAACCGTCGGCAGAGAAGCAGGAGACGGAGAAGAAGTCTTGAGAAGGCGACTACTGTACACGCCTAGGAATGAACCCGTTCAGCAGTTGACTTCGGCAGGATTTGGGTTATCATTTGTTTTAATCTTGCCAACTACTCCATATTCATTAATGAAAGAAAGTGCACCGGAAACACCGCATCGTGACACGACTCGAGCGCTGTCTGCATTATCCTGCCCAGGTCCGTCCCATTGTCAGCCCGAAGCTGGTGGGGGCCAGGGCCAGTTCGTAGGACAAACGACAGATTAAAATTCCCAACCGCCTTATAGCTCCATCGTAAAGAGTGATCCCAATGAAAATGGTGCCTATTCCTTCTGCATCCAATCCAGCAGCCATACTGAGGTCGGTATGCCTGTAAGACACTCAATTTAAGGGTGGAGAACCGATCAGGCCAAAATGACCCACCCCGTTCGTCCCTCCCGAAACTATGAGAAGAAGCCGAAATTCTTCGGACAAGACCACGACCTCCGATACTGGTATCTTCTGCAGAAGCCAGCCACCAATCACCACACGGTGGAACAACGCGCTGTGCTGCGAGGGGGCCAGGGAGCTATCCTTACTCAAGCCTCTTGCATCATCTGCCATCCCGGAAGACAGCGGAGGTATCGGGGTTATGGATCGGCTCCATGAGATATAAGGCGGGCTGCCGAAGGTTGGATTCATGCACTGTTCGATCAAAACCAGAGCCACCTTTATTGCACAGCAACACAATCAATCCTGCTTACGGTACTTCTGCCAAATTCCACATTCTATCCTGATAATGGTCTCGGGGGACTCTTCTCACATGGAGGGTAAAGTAGCCATCGTTACCGGAGGTTCCCGCGGCATCGGTGAACAGATTGCACTCGAGCTCGCGCGAAATGGAGTGAAGGTAGGCAAGAGGGTTGTCACGTTCTCGCAAAGAAGCCAATGGCACTAACGTGGTCGAACAGGTGTCGATTACCTATAGTTCCCCTAGAAGCGAGGCACGCCTGACGGCATTGATTCAAACCATTGGTGCTCTCGGTAACGGGTCCTCTGCAATCGCGATAAAGGCGGACCTGCGAGACCCTCAGTCTCCGAGCAGAATCGTCGCGGAAACTGTTCAGCACTTTGGCGAGCACATCGATATCCTCGTCAACAATGCGGGAGTGGAACTTGTCAAGCCCATGCAGGATGTCACGGTGACCGACTTCCATTTCGTGTACGACCTCAACGTCCGCGCCCCAATGCTCATGATGCAAGCTGTGCTGCCACATTTGCGTGCACCGGGGCGCATCATCAACATCGGCTCTGTTGGCGGCCGGCACGGTTTTAAGCAGCTTTCTGTTTACTGTTCTTCCAAGGCCGCAGTGGAAGGTTTGACGAGGTGCTGGGCGGCTGAGCTGGGGCATGCTGGGCACACGGTTAACTGCGTCAGCCCTGGCCCTGTGCAGACGGAGCTCATGGATAACATTCCCAGGGAGACAATTGAGATGCAGCGGGATCAAACTCCTATGCAGAACCGGATAGGCACCGTGGAGGATATCGCGCCGTTGGTTGCTTGGCTCGCAAGAGAAGAGAGCAGATGGATTACGGGACAGGTTATCGCAGCGAGTGGGGGATGGGCTATGTACTAGGGTCAGAATTACTGTCACTTTGGTCATTGTTTATATGTCCATGCCTCTTATCATGTGCAAGTTGCGTTTAAATAAACAGAGGTGTATTCAGCATTGGGTTGAATGGTCAAGCTCTCCACTCGTCTTTCTTTTCTGAGAAGATTCCAGGTTCGACAGTGTTGTCATCAGATCCTTTCCAGTATGTCCAGTAGGTACTCCCACCGCACCCGCCTTTGAAAGATTTAGTGTCTGTTTGGAGTTGATTACATTATAGTACATGCTGAGATGTACAAGTTAAACAACGCCTTCTTCTTGTCGGAACCAACCAGCGATATGTTGGAGGCGATATTTTGTCGCCGGAGAGGGCAAGTTAGCTGCCGTGGCCATGAAGACAGAGCGTATGGGTGAAAGCCTTACACGTATATCTAATGGCCAGAAGGAGCCTCGGAGGAGTGAGCTTTATCTAACATATTGTACTATCCAGACCAAGCCGAAGATAATATGGTTCCGCTACTTCGTAGCCTAGTCACTGTTGTGTTGCTCTTTCACATCTAGATACCGTTTTGCCATCAAGGCTATATTTCTATAGGCCATTGTGTCCACTCTGGCCTCCACTATGGCCTCCCTTCCTTCTCTAGCCATGGTAGCCTCCCCGGACTTACAACACACATATGTACTTGATTTCTAGGGCGGGCAATATAGGGGAAGCGACGGTTTGTATGGGCGGATAGACGGTATTCAGAAGGTATTCAGGAACTAATAGAAATAATACTAAAGCGGTTTAAATATGATTTAATACCGCCAGCCACTAAATCGGGCTAGTGGTGGGTAAAGTACCCGACCCGGCGACCCCTGGGTCTGCGCAGCCGGAGTTTGTATATGTAGACAGCATCGGCCACTTTGCGACTCCTGTGTGATAGGGTACTTCTTAAGTACAACACATACTATAATTTGAGACAATCATATCCCCTAAGTCAATACAAGGCACACCATAGATTACTGAAGATCTTCCAAAGCAACACACGGTTCACCAATCCCAACAAGATTCTCCTCTTCATTCTGACAACAAGAAGCAACCTTTTCGCATACCTGGCTTACCAGCAGGCTGTCTGAACCTGCGGTTACAAAAACAAGCGGTTAAATTTTTTATATTGACAGTGTTAAGTGTACAGAACAAACAAGGCAATACTCACTTGCAGTAGAGATTTCCTTGCAGTTCTCAAATACTGCCTGCAGGGGCCCTCCGCGCTCACAGCATGAAAGCTTGATATTCTTTCCGCATATCTCCCTGGCTTCTTTTACAGTGGTGGTTGATTGTGATAGGGCCATGGAGGCGAACAGGAGAGTGGCGAGCTGGTACTTCATCTTTGTTGCTTTGGTGTGGTTGGGTACGAGGGGATAGGGCTGTCGATAGGAGAGCAAAGGCCAGGAGCTTTCTTAGAGGAAAGATGTTTTCGGGCTTTGCTACCACAATAGCGCGGTCCTGTCGGTACCGTCTTATATTACAGTTGGTTAGATATGACCCTTGCGTTGGGATTCCAGTTCATGTTGTTTTACATTTTTACTTTGCAAGGGGCAACATATTCACACCTTCAACATGTTTGTTACTACACCAGGCAGAGACCCCGGCCATCAGCAACCAAGCAATCTCCACAAAGAGATCTGCTGCTCACGCCAGCACTCCGTGAGTGGACCCTGAACATTAAAACTGGGTAAGGAATGTGAATAACAAGCCAAGTTTTTAATCTACTCGAAGACGCGCGCTTCGTACATTGCGGTCCTGAAACAACAAGAAAGGGAGGAAGAGAGAGATACGTGAGGGAATTAAAGTAGATTGTGGAATACTTACTGAGCAGATCCCTGAGCGCCCTTACAAAAGCGGCGATGTCCCGGAAAATCAAGTACGTTTAGGTCATATATATAAGGAGACGAGGAGCCGTGCGTTTGACTTAGGCAGTGCATCGGCTAAGGTACTGGCGAGCATTCCCGGATGAATCTACAGAGCTCGGGTAAGCGGGACTGAAAAAGTCCTCTTGTTGAGTAATCGTGATTTCAAGCGCTCTTACTTAACTAGTGAACGATGTATGAATCAAGGCCCGAACGGTCAGCCAGCCCATTCTTAGCGCTGAGAAGCGGAGACAACTCATCCTGTGCTAACCCAATCTATACGGCAGGTACGGAATGTTCAGTAATCATTCGGACAAGCTCGTATAAAACGCTTCCACACACGTAGTTAAGGTGTGCCAGTTGCGCTTTGTGGCAATCCGTCCTGCTCAGCGTTTTTTCATTCCCACTCTTTGATCTATAGTCCAAGACACCGACATGCCGCTCTGGTTGATCTTCCATACCCCCAACACTTTCGAGGACGTCGGGTCTAAGCAAGCCTTGGTGGAAGATGTGACCAAAATATACACCAATTTCGGGTTGCCACCTTTCTATGTGGTCGTCAACTTTATCCGACTCTCCGGCGAAGACGTTTGGGTCGGTGGAGAACGGAGAACCGCGAGGCCGTTTGTTCGCATCATGATCGACCACATCGCGGTCCGGCTGGAGAACGACGACAGCATGTACAAGCGTACCGCGGATGCGATCAACAATGCCCTGAAACCACACCTGGTGGACAAGGGCTACGATTGGGAATTTCATGTCGATGAAACGGAGAGGAGGCTTTGGCGGATCAATGGCTTGATCCCTCCTCCATTTAAGAGCGATGACGAGCGGAAATGGGCAAAGGAGAACAAAGCTAGTCCATATGATGGCGCACAGTGAGTTTTACGGCTGTCTTGGGTTGTTCTGGTTATTGTTGCGTCCGCCTGGACATCGAATACAGCAGTCATTTGTTCGGTAACATTGCTTTGCCAGCATTGAAGGCCATGGCCTATTAGAACCCAATAGTAAAGAGCATATCCGTTTCTCTTTGACCTAACCTGGTCGCCTGTCCTGACAAGAATTGCTGTCCGCGCAATCAGATAGAGGAATCCTTTGCGCCCAACTTATGCAGCTTCGTTAACGGCTCATTCCATGACTGGGCATCATCCACCTTCTTAGGTCAAGTAAAAGATGTGCCATTGGAATAAGTTTGGCGCCTTAATAGTTGACAGTTGCCGTTTGGAAATAGATATCATATCATATAGCATGATCGGCTGGAGATACGGCTGGTTTGAATTATTCGGAAGGGCTTGAGATATTATCTTGTTCGAATTAAGCCACGCCTATACACATTGAATCGAGATAAAATACAACCGAAATCAGCCCGCAGTAACGCGACCCCAAAATGCTGTCTGAAGTATCTTGTCCAAGTCCGCCCCTCCGTCAGAGCGAAGCTGGTGGCAACCTGGGCCATTCTTCATCTTTTCCCAGTCCCGAATCTTCTGATCTATAAATTCTCCCATGCCGGACGCGTGTAAGATTTCAGCCAGGCGATAGTGGCCGTCTAGAAGCGCCCGACATGGGAGCGGCAGGTTTTCAGCTCCGGGGGCCTTGGTAAACGTGACAATCTTTCGCTCGCTACCGATGATCATACGCACCATCGTCTGGCATTGGGAATAAAGTTTCACCTCGTATGTGTGAGGATCAGGCTGTGGCACAAATGCCAGATTGAGGTTTCCAAACTCCATATGAGCGCTTTGCTGGAGAGTGATCCCGTTGAAGATATTGTTGATTTGTTCCGCATGCATTCCAACTTGTCGGATGGCGGGGAAGCAGCAAAACAGGGCTTCCCAGATTTCGCTCGGTTTCTGAGGGGACCATTTGACAACAGGGATTTGAGCTGAATGGGAAGTATGGGGTGGCGCGAGAAGGCCTTCGGTTGAATCCTCGGGAGGTGGAGGAGACCCGCGTAGGCGACGTGAATGGCGCAACATTGTGGCTGATGGTTGACGCTGGCGGGATAATCCATGCGACCTGTCTGTACTGGCGAAACAGAGACATGGGGAAAGCGAGAGTGAAGGGGAGGAAAGAAATTGTAGGAAGATATTTGGTTGTCTCTCAATACTGACGTTGGTACTAGGTCACAGAAGGACCGTGGCTCGACCTGGCAAAATTGCAGGTTCCCTACAAGAGCAGAATGAGAAGGGAAGAATCCACAGGAGAACAGAATCAATCAAGATCGTGACTATCGTGGGAGAGAGGGCTTGGGACGAAGACCGAGACTTGAAGGTCTCACACAGAAAGAAAGAATCCCACAACTGGAGCAAAACGGCGCGAGAAAGATGGAACAGAATAGGATCAACAAAGAGACGAAATATCATCCTAGAGTTCCAGATGACTGGGATAGGAAGGAAAGGTGAGATGGAGATGGAGAGATGGAAGAGGAAGGGAAGAGTTTGAGACCTGATGCGACTTTTATAAGAAGCAGAAGGAAGGAGGCAGTGAAAATAGACACAAAACAAGAGAAAGAAATGGAAGAGTACTAGGTAGTGAAGAGGTCAGAAGTGAAGGGGTTCTGTTACTGATGACTGCGGGTGAGTAACAGATGGTGGAAGACTTCCTTCCCACAACAAACCTGCCTATGAAGTTTCCCAGTGAAAGAGAGGCCCCAGAACAGAGGAGCCTCTTTATTTTCCCTTTTTTTTTTTTTTTTTTTTTTTTTTTTGTTTTTGTTTTGTTCTTCTCACTTCACGTTCTGTTCTCCTCACTTCCTTTCTCCACCGGCTGTCTTCTTCTACTCGCCATCGTACTCTCACTCTACTTCCTGAACCCATCAATAGTCAATTCTCTTCGGTCATTGGAAAGGGCCTTTGACAATTTGTCGAGGCCCGATCCCTAAAGATGCCACCCTCCAGAGATGAAGTTGACAGACTCGTCGCGCTGACTTGCCAGCATCTGAGAGCAGAGGCCGAAAAAATCAGAGCTCTACCCTTGCCCGACCCCGAGGCGATCAGAGAAACATACAGAAACATTCCAATCCCCTCTGGCGGTCTCTTCTTGAGCCGCAAGGAGAAAGAGGTGCGATATTTGATAGATAAATTGTCCCATGCCAGGCGCGTATAAGATTTCAGCCAGGCGATAGTGGCCGTCTAGAAGCGCCCGACATGGGAACGGCAGGTTTTCAGCTCCCGGGGCCTTGGTAAAGGTAACAATTTTACACTCGCTGCCGATGAGCATGCGCAGAATCGTTTGGCATTGGGGATAAATCAACCTTGACATGGAACTGGAGGGCGAATTCCCCACGCACTCGACCTGCATCATCTTATTCTACGCGTATGCGGTCTGGTTCAAATTGGCAGGCATGGGCGGCTATGCTTTCATCACCGAAGCCATGGGGCCCAGTATGCTTGCTAAGTATCAGAGCTCTGGCACTGCCCATGCTTCAACGGAGTCCTCTGCACCGTCCAAGGAAAACATGTCAATCATAAAATTGGCCGCTATGCAACTAAACGTGTGAACACACTAACGGGGCCCCATATAGTCGTAATCCGGTTTGATAGAACATCCCTTTCGCTAGTGATCAGGCTCATCCTGTCCGTTCTAGTTAGGTTGATCATCTAATCCGCTATCCAATTCATACTACGTCTATGGTTTCATTTTTTATACAAGCAAAATAGCAGCGGCAGTATCAGTGAGACTAGCAATTGATTGTGCAGTTTACTCCAATCGACTTCAATTACAACATCCTGATTGAGTAATAGAAACTCGTCTCTTCGGAACTTGATCATAGTTCAGACTTAACCGAGCGAGGGGTGGAACATATGACAACCTCGGTCTGTTCGTTTCCCCGCATTTCTATATAGACATGTAACTGTCTATCGTACAACATACAGACATTTGAAGTTCGATCTGATATTGACATGATGACAGAAACACTGGATTTTGCTGATCTCCCTCCCTTTCCGCACGATGTTCCAACAGCACCACTCCTCCGCCTGTCGCTTGCCAAGCTGCTAGCCCACGATGACAGCGAGATACAGCGACTCATGCAAGCATCAGAGGAGATTGGCTTCTTCTACCTAGATATGCAGGGTTGCGAGCTAGGTTCGAACATCCTCACTGATTGTGACAGACTGTTTGCCACGGGAGAAAAGCTGTTCACCCTCAGTCTCGACGAGAAACAGAAATACGACTTTAGTAGTCAGAACTCGTACTTCGGGTATAAATCCCAAGGGGCTGCAATTGTGGACCGCCAGGGGAATCCAGATAGGAATGAGTTCTACAATGTCTGCCATCTGCCCTAATAAATAAAGTCATTTCACCATGAAAATTGTACTTACTCGTGTCAAGGTCTCCAAAGACGACATCCTCGGAGTGACCGCTCCGCTGCCAGCCCCGGACGTCCTTCAGTCTACCCGCCCAACCTTGGAGTCCTTCATCAGAAGCTCACACTCCATCGTGACTCTCATTTTGACGCTACTGAACGACCAGCTCGGCCTTCCCGAAGCAACCCTCACAAATCTCCATCGACTGCACGCCCAAAGCGGCGACCAAGTCCGGTTCATCAAGGCTCCTCCGCAGCCTCCAGATGACCGCCGCACTGCGTTGGGCGAGCACACCGACTTTGGCAGTGTCACCGTCCTCTTCAACCGCTTGGGAGGTCTTCAGATACTGCCTCCGGGAGAAGATGCCCAATGGGTTTATGTCCGACCTCTCCCCGGGCATGCAATTATCAACCTCGGTGATGCGATGGTCAAGTTCACGAATGGACTCTTCCGGTCTAATATCCACCGGGTTGCGTCACCGCCAGGCGAGCAGGCGGAGAGTACCCGGTACAGTCTGGTGTACTTTGCTCGTCCGGAAGATGATGTTTTGCTGCGGCGGTTGGAGGGTTCGGACCGGATTCCAGAACTTGAGGAGGGTGATGTGGAGGAGGCTATTAATAGTAAGGATTGGATTATTCGGCGGGCTCTAGGAAGAAGAGGCAATTTGAAGGACATTGATTTTGAAAAGTCTGCAGGGACAGAGATGTTGAGTCGCCGGATCAAGGTGTAGTCTTGGGATGATATATCTGGCTGATGTACGGACTCGAGAGTTCTTATTTTGTATGTCCTTGCAAGAGTATGGAATGCACTTTTGCCTGAATACTCTGTTGTTTACTTTCCAGAACAGAGTTGTCACCTGAAAGCTCAGGATAACTTCACAAATGATCTTTGTCACTACTTATCACTTGCCACTCTCACTTTCTCTGACATCTCACATCTTACAAGTTTGCAGGCTGCTCATGCCCGAACCTGCTCCTCCTCGCCATTCTCTCTTGGCACACCTACTCCTACAACACAGAACTACCTGAGTGATCTCTTTGCGGAATGCCATCTCTCATACACAACATACAACACCTCTTACACCTGATAATCTTCAACTCATTCACCTCCCATCATTGAAACACATCGTGACGCTTCAGACGTTTCAAGCTCATCATGTTTAGAACACATTCTCCTGACGATGTCGACTCGCTCTTCCACCCATCTCCTCCTCACTACTACGGTGTTGTGGTCATCTCCTCTCATCCTCAACCCCGCGATGGTCCACAGAATGAGTCGGATAAGATCCCCGACTCAGGAAGGAGAGCCAAGGGACTCGTCCCTCTCATTCAACTGGGAGACAGGATCCGATATCTCCGAACTGAGCACCCTCATGAGCACCCCACGGTCGACTTCTCCGTCATCGCCTGTGGATACCGAGCTCTCGTCACCCTACAGTCCAGGTAAGACATGGACCATGGTATGCTTCAGTGCTCTACTAACTATATAACAGATCGAGCCTTTCCTCGTACGCCGCCGGTAACTCCCTCAGAACGTCGCTTAACACTTCCTCTACGAAAGAAAGAACACCCTACTCCCAGTACATCCCAGTATCCGGAGGAAGCAATTGCACAGCGTCGACTGGCTTTCTTCAGTGCCGTGAGAGACTATGTGTATCCTCTCCTGAGAGAAGAATCTTCCTTTCGGAAACTGGTCACGTCCATAGAAGACAGTGACGCGAGAATTCGACCGAACAATGTGATTCACCGTCAGCCGGAAGGGTAAGTGGTGTCTAATCATGCATATACATCAAGCTGACTTTATATGCAGTCTCCGTGCAGTCTTGAAACCATACCAGCTGGAGGGTTTGTCTTTCCTTCTCTATCTTCGCGAGAACGGCATTGGAGGTATATTAGGCGACGAAATGGGTCTGGGAAAGACTCTGCAGGCTCTTGCACTCTTCCAGGCGATCAAGGAATCAGATGACAACCTGAATGACGGCAATGCACCTTTCTTGGTGGTCTGTCCCTTGAGCGTTCTTGAGACCTGGGTGGCTGAGGTCTCGAAGTGGACTCCGGAACTGAGCGTGATGAAATACCACGGCTCTGCAGCTGAGCGTGACGGGATGAAGAAGAAACTTGCTGGCCAGAGAAGGAAAGGCTGCTTGAAACTGCCAGATATCCTGCTAATATCTTACGAGACCCTTCTCTCCGATGTGGCGTGGTTCAGAAGAGTGTTTGTTTGGAGATACCTCGTGCTGGATGAGGGACACCGGATCAAAAACGCCAAGTCCAAGAGAGCATTGGGGCTGTCCAGGATTCGTGCACACTACAAGCTTGTCCTTACCGGGTGAGTTACTCTCTTACCTAGTGTGATCATGTTTAACGACTGTCCAAAGTACCCCCATTCAGAACAACCTCACAGAACTGTGGTCTATCCTCCATTGGCTGTATCCAGAAGTGTTCGTCGAGTCCAGCGTATCTATGTTCAGGGATGCGTTTTCGCTCAATGACGGTAGCTTTGACCGGTTGTTTATCGAAGACATCACCGAGTTCTTGAAGCTAGTGATGCTGCGGCGGGAGAAGGACTCTCCGTCGTTAGGTCTATCGATCCCGAACAAGATGGAGTTTATATTGTCCGTTCCTCTCTCCGAATTGCAGCGCTCGCTCTATCTGAAGATTCTTACCGGCCTACATCAATCTGATTTCGACAAGTTTGGCGACGTGGGAAGTCGTCAGAAGGATATTACTCGCTGGGCCGGACATCAAGATGCCATCCCAATTTCCCCCAATTGCCCATCGCCGAGGAAGATCAAGATATCGCAAAACGTGTTGATGGAGTTGCGAAAGGTATGTTCAACTCCGATTTTATCAGTCCCCGTCTAACATCACCAGTGTTGCATCCATCCATACCTTCTTGATGGAGTCATGCCTTGGCCCTATCAAGTGGGCATTGACCTCATCACTCAGTCAGGGAAATTCCAGGTGCTCTCGAAGCTAGTCCGACGCTTTGTCAGTGAACAGAAGAAGGTCATCATCTTTTCGGGCTTCGAGGGCGCACTGGATCTCTGTGAGGACATGCTATCACTCCTCCAGACAAGCTTCGATCCCTTCCGCTACGTGAGGCTCGATGGACAAACCCCCAGCGCTGTTCGCAATTTGTCCACTTACCTCTTCCGCAATGATGAGAGATACTTGGTCTTCCTCATTTCGATAAGAGCTGGAGGCGAAGGCCTCAATCTGACCTGCTCCTCAACCATTATCTTTCTTGATGAAGACTGGAATCCGCAGCAGATGAAACAGGCCTGTTCGCGCGTGCATCGGATCGGCCAGACAAAGCCTGTCGAAATATTTCGTATCCAGTCTCGAGGAACAGTCGAGGAACAAATGGCCCGGCGTTTGGAAAAAAAAGCTTACATGGCCGATCGAGTGACAGAAAGGGTGCGCTCGCAGGACAATGCTCCCACCCCGACTGGCATCGCAAGTTTCCATGATATGATGTATTCGCCTGATGCCCTCGCCCTGGAAGCAAACATGTCCTACATGGCGACTTATCACGACGGACTGAACGACTCCGATTCCTGCGTCATCAAGAGGGTTAAAGACCCGAATACCAGCGCCTCCCTCACAGCGGAAGAGGAAGATGCATGGCTTGAAACTGCCGAGCGAGTGCGAACCAATATCTTCGACGGCAAGATTCTAAATGACCGACCGAAATACCTGTCGACGTTTGAGAGACAGATGCAAACGGACCTTCGGCGCGAAGATCGCAGAATAGGCAAAGAGCGTACCGTGACCATTGATGGGTTCCAGGTATCAAAGGAGAGTATCGCATTCAACGATCTGAAATCACCAAAGAGCCCTTCCTTTGGACCAGCAAAGACCATCAAGACTCCCAGACTAGTGCATGAAGATGTGCGTACCAAACCCATCCACTTGTTCCAGGCCACGTCTAACCCCACCAGACCTGCTTCGTGTGTCGTAAGCGCAACACGACAGACTGTGGCGTCTGCCCGCGATCTTTCCATTGGAAATGTCTCGGCTCCAAGGGCAGAGAAAGTCGCCTGGGACTGGGGCTTACCTGTCCATCTCATTACTGCTGCCAGTGTGATAGGACGGCCCCTCAAGCGGGTGGACTCCTTTACCCATGCATCCATTGCGAAACGGCATACTGCGAACGCTGTCTTACCTGGGACGAGACGGAGTTTATTGGCGATTGCGATGCATATGCGGACATGGGTTATTCGCCCAGCAATGCGTTCTACATTCGTTGCCAGCGTTGCAGGGGGAGTGCGGGGCGAAAGCGACTTTTGGTGTCTAGTCATTTCTCTTCTCCAAAGCGCGTCAGAGACCTGTGATCTGGAATGCGCGGACAACTATGAATGAGCTCTTTCTTGGTTTTGGTATGGTCAACATGAAGTTGGGCATGAACCTGGCTGTACTTGGGGTTTTTGTCCGCAGATTGTATTGACGATCAAGTTTAGATACAAGAATTGACCATTTTGATCTCGCAACATACTGCAGTCTCATAGCACCCTACAGATCCATGGGATCCCGGCGGGACCGGACCGGACCGTCTGCGGACCACGGAAATCTATTCGCAATAGACCACAATAGTCCACGGACTATATCCGAACTGGGACCGTCTGCAACACTCGCCGCGGATCATCCTTTTATTTCCGTGGATAGAATGACGGGATTTGACTGACAGCCGAGGTGCGGGTTCTCCCTATCCCTATCAAGGGTTGTCACAAATACTCCGAGTGGGCCGGGCATTCGATTCATTCTTGAAGCATGGAATGTCGACTCCGTATGTGGCATGATGTCAGACTCTTATCCCATCCTACCTATCCTCTGATCGCGACAGGGTTAAGCCTGGATCATATTACGACTGCACTATCACAATAACGCACCGCCGATCCCACCAACCGATCGCACTACGGAGTACATCCTTACTCCGTCCCTGCCCCCCAGAACCGTTAGACCCCGATTGCATGATTCAAACATCTGCAACAAGCCAGAAAGGGACGCAAGACGCACGGGGTACACATACTCCGTACATAACCATCCCTGGACACCGTTGAACCTTAACAGCATGACAGCGACACCCACTCCCTCCCTACATTCCACTCGTCCGTCCTCAATAATAATACATACCTACATAATAATATGAAGGGCATCACACGATCGCCGCTCCAGCATCGGAGCTTACCCAAACAGGCAGGAGACTAAAGCAGCCCTGCGCGGGCTTTAATATAGCAATCCGTACTCCGTAGTTAGGTACTCTGCCGGTATTCCGCCCGCCATATAGACCAGTCACAGCCAGCCCGTTGCGAAGCTTCTCCTTCTCCTTCTACCTCTGGATAGTTACCATGCCACATGGGTCTATCTGCACAGGTACGGGGCCCAGTCGACAGGACAGCTAAGAGGGACCCGTCCGCGTAACGGGCATGATACATCCGACGGGACTGTCCCGTCCAATGCGTCTGGTACGTCAACGTCCGTGTCAACCTCACTGTCGGGTCAGCCACCCGTTTGCCTTGCGACCGTGCGCTGCGATGCACTGCGCTGCGCGCTACCTGTCCAAAGCCAACCCAGATCCCGGACTAAGGAAGACGACAGGCCAGACCCCATCTGCGTGTGCGCTGTCTCGGCTCCGGGGTCGCCGACCCGTCAGTCTGGAACCCGTCTGTCAGGAGGATTCGAAAGTGGACGGGTGGATGGATGGCCCGTCTGGATTGGAATCTGTCGCTTGCCGTGTTGGTCTTTGAAGGAGCCCGGGGTTTGGTCGGTATTTGCTACATTCCTTCGTTAATTCTCCTGGACGATGTGAGGATTTACATGTATGCAAGATCATCGCTGGGGATCTAAAATAGTCTACTCCGTAATTAATCGTGGTCCTATCAGGGGTTACGGAAATAATAGTCTGGAACAGGCACTAATGTATTGACGTTTAACGATTATCCACACCCGCATGGAGTAACTACTACATCGGGGCCTACTCCCCGTCCGTGTCTTACACTATCGGGCACTATCTGGTGGCACGTAGCCCCAAGCATCATTCCAGACCAGCCCCTCTCTCGTTCGGTGGGCTGGACTGTCACATCGCCATCTTGGAGTCTGTCCGAGTCTAGGCGTCGTAATCGATCGTGTGCGAGTCGTTCGTCGTATACAAGACTCAACTCCGGTTACACGGATAGGTATCTCAATTAGAGTCACGCAATAGTGCCCTCGGGGCTGACGCTAGGCCAGCCAGGGACAAACGTAGTATTCAAAACGAGAGCTCATCCAGGAGTCCATCTGTCGACTTCATCCTGTCATCGGTAGAGTAGGGGGACAACGCTAAAGAGTGTGTATGCAATCTTGCTGTCGAGAGGGGAATCAAACACGCCAATGATGATGCAAAACAACTGCAGGGCAATAGCACAAAACATCCACATTCCAGAAACTATCCGGCGCTCAGCTTGAGGCCATTCAATCGCTCCTCTACCCGCTTGACAATCTCCGGATCGGCTTCCGGTTTCCGTTTCTTGGGTCTGGGATTCGTCAGTCATCGTCCGCCAGTAAACCAGTGGGCACACGTACGGGTCTCGTATAGTTTCCGGTCCTCTCTCTTGGCCACAGGTCCCGCATATCTTCACCCCGGCCATGTACATGGTGGAGCATTTGTGACAATAGTACCGCACCCGCTGTCGGGGTTTCTTGAAGGTCCGTGCAGGGAGCTCCTTCGGGGGATCCGCGTCCCCAGGATAGCCGTCGGGGTACTTGTGTAACTTGGGTCTGAAACGGGTCAGTATGATGGGGCCAATGGACCGGTCGGGTGACGTACGGGTCTCTAGGACAGATCTTGCAGCGAATATGATGGCAGCTGGCACACTCGGTCGCCCCCGCAGCAAAAGTCGTCTGGCATCGATGACAGGTGCGCCGGACCCGCTGACGAATGGGCTTGCGAATGAGATCCTGACCGCCCGTGCGCGAGGGAATGGTCAAGGGCGGCTCCCGGATCTTCGTGGGCACGGCGGGCGTCTTGCCCTTGGCCACCAGCGTATGGAGGGCGGTCTCGGTGTGGTCCTGGGTCTTGGCCGGCGGATGACGAGGACACTTCTTGCAACGGGCGTGCTGGCAGTTGACGCAGACCTTGTTAGGGCCGAAAGTGGTCTGGCAGCGGTGGCAGGTGCGGCGGACACGCATGCGGATGGGCTTGGTGACGCGCTTGACGGTCATGTCGCTCGACGACTTCCACTCGCCCGGCTCCAAAGTCATTCCATATTTGGCAAACAAGGCGCGGGCGCGTTCCTCCTGGATGGCGCTCCAATGGGTCAACACGGTGGGCTCGGGGGCCGGCTTGCGCACTGGCTTCTTTGCGGGCACGGGGGCGGTCGTGGAGGGTTTGGGGCTGCATGCAAGTTAGTATGGGGCGAGACTGCAGGCGGTCGAAAAGGGAAGGTCGGGCACATACGCCGTGGGCGTCTTGGATTGGGATGCGGCGGGCGTCTCCTGCACGCTGGCGGGCGGCGCGGACTTGGAGGTCGAGCTTCGCTTCAGGACGGTGCGCATGCGTTTGATGTACTTGGACAGACCGTTGTCGTCACCCTGCTGGGTGGGATCCTGCTGAGCCGACATTTTCGCGGTCGGAATTTAGCTCGAAACAGCGGGGTGGTTGCGTTAGAGAGAAGACATCGATCGGAGACGATTAAAATGACGATAAGGATATATCGTAAGGATAGTGTTGGGTGGAAAGTAATAATAGTCGTGTCGTATGTCGATCAAAGGCCGATTTAGTTTTCTCGATTCATGCTATTTGGAACGTGGTGTTGTGCTGAATTCCAACGGTCGGCGAAACCAAGGATGGGGAGAAAAGGTCGACGAGGAGCGAAGGCGCCAGACGACGGACAGGAAACCCAAGCAGCGTATAGTCGAGTCGGTGACACGGAACCAGCAGGCTGGGAGAGCGACCCAGCGAGACGGTGAGCTGGGAAACCCGCGGTGCAGGGTCTGCACCAGATTGATTGGCTGACAGGCGGTCAGATCCAGAGACCAGCTGGACAGGCGACAATCCACAGAGACGGTCTGTCGGAGAAGATTCAGACGGGGAGAATCCTCGAGGGAGTGATGTTGGAGGAGACGGTGACGACGGAGGATGGTGATGAAGTGGGAGAGACCACGGAGAAGAAAAGGGAAGAGAGGGAACAGAGGAAGCGGGTGGATGAAAGGGCAGAAGCCGAACGATAAATACAAGCCGATTAAACTTTCTGGGGCCGAGCGAGAGGGGAGGGTTTTATTTTATTTTATTTTCTTCTCTTCTAAGTATTCTATTTATTATTTAATGAAGAATTAAATAATAAATAAAATAAACTAAATAATAGAGGAGTATATAGCTACTTTATTTTATTTTATTTTTGTTTTACTGTCAGTCTGCACAGAAGACTGCCTGACTCCGACGTGAAGCCGGCTCATACTCCATGTGGAAGGAGATGCCTCCCTAACTCTCCCCTAGGACCCCCGCCAGTCACCAAAGTAACTTCCAAAGGAATTCGCTCCGGGGTCCTCCCCCCGTGATTGGTGACCCAAGTGGTCCCGCTCCACTCCCTAACGTTTAGCGCCGCTTCCGCTATCCCGGACGCAGTTAGCCACTCGGCGTCCTCACATACCGTCCTCCGTGCTCTGTACACAGTCCTGCCACTGGAGGTAACTAAGAGCAAACCCCGACAGCTTTTACTCTACATCTGTATAGTTCCTACATTCTCTTCCATTTATGCGTACAAGAATTAACTGCGCCAATATCATCTACTCCGCATCTCGTCATCTCGCATCCATGGATCCCGACAACGGAAGTGACCCATGGATGGGCACACCCTATCGTGACTAGCATGACTACTTCCAGCGCTGGCACCACCCCTAAACACCGCCATTCAGGAGGAACATGACTCGGCCGGCGTGCCCCGTCCACCTCTCCTCCTCCACCAGCCAACATGCCAACGGGGCTATAAAAAGATCGGCCATCGTATCAGCCCATTCCAGGTTGTCAGTGGAGTCGCATACATACTGGTTCGGGTATGAGATCGAGGTCAGAGATCTCCTTCTCCTTTCTTTGTACTCCATACTCCGTACTATACTTCGTACTCGGGAGTATATCCAACAATATAATTGTCTGAAAGAGAATCATGTCCTGCCATAAACTCCTCAACTTCATCAGGTCAAAATCCCAGCATCCAGACCACATGGACTGCGAACGGTTGATCCCCGCCTGCTCCTTGCCTTCAGAACAAAGAATCATCCGGAACGGTATTCACTTGCATCTCTTCTGCAAGCCAACGACAGGGGAGTCGGACAGGGGGGTCTACCAGGGGCAGCCAGAAAAAGCAATATTCTCGCCTCGAACTCCTCTGCAGCGCTGACCGATCGGCTCGGATCCATCGTGCTAGTCCCGTAGAACATAACTCATCTCCCTATGCAGCTGAGCATACATACAATCATATAGTGCGATCCTTCTCCTTCCTTTCTTTTTTCTTCTCGGCTTGGTCCACCGTTCCCCATGACGGCATCATGGAACGGACCGGTTTGCTTTCTAGACGCTTGTCCAGATGCTTCGCCCCGTACAAATGCGTAACCCCTCCCGTCAGGACACCTGCTCGGGTCACTCGCGCCGACCGCGACCAGGATGTGGCTACGCGAGTTGCCCCTTTCGTCCGTGCATGCTGCACGCCAGTCACCACCACGCAACGCAAGTGTAACGGCCTCATGCACGCCGGGTATCCGGTGTCTCCATCGCCACGGGGGATGGTTGCCGTTGCCATGGAGGGAGGGAGGAGAAACCTCATGGAGGGCAGAAGTTGCATGGTTCCTGCCGTCCCATGCAGATTGACGCCAGAGTCTCGGAGGAATCCTACCTCTCAGGTAAAAAGGCGGTGGTTCTCCACCCGTGGCCTGACCGGGGGTTCAGGCGTCATTCGACGGGTGTCTGATCCAGGTGGCGGTAGTAGTTAGTTAGTGGTGATGGATGCGATTCTGGCGTGCTTCCACGGCAGGGTCCACCACAAGTCCTCCGTACTCCGTGCAGACTGACTACGGAGTATGCATCTCCCAACCGCCAAAAGTACTCCGTAGCGAACCGGACCATCTCGCGACGTGTTCTTGTCATCATCTCCACTGGTGGAGTTCCCAGGCAGTCGTGGTGGTCAGTGCCTGGCCGAGAGGCCCAGGTCACTGGGTCCGTCTGCCTATCATCAGCGGTATCGTGGACACTAGGGATTTGAACCGTCCGATCTGTGGGATGCCCAGTGGGCCCCAATCACAGGCGTCCTCCGAGTCGCTGGGACTGGACATGCTGGTCGCTTGTCTGGAGGTGTTCTTAGCCTAACCGAGTCGCCATATGGCACCTCCTGATGCTCCACTGCGGGGCCTCGTATGGCACTAGTAATTGTTCTCCAATGCCCAAACCAGACAGGGGTGATGGCCGACGATGCTAGTAGTTCTGCAGGTCTATCATGTTGATCCTGTTCGTGCGTCTTGGCTTCGACTGATTCATGAGTATGATTCCCATCATGTCAAGGGCTTGTTCAGGAGTGAGTTGTTGATGTCCGTTGTAGCTATGTCTTATGGGCATGTTAGGCAGGTAGGCCGACTATCTGTACGCTTGGTCACATGATCAGATGTTCCCGACCATTTGACTTGTACTAATGCTCGATATATATCTACGGACTACATACATCTCCCCGTTAAGAGGGGATATCTCAAATCCACTATTCTACCATTACCATCACGAGCAGCTGGTATCTGATTGCAAGATAATATATATCACATTAGTCAAAGTTTGCAATAGTGCCTTGTGTGGATATCGTGCACATGAGTTGCCTTTGAGCGTTATATCCCTTGCGTTGCACATCATCTGCGGCTTTGAATGCTATATATATAACATGTCCCTAATGCTAGAGGTGCGCGTTTCCATGACAGTGATAGAAGACAAAGGGTTGCTGCCAAACACGGTTTATATATTCTGTACAGTACAAGCGGCGGCGGAATACACACTCTATCCCAGCTATCCAAGCTGTCGTGCAAGTAACCAGGAATTGAAGCAGCACATGCGATATGCCGATATACCTACCTAGTAGGTACCTATGACCATGACTAACGCGCATAACGAACCAACACTGTCATTCAACGAATCTAATCAAAGAACGCCAGTCCATATATCACCTGTCATAACATTATAACGAAAAATATACCCCCTAATCCTCGCCTTGCAGCCTCTTCTCAATACAAAGAATATCATCCTCCTCATGGACCTCAATCACGCGCTGTACCTCAGCGTTGTTGCGCATCAACTCCACTGCACCAGCATACTGCATCCGCATGGACGGGTTGCAATTCTCAGGGAGGTAGTAGAGCAAAACGTACGGCACCGTGAGACGTCCAGAAGCCTGTCCAGAACAAGAATGAGTTTGTTTCCGCCAGATGGCATAGGCCAGTGCAATCATACCAGGGTCAAGGGGTAGCTCAGGAGGATAAACCGGGGAGAGGATTCGGGCAGCTCATCGGCGAGATCATCCATCTTGGTGTAGACTTCGCCATCTTCGGGTCGGATCTCTTGGGTCTCTTTGTCGATGATGTCTATCGCAGCGGTCAATCTTGTGCGTTATGCCAGCGGGGGAGAGCGCGGGGGGTGCGTCGGCGCGGAAAGACGGGTCCTACAGATGATGGCCTGGGGATCTTTTGCCCGCGACGTCCCCAGACGGAACTTGCGCAGCTTCTCCTTCGTCTCCGGAGAGAAGGTGTACAACCTGGACTCGGACTGAACCGACTCAGCATGTGCGGTGCTGTCATCAAGGGGCGCGGGGCAGACTCACCATGGTGGATGTGCGGGGGACGACACCAACGGACAGAGAGTTGAAACGGCCGAAAAGAGCTGGCAAAGACCCCGAATACGAATCCAGAGACCAAACCGAGCCTTTGTCAGGGTGTTGCGGGGGGGAAAAGTCCAGACACGAGAAGAAATGCGGCCACCGACAAGTTCCCCACCAAGTCACGCCGCACCTGGAGATCATTCTTCCGCCCGCACTCCATCTGCCTCCGCCGCAGCCCTTCATCTTTCTCACCTTCCCTCCCCTCCCCTCCTTCATATTCTTTCCTCCCCATGTTCTCTCGTCTCACCCAGCTCACTCGCCATCTCGCCCGTCCGTCAATCACCCCCGTCGCCGCCTCGTCTTCCCTATCTCCTCCCTTGTCTCCTCTATCTCGTGCCGCACCGCCCAAGATGACATCATCCGCGGTGGAAAACAGTCGGAAGACGATACACACGGCGGCGTGTCTGATCATTGGGGATGAGGTGCTCGGCGGAAAGGTACATTCCTGCACATCGATACATTGATATCATCTGCTTCATATTAATTCATCGTCTTACGATTTCCCTATGCTTGACCCAACTAATCGCTCGGCCCAGACAATCGACACCAATTCCGCCTTCTTCGCCAAATTCTGCTTCTCCCTGGGCATCCAGCTCAAACGCGTGGAAGTAATCGCTGACGATGAGAGCGAGATCATCGAGGCGGTCCGGCGCATGAGCAACAATTACGATTTCGTCGTGACCAGTGGCGGCATCGGGCCCACGTCTGTCTTCCCTCTCCTTCCCTTCCTTCCCATCCCAGCGTCAAACTAACATATCCATATTCCAGCCACGACGACATCACCTACGAATCAATCGCCAAAGCCTTCGGCCTAAAATTGCAACTGCACCAACCCGCCTTCGAGCGCATGAAGAAGCTCTCCAAGCCGCACCCCATGCAACCCAAGTTCGACTGGGACACGCCATCGCCGGGGCTCACAGCTAAACTGCGCATGGTCGAGCTGCCGTACGACCCCAATCTCCCCGCGGAGCAGCAGGCCCTCTTCGTCGCCGACGACATGTGGGTGCCCATCGCCGTAGTCAACGGCAATGTGCACATCCTGCCGGGCGTGCCGCGGCTGTTTGAGCGGCTGCTCGAGAGCCTCAAGCCGGCGCTGCTGCCGCGGTTGACGAACCCCGAGGGCAAGGGCATCTACCGGTACCTGTTTAGCACGCCGCTGCCGGAGAGCGCGGTGGCGCCCTATCTGACCGATCTGGCGACCCGCGCAAACCCCAAGGGGATCAAGGTCGGGAGTTATCCGCGCTGGGGGAAGAAGCGCAACACGGTGACGCTGGTCGGGACGGATCAGGAGGCGATGGATTCGCTGGTGGCGGAGGTTGAGGAGAATGTCCAGGGGAAGCGGGTGGCGCAGGAGGATGAGCTGGATCCTCCTGACGAGGAGTAGATGGCTCACGCCTTTTCCTTTCCATGCTGTACATTCATCTTGGTACGTGCTGACACGTACAATGCGCGATACAGACGATACACGGATCTGAGCAGCCTAAACCCATGGGGTCCGTCTGAACATGAAGAACTTAAGAGTCAATGTCCATGTACGTTGAAGGTCAATCTAGCAATCTAGCAATGATAAGTAGACCAACAAGAAGAGCAAGGAAAAAGAAATCCAGACCAGACAATAGCATGTACCTATATAACCGGACAGATCTATTGACAGGCCAGTCCTCGTTCCGCCTCCAAGGTCATCCGGAACAGACTTTAATAAACCAAACAAAACAGAGGAACAAAGGGGGAATCGAACAGTCATGGAGACGATGACGGTGTGGGGATAAGAACAGACAGACAGACATCATGGGGCGCGAGTCTCGTATGGGGTGGTGGTATAAAAGTCACAATCCAAAACGCATCGATCGGCCACCTTCCAGCTGGGTGCCGGCGGCCGTGGGTCCTGTCTTCCAAGTCGGATATACATCTTTTTCTGTTTTCTTCTTTCTGTGCGTGTGGTGGGAGCCGGGCGTGGCGTCCCGTCTGGTATCGATCGACCGGGGGCGTGTGGCCGTTCCCTCCCATCAAATTACATCACAATACACTTGCCGCAGCAGCCGGCGTTGTCGCCGGGTTCGCTGACGTCCATCTTGCCTTCGGGGGCGCGGGAGCCGAATGCCCCGGAGCCAGAGGGGTAGGAGGACATTTCCTTGTTGTAGCGGCGAATCTCGCGGACAAGGTCGTAGAAGGCGTTTTCGACGTTGATGCGGGACTTGGCCGAGGTTTCGATGAATTTGCAGCCGAACTGGCGGGCGAGCGCTTCGCCCTCTGCAGGGGGTTAGCAGCTATTCGGGGGTTTTGGTGATAGGGAACGAAGAAGGGACCACTGACCCTGCTCGGTAACCACCCGCTCCTTTTCCAGATCACATTTGTTACCCACGACGATGATGGGGAAGTAGTCCTTGTCCTTGACGCGGAGGATCTGTTGTTGGAAGGTCATGATTTCTTCAAAGGACTGACGCGACGTTATCGAGTAGACGAGTAGAAAGCCTTCGCCGGTGCGCATGTATTGTTCCCGCATTGCGGAGTATTCCTCCTGGCCGGCCGTATCGAGGACATCCAACAACGCGACTTCATCGTCGATGACGCACTGCTTGCGGTAGGAGTCTGTTCAGAGAGGCAGGTATAAGTTTCTGAGTGCTTCCGCGGGCCCATTCAGGGGGAGAGGGAGGGCCAAAAATCCGTCCAATTCACGAGGTCGCGCACCTTCAATTGTTGGATCATATTCATCGACGAAATGGCTCTGAATCAATTGGATGGTCAAGCAGGACTTTCCGACGCCACCACCACCAACTACCACCAGTTTGTATTCTCTCAGGAACTGTCGGGAGAAATCATGAGCCTTCGATCATCCTGTAGGGAACGATTGAGTTGACCGAGGAGGCCGACCAGAAAAAGGGAATGAAGATAGCGACTCAGGGGGGGGGAACGTACCTTGGAAGCCATGACGGCGGGATCTGAAGGGGAAAGATGAGTGGGAGAGAGAGAAAGGAAGGGGGATCGGGAGGGAGATGGAAGCTATCCCAACAGCAGCACAAAATTTCTTTTTTTGTTGATGCAGTAGGGACAAGAAGTCAGGGCCCAGGTTGTCGGGAGGGATTGCGCAAAAAAACAGAGACGCTTTCAGGGTCGGTAGTCCACAGTCACGGCGGGTCTAGCGACCTAGGCCAAGCTTAAAGCAGCGGGCGAGGGATGTGGGAGGATCAGGGGGGTTCGTGGAACTTTCGGCGACGGGATTAGGATTGACAGCGCCGAATGTTTGTTTTGTTGGACCACGATTTCCCGGTTGGAGTGGGTGGAGACGGTCCAGAGATCCAGAAAATTGGGATTGTGATGGAGAGAGAAGCGAAGAAAAGAGAAGGGAGGAAGAGGAAGAGGGATGGTAGAGGAGAAAGAGAAGGGGGAAATTGATGATTCAGGAGAGTTTAGAGCAACGAGGAGGTCGGAGAAAGTGGGGAGACTTGATCTTTTTTCTTTACTATATTATATTTCGATTTTGGATGTTTTAGATAATTGATTATTTATTATTATTGATATAAGGCAGTGACCACGTCTCTGGTTCATCCTTCAATCTGAATCAATCAATTAATCAATCATCCAACAATGGTTGGTTTGCCAATCCAACTCCAGGCCCGGTGCGTGGTATTAACCCTCTGACAGCTTCATCTCGGGAAAGGGGAATAACAACGAATAAATGAACTGAGCTTACCTTTCGTCCCATTACTACTCTACTATCTTCAACATTATTATTATTATTATCGTTAGTGCTTTATTCTGATTCCCTCCCCCAACCCCCTCGGGCTCCACGTCCAGCCCATTTTTTCCCAGTGTCCACCAGCTCCCCCTGGATCTCCAACACGCAACACCGCAAACCACCCACCAAACCGTTGCATGTCTCGTCGCCAATCACGGCCACCTGCGGGTGGGTTTAATCACTTTAACTCTGCAAAGGGTGCTGGACATCCCATGCAGGGAATCGAACCTAACCTCGATTCGAATCACATCCTCCGGACGCGGATCCGACGACCTTCCAGTCAGTCCCTTTTGATCTCCCCGCCCAATATGGCACGGCATGCAATCCCATCAAGACCAAGATACATCACAGTCTAAGTTGAACACTGTCGGCGGTGCCCTGGGACCATGTCCAGGGAAAATCGTATAGGACGGGGTCGCTCTCCGTGGTAAGACACCAGACGGAGACGGAGAAACACCCCTCTCCCATCACGGACGTCCGCGACCGTTGCGCGTCCTGCTTCCAGAAGCATTCTCAGCCTTAGGGTACCGCCCATGACAGCTTGTCCGATCTGTCTGTCCTCGCCTTGACATCATCCATTCCCTCCCATCGTCATGCCCTGGCGGCGGGCAATCCGCCTGAATTGCGAGCATTCTGCGCTCTAGGGCTAGCGGACTAACTAATCCACCTTGATCGAGGACCCAGATGGGGGCCTCCCCACGCCTCCACTTCGCAACCGTGATACGGATGGTCTGTGGTCTGATCCCCTATGCGCGACGGAGCAATCCGATGTCGTGACATATCCAAAATAAACCGAATAAAAAAATTGCTGAGGAGGCTCTGTGCAAGCGCTCTGCAGGAGCAAGCCATCCGCGGTATTCGACGTCCCGGTCCCCCTCGACGTCATTGTTCGAGGCCCCTCTCCATATCAATGGATGGAAAAACACCTTCTGCGAACTTGCATCCCCGCTGGAGTTCAATGTATCCTGCAGAAATGGCCTCCGACACTGTTGCGGCCTCTTGCATCAGCGCAGCAGCGTCGGCCCTCCGGTCGACCAAACTACTGCACCGCCAGGCTGATCCTTCTTCGTCGAGAGACGCCGAAGCTCTTCCGTTCGCCCCAGACTCACGGGAGACGGACTCTCTGAAGAACCGTAGTCGTCGCTTGTCGAGCATTCCCTGTCAGACGGGGATCCGGAAAGCATGATGGTCGAGGCACAGCGCCGATCCCGGAAACCATCTCCATGTCGCAAACACGAGTAGAGGGGGAGGTTTGGTGAGGGAGGGTCTGCGCGCGCACGTTAAACATCAAGAAGCATCCTGAGGTGTCATATCCTGCCCCAAGCGTAGCTTTCTATATATGTACGGCGGTAGTCTGTCGCCATGACCTATCCACCCGGTTGTGCCGTCTGCCGTCTGCCATCGGCCGTCGGCCAGACGTCCACCGTACCAGTCCAAACTGTGTCCTTCTGTAGCCTAGGCTGCGTCCCTGCTGGGGATGAGTCGCAGGGCCGATCGTTTGTTTGGGGGATAGCGCAGGAGCTTAGACGCTTGGCACGGACTAGTGCGTGGTGTTAGTGGCGGACCTCGTGTCTCTACCGCCCTTTTTCCCTTTTTTCCCTTCCTTTTTCTCCTGGATGAAACCTGCAGGGGCGATGCTTCTCGAAGATCGTCGTCCGTATCCGTATCTTCTTCAGTCATGCAAAGCATGCTTTATCCCACCTCATAAATGACGTCCGTTTCTGACACACTCTAATCGAGCTCGTATTCGAATTCTATCCCAAATGACATCATGGTCGTGTTTCACGCGGATTCACTCTGACCCAAGGTGAAGTCCGTCCGAGATCAGTGCCAAATCCAGGAAAGAGACGCGTGCCGTCGCTACTAGTCACAGTGCGTGATGGGATTCTGGCCAGACGGGACGCAATGCAACATCCAGTAGTAACAATCACTTTATTTCGTCCTCGCTGACTGGCGAGCGGGATGCCCGTCCATCCTTGGGGCCGTGGGAGGAACCTCGAATCTCGTCACGTCGGGCTGGCCCTATCACAGGGTTCACTTGGCCCATGGCCCTTGGTCGGGACAGCCACCGTGGCTTTGGGTGGAGTCTGACTTCATTCCCCCTTTTTTTGGGGGGGGGGGGGGGGGGGGGGATGCGCCAGACCTGGGATATCGCGGATGTCGGGCTCGGTATATCTGCAAGACTACGTTGTAGACAGCTTTGTTGTTTGCGCCGGTCGTCTATTCCGTTGACGCTCGGACACGTAGACTGCAGGCCAGTTGTCTGTGTTTACCATGGCTGGCCTGCGTTGGTAGTTGCATGCTTCGATGGCTATAGTCCGATGTATTATGGGCGTGGTTTGTGATTGCTTGTCATTCAACGTTGCTTCTATACTATGTATATCCGATTCTTTCTACGTCTACCATCCTCCATGCAGGTCCCTTATCTAAGCCTTCTTGTGTACCGCCGTAGGCGAGGCCTATCCAGGGTTAGTCTTCGTATCCCGCCAAGGACCCGGTGGCTGAAATGGCTGCAGACACGTGCTGTCATACTTACCTGGTGGCTGGGGAAAATCAGGGTATCGGCAATCACCACGTTCTCTCGGCGACCCGCCGCAAAGACGATGACTTCGGCAATGTCGTCGGGGGTGAGCGGCTCGCAGTTCCTACATATCCGTCAGCAACATCGTCCCCATTACAACGAACAAATACCCACGCATAGACAGCATCCGCCTTCGCCTTGTCCCCGTAGAAGCGCACGACCGAGAACTCCGTCTCGACCTGACCGGGATCGATCTCGATGATGCGGATTCTCGTCGCGATCAGCTCCTTCCGCAGGGCGTCCGTGAACGACTTGACGGCGGCCTTGGTCGCGCAGTAGATGCTGCCGCCGGGGTACGCCTCACGGCCGGCAATGCTGCCAATGTTGATGATGTCGCCGCGTCCGCCGTCAGGTCTCTGCTTGAAGATGGGGAGGATCGCCTGCGTCATGCCAATCAGGCCGTTGACGTTCGTCGCGAACATGATGTTGATATCCTCGGGATCGATCTCGGGGGCCTTGGCGACGCCGCGGACCAGGCCGCTGCCCCAACGCACGTTAGCATGCATCCTCTTCGTCTCCGCCCGTCCGAATGGCTATGACTCACGCATTGTTTACCAGCACATCAATGTCGCGGAACTCCGCCGGCAGCGAGGGCACAAATTTCTGGACCTCGGCGGGGTTGCTCACGTCCAGCTGCACGGGCAGCGTCTTGACGCCGTCGCCAACCTCCTCCTTGATTTCCTGCGCGAGCTGGTTCAACGAGTCCAGCCGGCGGGCCGTGAGGATCAGCTTGAGGTTGTTGGGCGCCGTGCGGGCGAACTCCTTCGCCGTGCTCCGGCCGATGCCCGACGAGGCGCCGGTGATGACAATGGTCTTGCCCTCGAGGCGCTTGGCCATGGCGGATGCCATTGTGCGGTGCAGAGTGGTGGGTTGGATGAGGGGGGTGAAGGGGGTTGCGCGCGAGAGTGCGGAGGGTGATGCAGGGGACGGGGAGGTGAGACGTCGTAGGAATCCAATGGAGCTCCGGTACGCTTGGAAATGCTTCATACAGTTCCTGTTGTCTGGGGATCCTTTGGAGGGCGAATTCTAAGGGATAGCGGAAGAATGACGCCAGTGGAGGGCAACCGGACTTATATGAGCGATGATAAGGCCGGTGTGCGGGGAAGAGCCGATTTCGTGATTCGGCATCGGGGGCGGGGCGAACCCCGGTTGAAGGTTTGGCCGATCGGACTTTTATCCGAAGTAGGACGTACATAGATCTTAGGTGAGTACTTTTAGTATGTAGGTACGTTTATACTAGATATTATAGATGATGTCTCTATAAGATATTGCCTCTTATGGTGCTGATTGCAAAGCGTTGAAGCTATCACTGGATCGGTTCTTTGTCGCCCACAGCACACATAGACTGCCACACGCAACTCCTGTACTGGATCGAGACTCACCGTAGGTACGACTTCAATATATTGGGATATATGACTTTGGACTGTTGGACTGGGGTCAGTTTGAATAGGATCATTTGTTAGATCCTGTCTTCGGCGCTGAGGCAGAGATAGTCATCTCAGGTCGATTTCTCTCCCAAGTTGTCCCAAACAAGTTACAAACCTATAGGAACAGAAAACCTATGTTCTATACTTTTCAGAGTACTAGGTAGATTGAGTGATAGGTACATCAGGGATTTGGGATCAATAGAGATACCTTGTAGCCTTCAAAGCACTACCTGGTATAGATCGTCATGGGGAAGTCACATGGACAGGGCGTGACTTGCTGAAAGACAAGCAAGAAACCTCAGGAAGACAAGATCAGGACCCATTGTATCTGCAGAGGCGAATATCGTTGTCTCATACAATGCACTTTGTTGATGTCATTGTTTGGGCCGGGCTTGTGACAAAGCACCCAACAAAGGATTGCGTCGACGTCGTGATGGAACTTCAACCCTGCCACCTCAACCTTCCCAGCGTCTTTGATCCTCCCTCCCAATACCAGCTACTCAACCATTCTCCAATACGACCCGTGCTTCACACGTTCACCAACGTATAATCCTTTGAACATTCTCATTCTGTTTGAGTCGTCCTGATCTCGATCTTGAACACTCTGTGACACTTTCTGGTGAGTCTGTCAGAGCTCTGGCGTGACCCAGCCATCACCCTTTGATATTTCTTGATCTAACAACGTTCGTCTATACTGTTGTCTTCTGTTGTTATCAACATGGAGGAACTAAACTGTCTTTTGCAGGAGGTAAGAACGATCCCCCAAACCCCTCACCTTCACTCATCCATCCTGACAAGATGCTGACACCATCCTAGCATCTTGATGACCTCCTGAAGCCTGGCGAGGCGTTTGACTGGGCAGAAGAGGTAGAAGAGTCCCTCACTGACTACACATCCGACGACGAACACTCCACCTTCATGACCGACTCCACCACGTTCTCAGATACAACCTCCGCCCACTCCTCCGAGATGCACGTACCAGACGACATCCGGGCAGAAGGGGTAGAAGAGACCCCCACAGTCGAGGTTCACGTACCAGACGATATCCAGGCAAACGTATACAATGAGTCCTTCTACATTGGTTGCAACCCATCAGACCCGTACCCTAGACCAGAACGTTTCAAGCCAAGCCTCTACACGATTGACGAACTTGATGAGTTACTGATGGAGGAGAACCAAGAGCCAGACATGACTGATGTCCCGGGGTCAGACGATGAAATCGAGGATCTGTTCACACAAATTGAAGCCCACCTGAATTCTGAGCCCGACATGACGGATGTCCCAGCGTCAGAAGGTGAAATCAAGGATCTCTACACACAAATCGAGGCCCACCTGGATGCTGAGCCCGACACGACCGATGTCCCGGTGTCGGACCGTGATATCAAGAATCTCTATACACAAATCGAGGCCCACCTGGATGCTGAGCCGCATGAACCCTCTCCACCTCCGCCTTACGACGACGGGCCCACTCGATCCTCTAAACCGCCCAAATTGAAGTCGAAGATTGCGAGGCTCATGCGTGTGGGCATATCGGAGTGTTTTCGTTGGGTTTATACACTTTTGGAACCTGTATTACCTTAAACGTGTTGTTTTTGTGGGTTTGAGCGATATAGAGCATTGGTATAGATGGCCTGTGGTGTTTACTTCATGTTTACTATTACTATCAGTTAGATTACTGTTAGATAGATTACTATTACTATTAGTAAGATGTGTGTACGATACTATAGAGCCAAAATCACATCACTATTTGCTCATACATATTTGCATGCTGTTGATCGCTAGGAGCATTCCCCATACTGATTGATAAGCCTTTCGCCGTAACCGAAGCCTTCGTTTTCCTTTGTCCTCCCATGGAGAGGGATCGCCGCTCGTGGCGTCCGCTAACATGAACGGCTTGACAGACTAGTCATCATGCAACTCTCCACCATGCTACTATTGATCCTCTTTATTCCCTGTTCGGCATTGAGCGGAACAGCTAGCCTGTTTGCGCGGTTTCCTCCCATGTGGTGATGCTCACGCCCCATCTCGACAGCCGACGATGATCTCCATTAACCAACTACACCTGGGATTTGTATGCGACCGCATCTGGAGATTCCCGTGGGATATCGCTGCTCCTCTTACCCGGCAGTGCGAATGGTGATGAATGAAGACGCAGTTCCGTAGGAGGACGGTGTCCTGTAAGATGACCTGCCCAGTTCCAATTCCACTCTACGGAGTATCCAACAAGAAGCCTTCCAGGATGACTAAACCAACTTGGTTTTCCCTCACCAGGATCTCTTTGCTCCCTACGCTGGGAGCTCACGCATGTTCAACTGGCATCGGTGAATTGGCTCGGCAGGTATCTCCAGCCACACAAGGGCTCCCATCAGGCAATCGTTGCCTCTGAGACCAGACCAATTTCCATTGCGGCTTAACTACAGAATTCCGAGCGATGCATGAAAATACAGTCTGGGGTCGAGGGGAGAAACACTAAGCGAGAACTCCGGGGACCAGGATCAGGATGGTTCTCCAGAAACAAGCGACACAGTTCCCCCTGAGGGACTCTGCGCGCCAGGACTGATCGGCATTGCTTGAGGCACGAGATGGAGCAGGGTTTCAATGAAAAACATGATTTGATTCGCCAAGTTACGATAGCGTCCTGGTTAGCGCGTCGTTCGCGACAGGACAATGCGGCTCAGGCCAAGACAAACCGGCAGACGCCACCGCTGTCTATTGATCCTCGGCGTTTGGGAAGCTCGGCTCTTTCTTCTCCCTGCAGATCTTCTTAAAGGGTCAAGCTTCTGATGGGATCTCTTCCCGAGGTCGGCGATTGAGGTCGATGTCATGCAGGAGCTGACCCTTCTAGTGGCGAGCAGTTCGGGGAACCTCCAACACCAACTCGGTTATTCGGCGCTGCATTACAAATGAGGCCTGGAAGCTTGTCTACCAAAGCGGATCCTCGGTAATGTGAGAACTTTCGCGGAGCTGAGTTCCTGAGAAACTTCAATAGTCCTCGTGCAGGCTAGCGCCTCGAGGATGGATGTATGGACGCATGATCTTCCTGTCAATCTCCGAAGATAATGATTTGTGGAGACCCCTCGGCATCTGACTGTTACCCACGCAATAATACGATCATATCCGGAGGGACTTCATGGGACCAGACGTCTTAGCTATCAACATCCTACATTGTCAACGAAGTTTGTAGGGAGCAACATTCTGCTTGACAATACTATAATCGATCCTCGGTTCCCTCGTCGAGTTACATTCGGCATCATCACGTAGGCAGCGAACAAAGCATTGCTTCGAACCCACTGACAGAACGCGTCGTGGAGCGGGCAGCAAATCAGCACCGCCGACAGCGCTAAACCCTCACCAAATCTCCACAATGAGTCTTCCGACTTACACCACACTAGACCGCACCAGGCAGGTGTCGCAGAGCAGGTGGCTCCTGTCTTGGAACGTTTACCCAAAGCAGATACTTCTGAAAAACCAGTGACAGGGCGCCGGTTCTCTTGGATGACGACGGCACCACAGTGGAGTCCGGTTCTGCGACTAGTCTCTAGAACCGTTCTACCCTTGAACCATTGCGATTGGAAAGCCCACTTTGTTCAGGGTGATGACGTGAAATCAGGCTCAATTCTCCGGTGGGATTGCATGCAGCTGCACGCGCTATTGCGTACCATCATACCATGGCTCAGAACATGGACTAGTGATGAACGAGGCTCAGGCCGTGCTCCCCACGGGTCCTCCAGGAAGATCATACATAGTCTTGATGGTTAAAAGACCCTTTCTATCCGTCTCGTGTCGGCACCACGTTCTACCTCCACTCTCCTCGACTCTCATTGCTGTTACGGTCCTTCCATGCGCTCCGATCCATGATAACCTCTGGTTGAGATACCCGAGGCCTGTCTGGATACATGGGGCTGCATACTTAATTCACTTCTGATTTTGATTTTTGCACACAAACCACACTCCTTTCCATACATAGCGCACACATTATTTCATTCATTACTTCCACATACGCATCATGGACGACACAACGCACAACAGGCTATTCGCGCGGAGTCCCGGCGATGGAGCAGCCCGAGGCGAACGAGCACTGGTGGTGACAGCCGTGCTGACTGGACTTGCCATCCTCGTCGTCGGTATGCGGTTACTCGCTCGAGCTGGTTTGATGAAGTTCATGGGTCGCGAGGACTGGACGATTCTTGTTTCTCTCATCTTCGCCGTCGTCTACCTCGCTCTTGTCTGCGCTGGTACGCCGGTCCCTACTCCCGCATCTTATAGCAACGACAACGCTAACCCACCCACAGAGGTTCACTTCGGCCTGGGCATGCACAAGTCCGAACTCACCGACTACCAGTTCAAGCAACAACTGAAGGTACGCCGTGCTGTGTGAGAAAGCACACACCCATTCATCACCCAAGGCCGTCCATATTAATGACCTTCAGCGTCTATGGGCCGCCATCCCCTTCTACAACGCCAGCCTGTGCACCACCAAGTTCTCCATCCTGTTCCAGTACCTGCGTATCTTCCCCGACAAGCGCTTCCGTCTCGCCTGCTACATCGTCATGGTTATCGTCGCCGCCTACGGCACCTGGGCTGTCGTCAGCGCCTTTGTCAACTGCCTCCCCGTCGCCCGCTTCTGGGACCCCTCCGTCGGCGGCTCCTGCATGAGTTTCGAAGCCGTCTGGTTCTTTAACGCCTCCATGAATATCGTCACCGACATCACCCTGCTGATCATGCCGATGCCGCTGCTTTCGCACCTGCAGCTCCCGCGCATGCAGAAGTTTGCCCTGATGGGAGTCTTCGCTATGGGCATCCTGTTTGTTTCATCTCCACCTAACCATCGATGCGCAATAAGTAACCATCCCGCAGGGTCGTCATCACCAGCATCCTCCGTCTCAAAAGTCTCAAGGAAGTCGCCTCCGCTACAGACACCTCCTGTAAGCCCTCCCGTCTCCCCTTTTACCAAACACACTCTAACAGATGCTAGGGAGCAACGTCGGCGCCGCCTACTGGACGGCCGCGGAATGCAACGTCGCCATTATCTGTGCCTGTCTGCCCTTCCTCCGCCCCCTGGTCAGCTGTCTCTTCCCCAAATTTCTCTCGACCAACAGCTACAAAAACTACACGCGCAACCCCACCACAACCGGGAGGTCGCGCGCCACCCGCCACAAGATGTCCCAATTTTACTCGCAGGACCGCGAGCTGGGCCTGTACTCCATCGACGTCAAGTCCGGGCAGCGCAGCCCCACCCAGTTCGGCGGCATCGAGGTTATCACCGAGATGGTGCAGGAAACGTCCAACAAGCAGGACGAGTCGACGAGTCAGCGGCGGCTGGTTATGGATCCTTCATGATGAGTTATGTTTCGTCCATTCTTTCGCTCAGTCAGTCATTCTTTATTTTATTTAATGTGTGCTCGGTATACTTTCTGCATGTCCTACTATTACCGTCTTTGACGAGTTGTATATTATGTGGTGCGGGATTAATGATACATGATGATCCAATATCTAATATGCGAGTCTGCATCCTACCTTGTGTTGGCGGATATGAATCCATGGGTCGAGTTGACAGCTCGGGCCGATCCGAGATACCCATGTCATCGGGTATGTACAACGAAAGACAACTACCGAGGCCATAAACGTCCCACCCGTACATTCTAGCGGTGGGCTGCTGCATCAGCGCTTGTACGTGGTTCACGGTTATCATAGATATCACCACCTTCAGTTACCAGTACAGAGGAGTGATTTTCCATGGTTAAGTTGCTTCTAAGCCAGGGGGATATCAAAATTAATCGGCTTGGATTTGTTGCTGTTTACACCAAACGCATCTATTGGGCTTTGCAGACCTGTTCGGCATCCTTCAACTTGGCAGTAGACTTCACAAGTACACCAGAACGGCCCACAACAGCAACTCAAATACCATTCTCTGGTCGAAGATCCCGCTGTTGGTAGAACAGCCAAAGAGAGTAAATCCGTGTATGTTTGAGTACGCTTAGCAACGCTTCATGTTAACGTAGAGTCTTCAAAGAATACTACATTACCATCCTAACCCCAGGGAATGAGGTCCCCAGAGTCTCTCCTTGTCAATGCTTCGTACGAAGGTGCGCGTTCATGTTGTCCTTTCTATTGAAAAGGCGAGTGCATCCTTCTGCCGGGCATTGGAAAGATTTGGGATGCAGATGAATGTGCTTGGTATGCCGCCACAGTTCTGCCTCTCGCTGAAACTGTCCTTTGTGCTTGCAATTCTCCCATCCGCACCTGAAGCCCGTATTATTGCAGCCATCATAGCATCCTCCCATCCGGCATGGATCGGATTGGGGATGCACATGAACGTTCTTGATATGCTGGCGCAGCTCTGCGTCTTGCTGAAAATGCCCATTTTGCTTGCAGTTCACCCAGCCGCATCCAAGGCTTTCATCGTCGCGGCTCTCATCACAGCTAAAACAGGATAGTTAGATCCGGGCTCAAAAAAAAAAAAACAGCATATAGCACACTTGCCCTTGCCGACTGGCGCCACTTTCCGGGCCTTGATCGGTGTTGACACCGTGGGACTCCATAATATTGTCAAGGTCGTCAAGGATAGGATTTGCTTGTGCCAGATCAGATAGCTGGCTGATGGAAGCACTTATCCGATCGAGAACCCTGTTTGGGCTCACAGGGGCAGGGATGTCGTCGATATCGTTTTGGACGTTAAGTAAAGTCGGATTTAGGTAACCATTCTGCAAAAGGGATGGGAAAAGACGATCCTCGAAGTTGGCATTGGCTTCTCCAACATTTTGGTAGTTGGCGGATTCATAGAAGCCAGTCGTGAGCGTCAATTGGTCTCCTGACAGTCCGGCTCCAGGTGAAAAGTCAGGCGTGAAATCGCGATGGTTGGAACTCTCCATGAAAGGCAGTCAGCCAAAGGAAAATAAAGCCAGTCAATCAACGACGCAGACGTCTTTAACAGGTCGCAAGTAGATCTGGCTTTGGGGAAGGTAGAGGGCCTTTATATCTCTGTCCGTCTGCTGCAAAAGTTGCCCTATTTCTCTTGTAGCCCACACATAGTGCCTCTCGAGAGGACTTTTTTTTTTTTCGGGGGCACAAATAAACACTCTCCGTTCCAGGCGTTGCCCATCGCGGTCACATCCTCATTGGAAGCGGGCTGCTAATCGACTGCTCGAAACCTGGGCGCACCGGACAAAGCAGCCCCAGGTGCCGGTTTAGCGAACATACTGGTATGCTAGATGTCATGCTCCACTCACACATCGACACCGCACAGCTCGAGAACACCAAGCCAACTTAGCCCGGGACCTCAGGGAAATTGGCTGCTCCACACAACAGTCAATCCGATTGGATTGCCCTGGAGTACCTTGTACGGGGAGGCACCAGTTCCCTGTCCGGCGGTGCCTGCGATTGGACGGGAGCGCGGTATCAATATTAAACAGGAAGACTTCTGCAAATCTGCATTTCCGTCTTTTCACATAGAGCGTGTATAAATTTTCCATCGTATTTTTTATTACCTTTCTGCCATAATCATATTTTGTTCTTTTTCGTGTCAGCATTGTAGTGCAATTGATCGTGAAGCCAAACTTGGCCACCGCCTCTGGGCGGAGTAGATGGTACATATTCAGGATGGTGACATGGCATACAGAGTGTCCAATCAAAGAAACCCTCATTCTACCCCAGGTGTCCTAGATGCATATAGCATAAACATAATATATTGCTTTTCTGATGTAGCCTACATCTAGAACCTTCTCGGCTATGGACTTTCAACGAGGAGCCCGCCGCAAGGAATTGCAGCGCACCCAGCAATAATGTACCATAACACCAAGATGGAGGGACCACCCAGGGCCTCCCGAGATCACCATTAAGTCGCTTTGTATCTAGACCGGATCAAGGCTTCTCAAGTCTACCGTCCTAGGACTCGACTGAAGCCTTCTATTTTTAATGGAAATTGGATATTCTGTCCTTATGCAGATGTCCTGTTCCTAATCTCCTTCTTTGCTTATCAGAAAATTTGATAGAGATCACCTGTTTGGAATCGGTCGGGTCTTTGTAGTTAAAGCTCGAAAAAAAAAAGACGCTATTTGAATGCGACTCAACTGTCTGCGGCTCGTGAGAGCTGATGGGGGACGAGACAACAACGTGGAGAATTGGCTTACTATCAATATCCAACCTCTCCTTCAACCTGTCTCAGAGAAACGTCCTGTCGGAGAAGGATTTTGGAGATATTCCTACCACAACTGGTCCATTTGGCGCAGACTATGCTCGAACATGTTTGCCAGCGCTCGGATATTTGTACCATGCCTACGTATTAGGTGCAGCACCGAAATTATCTTGATTATAAAGCCAATTAATACGACAGACATGCCACCCGAACCATCTTTTCTTGTAACCCGATCCCGCCAGCGCTGAAATAAACGGAGCAAAGAAGCCAAACTTTTCCCAAATAGAGCACAACCCCTTGTAACGTCGCGTGCAGCGAAGTGGTATCTCGTCAAAACCAACATCTGCGCCAAGTGTATCAATGAACGGAAGAGGAAGATAAGAAGAAAAAGTCGAGGGATAGTAATAGCATGGCTCGTGATTAGAGTAGAAAAATCGATCGTCAATTCATTGCCGTCCCAATTCCGCCAGCTCCCGCTCCTTGGCGCGCAGGATCTCGCGCATCTCCTCCGCCTCGCGTTGGAGCTTCGCCCGTCGTTCTTCCCGGAGGTTGAGCTCTGTGACTCCCGGCAAGGGCTGGTGCGGCTGCTGCTGACGGTTGAGAGCGGCGAGCTTCGGGTCGAGACGGGATTCGTCGTGGAGGTTAGGGTTGAGGATGGAGGAGATGGAGCTGAGGCGAGTGGGTTGCGAAAGGTTCGTCGACGACATGATCGGAGGGAGCTGGTTTGATCCAGACTCCAGAGTAGTAGGGACCGACGCGGCCTCGGCGGACGACGCAGTTTCTGCGAGGGTACGCTTCTTCGGATTCGCGGGATTCGGCGAGATAGAGCGTCGGCCGAACTGGGGGACGGGAGAATGGCTGGGAGCGTTGAGACGCTCGGGTTCCAGCAATCTTGGGGGCGGGGGGTGATGTGGCAACGATGTAGTACCACTGCCAAAGCCTGTGAAGTCAACGGGCGGGGGAGCGAATCCGTATGGCCGCTGAGCCTGCGGTGAGATCCTATCTGCAGGCATATGTTGGTAGTGGTCCACTGGTTCCGCACTGTAGTATCGGTAGTGGTCTTCGTGGCCGTGCGCTAACGCCGCTGGGGACGCTTCGGGCGAGGCGGAGGAGCCGTTTGACGAGTGCGCGCCGCTGGTTGGCGAGTGTTCTCGCAACGCAGGGACGACACGTTTCCGCCGCTTAATGATGGTCTTTTTCATCGTAGAGGGTCGATAACAGCCGTGGAGTTTATAATAGAGGCCTGTTATGGTTAGTCCAACGAAGGGCTCACAACCGGGCAAGGAACAAACTGCATACCACACGCATTACAGATGGGATGGCCGTTCTCATCCCGTCGCCAGAGCGGCGTTACCGTCGTCCCGCAGTTCTGACAAGACACCAAGAGATTCCCGTCCGCGGAAGTCCCATTTTTGGCCTGTGAATCGGATTCTGGTAGAGGAACCGGCTTGTCACTCTCCGAGCCGGCTGTCCGGTTCCACGCATGCACAGGGACAGTGCCGCGCGGCGTCGACTTGTACACTCGATTGTTGTACGCAGGGCATCCATCGCATCCTTCGGCGCCCCCGGTTCCATTACAACTCCCGCCACCGGGGCAGGACCCCTTGGAGCTGCCACAGCCCCCCTCGGTGGTGGGAATAGGGGCAGATTGCGAGGGACCGAGCTGATCGGGGGAGGGGCCGGGCTCCTGGCTGGCCTGGGTGCGGTTGCGTTTGGTCGGGCGCGAAACATTCCGAGCTTTCAGGTAGAGACCACATGCGTTGCAAATCATCGCTCCGGTAGGTGATCGTCGCCATAACGGAGTGCTTTTCGTGCCACAATTGCTATAACGCACGTGAAGTCAGTACAGTGGGCACCAACAGCGAGTCACCACCAAAAGAGCTTACCTGCAGCTGTGGCCCAGGAATGATGTATCCTTCTGCGCCTTGGGCGAGGAAGCCTTATCGGACCCGGGTCTATGGGATTCCTTCTTGATGGACCCGTCGGCTGGGTAATTGTCGGACTGGTATGGGGAGCAAGCGGGAGGGCCGTCGAGGCCTCGGGCAGTCTTATCAACGGGATGCTCCCGACCCGCCTGAGCGGACGAGATCAACTGTTGAGCAGCATCCAAATCCTCGGCAGACGGGTGTCGCGAGACGACGTCCGGGTTTCGAGGGAGCGATTGCACCGTCTCCATCTGGGGGATGGATGCTAGCATATCCTCACGGACAGGGAATCGTGCGGGATGAAGGACGGAGGAATCGGGCGGTTGAAATCAGGGGCGGCGTGTGGGAGAGCGATGTTGCACCGCTGTCGGGGATTGTTGATGTACGGTATCACAAAGTCAAAAGTCGGTCAAGATGACAGTGCAGGCGTGAGGGAAAAAAGAAATGAAAAAAGTTTAAGAGACGCCTGGCAGAAAGGGCGAGCCGGTAGGTTAACTGCAGCTAGTGAGACTCCGAATCCAGCTAGGTGGAATCGTCGCAGAAGATCCTTGACGACGATAGACAAAGGTTCGACAAGGTCCAGTGATCGTCGAGGGGTAAGGAGTTATCGAGTGGACGTCTGATCAACGTGACGCGATAGTTTGGCTGGGCGATCTCCGGACGAGGATGGTGGCGATCGTCGAGATCTGAAGGGAGGCGAACACGTGAGAACGAGGGACGGAAGAACCAACGAGACAGAAGAAATAGCCGCGAGATGCAGTGTCAAAGAGTTCACAAAATGAAGGGGAGGAAGGGAGGGAGGCAAAGTGGACAGATCGATAACGAAGGGGAGAAATGGAAGATCGACGGGGGGCGATCAATCAATCAATCAGACGGAAGAGGATCGGATCAGATATGATGTGGAGGACCGATAGGAGATATGGCATCCACCCAACAGGGGACAAACACGACACCAGGCAGGGATGGGAAGAGGAAGAAGATGGTGAGGAAAAAAGAGAGTGTGTAGAGGATTATCAGGAGATGATGATGATGATGATGATTGTGGTGAGATGAGGCACGCACGGGAAGAAGGCCTGGATCGGAGCTGACGGAGACTGACCTGTTTCTGACTCCAAGAACTTCCAAGGAATCTATTCCTCTTCCTCTCCTTTTCCTTTTCCGTCCTCCGTCTCGTTCGGGTTATCGATCAGGGTCTCAGAATCTATCTTTTTTTTGCTTTTGCCCCTGCAGGCGGTGGTCAATAGTGTATCCCGGGGGGATGGAAAGCATCCTGTTAGACTCACCTCGAACGAATCCACCGGGATGGGTCTTGTGGTTTGCTTTTCTTGTCCGACGAAGGGACGGTTAGGGGAGAGACACGTTGAGGCTTTGTTCGTCAAGGAAACGAGTATTCTGCCGTCGCAGTAGATTTTTCTGGTCGCTATTATTATTAATGTCTTTGCCATGATCGCATTCATCCACTCCTTTGCAACTCTTCCCCCAGATCGTATCATTCCGCTCCACCGCTTCCTCATCGGGTTTAGACCACCGCGCCTGCTGCCATCCACCTTCCTAAAATAGACCCTGGTCTTGAATAAGCCTGATTATGACCCTGCTTATTGGTGGCTGCGGTGGGGCCCCTCATGTCAGCGTTATTTTCTGTCTGCTGATTGGGCACTCGGCCTCGGCAGTCATGAGGATCCCAATGCACAGGTACCTCGTCCAGTTTCCCTGACTAACCACGGGTGTTGGATGAATGATAGGTATTATTATTCTCTCCTGAAACTGATTTACGGAGTAATCGCTCTCATTTACTGAGAGCATCTGATGCGAACTGTTCTTAACCGACGCAATCAGGTTCAACCACGCGGTAAGATCTCCATATCCGAGCAACAAATCCGCATGATCTGTTATCTCCTGATGCTGACAACCAGTTTGATCTATACGCCATCTAATTGGCTCATCCTCCACCGCCATCGCCCCTCTTCAGACTGATAATCTCTCCCAAGAAACCTGCCTCCATCGATGGCCGCTCCAGAACCTTCGGCGCAGAGAGATTGGCCGTTTGACCCTTTGCCCCCCTGTTCCGCATATCCCGCGAGGCAAACAAAAGTACCTGTCGCGGTGTTTACGGCATTAACCATACGCCCCCGACCAAACCTTACCCTCGGCCGTCGTCATCTGGTCCGCCACCCATCAAGTCTGTATTGTATCCTAGTGCCATGATTAGGGGCTTTCATCCGGGCTATGTATCATGTGACGCAGTCCAGAGCCTTATCTAATCTTCAATCCCCTGAGTAATGAATAATGAATTATCTGTTATGTACATACCGTGACATCAGATCCAAAAGGCGGACAATGACATAAGCGCCATCAATGACCATGTCATAGGTGCCTAGTTGAGTGTATCTTGATGCCTGTTCAACAACCAAGCCGACAGAATACCGCGGAAAGAACAGGCGTAGAAACCTGAAACTCCAGCATAGCTGTGTTTAACTACCATCACGTATAGTACAGTGTTCACAATCAACCAACATGCCTCCCATCTATCCAGCTAGGGCAGCAAACTAAGCTTATTCAAGAAGAAAAACATCCCACAATCAACAGATGAACTGCAGAACAACGGCCGCCCAGCCCAGAAACTGTCGTTTCCAGCGCCTCGCCTTCACTCGAATCATCGCATAGATTATTCGTCGCACTCGTCGATCGTCGTACATCGCATTGGAGGAAAAGAAGAGAAATCAAAGGAAAACCCCCCGCTTCTATTTCCCAATTCCACCACAGCGTCGTCGTCCGCTGGGGGGCATCTGCGTCAAAATGATCGTACTCAACCACCTGTCCCAACGCAGACGTTTCCCTCCCGACATCGTCACCCAGAGCAAGGCTTAAACCTGCTCAGCGCCCCAGCCCTGGTCGGTCTCGCGCATGTTCGAGGGAGGCTCGATGGAAGGAATGAACTCCAAGGCCAGGTATCCCAGACCGATGAAGCCGACAATGGAACCGGCGATGTACCGCAGCACATGGCCGTGCAGCATGATGGATCCGACAAAGATGTAGACTGTGCCAACCAGTCAGTACCTAAATTCTTGCCGTCGCCAGGCGGTCGTTCCAATAGACTTACAGACACCCCGGCCGAGGAACGAGAAGAGGAAGGACGCATAGCGGTAGACGTAGTCCGGGACGTTGGGCAGGAACTCAAGGCCACCGACAACTGTGCGGCGTTAGCATTTCTTCGTTCTCACATGTCGCCGATGCATCTCATGGCGGCGATCTTGGGGCGGCGGTCTCAGAAACTTACGGAGACCGAAAATAATGACATAGGCGCCCACGACGATGGAGCCCACGGATGGCGGGAAGAACTGGGCGATACCACCCAGGATCATGATCACGCCGACGGCGATGTTGATAATCCGGCTAGCAAGGGTCAGTGGATTTGCGATGCCTGGTGCCCGGCGATCCGAACGACATACAAGATGTTGGAGAAATCCATTTTGATCGGTTGTTCCCGTCAAGGCTGTGTAGTGTGCTTGGATGGATGATGGTCGGCAAGCGTAAATAGAGCGAGATCAGGAACGAGAAACACCTGAACAGGCAGAAAGGTTAGAACAGTCCCAAACAGTTTCCAGATGCCCTGTATCGCTTTCGGCTGGCCGTCGCAAACCCGGTCAAGGCCGCAAGTTGGCAGCCTGAGCTGCTTGCGGAGAGGTATGCTGGACCTACCCAAGTACAGGAAGTAGGTTAAGAGGTCGTCGCGTGACTGAGGCGGGGTGGGCTGGTTGTCAAGGAGGGCTTGGGATCGAGAAGAAGTTGAGGTACAGGGTCACCCAGCAAAAGAAGTCTTGAATCAGGAACGAAGCAGGGAGAAGTGCGGAGCAGACGGGAGGTCAAGGAGACGGCGAAGCGCAACACGGAGCTCAGTCGTTGCGCCGCAGTCGCAAGCAGCGGGTCTGCCAAGCCTGGATGACTCAGCAGTGACAACAAACAGCCTCATCAACCACTCAAAAAACACCGCAACAGTTCTCACGATAGCCAAGACGATTGAATAATGGCATGACCGAATTAGAAACAGGATGAGGCTAAGATTGGAGTCTCCAGTATGCTCTTCGCTCTATTGGCTCATGGCGTGTCTCCTGTGCGTTCATCTCCAAATTCATGGGAACCCCAGTGGGAATTAATACGGATCGACATGCCTCATTTCCTCCCTCCACTCCTCTACAGCAGCTTCTATCAACAGCGCTGAACATGATTGTTGTTCGGCTATGTACTACATAGGTATGTTGGTACATAGTCGAACAACAATCATTGCTCATCAATACAGAGTTTAATATCATGTTCGAAAGTTCCATTTTCAAGAGTGACAATATGTATTACGTATGCGCGCTCACTCTTCGCCAGTACTAAAATATATCCCTAGATCTGCAACAGCTCACCTTGTCTCTTTTCCAGCCGTGCTGCCGACAACCCATTAGCCAAGCGGCTCATCATCATTGCATCTTCCTCCAGCTCGGCATAGATGGCGTCGATATCTGTTCCAAGACCAACCTGGTCGGCGGTCTCCAGACTGCGTCCATCCAGGAACGGTGCAATCGGGGTCCATACGCTTTGCACGTTGTTGAAGAAGAGATCGACTCCAAGATCGCCCAGGCCTTTGATTTCGCGGACTAGTTCACGGGTCCGCTCTCGATCGTGATGAGCTTCTTCCCAGAGGTTGTTGAGGTCGCCATCTGTCAAGGCATTAGTCGACGTTTCCTTGTAGATCAAGCGCCTCTAGAACATACCGTATTTCTCGTTGATAAACTCCGCCAACTGTCCCAGGTTCGTCGCTCCCTGCTCCCGGTAACGGTTATATCCACCGTCCTTCAGCACCTGAGTCCTCTCCTCCCAGCTGGTATTCTCGAGCTTGTGGATGTCATGGTAGCCCTCATCGATCACTCGGTTGACGGCCCGCTGAGACAAATCATGCGAGATGGGCCTCGACTTCAACATCGCATCAATGACCATCGCCAGCAGCGTCTCCGCTGATGCAGTTAGAGGCTCCTTGGCGACCTGTGTGCCATCCAGAGGTGCCCGGCCGAACTGTTTAACCGCCTTGTGCACCTTGGGAAGGTCGGTGCTATCCTCTTCAGCAGCATCTTCTTCCTCTCCCTGCTCGTCGCTTTCCGCAGGCTTCTCGCCTTCTCCCAACCCTTCCACCTCATCTTCTTCCTCATACTCCTCGTCCTCTTCGTCCTCCTCATCATCGGCCTGAGCTCGGTCATATTCTTCGTAAATATCTCCCTCGGCGTCGTCTTCGTCAACCTCATCCTCCTCGTCCACGTCGGGCTCATCGGCTGGGGTTTCCGAAGGCTTGGGAGCCTTGCGAGCAGGTTCTTTGGCTTCCTTGGAATCCGCAGGAATTTCTAGCTCTCGCGCAGTTCCTCGCTTGCGCTTGGAGCCCCCGACGTCGTCTGTGTCGGGGTATTCTTCGACCTGTGGCGACTTATACTTCATTTTGGCGATCGTAGAGTCTCACAATGATTGTTAACAACGGCTACGCTAATCACAAGAAAGAAACTACAAAGGTTCGCGACGTGGGGTATATAGATTCCGGGGAGCGAGTGGTGACGTCGTCATGATGAAGCCCTCCATTCCCGGGAAGCATGCTTCGGGAACGTTTCTAGAACACTGTTTGTCAAGTACATCGGATCTACATGGCAACGTACTCCGTGCCTCAATAGCCTAGATCCCTATCAATCAGTTGCATCATGGCCATCTCGGCGGGCCATACTTGAATAAACTCCTGGACTCGCCATGACCAGTCTTCATCCCACTGGAAATGAAGGGGGTAAGATGCACAAAAGAATTCCCAGAAGTTAGGAAACCAGCCCGAATTCTCCCAATCGACCAAGAAGACGTGAAATGATCGCCCACCTTGATCGTTTTGGCGACTTGTAATCTCCGCAACCATTATGTTCTTCTGCTGAAGACCTCCATGCGTCAATGTGGGCCGGTGACCTTTAATGACGTGATGGAGGTATTTTTCGTAAAAGCGGCACTTGTAGTCTGGATGTTTGTTTCTGTCGACCAAGGCTCTATAATTACCGACGAAGCCCCCAACGAAGGCAGGTTCGCCGGAGAAAGGCCGTCCCCATCCAGGCCCCCGAAAAAGTCGGGCCATGGACACTCGGCCTTTCGCATTGCGTCGCATATTTGTTGGAGTTTGGCGATAATGTCGTCCTTCTCAGAGTCCGCCAATGATGGCCAAATGGAATTCAGCTGCACCCCGGGGATGCGTTGCATGACCGAGAAAAGTTCCTTGGAATCATAGTACATCGCGTACAGTCGAAGGGCCGGAACTTCTGGGACGTGTCGTTCACAGTAGACTAAAGCCTGGCCTTCCCAAACGTCTACACCACCTCCATATTAGACAACAATATTGTCGTTCACCGCCGCAACCTTGGAGAACGAGGTCTCCCACAGAGCATTGGCACAAGCGCGGATTTCATCTATTGTAGGTAGACGAGGCAGAGGCTGGGAGTTCTGAAAAGGGACATCCACTGGCTTCCACATCGTGAAGAGAGCAGGAGTTGACGGACGTAATATTGAAATATGGATGATTGCCTGAATGGAAGGGAAATGAGGGGTGAAGGAAGATCAGCCACAGAAGTTTATATCCCATGTCAGCCAAACCCCACCTTTCATGTCAAGACTACAGTAAAGATCCCTGAAACCATGCATAATTCATAGCTGCGTAGACGCCTCCCAGGTACGCTTAAACAACTCGGATGGCATACACTCGTAATCCGAATTCTACAGCTTCGCCAGCGTCTTCCGTTTCAACACATCATTCACCAACGCAACCACATCCTGCGCGCACCCAAACGAAGCCTGGTATCCAAACCCCCCATGGCCGTAGTTATGCACAACATTGACGCCGTCAATCTTCTCCGCCTCAAGACGGACACCACCCTCCCGGAGCGGACGCAGTCCCACGCCATGGCGAATAATGTCCAGGCCCTCGATGCCCTGGCCTTCACCCACAAGCTGCGGACAAAGCGCAATTGCGCGCTTCATGATGCGCACCGCAAGGTTGGGGTCCGGCAGCGGATCCCACTGGTTCTTCTGGTAGCAGCCGCCGATGACGGTGCCGCCGCCAGCGGCGCGCGTCATCATGTAGACGAGCTCATCCTCGCCATCGTCCGTGCCGGAGGTGGCCAGCATGACGCCTGGGTCGTTGCGCACGACCACGACCTGTCCGCGGCCCGGGTACAGCTTGTCATCGCGGACGCCGCCGAGCTTCTTCGATGAGAGCCCTGTGCAGTTGATGACGACGTCGGCAGGCTGCCCGGTGTGGTGGGCGGCGGCGGCGTCTTTCACGTGCTGGAGCACGCCACGCTTGAAGACGGCGCCAGTCTTGCGGCATTGCCCGACCAGCCAGGACAGGTAGACAGGCGTGTTGATGCACACAGAGGTGAACCTGCAGGCGTTGTCGATGGTCGGGTCGAGCTGGTCGTCGGGGATGTTGCGGAACTGGACGTGGTTAGTATATGTATGGGGTGAAGGATGACCGGGCCGGCCGTACGTCTGGAACGATGTCTTTATACCAGGGGTCTCTCTGCACGAGCTCGGAGAACTGGCCGGCCGTGGGGCTTTGTTCTTTCTTGCGGTTGTACAGTATGTTTTCTGGGGCTGTTAGAGGGTAGGAATCGCATCAGTTGGACTAGTTTGTACCTTGGAAATGGATCCCCGCCTCGGGGTGGTTTTCTACGAGCTCTTTTAGGGCAGGCCAGGTGTTTCGCTCCCATTTGGCGTGGAGGGTACCGGGCTTGCCAGTCCTATGTCGGGATATCAGTGACTTGCTGGGAGGACTAGATAGATCATAGATAGCAGAAACTCGACATACGGACAGTAGTTGGCACCAGCCCACGGCGAACAATACTCGATGTCATAGTCGCCGGGCATATGTTTCGCAACCACCGTGATACAATTGGAGGGGTCCTTGGAGAGGAGGTAGGCTGTGGTCAAGCCCGAGACTCCGGCTCTGTCAGGGTGGATAATCAGCATTGTGCGGGTAAATCAGGGTCTGGGGAAGTCGGTCCTACCCCAGAATCACGATGTTATTCTTAGGCATAATGGTAGCTGAGAAGAGCGAAGTATATACAGAATGAACGGGCTTATGAGAAAATCAACAAAGAAGAGAAGAAAGGAAGAGACAAGATGACTCAAATATTAATGCTGGATTACTATCCAGGATGCCAATTTCCGCCGGGGAAGTCGACTTATCGACATCCCGATAGCGATTTGATAAGAGAAATCATCCATGTCGCCGAGAGGGGAAACATCATTACCGGAGGGACCGCGTCGATTGATTCGGGTTGACGGTTCGCGACATGCCCTTTATACCTCTAGAGAGCGAGGCCGAGAGACGAAGGGGGTCTATTTGCGGAAGCCTATTCATGGTCGAGAACTAACTAGCTATCCTCATAATGACCTCAGACTGTCTATCGACTTCAAGAGGCGGTGATCGGGGATAAGTCGCGTCCATACCCACTGATACCAAAATTACCGCTTCTGGTACGAGTGTCGTCATAGCACACTGTCTCTCGCGTGTTATCCACCAACTATATTGTTCCCCTAGCTCACCGCCTGAAAGTTTGCGCCCTCCGCACTCGCGTAAGCGTATCGGCCAATACCGCAGTGTTCTTTCTTGGGGCTTTCTTCCCTCTGGCCGTTCATTCATTCATCATCTTTATTATTATTATTATCATTATTCGGGCTGCTACCGATTCCATTCCTCCCCTTCTTGTGTTCCTCCTGCTTTCCCCTCCTCCCCCTCTACGTCTCGTCTCTGAATCTCTGCTCGACGAAACTTCTCTTCTCTCTCCTTCCCAAATGAAGGTCTTTCGTCGGGCAGAGCTTTCTCACCATGGCGGACGTACACAACGGTGGCAGAATCGTGCCTGTAATGGCCACTCGCCAGCCTTACTCCAACACTCCTCCCTCTTCCTCCGATGAGGCTACCTCCGAGCAATCGTCTCAAGAAACGCCTCAGGTGCTGCCACAAGACCGCCCGCAATCCAGATCCTCCCGAACCACCCGGGCCAAACAGACCGAGACCGAATGCCTGGAGCTTCCGTGTCTCAAGAAACTCGGCCTCTATGCTCTTCCTACCGAGGGTGATGGTACGTCTTTTCTGCCATTGGCCTTCAAGACTCTCTATACTGCCTTCTCGATCCCAATGAAACTGGACCGGACCGAGTCATTTGATTGTTTTGACCGTTTCCCACAGGAAATTGCCTCTACTATGCCTTCTCCGATCAACTGTATGGAGACTTCTCCCACGCCGACGAAATCCGTATCCGCCTCGCCGATCACATCGCTGCCAATCGCGATTACTTCATTAGTTTCATTGCCGCGGTAGGCGGGGAGCGTCGAGCCCCCAGACGGGCCGCCGCCTCGGCCGCCCGATATGCTTATTGCTCTTCGTCATCTGCGAGTCCCGCACCTCCCTCCAATACCCCGTCCACAAAGGACAAAGAACGTAGCTTTGATTCCAAGGTGGCCGAGTCCCGGAAGAGAGGCGTATGGGGAGGAGCCGAGGAGATTCAGGCATTTTGCCAGTCGTTCAAGAAAGACGTGAACGTCTACACCATGTATGGCATCCAGAATTTCCGTGACGTCCATGCTCCAGACGAGGAAGAACGGGATATCGTTCACATCGCGTTCCACGTAAGAAAGCACTCTCTCTGTCGGTAGCAACCAAGAAATGGTTGTCTAACTATTTCAGGATTTCCATCATTATTCGTCTGTCCGGCATAGCAATGGCCCCCATACCGGCTTGCCGGATATTCCCAAGTTCGAAAGCGAACTTCAGAAAGAAGCGTCAACTACTAGCGCGACTGTTGTAGAGATGGCTTCTCCATGGAAGATATCCGCTATCCAAGAGGGATTGGGTGGGAAGTACAACAGAGACGCCATCATCGAAATGCTTCAGCAATGCCGCGGCAATATTGATAGTGCATTTATCAATCTCCTCGGCGAAGCTTCCAACGGGAGCCTGCCCGAGTCTACTACGTCCCGGGCTATCATGAAATCTCACCTGCAACCTTCTTCGCGTTCCTCGTCACCTTTCAGTACCGGAAGCAAGCGGTCGGCGGATGATAGCGACGCGGACGACGATCCTCGACCTGCGGTACGCCGCACACGAGTGCGGGAACGCAAGAGGCGTATCCTTCCAGATGTGACGGTTGGGATCGCCTTCCGAGACGAACAGAACGACCTGGTCTCATTACGACTTCGAGTCAGCCCAGATGCCACAGAAGACAGTGCAGTCGGGCCCGCTACTCCACAGACTGAGAGTGATTCGGTCATCTCGCGGCCTGATCGAACCGGACTCTCAGATAAAAACAGAAGAATCCTCCGACGGAGAGCAGTTTCAAGTGAGACGGCCAGCCAACCGGCTGAGTCAAATGACGAACACAAACCGCGACGAAGTCAGCGTCTCACAAGAACCCGCAATCCTAACCCACTCTAAATCGCGCCAGTCCCCATTCCTCTTTTCTTCTCTTTTTCGGACCTGATTCTCGTCACGCATACGAAGTAACGACACTCATATTTGGCTTCAAACTGGCTCCGGGCTTGCATTATTCGCGCGTTGGGCGTTTCCCCCTCTTAGTAGAGCGACACTTTCGTTTTATGTTTTTCTCTCATCAGCCGCCGTCGTCCTATTTCTGCCTCACCATTTCGACCACCTAATTTGATAGCGACGATTTACCACGGGAGCATGTAGCATTTGTTGATTGAACAGGCGTTTCTCCCGGTGAGAGATATTTGCATGCATTTGTGATCTTGCATAGGATTTGGCTTGTTGGAGAGGCTTATTCAAGCTTAGCGGCCATCTGGGTTCCCATGATCACCAAGTCGGTGCATTCGAGTTGGCTTTCTCTTTCTCTGTCTTTATTGCCCCCTATCTCTCTCAATCTCCCTATGACGATGCGACCCACGGGCCCTGTATTTGAAAGGACACTGGTGTCTTGTTTTGAGGCTGTGGCGTTGAACATCCTTGCTATGACATAGAGGTGGCTCCCGCCCCGATATACACGAATTGTTTACCTTGATGACTCTGTGGTCTTTTGTTGTAGTGTTAAGCAGTAACAGCCGGGTTGTATTCTATTCTTGGCTACTTCAATTCAGACTGATGTCCTGAGTACTGGTTGTGCCAGGCACCACCGCATCGGTCATCTTATCATTTTTGCTAGGGAATTCATTCTTCTTAGGAGTATGCAGCACGCGTTAATGATAAATTTGAACCGTCAAGCCATTGATAGACTGGAATTGACCATAAAAATTAATTATTTATGTTATACCTACTCGGCAAATGGGCTCCCAAAAACGGTCAGAGTCGACGCTATTTTTGGCTCGCAATTCTCAAGACATCGACATTGGTGAAAATATAAATACTAAAGGAGATGCTCCAAAATACAGTGGCGCTAGGATCAGCACCAAAAATGCTGCCGAACTACTGCATACGCTCAGTATGTCTCAAGCGGTGGCATACCTACCGAATCCGGAAGTAGGGCAATGTATAACCTCCGAAGACATGCTGATCCCTTGCTAGCATGCCACATTTTCAAGAACATTGAATTTTTTTTTATCATGTCCATCTGGGCATGCAAGAACGATCTTGGCGAATTGTAATCCGGTTGCGATGCACACCGTTCATATAATATCGCCATCATGTTCGCGCCAAGTAGCGTGAAATAACTCGCGGTATATGCCAAACATTGGCCCAAGAAGTGACATTATCTCCGCATTGAACAAATCAACCTCTACTCACCATGTTGAGTGGTAAATTAACGATAACCAGGGCCGTTCTAGGCTGGATAGTCTTCAACACGGCCCTCGGTTGTTCCGATAGCGACTCAAATGACTGCATTACTCGCACTATGACATCTGTCACGACCTATGAGACGACACTTCCCCAGCCAACAACAACAACGCCACAACCACCTGGCTGTACAGACAGTGCAGTGGCATGTCCATCAGCTGATTCGTGTCCGGGATGGACCGATTGGAAGACCTACAAGGCGAAGAATGGTGTGAACCTGGGAGGCTGGCTTGAACTCGAACGAGTCTTCTATCCAGAGTGGTGGGATAGTGTCGCACCTGATGCAGCAGACGAGTGGACTCTCTGTGAGAGCTTGGGCGCAGAGTGCAGTCGCGTCCTGGAAAACCACTACGCAACATATATCACGACGAGTGATATCGACAAAGTTGCGGCCGTTGGTGAGTTTCTTACTCGATTCTACAGGGAAACAGCATCACTAATTGTTTGGCCGACAGGAGTGGAGATCCTCCGCATCCCAGTGACTTATGCAGCCTTCATAGAAGTCCCCGGGTCGCAACTTTATCACGGATCTCAGCTGGCGTACCTGCGCGAGATCACCGAATACGCGATCTCCGAATACAACATGCGCATCATTCTCGGTCTCCACTCTCTCCCCGGCGGAGTCAACATGCTTGACATTGGCGAAGCTCTCGGCCACGATGACTGGTTCTACAACCAGACAAACCTAGACTATTCCTACCAAGCTGTGGAGGCAGTGCTAGACTGGATCTCGGACGCCTCAAAGCCAGAGGCGTTCACGTTCTCCCCGATCAACGAGGCGTCGGATAACATCGCCGGATTCGGGACGCCCGACACCCTTACAAACAACGGTACGGTCTGGGTCGTGGAATACGTCCGCGGGACCATTGATCGGGTCAAGAAGAAGCTGCCCTGTTTACCCATTATGATGCAAGATTGCTTCATGGGCGAAGAACACTGGTCGCCGTACTTTGGCGAATGCGACAACGTGGCTATGGACGTGCATATCTACTACTTCGCAGCCGCGGGGATCTACTCCCAGTATGTCCCGGTCGCAATCTGTGGACAAGCCGAAGGCACTGTGGGCGATGGGAAGCTCCCTGTATTCGTCGGCGAATGGGCGCTGCAGGTGTTGTACAATAATTCTTTCGCTATGCGCGAAGAGATATTTAACACACAGCGGTATGCCTGGTATAAGTATCTTCATGGGGGAACGTTCTGGTCGATCAAGCATAATAGCATTGCACCGGTGGATGGGGAGGGTCTGCAAAGAGACTACTGGAGTTACGAGGGTCTGATCGATGAGGGCGTAATTACGCCGTGGGATGACAATGAGGTTTATTGCGAGTAATATTTGTGCGCTTTATGGATATTATCTCTGTGTGTTTTGTTTAGTTTGATTTATTTAGAGCCTTTCCCAGGAGCACTGGTTATCCAGTTCAGGGAGATGTCCATATAGGCCATAATTCCAATTCTGATTTGTTTTGACTCTGAAACATGTGAGTATCTGGTTATCTGTCCGGAAAACATCAAGATATCACAGACTCTTGACAATATGATTGTTCTTTTCTATATATTGAGACGCAAATAATAATTCCGACGCTTTTGTATACCAACTCAAACGTACATCATGGGTCATCCCATCATCTTTCAGGAAGCAAATATAAAGTATCCATGTCCGTTGGGTGATCATAACCCTGGTATAATCGAAACGCTTATCCTCTAGTCACTGAACAGTCTTCTCTACTGAATCCAGGTTGGTGGTAAACCGTCATCAATCCACGCTGCACGATATCTTGCAGCACCATTCTGTTTGGAAACCAGAATTGTTTCGAAACAGGAGCTGGAACAAATTAGATCAATAAATTAGATCATAACCCTCCAGAACATGAAGATGTGAACCCCATTGCATCAACCAACATTGTACTCCGTACAAGGGATGATCGCGCCCACATGACAAGCGAGCGGCCCATCCCGCAAGATCCCCGCAAGATCGGATTCTGCACAAAGCTGGGACAGGCTGACAACAGCAGAAAGAGTTATGTGATGGAATGCCCAGCTTGGATACATGTCAGAGATGACCATACCACTCTGTGCGTACCGCCTCGGAAATAAGCTGATATCATGTCGAGGAGGAAGGAAAGATCGATCGTATTGTTGATGCGAAGGTCCCTATCTAGAAGGCAGGCCCTACTCCAAAAGAGGCAACTTGAGAGGACGTTTTGAATGGACTGAATAATTTGCGTGAATCATTGCTATACAATCGCTTTTGGTCTACCAAGTCTGTCTATTTCACTGCTGCTTCTAAACCGACAAGTCCCATCCGATCTGGGGGCCGATACTGGGCAACGCGTCGATCACGCTCTGCACATCTTTATCTCCGCGGCCGCTCAAGCACAACACGAGATCCTTGCCTGGGCCCAGCTGCTTGGCCGTTTGAACCGCACCCCAGACCGCATGGGACGTCTCCAATGCAGGTATAATCCCCTCCAGCTGGCTCAGCAGTCGGAAGCCCTGCAGGGCCTGGGCATCGGTAGCCGAAAGGAAGGTCGCCCCATTGCTCTCCTTCCAATTAGCTAGTTCCGGCCCAACCCCGGGGTAATCTAGTCCCGCAGAGACAGAGTGCGTGTCCGAGATCTGTCCATGCGGGTTCTGCAGAACATAGGTCCGAACGCCATGGAGAACCCCCACCGAGCCTCGACTCAGGGTAGCGGAATGTCGCTCCGTGTCTAAGCCATCTCCGGCGGCTTCCACACCAACCAGCTGGACTGAGACGTCACTGGAGAATGGATAGAACATACCGACGGCGTTGGAGCCGCCCCCGACACAGGCAACCACAGCATCCGGGCTCTTGCCCAGATCTCGCAGCTGGGCTTTGGTTTCCTCGCCGATCACGCTCTGAAACGTGCGGACCATGGTCGGAAATGGATGAGGTCCGATTGCGGACCCAATAATGTAATGCGTCGTATCGAGGCGCATAATCCACGCGCGAAAGGCTTCATTCACGGCGTCCCGGAGCGTGCGCGACCCTGATTCGACCGGGATGACGGTGGCCCCTAATAATTTAATCCGGAACACATTCAACGCCTGTCGACGGACATCCTCTGCACCCATATAGATAGTGCATTTCATGCCGAATTTAGCACAGACGGTGGCAGTTGCAACACCGTGTTGGCCCGCACCCGTCTCAGCGATGATCTCCGTCTTTCCCAGCCGACGAGCAATCAGGATCTGGCCTAAAGCGTTATTTATCTTGTGGGATCCTGTGTGGTTGAGGTCCTCTCGCTTTAGCCAGATATTTGCGCCGCCAGCGTACTCTGACAGTCGCTGAGCTAGGTGCAGGCTGGAGGGACGACCCATGTAAGGATAGTAGGATCGGTATTCCTCCCAGAAGGTAGGATCATCTCGGACTGCCTCGAAACCAGCTTCAAGTTCGGCCAGACAAGTGGTCAGGGCCTCTGGGGCGTATTGACCGCCGAAGACACCGAATCGACCCGATGTGTTGGTGGCAGCCGCCTCTGCCTCGTCAGCAGGTTGGGCGGCCACATGCGGCCCTGTCGCTGCAGTAGACGTACAGATCATGCCCTCAGAAGTGACTCTTCTTTGTGTGATCTGCGAGCAATAGTCCTCGACTGCACGTGCAGCCTGTCCAGCTGGGGCATCTTCGAGGATCGTGATAACCTGACTGCCGATGACGGCGCCATCGGCAATAGAGGTCACGCTCAGGAAGTGGTCGCGCGTGCTGATCCCAAACCCAACTGCCACGGGGACATTGCCGGAAAGCTCCTTAACACGCTGGATGAGGGTCGGAAGTTCTGAATTGAGGGTACCGGTGGCGCCGGTGACGCCCATGCGGGAGACAAGATAGATAAAGGAGTCGGCCATGTTGCAGAGGGCCTTCATGCGGTCTTCGGTGGTAGATGGGGCGATCAAGGGGACATATGAGAGACTGCCAGTCAAGTCAGTTTAGTCACTCATCCGGTATTGGGGACATGATCATACCCCGTCTTCATACAGCCATTGCGGAATCGAACTGCCTCTTCCGGAGGCAAATCAACGATAATAAAGCCATTGACCCCGGCCTCCATACAGTCCGCTAATAGCTTCGACTCCCCGTACTGCAGTATAGGATTATAATAGCCCATGAATAGTACAGGTGTCTTTAGTCCTTTTCTCCGGGCAGACCTCACCATCTCCAACATTGAAGTGATTGTAACCCCATTCTGGAGGGCCTTTAAATTGGACTTCTGAATGGTCGGACCATCTGCAATGGGATCCGTAAAAGGAAGACCCAATTCAATGATATCTAGACAGTTGGTCAAGATCAACCCAAACACTTTTCATCAAATGACTCACCTGCTCCTCCGGCCTGCATGCCCAGCATGATATCCGGGGTTTCTTCCGCCGTGGGAAATCCGGCCGTCACGTACGTGACCAATGCTGGACGGCCTTCCTGGCGGCACTGGGCAAATATTTGCTTGAGATGATCCATGGTGAATCAATTGTCTGGAGCGATGGAGTTATGGAAAAGACAGAAGCCATGAAGAGGGGCATCCATTTTTCTAATATATTGTCCTGGTCCACGGATGAGTCACCCAGGCGGGTAAAGGACAGAAAAAAAGCGATGGAACGTACCATCGGACTAGCTTCCTTCAAACCGCCCCAATTGTGGCGTCATTGGGACAGGCCTTGTGGTGTTGATGATCAGCGATATCGACCAGCAATCGACTGCTTTGCAAGAGTCTTTAGCGTTGAATACCAGTATGCCTTATGTAAATTGGGCAAGTATAATCAAGTACGATTGGTGCGACCATTTTAGACGCCACATGGTTATTGGCATACGTTCTTTGACATGTCTTGGAGGAAGGAGATATTAGGGTGATCAGATTAATGAAGGTCGTCGTGGTGATGACTCCTGACTAGAAGACTGGCGCTAGGTCTAAAGAGGCAACTTGCAGCATAAGGTTGCGGGGTTGTACAAAGATTAAGGGACTGTTCATATTCGATCGGAGCCTTTGTGCTTGTATAGCGATGCAGGGAATCCTAACTTGAAAGGGGTGTTATTTATACGGGGTCAGGAAAAATTTGCTCATATAACAAAGGACCCAACGGCACATCCGCTAAGCAGGTGTATCCAATTCATCTATCAGCATGCCGTCTATACTCTACAAGATCGAATCTAAGCCACCTCGCGCTGCTCCACATCCCCCTCAACTTCCATCACCTCCTGCTTCTTTCCGTACGTGGCGTTTCGGTGCACGAGCTCCTGCTCAATCTCCACGTAGCGTGCCGGACGCTGCGTTGAGACGGCCTCCTTGTTATTATGGACGAACAGACCATGGTTCTCCCGGAAGAACAGATCGATATCTTCCAGGGCGCGGTTGGCCGTCTCCGGATAGAAGAAGTAGATCAACGGCACGAAGGAGAGGTTCATCACCGTCCAAATGATATAGAACCTATATCCTAGCGAAGAGATGCCCACCGGGGTGATCTCCACGACCATAAAGTTCAGCGCCCAGTTCGTCGCCGTTCCCAGTGCCGCACCCTTGGTGCGCATGCTCAGCGAGTTTAGTTCGACGGGTAACAGCCAGGGGATACCCTGGAAGCCACAGCCGAAGAAAAGGTAGTAGACGAAGAAGAAAGCGACGGACGCGGACGCAACCTGCGTCTGATACGGGTACCCTTCTTTCTCGGTGAAGGCAAGGAGGACGGTGATGAGGAGGTAGCAGATACCCTGACCGAAGGCGCAGGTCATGAACAGATTGCGACGGCCCCATCGCTCGATGTTGGGGATCGCGACACATCCAGCCAGCAGGTAGCTGACCGAGTTACAGGCGGCGAGGAGTCGGGCGAGCATTTCCGAAAGGCCAACCGACTCCATCAGTACGGTTGGTAGATAGTAAGATGTAACGTTGATTCCGGCCAGCTGCTGCATCGCTTGCGCGCCAGCCCCCAGAATCAACCGTCGGATCACGCAGGTCCCGTTCTGGTCCCCGGTCTTGCCGCGGAGGAGCTCGCTCCAGGAGACGCCATGTTGTTCTTCATACTTGACTGCCGCCACGATCTCAGAGTGGGCGGTGACGACGTAGGAATCGTTGAGGTCTTTGTCTTCCAGGTCAGCGATGATTGCCTGGGCTTCCTCGTGCCGGTCATGGCTGATGAGCCAACGAGGGGATTCCGGGAGCCAGGGCACCGTTGCGAACAGGACGAAGATGAAGATGAACTGGAACGCGAGGGGGAATCGCCAGGCAACACCACCAGGGAGGAAGGAGAAGGCAAAGGTGATCCAGTTGGACAGCGAGAAGCCGGCGATGTTAAGGATCAACTCAATGATGACCAGCTTGCCGCGCCATTTCACCTGGGATGTTTCACCCTGCCACACTGTGTTGATGCCGTTGCCTATGCCGGCCACGATTCGGCCGACAATCATCTGGGGCACACCGTAGGCGCAGATCTGTAGGATTGCCCCAACTGACATGACAGTCGTTCCCCACATGATAGATTTCTTTCGACCCCAGAGTTCACCGAGCCACATGGCCGCGATGGCTCCCACCAAACAGCCGACGTCGTAGATGGCGGTGACGGTTCCTAGGAGCTTGGGGTTGTCGTTGAGTTGTAGTGTGTCGAGGAAGTCCTTTGTGACGACGACGCCACCTTTTCGATGTTAGCATTCTTAGGTTACCGAGGGGGGAGAAAGACGTCTATCTCATACCGAAGACACCTTGGTCATAACCGAACAGGGTCATGTCCGTTGCGCAAGCGACAGTGACCCAGAAGGTGAGCCAGCCGCCGCGCAGGCCAAACCATGGCTTAGATGGACCGAATCGCATGGTGAAGACGCCAGGTCGAACTGAAGAGTATAGGAACGGGGGACAAGAAGGCAATAAGAAAGAAGGAAGAAAGAAGAAAGAAGAGGATACGTCTCTAGCCGGTAGAGAGGGATGATCAACTGAACCTGCCTCTTCGCAAGGCAAGCCCCTATAAGTACTTCATTATCCCGACGTCATTCCACCGCGCGGCCAGAGATCTATACAACGGGACATAAGATTACGAACTTGGCCGCATACTTCTCCACAACAACCACCCCATCCCCAGACCGCGTTGCGCCCGCCAATAGAAGGACGATGCACTCCAGAGTAGGGGTATATTTGCCACGAGATTATCGGGCACCAAAGCCTATTCCGGGGATGGACTGGTGGTTCGAGGGTGTGATAGGCAGTCCGCACACCCATAGTGCGGAATAAGTGGCGCTGGCCATGTCGTCAATGGGGAATAAGGTTATCCTTAACCGCAGGCAGAACGTCCTTTTATGGTCAGGGGCAAGGGACCATCGTGGGCCAGGACGATCAAAGACGGAGACCATGGCAGGGGACAGGATCTTATCCGCAGGGGCCTGTCCGTTCCAAATTCCCATCACCATTGGTAGTATCCATCGGAGGATATTAAGTTTCGAGATGATTCCAAGCGCGGAAAATGACGCTCCACGCTGGTCTGCCTCGGACGATCTCCGTCGGCCATACGCAGAGCAGCATCGATTCTCGGCATCATCAAGATTCTCCGAAAACTTCCCGGGCACGAGACTGCGTTGAAGTTTAGACTCCACATGCCGAAATTCGCTCACCGATGATGCCCATCACCCCGACTTCTTCCCTCCCCGCGTTCGGCCAGGGTGAAACAGCGGAGTGTGGGTGAGTCGATAGTTCGGAGCACTGTGTTGCGGACGGCACCCCGGACATTTCCTTTCTAGGCTGCCTCCTCGACCCCAGCCGGTCCGAACGACCAACGAGATGCTGATATGTGCCGTCCCGAGTCGGGGTGTATGCAGCGTCAGCACGGGTTCGCAATCGGAGCGCCTTGTATGCGACAGTTCGAGTGGTACGGAGGGGGTTAGTCCTGGGTATTATGATTCGCGGTGGGATGATATTTTGCGCGCTACAGGACTGCTTATATCGTACCAAGTAGTTTGACAGAGGCATACAGAGGCATACAGAGGTCATGACATCATTGACATCGACAGCTATATCCTTGTAGAAGCATACGAAGTCTCCAGAACGGTCAACCGTGTTTGGAATGGTGTGTTCCCTGCATCAATGATTAAAGTGGGCTTCTATAGTAAAGGGCAATATGTGCAGGCCCTATACGGTTTGGGTTAAGCTCGTGCAGCATTAAAACAAGGCAGGAGGTCTCCGCAGTCAGCCTAGCCCTTTGACAAATTTTCGACGGACATTCGATGCTTCTCGCATGACATGCAAACGGCAGTCAGGTCTTGATTCCTACGGCCCTCCATAAGGTGGTGTGACTTTGCCGTGCTCACTACTTCTGGGCACTACGGGTACCTTCGTTATACGACAATCAACCTCGAGACAAGACCTCAGCAATATATGTACTTGATTTTCTAGGACGGCCGGTGCCCTACTCTTTCCGTTTTAGTGCTTACTCTCCGCCGCTTTTCGCTTACTGAGTATATCTGAGAACGTCCTGAGCACGCTCTGAGCAGCCTAAGGCGATCACTAAGCACAGGATGAGCAGGAAACTAAGTGTCCTGAGCAAGTAGTTAACCTCAATAAACTGTACCCTAACTAATAATTACTCTTTTACCTGCTTCTTTATTTGTAGTCTATTCTTGCCTGCTACACTCCTTTAAAGCCTAGTATTACTATCAGATCTTTTTCTCTAGTAGGAAAATACTGTAGTTACTACTTTGTACTAGTATAGCAAATATTTTGATAGATTAATTCCGGCGACAGATTAAATAAAGCCTAGAACTCCGGTTATTTTAAAAATTAAGAAATCTTAGGAATAGCGAACTACGCTAGCTAATTAAGATATGTCTAGCTTTTAATTATAAATAAGTACAGGGTAGAAGGACATAGTAAATATATTTCTATTAAAACACGTAGTACTGAAGATTAATATTACTAAGTAAAAGAATTATATTCGAAAATAAGTACGCAGCGTTGGTTAGCTATAGTAAATCTAATTTAGAGAGGGTTTAATCTATACAGTACAGAGATATATTAAATAAATTCTAATATACGTAGATACTATAAGAAGCATTATATTCTACTATCCGAAGCCTTAGCGTAAGTACAGATTCCAGAATAATATCAGAGTAATATATAGGTATAGCTAGCGTGATGATCCATACGCAGTACATATAAATAGATATAAACTAAAGTTCGAACGGTAGTGCTAATATCATATAGCCTGGTTAATCGTAATTGAAGTAGATGAGGCCAGTGCAGTCTTTCCAAAATCCCCTTTTATATTCCCTACGGCCTTCCGCCCGATTTCTATAGTACGCTGCTGCTGTATTTGACCTGCAGCCTTTCGCGCGGTTAACTTGGAATTCCTGAAGCTGAAGTCCAAAGAATAATGTCGTGTGACTACTAAACATTTGGATCCAGAGTAGGGTTTACATTCTGAAGCCTTGTAACCTCCACTCGCCAAACTTAAGTCGCCTTCGCAGCATCACCTTTATAAGTGGAGCGCACAGAAGAGAAGCCGGAGGATAATACCTCAGCGCAGGAGTAGCAACTCCATTATCATTCTACTTTATCGTATAAATCATACATCTTTGTACAAATAAAAACGCTACTCAAGAGGCTCGATTCCGCCCAGGACGTTATCGGTCCACTCTCGGAGTCTTTGCGGAAAACCCTGATCCTGCAAGGCAGGTGACAACTTTCCAGGCACGCCCACAGGTTCGTAATATGTGCCGCTTACAGCCTCTAAGCTCGTGGCGGCCCATAGATGATTTCTGATCCCAGTAGTCACAGGCACACAGAAGAACGGTGCAATAGGCTTTGTCAAACGTGCAAGGGTACTTTCTTTCCACAACGACCTAGCCATGCCCGTAAGAACTCTCCCTGGATGTATTGCGACCGCTTTAATCTGTGGATAGTCACTGCTGAGCACGTTCATTAAGCCAATGAGGGCCGCTTTGCTCTGGCCGTAGCGCTTTGGATATGGCTAAAAACAGGTTAGATTCTGTGGTTTCTTCCTGGACGCCCGAAGAGAGAAACCAAAAAAAAAAAAAAAAAAAAAAAAAAAAAATACTAACCAGATTCGAACAGCTGGTCTTAATAATGTCGAAATCGACGCCTTTTTTAGGCGCCGAAATGTGTCCCTCGCTTGACACAACAACGACGCGTACATCAGCGCCAGGCTGTTGCTGCGCAGTGCGAAGCAGCACCGGCGTTAACAGACGGGTCAACAAGGCATGGCCCAGATAATTGATTCCAAAATGGATCTCATAGCCTTCCATGGTTGTCGCCGGAGGGACGCGGATGATACCTGCATTCAGGATGAGAATGTCTAGCCGTACTTCTTGAGTAGCAAACTTCTGGGCGCATTTTTGAACGCTCTTGAAAGACGCAAGGTCCAGATCAAGAAAAAGGAACTCGGTCGGCGTTGTAACGCCCGTTTCTGAGGTGGGGGGTATATTATCCCCATATACCTCATAAGCAATTTGGTTGACCAGAGCTTGTTTGGCGTCGTCGCTGCGTGGCAGATCTGCGATGTAGATGCGGCTAGGCCGGCCATAACGAGCTAGCGCTATGGCCGTTTCTCGACCGAGGTCACCTGCAGCACCCGTGATGAAGACGACCTTGCCTGCCATCGATGGGATGTCTTGCGCGGGGTTAAAAGCAGAAGCACTGTCGCGAGACGCATCATTTTGCGATCCGAACAGAACAACTCGAATCATATCCCAAATGTTACTCATAGTGAGAGCAAAAATAATGATGACTAGAGTACCAACTATGAGGGTGAAGAGCATGATCTGAAGGCTTGTGGTGGTTCTGAATAAGGGTTTGCTATAAGCGGGGGATTCATGCAGCTGGGACGGTCGCTATCAAAACGAGGGGGATGTTCGGAAGACGGGTGTCATCGCGCTGTAAGGGGACAAGCTCCAGACAATCAGGGAGGGTATTGTTGGTTTGGGGGGAAGGGCTGCAAAAGGGGGAGTCCTCGGAGATTTCTCCTTTCCCGACTGGTTGATGAGGCTCAACTGCAGCAGCCTCGTCCCAAAGGGTTGCAGCCCGATGCGCCGCATACTAACCCATCCTGTCAGGCCTAGCCGTCTCGTATCGCTTGCCTGGGCTTCACCTCCCATACAAATTAGGTAGAGCGAGCATCCCCTGCACCCCTCTGGACGACGCGGATTTCAACCTCCGAACACCGAATAGCGGTCAAATGATTGCCCATAAATATGGCCATCACTTCTGATAGATTAGACGAATTCAAGTCCTTGCATCTGTCCAGATTAAGCGGTAGATTACGCAACAGTTCAGACACGTGCATATTCGACACATCCTAACAGCGGTAAGATATATAACGAAGATTTACTCTAGCAAAACGGGACAGACAGGCAGTTCTCTAAAAGGGACTCTGGACGGCAGAAAGTAGACGAATGTAAAACCTTCTCACTCTGTACTGTAGTGACGTTGTGGAGGAGGGGTTGCCATAACTTGCGTGGGACTCAAATAAATTGTCACATGTACTGGGAGATAGTCCACTCATACATGATTACAAGGCCATACAACTCCTGTCTATACCTAGATAGTGGTTGTATACATAGCCACCTAGGGAACTACCTAGTAAACCACCTATCTAGGCTGCAAGAGAGTCGAGACTATGTACTATTGAATAAAATCTTTAATACGCGTAATATCCGGAGCAGAGATACTAATCTTAAGGATATAACTAGATGCTTCGTACTCCTTTTCTGTAAAATATCTAATGAACATAGTTAGAAGCAGCCTAGATTAGCTTTTTAGGAGGTTATTTACTCCGTGTATAGATCTACTAGAGACATTGTTTTTATACCTTTATTAGAGGTATTATAAATTGCCGCGATTGTATCTGGCAGATTTCGCTACCTAAGAGTCTTACTACGCTCTATTATAATTATAGTTATATTAGATAAACCGCGTAATCTAGAGGGATGGGCATTATAGAGACTGTTAATTCGATATAGTCGTCAAGCTAGTGGTATAGAATATTAAGATATAAGCAGCTTAGGGCGTACGTAACTGATAACTGATTCTGCCCTAAGTAGGATCTGAGTGCTTACTAAGCCTTAATCGGTGATGAGGAATACTTAGTGAGCGACGCCCTGAGCGCCCTCATTAAAGCGGCCTCATCTAAATTGGGAAAGTCCCGTTGATTCTAGAAAATCAAGTCTGTATAGTGACATATATATGGTTTGTACTTCTCAAAGCGATTATTCTACTAAAATACACAATTCTTGCTTCTTCCAAGCTCCAGTTCTAGCCACTCACCCAGAACCCAAGGTCGTTTCACGAACACACAGCGGCGCGTCCGGGTCCGAAAAGCTATTGTCACAGAACATCCGGGACATGTCCACCAGTTTCCCCAGGATAGCGTATTCGAGCTTCAGCTTCAGGCTGTACGCCATAGCCTTCAGCGTGACATGGATCGTGTAGAGGTTGGCGAACTGGACCGCGATGACGGCTGCATCCAGGGAGATCATCAGCAGGTTGACGAGCAGGAGCTGCACCAAGACCCCTCGGAAGTGATCTTTTGGCCCCAGTTTCAGCAGTCGACACGCTTGCCACGCGTATATGACGGAGAGGATGACCTCCTGCAGGGAAATGCCGACCAACTGGATGCGCTCCATGATGTTGAACGCGAGGGTGACGTTGTCGGCGTGGATCGCGTTTACCGCGTACTCGAGGGCCGAAGCAGGGAGCCCGAAAATGATCGCGGTGGTAATAATCATCGCCAGTGTGCCGCGGAGGATCGTGCGGCTGCGGACCATCAGATGCAGACGCGACCAGAGGACGAGCGACTGGCCCCAGACCATGCCGATCCAGCCAATGATCACCAGGGTGACGGTGAAATAGTGGACAAAAATCTCGAATGCGATCAGGAAATAGGCGACGGAGAAGGGGAGGATGCAGGTCGTTGCGACCAGGAGGCTCCAGAAGTACAGCCCGCTGTATCGTCTGAAGGTCGTGAAGCACATGACGAACAATTCCATGACGTTATACCATGCGATCGCGGTAAAGCAGGCTATGGTCGCCTTCTCCGCGAACGTGCCCCCCATAGGGAGGTCGTAAAAGTGGTGGTCACGGTGTGCATGGTTGCTCGACATGAGGTTGTGAAATGGTCGGACTTAGCCCACCCGACGATCATCATCTCTCAGGTGAGAAAAGCGATGTCCATGAACAGAATCAGGGACCACATCGAAGGATATAGAAGATATAGGTGGAAGATATACGGAGTAGGTAGAGGCTGGCATACGCGGCAGGGGCGGGGGAAACGCTATTTCTCTTAAAGAAGCTTTACTAAGGGCAACCTGCGCAGCGCGTCCCGTGGAGTCGCGGATTTAAGTTAGGGGTGAGTTAAAAATGTTGGAGTAGTGCATCTAACTACTGCGGAGTTAACTTCATCTCAACCAAGGGTCCAGTTCTTCACGGACGAGGATTCCAATCTTGTGGCGAATAACATTACCATCGTCATAGTTCCAACTACTACCGACCTACTCATGGCAGGGATACTAACTAGCTCGTTCAGCAATTGCTCGTGCAAATGGGGAGCATGAAACTACCGTTCATGTAGATTAGGGCTTGGCGTCTCTATCTAATTGCTGTTTGGTTCGTTCGGGGTTGATTCTGCATGGAGTATAGTAGTTCTACCCACTGGTTGCGATGATCTATTCTGTCGATCGCTCCACGCATACTACCTCGCGACGATATGCATATCAGGCACATAACGCCCGCGAATTGTGTTTTTTCTATTCAGACCCGGATTCGTACAGAGTATTCAGTTATTCTTAGTTGATAGCCCAGTGGGTGGTATATATGTCTCTGCGGTGCTTCCAAAACCATCTACCTAGGTACATTCACAAAGAGACGGGAGTTTGTTGAAAACAAAGGCCTTGTACTAAATGGTCAACTCTAATGCCACCTATCTCGGTTCTCTCTTTGTTCCCTTTGTGTTCGTTACCTGTTGAACCATCAACGCTTATACTATCAATAGGACACTTTGATAGAGTAACTCCCTGGACTAAACCATCAGAGGTTGGTAAAGCGAGTATCGTAAAATTTCACTTACTCCGTACAGTCACCATCTGCATCGCTACCTACCTAGTAAGATCTGCAGAGTTACCCTCACCGTCGGAGATCCGATAAGTTCCGTTCCTGGTTCCTGATAGATAGCTTGTATGGTACTACTCCGTACTAAGAGGGGCGTTCACCCACCATCGGGTTCATCGCAGAATGATTGATCCCAAACTCAACCACTTCACCAAGGAATACTCCCTGTCACAGCCTTAGGCTCCAAAGTTGCCTATTTAGGACTAGCGCCTTCCTTCTAGATAGGCCCTTCACCTCCATTAATCTCATCAACCTGATCAACCTGAACCATCCCTCTCTCCTTGACATGGCATTCCCCATGATATGACCCACGAAGCCCCATGGGGACCCCGCATCGTACAGTGCGGAGGCTGCAACTCGGTTGTTGTCAACAGCCGAAAGGATGAAGCAGTCTCTCGGCGCCCAGCTCTGAAGAACCCCCTGATTGGGTCAGGGCCGCGCCAAGGTGAGCCTATATGGACCAAACATGGAAGATGAGGATGCAAATTCCTTCTTTTGGACAGATGGTCCCCAAGGTCTAGAATGTGGGGCGCTTCTGGGGATATCCCAGCTGCTTTTCATTTCCTCTGTCCCTTCCTGCCTCCCACTTCACGCCTTGTGAAACTGAATGTGGACGTTTTCTGAACGCGCAGTCGATGCACCAGGTATAAATAAGTACCCAAGACTGCCCGGCAAAGAGCTCAACTCTCCTGAGTCACTGCGAATCCTTATACCGGGTCGTCCGACATCGGTCCTTTTAGATGGAGTCTGCCATGGAAAAGCGTGATATTGGTCACAACTCGCTCGAGGCCGACAGCAGTCTACAGAAGCAGGTTACTTCGGAGGAATTGGAGTCTCAGGCGGTCGACACTGCAGACAGTGAGTCAGTGATGCCAGCGAATACCCAAATACTTTTCGTCCATGCTAACATCGCCCTCCAGGTCGCGTGCCGCGCGAATACGCAGGAAGAATGACCTGTGTCTTGTCCCTTCTGTGGCCCTGATCTACCTTTTCTGCTTCATCGATCGTACCAATATAGGTAAGAGATCCTGAAAAAGTCGGCGTCCACAGCTTCGCTAACCATTAGCAAAGGCAATGCGAGACTGGCGGGCCTTGAGGAAGACCTGGGGCTCAAGGGATACGACTACAACATTGCCCTCAGCATCTTCTACATTCCCTATATCCTTCTCGAGATTCCTTCCAACATGGCCTGTAAATACTTTGGCCCAGAAAAATTCCTCCCCTTTCTTACTGTCTGCTTCGGGGTCTGCTCGATTGCAATGGGCTTTGTCACAAATTTCAGCAGCATCTGTGGGGTGCGATTCCTCCTCGGTAAAAATGGGGTCCCGCTTTTGCCATCTAGACCGTCACAGAACTGACTGTTTACCTGTTTAGGATGCTTCGAGGGCGGAATCCTACCCGGGATCGCCTATTTTCTCTCCCGCTGGTACACGAGAAAGGAGCTCGGCCTCCGTCTGGCCTTGTACGTCGTCATGGCTCCGTTAGCCGGGGCGTTTGGCGGACTACTTGCGTCAGGCATACTCAAGTTGAACGATTTTGGTGCCGTACACACATGGAAGAAGATTTTCGTGATCGAAGGCATCATAACCTGCGGAATCGGAATCATCACCTTTTTCACCCTGTCCAACAGCCCCGCCACTGCAAAATGGCTTTCCGAAGAAGAAAGGAGAATCGCGACCGACCGCGTGAATCAAGACCATGCCACGCAGCAGGGTATTGAGGACAAATTCGACGTGAAAAAGGTGGTTTGGGGCATCTGGAACCCGGTGATCCTCGCATCGTCCGCCGCATTCCTCCTCATCAACATCACCGTCCAGGGCGTGGCCTTCTTTACTCCCACCATCGTCCGGACGATATACCCCGACAGCAGCGTCGTCACTCAACAGCTGTACACCGTCCCACCGTACGTAGTCGGCGCGTTCTTTACGGTCCTGTTACCCTATCTCATGGGCCGATTCGACCGCCGCGTGATCTTCTACATCGTCAGCATGCCGTTTCTCGTCCTGGGGTTCGCCATCTTCCTCGGGACGAGGAACGCGTCGGCACGCTACGCCGCGCTGTTCTTCCTATCCAGCTTCTGCATGCCGTTTGTCGTCTTCGTGACGGCGACCGTGTCCGCGAACACGGTGTCGGACGCCACGCGCTCCGTGGGCGTCGGCGCCGCGCTCATGTTCGGGAACTGTGGAGGGCTCGTCGCGACGTGGTCGTATGTGCCGCGCGATGCGCCGGGCTTCTACATTGCGAGTAGCTTGAATATCGCAGTCGCTGTGGCGGTCCTTGTTATCTCCACCGGGTTGCTCCTCTGGATGATTGCGGACAACAGAAAACGCGATAGGAAGATGGCTGAGTCGCTGGGCGGCTGGAATGGGCCCTCGATAGAGGAGCTCGAGTGGCGTCATCCACAGTTCAGATGGAAGCTTTGAGGCTGGACTGGTTGCATGAGGACAGAGAACTAGGTTCCGTTAACAAGGTGCAGAGACACAGTTGAATACCTAATAGTAAATACAACATTCATGGACGGTTGATATCAAACTTAGTATGCCGTTTGTCAGTCGATTGTTAGCATCCTAGTCTTGTCCAATGTTTCAACTTTTGTATTTGTTTACAAACAACAAGTAGGCACCGGTTTAGTTGTGATCTGGGGAAAGGCGATCGCGGCTCTACTCCATAAATGGTGGGTCCACAACATGTGGGTCGACGTCACGTCAAGGGATATCAATGTCGAGTAGAATCTGGAGAACTTGTGGTCAGAGGGTTAAAGAACAAGAAAACTGCGTACAGAATACTGGATTATGTTGGCGCGAGAGACAGAGAATGTCTTGTCCCCTGGTCTCTTCGTGGGGGTGGGGTGGACGCGACGGAAAAAGAGTAGAGAAGCGAAGATATAGTCATTGGCTGGGCAATGATTCCGACTACGCATTCGTTCTTAATAGATTGATTAGCGTACCGAAAAGTAATACCAACATGTCTTATGAGGGCTTTGTGGTTGTATTATCACAAATTGGAGTGTCTGCGTTGACAGTGTGAATGGTGACTGGGAAAAGCCTCAAATGCAGATTGGATGGATCTGGAGTCTCTAGACAACTTCACATCTGCTAAATTGAGTAGTAGAGACCATAATGAAGTGAGAGAAAGCAGGCAGGTGATTTATAGGGAGGCTGGCAGGAAGGAAGGAAGGTAGGAAACGGTGGTGAATGCCACCACCACCACCATCACTGGGAAAGACAGCTCACATCACTTCTGTATAGCCTCACCCCTCCCACAACAACCACCAAAAAGAGTCGTGAACCAAAAAAAAGAACCGGAAGCGTAATCGATCGCACTGGGAACGCCATCTTCGTGCTTAAGATCGAGCGGTGCCGGGATCACACACTCTCTCGCCCGAGGGCGAGCGCACCATCTGAAGACTTCACCGACGGCCTCGATATCCGACAGGTGGCCAGCCTGGGGATTCGAACGTAAGCGCCTTTTGTCCGACTGGGGACGTAAGGTTCCCTTAAGCTTCAACTGAGCGACCGGGAGTTCCCAGGAGCCAGACAGACCACTAGGCCATCTGCTCGCTTTGGTGGAGGGAAAGTCCGGGAAGTGGGTGATATCATGTGGGAGTGGCTGGCCTCAGGCAGCGGCGGAGGTACCTAGGTAGGTACCTGCTGGGAGAAGTACCTAGGTACCTAAGGACCTCGCTGGGAGGGCGCCAGGTCAGGGCAAAAGCCCTCCACGCACCTCCCGTTCAAGTCAGGAAGATCGGATCGGCTATGGACATCAGTCAGCAATGATCGTATTTTCAGTGTAGATTATATATCAACCATGAATCCATGAGAACTCGAGTGTTCCTGTATGATTAGAGACAGAGTCGAGACAGGATCGGAGTCGATTGGTGCGTAGAGAGCATCCCAGATGACCGAGTAGTCCAACTCCCAATACCAGGCAGTGACTGACCTTCTTGTCCCACCAGCATCCTGATGGAAAATACAGTATGCGGAAAGTCTCGCGTACTAGATTATCCTTGAACTACACTGGTTGTGTAGAGGAATGATGAATGTATTGCCAAACTAGGAGGGGATGAAGTTAATAAGGTCCACCCATCCCAGAATTTTTGACAGCCACTAATGGAGCTTACTAAGTCAAAAACGGCCAAAAACGACTCCTGATTATATAGGCAGAACAGTGCATAGCAATAAAATCAAGAATATACCTATATCATGAATTATTATGTGCTGGTTATCCAGAGGCGAAAAGTTGGTATATCAAATATTAGAGAATCTTTTCTAAGAAATATACACAGAGCAAGGAGAAGCTCCGCTGAAGAAAGAAAATGGATCTGTAGACTTGAAGGGAGGATATAATAGCTCATTATACACATGAATCGAAACGCAACGCCGTGGGTGATATGATAGATTGTACAAAGCAATTGTTATAGCAAGCAGTCCGTCCGGGTATCTCTATGACGATGGCGGAGCAGCATGCAAAAAATTCCTCCACATTAAGAATAGGAATAGCAAGTCGTGACTCGTATAGCAACAGGGTTAACTCAGGCAAGCGTTGACGCCCGTGAGAAGTTCTGGTCAGGGCGCAGGCGCACCCCTGGCGAATAGCAGAGATTGTACAGCTCGTCGACATATGTGCTCGCCGCCATCTCACCGGCCACGATGGTAGTATGCGACGCATGCCGCCCCAGTGAGGACTCTAAGACGGGCTGCTCCAGCTTCGCCACGTCGACCTTGACCTCTCTGCGGACCATGATCTCTGGAATCGGCGTATCCGCCAGCGTCTCCTGCGAGATTGTTTTACCCGCGGCTGCTGCGCCGTCCGGCGACAACTTGCGGGCTTGCAGGAAGCGGAGCACGGAGCGTAGGGACGGGGCGATGTCGGACTCGGTGGCGGAGCTGGACCGTGCATTGTAGTAGAATAGCTCCTGGCCGAGCTCTTTGGCGAAGCCGTCGGTATCGGCGACGCCGTCATTGACCTGTTGCTGGACGCGGAAGAGTCGGAGCGGAGTGAATGAGTAGTCCGGGTTGGAGACTTGGGTGTCGAGGGAGGTAACGGCGCAGAAGGAGAGGAGGATGCAGTTAGCACCGTCGGAGAGCCGCGTTGGGCGGCAAGGGGCGATGAGAGGGCGCGCGGAGAACTTGGACACGGTGTTGATGTCGGGCGGGAGAGTTCTGGCGAGGTCGGACATGGCGTGGATGAGTTGTTCGCGGAACTCGTCCACGCCGCGGTAGGCGCGTGCGGTGTCGGACTTCAGCCATTCGAGGCAGGTAGATATGGCCCAGCCTTCCATGTGGGAAATCAGTTCGAGGTGTTGATACTGGAGGCGTTTGATTGGGAGGCTGGAGGATGGGAGAGGGTTGGTGACACCCTTGGCGGTTAGGACCTCGAAGTGGTCATGGATGGTAGGGCGCATAATAAAGGAGATAAGGTGGACGCCTGGCTCAAAGTTCCGGCTAGACACGGCAAAGTCGCGCATGTCTCGGAGGTGAGTGCCCAGCATCGACGTCGGAACGTGGATACGGCGAGACAAGATGGTGGTGACATTTTCAATCGTCGTGAAGCGGAAGCCAGCCGATGCAAGACGGTTTGCGTCCTGCTTGCGCAGTTGACGCACGGTGAACATCAACTGTCCCTTACCCCCGCGAATCCTGGAATATCCCATGGCACGCGAGAAGCGGGAAGACGGAGCGGTGGTGGCCAAGACGTCGTCATACAACATACCAAGCTCATGTAGGGGCTGTCGGACCTCATCCGCAAGGTCTTGTGCAGCCACGCAGAAGTGCCGTTTGAAGAGGTCGTCAAAGTCGGTCTGCAATTCAGCCTCCTGGTCGGACACTACACCCTTGGATATGTATTGCTCCATCGCAGCCTCGTCGGATTCAATTCGGCTTCGCATAAAAGGCACAACGTCCCGAATGAGCTTCCAGTTTCGACTCGCGCGGAAGGCCCAAAGAAAAGCCGGGTGGGTTCGGGTGAGGTCGTCGTCGTTGAAAGTCTAAAAGAGGCAGTTAGCTCTCCTCTGGACTGTTAATGTACGGGATTGAAGACATACCCTGCCGATATATCGATCCACGATTTTCCTGCTGGGAAGGAGTGCATGAGGTGTGACCATGATCCGACCCTCCGGGTCAAAGAAGGCACAGGTCAGGACCAGCTGTTGGGCTTGGGTTCTCAGTCTCCTGCGATGGCCGCCAGCAGCAATAGCGCATGCTGATAAAATCCCGCAGGCCGTGCATGCCTGGGTAATGTCAGTCAAAAGCTTCGAAACTACGCCCTGTAGGACTTACCAAGACGGCGCAGATAATTACGACCTGGCTGCGGGACAACTGTCCGCCATGCTGCACCGACCGGTCGTGCTCTCGATATGTGGTACCAACGGCCGCCGTCCAATGCATGCCAGAAACTGCACACGCAAGCAAGCATCCACAAACGCCGCGTCTCCACCAACTATCTGTCCAGGTAGCTCGCCATCGGAAGAAGATTCCCAGGGCGGTGGTACTCGCAAAAACGGCGATGATGGCCGACCCGACGACGTTGGCAACTTTGTAGGAGCACTTGTAGTTGGCGATGCCCAGTTGGCCAATGTAATGCATCCCGCAAACTGAGGAGCCAGCCAGCAAGCCGCCGCTCACGATGCGAAGGTATCCTGCTTTTTCGCTGGCACCGATGGCGTAAAAGGCGACGAGAAGGACAATCACGGGTAATACGAACGAGACCCCAGTGAAGGTCATGCTGTACACGATCTGGATGTCTGAGGCTCCATCCTCCAGTACAATGGCTCGGTTTCCAATAAAATGCATGCACCAGATGCCGATGCCTCCCATGGTTATCGAGGATGTGAGGAGAAGATACCTATGTCACGGTGAGTGACTATGCGGGATGTGAGATTGCTGCGTAGGGTTGGTAATACCAGTTGTAGAGTCCATTTCTGGACGTCCGTCGATGGAGAAGCTCCAGAGTTGTTGCGCATCCCATCATGCTGACTACATATGACAGAAAGATGTAGCCAGCGAGATAGGACACCCGGATCGGAGTCCCATCGCTGGGAGAGTCTGCATTCGACATAGCGCGAATGAGACGTTAGAAGGAGACCGAATACGTTGGACGGCTCATTTATCGGGTCCAAAAGTGAAAAGTAAACGAATGACGACTCTTCAACGCATTGATATGTTTCCACTCCAGGGACAACAAGCAACCAGGAGCGAACCGAGGAACAAAGGGTCACCAACGACGAGTTAAGGTTGACACAATGGACGATCAGATCGTCCACGTTCATGCGGGCTGATCTTATAATAACAGGACTCAAATCAGTGCACTACACCTGGAGCACCGCCTGGTCCATTTTTTTCCGAGTCCCCAGATTAATCAACGGGGTGAGACTGCGATTGGCAGATACACGAGGGGATATCTGAAGTATGGACCCCTGCTTTAGATTTCCACGGGTCCTTCGTGGTCCATGTCAATTTGTGGGCGTCAACACATCGCCCGTGGCCCAAAATGGGGCCTGGTCCGAGCTAGGTGGCGACTGACACGAGCATCCAAGCAAAGCGATGGAGCCTCTATTGCAGTCATATTGAAGCGATGGCCCTGGCTGAAAGAACAGCCAGTATTGGCCCAAGAGATCGGGCCTAGTTGGCTAGAAGGAACGATGGGGCGCAGGATCTAGCGGACCAGGTTCAGGTTCCAGGCCAGGCTCGTCGAAAGAAAACGGCCTAAATCTTAGGCCTAGTCGGCCATTGGCAGGCTGCTCTCTCATTGCTCGTTAGTGTGGGTAGCAGCAATTAAAAACAATCTGTCGTAAACAGAGATGGGTCCGGCAGGAGGAAGTTCCGGCGTATGGAAGTCGCCGAAGCCTTTACTCAAAGACATTGTTCCCTTGGGTTCAGCTGCGCCGCTGAACATGTCGCTCATCTCCGATATGACGGCTGTACATTTTCGGTCCACCAGCGATAAGAATTTTTGTCCCTGACAATTAACCTCAGGAGGAAATATACCCCATGGAGATGTTATCCCTAGGGGGTTGTCTGGAAGAGACTGCGCCAAGATGCATGGATACACCCGGAGGTTGGCGTGTGCGTATGATTCTACACCTATACGTAACAGATTGAGGAGACTGCCTATGCCCGTTGGGACTATCCTCCGCAGAAGATGGGAGGTAAAAATGCCCGAGCATGTGGGAACCCACGCGAACAGGCATCGAATCGACCCACCGATTGGTGTGACAGCTGGAATTTGGAATCGTGGAATCCTGCTGGTTCACGGGCGTGGCGGCGCACAGTGTCAGCGCTTGCACGAGGTATGACTCGTTAGTGCGTAGGCCACACCAGCACGAACGTTCGTCTCTCCTAGAGACGCGACAAGCGAGATCAACAGACTCCGGCTTCAGTGAGACAACAACAATCAAAATAAACGGAGCTGTGGATAGCTTACTGGCGTGGCTAAGGGATCCATGGTACCCTCGGTTGGCGACGTTGAAGTGGAAAGTAAACGACGCGGTCCACCCAGCGATGCATCTCGTGGTCCGATCGATCCTTCCGCTCCGCCTAGCGCCCCGAGCTTTCGGGCTCAACCACCGCGATGAACCTGAAACACAATCTCGAGGCGAATCGAGCCGACTGTCAATCTCTGTCCTGCACTAGCCATCCTTCCGTACTGTGAGATGGCCGGGAACTCATCGATGCCTCGGTAAGATCGACTTGGTCCGGTGCAACCTAGACACGAGTCACGCGTTCTTGCAAGCCCGAACTACTCCCGCGATGCAGGTATGTACAGGTCCTGAGGAATACAGTTGGGAAGCAAAAGCTGAAGTAGTCAAGCGGATAGCATCGACAATCACCAACCCATAGTAGTAAACGCAAAACACAACCAGACCTCGCACGAAAGACCATTCCCCCTTTCCCTTTCTTCCACAGCCCACTAGTCCCGGGTATCTCGGTTCTAGCGTGCCTCTCTGCCGGTATCCAGCTTCATTCACAGGCTACTAATCTGCGGACGGAGTACGAAGTACAACAATCAATTCCAATACGCCCAAATGAAGCCCAATAACGCCGTGATGAAGACATACTAACGCTCCTCCCCGAACAATCCCCGAACGGGGTTCCAACCCGGAGGCTCCGCCGAGGCGCGGTGTCCGGCAGCTGAATTATGGAGTTGAGATTAATTTATTTACTCTTTTTGACTCCGGCATCGCTTGCGAATCTCCACGATCCAACACAACCACTAACTAGTGATGTCTCTGGAGAGGCAAGTGGCTTGCTCCTGAATCCTGCACGGAGGTTATAATACTCCTTGTGCACAGTTGAGTCTTTAGGTACCGGTATCGTCTTGTGTATGTAGCTCGATAAGCGAATTCCCTGGAGGAATAGAGTGGGGATGGTGCACCCAAAAAAAATAAATAAATAAATAAATAAGCCATATGTATAGACTGGCCTAGACGATGAAGTTCCGTGGCAGCAGTGAGACACACTCTCTTCTATGAAGAGTCGATGCTCCTTGGATTAGGCTTATTTTTTCTTTGTCTAGGATGTCCGGATAGGTGTGATGATGCGTGATAATGCTACTAGGTACTTATCCCAATGCTCCTGTCTTCGGGCCTTCTTTCAGGTCGGCGTCTGAAAAATCTTCTGCCGGTGCATTCCGTCATATCAGATGAAATCAGCAGCCAAGATTGTGCCTAGTACTTCTGGGGTATAACTTTTATTCTGGAAGACCGCACTTGATAGCGTCTTTGCAGTCAACTTCACTCCGATCTTCAGCCGACCTTCGGCGTCTCTACAAAATGAGCGCAATGCCCAGGTTGGCTACATAGCGACGAAACTCGACCGTTGAAGGTAAGTATTGTATGACGGTCCACCACCAAGCTACGCAGCCTGACGCAGAGTACACAGCACACCAACCTCCATCCCTACAACTACATCTACAACAACCTCAAGCATCATTCAAGACATTCGATTAAAATGTCTCACTGCAAGCAGCAGCGCAGAAGCCAACTAGATACAAGACGGTCCGAATCTTCCGCAAATTCAACCACTTCGCAAAATCAAATTCTACCATCTAGTGCAATTACGCAATCAAAGTCTTGATGCCAGCCTCCAGGGCGGGAGGGTTCGCACCGACAACATCGGAGACCTTCTCGCCGTTCTTGAAGAGCATGAAGGTGGGCATGGCACGGACACCGAGCTCGGCGGCAACGTCGGAGAGCTCATCGACGTCGATCTGGTAGAACTTGGCCTGGGGGTAGGCCTTGGCGAACTCCTCAACCTTGGGGGCGATGGCCTTGCAGGGACCGCACCACGTAGCAAAGCAGTCGAGGACGACGGGCTCCTGGGCGTTGAGGACCTTCTCCTGGAACTCAGCCTTGCTGTCTGGATGTTAGCATGTCCTCCTTGCTTGATGGATAGATCGGAGGAGGGGTAAAGCGGGGGCACATACCTGGTAATGGGGATGACACTGTCGCCGGCCATTGTGGAAGATGTGGGAGAAAATTGAACGGTGGGGGTGTGGGATAAAGCGCGTCGGGGGAGGACAAAGGTCGGGCGATGAACGGGGATGCTGCGGCGCAGGACAGTTGAAGAGACGGCGGCGCGAGTCGAGTATCTAGCGGAGAGTCTAACGGGGAGAGAGGAGGAAAGACGAAGGGAGGCCAGGGTGGATGGTTTAAAACTGTGGTTGTTGGATTAGCTCCGAATTGAGGGGCGGGCGCCGAAGGAGGGGCAGAATTTGGGAATTTATAATGACGTCTTGTCCAGGCTGAGTCATCCGGTTGCTCGTCGCGTCCGAAGCACCTGGCGCGGACCAGAAGAACCCATTGCTGGCTGAGAAGAGTCTTCCAGGGGGGCTTACCAATGCATGATGGATGATGGGATTGATTGGTAAGAATACACAGAATGAACAGCAACAATAATATACACGACCGTCAATCACAGATTGGACAGCAGGGCCGAGGCGTTGGGGGTGACGATGAGGTGAGAAGACAGTTCTCGCCTTAAAGCAGCGGGTCGGATGGCGTGCTTCGCTTATCAATCACTACAGTCTGGATCAGCAGCCTCAGGCACACTGACGAACTAGTTACCTATTCCAGCCAGCATTCAGATAAATGGCAGCGACTTTCAAAGAGATGGAATCGTACAGATTAATCTTGCTCAATGTATCTCCACCATTTTTAGAATACACTCTCGCCTTATACATCAATCAAACACATCCAATAAGACCAATATCTGCATTGAATCAACGAGCGAGAATGCTTCCGGTCTATCAAAATACAAGACATAGTCCAAAAACGAATCCTTCCGGATGAAGCAAACTCGTCCACGCTTCCGCTGACGGGGGGTATCAACAAACACAAGAGCTAGCAAACTCCACCACCGAACCAAGAGCACACGAGCAGGCCAACCTGTCGCCCGTCGGTTGCACCAAGGTAGATCTCCGCCATGATTACATCAAGCATCATGACATGAGAACGATGACAGAAGACAAAGGAGCGTAACAAAGGAAAGGGGGCCAAAGGAGTGACTCGGGTAGGTTATATACTGCACAGGGGGTATTAAAACCATAAGATGCAAAAGCATGTTTTAGAAGGACAAAAGTCGGCGTGCCTGTCGGCTGTCAACAGCCACGCGGGGTTACACCTCAACCATGACGCGGATCATGGCCATCGTCGTCTGCCAAGCAGAGCTCAGCCGACTGTTCTTCAATCGCGCCGAATTCCGCTTCAGCTGAGATGGGAGACAAGGAGCGGACATTGTTCAGCAGACCTTCCGTAGACTTAGGTCGAACAGAGGGAGTCACAAGCACCGGTCGTTTGGCAATCTGATCGTGCCAGGTCTCCTCCGTCTTCTCTGGAGCGTCAACAGTTTCCAGGTCACCTCCCTGATCACTGGTGATTTTACTGCTGTTCTGCGCAGGAGCCTGGTTGGCACTGGCTGCAGACGCATCGTCATCATTGGGCGACTCATCGGTCCCCTCCACTCTGTTCCTCAGGGAGCCAATGCTGGGTCGGACCGGGTTGCTTTTCCGTTGAGAAATGCGGCGCAAGAACTGACCCGACATCCACGACCCTTCCGAATCAATAGAGGCCAAAGATTGAGACAGAGGGACGTTGTCGGCATCGCCTTCCACGCTATCGCCAGCCCAGGAATTCTGACGCTCAGAGCCGGGGATCGGATACCGGGTACCAATTTGGGATTCCGACTTGTCTATGTCCATATCCAGCCCATCGGCCGGTTCCTCCGGGATGTCAGGAGACTGAAGGCGGGAGTCCGGCGGTGACAGAGGTTCATCGCCAAAATGTTCAGTGAATTTAGATTGTTGGCGGTTGATGGTACCGGTGGGAATGAACGCCCGAGGAGGGATGAAGGGAGGGGGTGCCTGGGGAGGTGCTGACGGTGGCGGAGAGATTTTGGTAAAGGACTCAAACGAGGTACTGGGAATTTCCGGGCTGCGCTCTTGGAACCGCTCCCGATAGCGCCTCTTGAGACGGGAGCTTCCGCGACGGAAGATCGAGGTTATCGTGTTGGTATGTCCAGCACTATGGTCTGACATCCGTCTTTCTGAGTCCACTGTCCTTGAAACATCCGAGGTAGATTCCCGACCCATGCCGTACAACTGCGAGGACGCTGGACTGTGAAGTCCCTGTCTGGATGCAGATCGAGAGGGCGACAGAGTACTGCGGGACATGACCATGTCTTGCGAAGGAGCGAAACTGCTGCGCGCGCCGAGTTTTCGCTCACGTATCGAGCTATCATCCAGATTGCCAATGACATTGACGCTTTCCATGGACTCGAGAGCGCTTCGCTCCGTCCCTCTCGTGGAGCCATCACGCAGCCACGAACTGCTGGGGGCCTCGGTGACAACTGGATTGGTGACCGCCTTGGAAGCATCATCATCTGCACGGGAGTCCACATGACTTTCCGCGTCCTGACAGGACGATACATCCTGGGGAACAGCCTGGTTGGAGACTTCGTTCGGGCGACCCTGAGCCAGCTCGGCGTCAGACTTCCGCTGCTCTGCAGCTTGTTGCAGTTTGCGCTGAAGTTTCTCCTGATCTTCGATCAGTTTTCTCTCTCTGCGTCGGCGATCCCTCTCCAAAAGCTCGCGTAAACCGCCCGCATCCAAGTCATCAGCCAATCTATCCACCCTCTTCTTCGGCTCAATGTTTTCTTTGTCTTCAGACGCAGTGATGGCCAGAGGCTTGTCTCTTCGTGTAGAGCCATCAGGGGTTTTCTGACTCCGCGCCGAGGGAGCGCGAGGGGCTTCTACGTAGTGAATGACAGGGCGAGGAGTCCACGCAGCAAACCCGTTAACTTTGAACGTGTAGGTTTCAGAGAACTCGGAGATCGAGGACGCAGCGGAGTCGCGGATCGAAAGGCTCAGATCGGAGAGATGGCGGTCCGAACGTCGGTGACGCGGATCACCTGGTAAAGAACGACGAGGGATATCAATCGGCGTAGAAGCCATCATCCGGATTTCACGTTCCCGGGCGATCTCGTACGCCTTGCGCTTGCTCAGTCGCTTCTTCAACACAGCTGGGCCATTCCCGTTCTGCTTTCCCTTCACGAGGGACGGGTTCCTGGATACGGAAGTTGGTTCCCGGCAGACGGTGGAGTATGATGTATAGCCATCGGCGTGATGACCAAGCCTGGAGTCCTGGTCTCGAAGTCCTTTTGTGGAGCGGACTTGGTCGGTTTTGGAGGAGCGCAGAGCGAACTGGGTTTGCTGGGAGGAGGTGAGGGTGGGGTTGCGGTAGGGGTGCGAATAATCGTCGACGGGCTGAGAATGCCGGTTCTTTTGACGTTTCGACGGTGCGCGCGTCGGTTTCTGCGCTATTTTGGAGTCATCCAGGCTGTGACGGGGGTCATGCGAGAGATGGGCTCCCTCCGTCGCGGCTGCATCCAGGTGGATGGTATGCCGCTTGTTTTTCCGCCCAAATGGCCATATCGCCATGGCGGACGGTGACAGCGAGTCTCGAATACGAGTCAAACGTGTAGAGAGGATTCGTCGGGGGCGGGTTTCGGGTGAACGACCGGACTCATGGGGAACGATGGAAGTATGTAAGACACGCGATCACGGAGGCAAACAAAGACGGACGACCAGAAGCCGGATCGTTTCGAAACCTGCTTGAATATGGAGGCGGCGTTACGGGAAGAGACAAAATATTAAGTGACGACACGGCGATGAAAGAGAGAAAATGGAGGGATCGAGGGTAGGGATGGCCTCCGAGGCTGGGGGAGGGCCGGGTTTAAGCCCCAGGAATCGGATTTATTATTGGTGTAGAACGAACGGGAAGAAGGTAAAGTAAGTAAAGTAAACTAGTCTTGGTGGGAGTAAGACCCCAGGCCACGCCACATGGAGTGGCAAAATCCTAGAATCAGAATAAGAGACGATCCCGGATGATCAGGGAAGGGAAAAGAGGGTGAGGAAAGGGAAAGAGAAGAAGAGAAAGTAGGTGGAGGAGAAAAGATATCACCGTCTGGCCCGACTCACTAACGGTCTCCCTTCGGTAGGTCTAGGTAACCTAACTAACTAACAACTGCGACTGACCCCCGAGACAAAAACAAACCAAACCAAACCGCATTGAGAGAACCAGGGGTGGTGGCCGTCTGGTTACACACTACTACAGCACTCCCCCTTCCCTTCCCTTCCCGGCCCCGTCCGTCACCAGAGACAGGATCCAGAAGATCCCCTGGACGAATGACCTTTTGCTGGGGCGACCCTGCAGGATTGTACGGAGTACTCCTATGTAAAGTACCTCGTCATGGTTCATTCCCACTAACGTCCGAACCTGCATCTTCCCGCTGGGCCCGAACCTTTCTTGCTGTGTTTTCTTTGTTGGGCCGATTCGATATTGTCGCTTCCAGTCGGTTCGACAGATTCTGTCCATATTCCTTTTGGCCCTTCTCTTTTTCGCCTGACATGGATCGCGAACACCATTCTGTGTCCTCGGTATCTGGAAAATTTCCACAGTGGGGACGTCATCCACCAGACTGCCACAGACTGCCAGATTGACGCCCAACTACGGTGATTATTCAGAAGCCTGTCCATTACCAATCCACAGGGACCCCCTTCTTATTGGCGCTGACGGGGCACCTGACGGGGCAAAGGACGTCGTCATGAAAATTGTTCTCATCGGTGCGGCCTCCACTCTCCATTATTATTCTTAGAAACAAACCGTGTGTGGAGTTCGGCCAGGAAGATTGGTACATTACCAGTACCTCTGGTACCACTACCTGCATGCGCAGTAGTAGTCCTTCGGTAGCCTAGGTACAAGGTACTACAAATAATTCTATTATTATTATTTTATTATTATTATCTGATTACTGTCATTCTATCGCCACAACATGACGAGTCGTTTTGTACCTGTGTGCATCCTCAACAGCGGTCAACCAGCCCCATCCCACCAGTCGCCCAGCGTTTGAAATCGCGCACCAGAGAAGCCACCTAGAGTTGATCAAGAGCCTTCGCTCCACCCGCTTTCATTTATCTTCGATGATCGATCTACCGCGATGCAATATCACTTGCGTGATGACCCAGCTGGACGTATTTCGCCGCCGCACCTGTAATTGACGGGTATGAATATCCCTCCCACTTGGCGGATGCGTCTGGCAGATGCCCTGGCCGGGCACCATAGACATCATTCATACAGGGTAACGCATGTAGAATGCTTTGGATGACCGCGTATATGCTCGCCTCTGTGCTTTGCTTGGTGGTGCTCCGTATGCTGCATGCAATGACTGGCTCGATTTATGTGATTTAACACTGCATTCCGTGTACAAGTGGATCGTCAATAACTGAGGTCCCATGATTGGGCGGATAGTGAAGACATTGGGCTGGGCCAAATCCCAGAGGCGTCTGCGGTGGAGATACTGATTATGACACTACTGTAACGCTTAGCTTCGCTTGAGAACGACAACAATACGGAGTACCGATGGGTATTATTAACCCGATTCACTGCGGGACATAAGATTCATGCTACTGTTTGACCCTATCCATGACACATTCTCCTTACAAGCAACCCTCGAATTTAGTATGACAGCCATGGACAGTACGGCACTTGGCTACTAGTAATGACAACCTGAACGTCAGGGACTGAAACGTAACGGTCAAGGCCCCATTGTGAGGTATCCGTCCCGCGCGGTGGGGCCGCACTAAATCCTTCTAGCAAAATGGCGCCCCATCGACGGCACTCCAGACTTTTCCTGCCAGCGCCATTTCAGTCGATCATGTCTACGACCAACCCTGGGACGGCCTCAGTCGGCAGAGGTCTGGACGCTCTTGGTCCTGCAGCGGTGGGTATGTGCTGGGGCCAGTCATTTACCCTCCCATACAAACACATTCACCAGGTACCGACGACTTACGGAGTACTCACCCGAACAGAGTACACACAGACCGTAAAGCATTACCCCGTAGTGTGCGACGGGGCATCAGAGCTATGAATGAACGAGTACGATAACCGAGAAACCAGACCAAAACATTCGGATTCCATTTCCTTGCGTTCTTCTCGGTAGACATACATCATGCATGCATGGACTGACGTCCTTGCAGTGTTCATCTCCGGTCTGAGACCATCGCGGGGAAGTCAACCTTGGGACATCTGGAATGTACGAAAAAGGGAGGATGTAAACATTCGGGTCTTGCGCAAGTTACCCGAGCTCATGTCCCTCCAACGGGAAGACCTTACGTATAGAATTTTCGGTTCTAGAACGAATTACTTTCAATTATCGAACTGCAGAGTATGCCGAGTAACAATCTACGGCGGTCAAAGGTCCAAGGCAGCCAAATCCCCGGTCGGTTCCTGCATCTCATCACCCACCCGACCAAATCTCAACTTCTCCGCGAGAGCATTCACTCCGTGCAAGTTCCAAACATGGGGATGTTTTGCTTCGAGAAAACAACCGATGAGATCCACCCGTCTGGTTCGAACGGCTCCGGGCGTGCCGAACATTGAACCATGCACAGTTGTTCGATCTACAAGGCCAATTCATCGCCCACATCAGGGACTCGACGGTGAGTTTTCTGAAGGAGATCGTTTCTTTTCCACGTAAGATCTTGGCGTCCGAGATGTGATCATCGGGATTGATGGGCGGTTTAATTTCTTTTCGTAAAGCTTGTGGGGCGCCTCCAGACACGAGCGCTTCCTTTTTCCGACACCTTGCTCGTGCTCTATGACCTAGTTGAGTTTGTACTGAAAGGCGAACAATTAATCTACGATACATAGGTAGTAAACACGTGTACAGGTACTGTCTAGCAGGAAAGTACGCTGAGGAGGTCTTAATTTAGGTAACTCAATAGGCCGTGTAACGCAAATTCAATATTATGCACGCATCTCAGCCATAGGCTCCATTCGGGGGCTGAAGCGCATCTCTTAAGTCAGCCTTGACGAACAGGTCTCAGATAGCAATTATTAACTGTACACATCTCACTGTTCTACCTGTATCTCGGTTGTTGACAAGTTGTCAATCAATTTCCAACGTATAATCTGCCGTATGCTCGTGAAAGTACATACCATGACATCTACGTGTATAATATATATATATCGATCATCATCTCGATCGGTTCCATCAAACCCACAACACACTAACTTGGGATCACGCATAGGGCTAGGTGCAGCAGGGGCCGTTGTACGGCACCACGTTAACTTGAGCTGGCAGCGCTTGATTTGACCCTGACACATCTCGAGGTACTTATCTCTTTGCTGTTCCTGAAGCCGAGTCGTTGTTTTCTCTATGGTCGCTGTCAATTCTTATCACTGTCTCGTATCTCCTAGAAGTGCATATACGGTATCCGTACCCCCCGGCGATATCGAGACTTGCCATTGGTATATTCATCCCACCTGTCGCCAATTCACTGATCAAGTCACCACGGGTTCAAACCTGCTTAATTTATCCCAACACAGCGAACGAAGCTACAGATGAAACCGACTGTTGACCACCTTTGCCGAGATATGTACTGTACTATGGGAACGCAGCCTCGACGAGAAACATGCCAACCAGGAAGGCACTGAAAATAAACAAGAGAATAATCAATTACCAGAAATTCGATATGTCCACACCAGCCGTACATTGACGAGACAGGGGCCGCCCCCTCAAACGCCGGCAGGTTTGCTTCAATATACAAAAACACGAAGGGTAGTCTGCTTGCGGGAGCTCGGCACACTCGACACATATCACCGTAACATTATTGGGTGAATCGCTTCCGAAGCCGGTTCGGCTCTCGCTCTAGCACACGATATCGGCGGCTCACGTGGCGCGTCAGCAGCTTCTTCAGCGACCAGGAATAGTCATGGGTGGTGGTGGTGGGCGGACTGCTGCCGGAGGTGTGGCGGAAAAGGGAACCCTTCGTGGTTCGGGCTTCGGGACACAGGTCGTCTTGTCCGGGGTGGAGGGTGCTGGTCAAGCACGAATCTGCGCCCATCATCTACCGGTCGCCACGGACACACAGAGTTCCAGACAGATGTAGGAGTGAGGTGTATTTTAAGGAATCCACGTTGTGAGAGGTGAGCCCCGTACGCCACCGGGATGAAGGGGAACCGCCTTCGCGCCCCGAGAGACAGATTCGATTATAGGCTGGAAGGCGTTGCGTGGACCAGGGTGGTTACAAGAACCCTGATGGCAAGACGCGGGGTTGGAGGAGGCTCGAATCCGGAGAGTGGCCGGAGTTCTGCAAGCAAGAGACACTGGTCGAAGCAGGTGGTTGTGGTGTGGTTAGTACGGAGTAGTACCTTGTCTGATGTCTATTCTAGGATCCCTTGCGGCAGTTCTCCAGTGTGTGCTTACGGAGGACACACGGTGTCCCCAACGCACTGGGGAAGGCTGTTAGTTATACGCCAATAATGAAACATGTTGCAACTCAAGAACCTCGGGCTTCTTGGAGGGGCAGAGGGGTGGCCAATGAGGGGTTCTGTTCTATCATTATCCGGTGGGCACATGTACCGTCCATGAGTTTCTCCTCATTGAATCGATTTTCACGGTGCTTATGGTGTATAAAAGTGGTCAAATTATCATTACTATTCTTTCGCCTGAGTAGGTATATGGATGTTGTCTAGGCTGAACAATTATGACGACGGGATACTATATGTATATACACAGTAGTATGATCTGTCTTGTGCCGAATTAGTCTAGTGTGGCTTATGTAGGGAATATCTATACGGTAGTAATAGTCTGATCTATATTAATGCGTTTCTAGAAAGACTTTAGTTGATGGGTTAATATAACAGGCGTCAAATACCTTCCAAATTATTATTGGAGAACCATCGATTCACCGCATCTATCCCAATCTGATAAGGACCCTCACCGCCAGATCTATGGACTGTTTCCTATCCATTTTCTCTTTGACATCGTCCAGAATGTGCAGAAACCGACCTATTTTGATCGTTAGAAAGAGGAAGCATAGTCACCCCTAGCCGTAGTCACCAGTACGAGAACTACATACACATCACCAAGTGTACCATCAATCTACTGTATAGCTCATCATACCTATCAGCTGCATGGATCCCACGCCCAGGAACAATGCCTGATACTCCGATTGGCGTAGACACCCACCACCACTGCACCATTCTCTCCCCGCTTCACCATTCCACTCCCCTCTAGTTTCTTGCAGGGATCCTTCAGAAAACGTTACGGAAGAATTCCTGCCCTTGCTACCCGATCTGGGACGAAATGGCCAGAGTCGGAGAACACTCACTTTCCCACGTCCAAGACCCTTGTGCCATTTAAGCCATTCATCCCTCCCCTCCGTGGTTTGTCGTAACCACACCCTGTCCGTTTTGCCTTGTCGAATGCAGTGGCCCTATTGTCCCACTCCATCTCGCGCCAAACACCCAAAGACATCCCCGCGAAAGGACCTCCATCATCCAATATGGCCGCCTTGTGGCTATTCGTCGCGTTTGGCTATCTACTTCTCTACGCTTTTGCCTCGCTGCAGGCCCTTGGTTATCAGAATCTGAACCTCTACCTGCAACGCATTGCGAACTGAGCCTAATGACGAGGGTGTTGTTGGCAGCGAGTCGGTAACCGACGGCTCAACCTCCGCACCGATCCGATCAGATGCGCCTCTCCCGCTCGTTGGGCGTGTCTCGTGAGCACCTTGATTTCGATCCCATGATCGACATGGCACGATGCCCGACTCGCTCGTTGCTTTCTTCACCCCGGCGCATCCGACACAGGCGCTCAGACGGGTTCTCGGTCCTCCGAGATAGCCTACGCTTGTTGCGCTGAGAGTTACGTTGCCTCTCGTTTTCCAGTGGACAGTGTTGTCCCCGCGCCAATCGCTTGATGGGATTTCGGCTACTCCTACAGGACTCTGGTCACATCGACGACATGATTAAGGAGGGAGGGTCGGTACGCATGTCGAATACGAATGATGAATTTATGGGCTATGACTCGGGGATTGTCTATTTTATGACTGCTTTTTGTCCGGGAATTGCATTTTATTCAGGAAAAGATTCCGGCGCAAGGGAGAGAACGAAAACACGATTACATGGAACGATAAAACGACGAAGGGAGTAGGCTTGTCTTGTGTTGTTTCATTTCTTGTCTTCTTTCCTTTATCTCAATTTGACTTCGTATATAGCATTGGAATGATCCCGTGCTTCACCTGTGGCGTTATCACGTAAGCCCCAGCCAGTCGCCTCCATCGCAATCCGTTTGGTCTTTGTCTGGAGTATCATGCAGCCTTCAGAGAAGTCTAGTAGGATATGGACAGGTCGGCTGCGCCCAACCTGCGGTGATCATGTGGGACCCTAGTGTCTCGGACATGTTCATGACCCAGGCACTAGTGGACCGTCATGCAAGCCCCATCAGATAGATGAACCACAGGCATCAGCCATCCCTAAAAGGACTGAAAGTCCAATGGCAGTAGCTTCTGGCCCCCATATCGCATCTTCACCCTGTCCCAGCTTCAAACGCGGTACCTACAAGAGGTTGTCAGAGCCAAACGCCACGCGCCTCGTTAATGTCGGACAACAAGATTCCCGCATTGATTCATTACAAGCACCATTTCAATTAAAACCAGATCTTGATAAGCTCTTCACTAACAGCGCTGGGCGTCAGCACACCGCTATCCGTAATCAGAGCTGATATCAGGTGAGGCGGTGTAAAGTCGACCACATCGGAGCTGTGCGCAAGAGACTGTTGGCTGGAGTCATCGGAGAGGTCTTCCGCGGTGCGGTAATCGATCACATCTTGCTCGATAGGCAGGTCATACTGGCCCAGGGGGTACACCCGGACAAACTTGTGGCTCTCCGCCACCACATAGAACGGCTTGCCCATCGCCTTCGCGAGCAGACCAATCTGGTAGGTCCCCATCCGTGAAACGATGCCTCCGTTCTCGACCACGCCTTCCGCACCCACAATAACCACATCAGCTTTCCCAAGCGCGTAAGCGACCGCCGACTCCGGGATCGTAGCGACGGGGACGCCCTTGGCGCGTAGCGCCCGCACCGTCTCCATACCCTCCGGCTCGCCCGAGGCATTGCCGTCGGTGGCCTTGGCCGGCGACAGAACGTAGATCACTTTGAAACGTACCGCCGACGGGCCACCCTTCTCATCGGCGGCCTTCTGCAGTAGTGAGGCGACGACTCGGGAGCCACCGTTCGTCAGCACCGTGCTTCCGTCGCGGATGAAGCCGCGGCCAAACGCAGCGATCTTGTCCCGGCTCTCCTTGGCGCGGCGGATGAACAGCCGCCCGTTCGACAGCAGATGCGCGCGAATGGCGTTGAAGTCGCCAGCGGGGCCGAGCTGGCCGGGTCTCTGGAGCGTCGTGATCAGGTACCGTTGGAAAAGATCCGTTCCAGCGGAAAGTCCAATCGGGTTGGGAATCGACTTCTTGAGATGTGCGGTGGATTTCTCCAGCAGGTCAAGCGTTTCGGAGATCGTGGAGGAGGGGGAGTGTGTGAGGAGAAGAACGAGAGCTTCGATGGCCGCAATTGGCATCGTCAAATCGGGATCCGAGCGGAGGAGTTCATTGTATGTTGCGACAATGCTGGTGGTGGGATTAGCTGCTGCACATATCGTTGATGAGCTTGCAGCTCCTGGAGGTGACCTACTCGAAGGGCTTTGTGGAATCTGTCGGAGTTGCCATGATGGCTTCTGACAACCGTGTCTGGTCGCGGATGGTCAAATAAGCGTGGAGCGAGCGTCAATTAGAGAACTCCCCGATAAAAGCACGATGCTTGCGAAGAGTCATCCAAAAGAGACATTTGGTCGGTGTTTGTCCGGTTTGCATCACTGCCCCTCCCATCTGCGCTAAGCCGCTTCGGGTTGCCATGAGAGCGGCCCTGCGGTAAACAATCATCATAACATTGAATCGGGCGTCGACTTGGAACCACACACTCTCTTTCTCTTTGCTCAGGGGTTCCATCAATCCAGGCGCTGCCGAAATTACTCAAATTTATGACAAGATGTCATACAACCACCGAATGAGCCAGCAATTTCATGGCACGCAGCAACAACGCAAAGGCCGCAAGAAGGAAGACGAGAATGATGCGTTAATGCGCCTGGTCAGTCCGCTGCCTCCCTATGATCATTCTTCTACTATGTGACCCTGCATCTTGAGTATGACTTCTAACACCGTATACAGCCCGATAAAGAAATCGCAGGATGTATCAACGATATCGGAATCCCGTTTACGGCCGCCGACCTGATCAAGCCCAATCCACAGCAGATCCAGATGGTGTTCGAATGGTTCGCAGAACTCCTCATGAATATTACTCGAGAGACGGTTGACCCCGCAATGCGCGCCGCAGCTGAAGACATCGGTGGAGATTTCCCTGACATTGTGCCTAACGACACGCGCAACTTGATGGGCTTTTTCGTCAGTCTGCGGAGATTGATGATGGAGGTGCGTCTGTTTTCCTTCCACCCAGACGGTGAGAGCTAACCGTATGGATCATCCAGTGCGGCGTAAACGACTTCACCTTCACCGATTTGACGAAGCCTACACATGATCGTCTTGTCAAAATATTCTCGTACCTCATCAACTTCGTGCGCTTCCGCGAGTCACAAACGGCCGTTATCGATGAACACTTCAACAAGGCCGAGAAGACTAAAGCGCGCATCGACACCCTCTACGCCGAGAACCAGGAGATGGAAGCGCGCCTCGAGGAAATGCGTCGGAACCTGCGTGCCAACGAAGCGCAAGTGAAAGAAAAAGTGCATCGGAACGATGAGCTGAAGGCGCGTCTGCGTGAACTCAGCCGGAATCAAGAGCGGGTTGCCGAAACGCTGGAGCGAGTCAAAGCCGACAAAGCGAGGAGACAGACACAGCTGGAGGAAAAGACGGAGAAAGTCGTGCGTACCCGACAAGAAGTCGAGAAGCTCCGACCATATGTCATGGAAAGCCCGGCTAGTCTCCAGTCGTCTTTGACTGAGCTCTCCGAGAACCTGCTGCGCGAGAAGGCCCAGATTGATGCGATGGAAAAGAGGGCGAGGGCGCTGCAAACGTCCTCGGATACGTTTACTGTCGTGAGCAACGATGTGCAGGCTTGTGTCCGGCTCTTGGAAGATATTTCCGAGGAATTACGGAAGGAGGAAGAGGAGGAATCGCGCGCGTCCCGGAATAAGGAAGCTATTTCCGATAGAGGGAACAACGTTAGAGAGGTCGAACAAACAGAGAAATTACTACAGCGCCAACTGGCGCGGTGGAACGAAAGGATCGAAGCTCTGCGGAAAAACGCACAGGAGAAGGCAGAAGCCGCCCAAGCGCGGATGGAAGAGCTTCGGAACATTCAAAAACAACTTCGTGAAGAGCGCGCTGAAAAGCAGCGTGATATGGAAAGACGGAGGATTAGGATTGAGCAGACCGAGAAAAAGGTAATGTCTCCTGAATTTGTTTCAGTGGGACTATAGGGCTAATTATGTTCGCAGATGGCCGATCTCAAGGAGAACATCGAAAGTGAGATTCAAAGCGCCCATGACGAATACCTGAAGCTGGAGTCGCACATCAAGCTTTATATTACAGACATGGAGAAATGTCTATGAACAGGGATTTCCGTAGCTTATGATTCAGGCGTTTTAGGATTGGCTTTGATACCCGGGTGATTGGGTTCTTATTGTTATTGATACCGTCGTGGCCGGTTGTTGTTTTCTGTCCATCTATTCCATCAGGGCCATTTAGATCTCCGGAGTCTCATCGATGGTGTTCCTGTTTTCCTTGAATTCAAACCATCGTTGTGCAATTCTTTTCACGGGCACGTTCTGTCCACCCATGCGTACTGAGCTGTTGAGTAAAGGCACGTCGACGTACCATAGAGCTTCACCGCTGCTATCAGTGGGGTTTGACACATCCCGGCTTTCACACAGTATCAGGTTGGTTGCTTCTCCAGAAGTAGCTTCCACAGCGGCAGCGAATGTCCTTGACAACCCCTGGGCGGAAAACTCCGATGTAGGAACATGCAGGGCGAGAGGATCGAGGATTGCTACCAAGGGTCGGGATGACCGTTCCCCCTCGGCAGCTACATCCTGAAAGGCTCGATCTGTCAATTGCACAGAAGAGAGATAGGCGCGCAGATGCTCGAGCGTGGGACAAAAAGCCACTTTGACTCTGCTCGATTTGGATAGCAGTCCGATCGTCTTTGTGAATAGCTGACAACTTCCAACAGTATCTTCCAAATGAACGCACGCAGCTCTCGTTTTGTCCAGGAACGAGTCTCGGGTGGAACAGATAATAAGTGAAGTCGAGCTAGCGTCCTTGTTGATGATGTATTGGAGGAAGTTTGTCACCCCATCGGAGAGATGAATTTGGCGAGTTGGCTCCATGTCCGCGACATATATGTGGTTGAGACACTTTCTCTTGCTAGAAGAGCAAACTGCATCTCCATTCTTGGTCTGTCGGTCGGCAGGAGGGGCCCTCAGGGAGAGCTTGTCCGCCTTGAGTTCAAAGAACCTGCACGAAATTTAAGGTACAGGAAACCCGTGGGTCACCCAAGCTCCTAGCCTAGAACGGCTTAGCCCTCGACAATTATATCCTACTTGTAGGTACAGATTATATCACCGTCACCTCAAGTTTACGATAAGCAAATCTCATAATTAAGATGGTTTCGTTAACTGTTCCATGCGAAACACGCATGTTCTTGCTGATACAATGCTCGGCCACCTTGATGCATCATGAGCACTCACTGCAGATGCCCTGGCCATCAGGCTGACAAAACGGCCATTACTTCCATCACGACACTTCCGCCAGAGCTTATAGTGCTTATATCGATCGATCTCGATCTTTTGGATCTGCTATCTCTGGCTCTCACCTGCCGCCAATTGCTGGGCACCTTCGAGGTCAACAAGAATGCGTTCCGGACCATGGTACCTCTTAGATGGGAGACATATCCAGCACTTCTGTTGAGGCTTTGCCGAGACCTCCCTGACTCCCGTCCTCGTCATTACTACTTCACCCTTTTGTCAAGAGTCGTTGTACAACCTTTCAGACGTCTCTGCTGGCGAGCTCGTGGGAGTCCTAGTGATGTCGTGGATCCAGGAGATAGCAAGGGAGTGCCTCACGCAGCGCACGGCAATCATATCAAAGCGGCTCCCTTGTATAGCATTCTCTGCTTTCGAATAGCTATGCGAAGATTCATGAGCGGGTCTTTGTATGATGTATCAAGAAAATTGCCTTGCAGCGAATGGACTCGTGCTGACTACGCGTTCAAAGGGTCAATACGGGAACAGCGCTGGCTTTTCCTGGACGCGATGATACATCCCGATGCCAAATGGGTTGGGCTGGTAATAAAGCATATGCAGCGAGGTAACAGCCCGTCTATTCTGTACTGCCTGGAGAAGATTATGTCTCAGACGACATGCGAACATGGGTCCAGCTACAATACGCCTGCCTTTGCATTACACGAACTTCTTCTTCGTGCCCAGATCAAGCGGGAGACGAAGCAATATCAATTTGACAAGTGTCCCAATTGTGGCTCAGGCTATACCATTGAAATATCGAAATATTGCCCAAAGGGTGGGAAGTCACAATTACGAAATGGTTTGATCTGGGCTCTTGCTTGGACTTCTAGAATGTCCAGTCGTGCGAGTGTAACCAAGTGGTGTTTGAGAATGCAGTGTCAGGATGTCAGGTTCATCGGCGGGACTACCCTATCTTTGCTGCTGTAGAGTACACACCTCAACACAATTACCTGATCTCAGCTCCTTGTGCATACACGGAAATTCTAGAAGTAAGGTATTAGATGTCTCAAATATAATAACTGGCTCGATTGTAGTCCACCTATTATGAAGTCTGTAGTGGAGAGAGTGCTGCTTACATAATGACTGAGCTCGGGATATCATCATCTGCCCTCCGCGGCGGAACTCCAACTCCCCTCACTCATCCCGCAGGACGGCCACTCTCGATTATACCTGGTCGGTGTGCCCCAAGACGGGCCTGGAGGGGAAAGCATGGAGACTATTTCCCGGATATCGTCGATGCTGGAAACAGGTACGTTCCATTGCGGTTCAAACTCCCAGCATTGCCTGGTAGCTGGCGTATCTGACTTGATGTTCCCATAGCTCGAGAGCTCACCCTCGAGGCCGCTCAGTCTGCCGCCATGAATAGAACGTCTACAACAGGACTTTCATCAAGGAACCATAATGCTGCTAATATCAAAAAGCTCCTTGACAGTCGCAATGACCGGGAAGTCCTGGATGGTATGCGAAGGGTGATCACAGTACGGAATGCCTAGCCCCGCTTGAATTTATGCTCTCTCTGACTTACTTTCCCATTTTCCAAACAGCTTATGTACAGCTCGGAGTCGTCTCTTACCTTCTTTTCCGCCGTTGTTAAGAACGTAGCGAGCACAAATCTCGAAGTGAAGAAACTCGTCTACATCTACCTGGTGCACCATGCCGAAGCCGAACCCGACCTTGCGCTCTTATCAATCAACACCATCCAGAAGTCGCTTACGGACCAGAACCCCCAGGTGAGAGCGATTGCACTTCGTACAATGTCGGGGATCCGGGTGCCTGTCATCAGCCAGATTGTTTCCCTAGCGATCAAAAGAGGCTGCGGTGATATGAGCCCGCATGTCCGAAAGGCGGCTGCGCTGGCCATTCCGAAATGTTACCGACTGGACCCCAACACCTTGCCTCAGCTTATCGGTTATCTTTCAACGTTACTTGGGGATAGTCAGTATTTTGTTGCTGGGCCTGCCGTTTCCGCATTTTTGGAAGTCTGTCCTGATAGGATTGACCTCATACACAAACATTATCGGGGCTTGGTAAAAAAGCTGGTTGACATGGACGAATGGGGTCAAATTGCTACTCTCCGGCTTTTGACCTTCTACGCTCGGAGGTGCTTTCCTCGCAAGACCCAGAAAGTTAAGCAGGCCGTATCCAAAGGGTTCTATGAGGACGAGAACGAGACGAAAAATGATGGCGAAGAATACGATGTCCCCGTTTTGGACCCTGATCTCGAACTTCTTCTACGGGCCTGCAAGCTTCTTCTACATAATCGCAACGCTGCCGTGATTGTGAGCGTCGTCCGTTGTTTCCTATACCTTGCGCCGCCGGATTATCTTGCTTCTACTGTCGGTCCTTTGGTTGCCCTCCTCCGGAGTCCCCAAGATATGCAACAGATCGCTCTTTACAATATTGTCGTCGTTGCTCTCCGACAACCGAAAGCTTTCACGAAATACGTTACGCATTTCCTGGTCCATGCCACTGACCCGCCTCACATCTGGCGTCTCAAACTTGAAGTTCTGACTATTCTTTTCCCTCATTGTGGGCTACATCTGAAGGGTGTCATTATCAGCGAGCTGCAACATTTTTCCCAGGGTGTTGATCCTGACCTCGTGCGAGAGAGTGTCCGCGCAATTGGCCGTTGTGCACAAAGTGACCCCAACACAGCCGACCTTTGTCTACGCATCCTCCTTAACCAGATCACCAGCTTAGATGACAATCTTGTATCGGAGTCATTGACTGTTATACGTCATCTGATCCAACAAGACCCCTCGTCTCACGAGAAGACTGTCATCCAGCTAGTAAAACATCTTGGGTTGACGAGAAACCCGGATGCCAGAGCAACGATTGTGTGGCTTGTCGGAGAATTCGCCGGTCTGGAGCCAGAGAAGAATTTCGCCCCAGACGTCTTGCGAATTATGGTGAAGGACTTTGCTAACGAAAGCGAGGCTGTCAAGCAGCAGATCATTCTGCTTGGAGCTAAAGTATATTTGCATCATCTTTTACGAAACCCACCGAAGGAAGAGCCTGAGCCTACGCCAGTAGCTGAACAGCAGCTCAGTAATGAGTGGACGGATAACCAGGAGGAAGGGGACAAGGAGCCTGCTGAACAGAAAACAGAGCCCGAAGAAGACAGAATTACACTTCTTTGGCGGTATCTCCTCCTTCTTGCCAGATACGACACTTCTTACGATTTGCGCGATCGTGCTCGGTTATACAAAGCTCTCCTTGCTTCTCCATCATCCACGCAGCTTGCAAACCTCCTCCTTCTCGCGCCTAAGCCAGTCCCGCATGCGCCAAGTCCCTCGGAGACGCGGAAGGACCTCCTTATCGGTTCGTCCACGCTGATTGTGGGACCAGACGCAGGCATCCATGGACTTAGAGGCTACGAGAAACTTCCTGACTGGGTTGAACTGGGCCAAGAGCCCGATTCCAAACTGCGGGAAAACGACATAAAACCGGAGTTCATGGAGAGAAACTCCATGACGGCCGGTGAGCGGCTCGACAGAGCCCTCAAGGAGCATGAAAACAGCGTTGCCTCTGCAAAGCAGCAACCCAACGGTCGCTTGAACGCGGCGGCGGCGGCGTCGAGAAATAAGACCCTTGACGAATGGCTCGAGGATGAATCTGAGACGGAAGAAGAGACGGAGACAGAGGAAGAAGAGACGGACTCGGAGGAATATGAGACCGAAGAAGAGACGGAAGAGGAGGAAGACGAAGAGGAAGAGGAAACAGATTCAGAAGAGGAAGAGGACCAACAGCTTTTGACTCGGGAAAATCCGGCTCTAGGCTCTTCCACAGCCATTTCTTGATTATTTTTCATGACTCTGCATGTAGATAGATATCCAAATAAACCAAATTGATTTCAACTTCACTGTCCCTCCAGATGTAGACACATCTCACGTGCTCCACCCATCAGGTACAATTACTCGATCGGGCGGTGGAGAGGGGCAGAATCCACCCGACTCCGCGGCCAAATATGGCGGTGGCTCCGCGTCAATATTCGGTCTTACGGTGTTTGTTTCTGCTCCATCCCGTCATGGACTGAGAGTTGAAGCCCGAATTCACTTACAGACGACTAATGAGGAAGTTCGATTTACCTCCGGCCCTCTCGTTGCTCCTTATCTAGCCCGTTCGCCGCATCGCCGCACTGCTGCTCGTCAGCATCTCTCACCCTCGACCCTGGCGCCGCCGTGGCCATGATGCGAACTCCTGCAGGAACCACACAAACAGACATATCCCTTCTCGAGTCGGCCCGCGTTCTATCTGTGTCCAGTCATCCGTCCCGACGTGTCTACTGATACCCTTGAGTCCTTTGGGGGCCCACACCGTCCGAACGATCCTACCTTCATTCATCGTTATTTTCCCTTCTCCTCCCCGCTGTACCATTATAAAGAGTTTTCTGGGCGTTTGTTAGATTCGACTTGGCCATCATGCCTGGATTACCGGGTGCGTATCCCTGTCTCGCGGTCGGAATCATCCGTGCGGCGTGTGCTGACGGTTCTCTCGGCGACAGCTAGCATTGATTTAGACGAGTGCATTGAGAGGCTCTATAGAAAGGAGCTGCTGGCAGACTCGGTGATCGAGGCAATATGCGCCAAGGCGAAAGAGCTGTTGATGAAGGAGAGCAATGTCGTACACATTGCGGCTCCGGTGACGGTGGTCGGCGATATCCACGGACAGTTCTTCGACATGATTGAGATCTTCAAGATCGGGGGTTTCTGTCCGAACACGAACTATCTTTTTCTAGGTGAGGAGACGCCGGCCTTCCCCCTTCGGACCATCATGATAAACGTACTGACTCCACCTCTCGGTAGGCGATTACGTGGACCGCGGCCTGTTCAGCGTGGAGACGATCTCGCTCCTCGTGTGCCTGAAACTGCGGTACCCGCAGCGCGTGCACCTCATCCGCGGGAACCACGAGTCCCGCGGTGTGACACAGTCGTACGGGTTCTACACAGAGTGCGCGCGCAAATACGGCAACGCCAATGTCTGGCACTACTTCACGGACATGTTCGACTTCCTCACGCTGAGCGTGGTGATCAACGACCAGATCTTCTGCGTCCACGGCGGTCTGTCGCCCTCCATCCACTCCATCGACCAGATCAAGATCATCGACCGCTTCCGCGAGATCCCCCACGAGGGCCCCATGGCCGACCTGGTCTGGTCGGACCCGGACACCGAGCGCGACGAGTTCTCGCTGTCGCCGCGCGGGGCCGGGTACACCTTCGGCGCGCAGGTCGTGCGCAAGTTCCTCGAGGTCAATAGCATGTCGCACATCCTGCGCGCTCACCAGCTGTGCCAGGAGGGCTACCAGGTTCTGTACGATGACCGGTTGAGCACGGTGTGGAGCGCGCCCAACTACTGCTACCGCTGTGGCAATCTGGCTAGTGTGCTGGAGGTGAGTGACACGGGCGAACGGTATTTCAATATCTTCGATGCGGCGCCGGAGAACGACATCCATCGGGGAGAACAGCAGGCACAACAGAACAAAGATGGTCAGAGTCCTGTCATCGATTACTTTTTGTGATACCCTTTTTCTTCTTTTCATTTCTTTCCTTTTCTTCCCTTTCCATTCTGCAATGCTTTCTCTTTTTCTCCCGTTACATCCTTTTCTCTCTTCAGCAATCTCTGGGTTTGGTAAATCATAAAGCATTTATAGACAGCGTTTTGAGAAGGGGGAAACGTGGCGCAACCGGATACGTCTATGCAATGTCTGACGGGGTAGTTCAGTAGTTCGATTCACAGGGCATGTATATTGACAAGAATTGAAGACGATATTGTAATAGGAAAAGGTGGCTAACGAGACTTTGCCAACGCTAGTAAATCTTGCGAGAAGACAAATCAAGAATATGCTGTTCGTGATATAGTCGTAGTGTCATCCGGGGTCCTTCTTCGTTCACCAGTCCTTGGCGATATCGAAGGACCACTCGAATTGCAGATGCGTGGTGTTGTCATCGTCTACGAACTTGGAGACAGCATTGTAATGGCCGCGGGCCATCATTCCCGAGGGGGCTTCCTCGGGGTGGACTGCATGGTTATTAGTGGTGGGTCTCGACCTATTCTCAGGCGAGCTGGAGGCTTACACTTCTTCTCGTATACCTGCTTATCGGTGGTGTTGGGGGCATAGCTTCCCTGTATGGGGTTAACACAAGTCCAGATGCGCCAATCCATAGCCAAGAGCAGACTCACCAGCATCTCCTCGTCCTTGCTCACACGAATACCCTTACGCTTGACCACCTGCAGATACTTGAGACCGCTCAGGACCTCGTGGTGCACCTGGAAGACGACCTTGATGCGGAACGTGGCTCCCTCCTTGATGGTGAAGGGCTTGTCCTTGAGCGCCTCCAGGGCACCGGGGGCGGAGAGCTCAATGACCACGTCGGGGCGGCCCTGGACCTCGAGGGCGAGGGACTTGATGATACACTTGCGGGGGTCGTTGGGGTCTCCGATGGGGGTTCCGGTGTTCAGACCAAGGGAGGCCTTCCAGCGGTTGAGGGACTCGTCGTTCTTGTCTGGGGTGCGGTGATATTAGCATGTTTGTTTGCCCCGTGGGCCGATTGAATGGATAAGGGGTTGTATGCAGGTGCTAGGCCGGGGATTGGACCACCCGCCGTGGACACCTGTCACCGATGCTGTGGATGAAACGAGGCAAGGGGGGAATGGATGCGCGAATGGTTCGGTTGGTGCAGGGAGGCATTCCAGAAGCTCGAAGCGGGTCCACATACCAAGCTCTGCATATTCCTGGATCGTCTTCTTCTCTCCGACCTTGAAGCCCTCGGTCTGGGAGGCGACGAGATCGTCTTCGTGCTCGGTCATTGTGGTGGGTGGGTTGGCGGGGTAGTTGGTAGGAGTGGTTTGGAGGGTGGTAGGAGGTGTGAAAAGGGGGATGAAAGATAATTGCGAAGAGGGAAGGAATTGAAGTTGGCGTAGAGGAGGGCGAAGTTCTGGAGAAGTAAAGAAAGAGGAAAGATTGTTGGATAGGAGGAAGAGGGACAAGGAGGATAGTAAGGAGGGGTGATTGTTTTGGCTGGACTGGGCCTGGAACGCCTGATTCGTCAGGCCACCGGTGGGGTCAGAAAAGCGGTGGGAGCAACAAGATTTGGGGCTGCAAACGATTCTGGATTTTGTATTGACTCACTTAGGGAGGATATGTTCGGGAGGATATATTATTGATTGGAATATATAGATCACACCGCCCAGGATGTGGAAGAATTGCAGCCCGTAGGTGTTACTAGTCGGATGAACCCGTGGAGACATAGATCACTCTACACAGTCTCCTTAAGCGCTAGTAGTAGTGAATACAGCTACAAAGATATGGCTTCTACATAGTCTTTCAAGCACTTCTCTGTTGTCAGGCAATCTCTTTCAGGATATTCCCAGTTTCTTTTGGAAAACGTCATGGCTGGAGATAGTTCAGTTCTCCAAACGACGGTAGAGCTCCAATTTTATATCTCGAACGGCGATCATACAGTCATGTCGACCGCAACACCGCCAGATAACATCCTCTAGTCCGAGGCACAAAAACTCCCAGTCACGGTCTTCCCTTGAAATATGATCAACTTCATAATAACGCACCGAGTCAATTCGTGTCCGCCAATACGAGTCGGGAAGCGTCCAACGGAGCTGCTGTTTCACTCTGAGGACACTAGGGCGCCTCAAGTAATCCATGATCTGGTACTTTATTTCCAATGGAAGATGCGAGATACGGGATGTGACAGCCCGAGGAGATATTTTTGTATGGACCTTATTCTCAACCCTCAACCTGGACTGCCGTATCAAGTTTCGGATAGAAATCTCTGTCCCCGGATCATCTGCGATATGCGTGTAAAAAGTAGATGTTAGTATTTCACCGCAGTATTGAGAAAGGAGTCATATTTTTTTTTTAAATACCTTTGACAGGATAAAATTTAAGCCCGCGAGTGATCGTGTTCTTCCATCTGTCAAGACCTGGCCTGCTTCGAAGGATGTGGTAGAGACACCTCAGATGAGATTCCGCGTCTCGCCCTATCATACGAGAGAGACGCTTCCAGCATATTTGATGCACGAGGTATCCGGATAAAGTCTTGGACTCCTCCAAATCGTCTGACCAGTTGACAACTCTAGGGAACGCAAGATGCTCGACCTCATTCGAGTACCATAACAGGCCTCTGTTCTTGTCCCACGGCACGATACAGTGACCACGGCCCTCAAAAGGAAATTGGGCCGCACCAGAGAGGTGATATCGCTGATTCTCTGGGATGTAGAGAACTAATACCCAGGTCACTGATTGGGAAATCGACAAGGACAAGGCATTACCCACTCATATGATAGAGTATCTGCCACGATGGCTTTCTCCAGTGTTCCATCCGTTCCATATCGGAATCCGTACAGAATCCCGAGTAGCTTCTGACCCATTGTGCATCAGGGGCATAATTATAATGACAACGAGGAGCGGAAAAATCTCGGGCGCAAATATAGCATACTGGCTGCGCTGAGTATTTGGGTTCCTCGGCAGGACGATCAGAATAGTCCAAGCTGTCTGCCATGGAGTTGCTCGAGTGACGTCTCTGTTCGATGTCGCTTTACAGAACTGAATGATCATGATGCTTTGAGCTTACAGACATCATGTTGACCTTGGGGTCATAGTGACTCCATCCTTCCCTGTAAGATCTGGGAGAGAGTAAAAAGCAGCGAGGGGTGAGCACTAGAATTGAAAGGGAAGGTGGTCGATATGTCAGAGAATCCAGTTGCATAGTTATCCAGTTTATGGTAGTACTATGAAAGCAGGAAAATTCTGAATATTAACACTGTCGAGGATTGATTTCGTTAATGCTACTCAATGATAAGTCTTGGATAGAATCGACAATGAAACCATACGGAGTACAACTAAAGCAAATAAACTCCATCTATCATAACCTCCACTCTGAAGTCTGGATGCGTCACGGGGACAACGGAAGGGCCTGAATTCCATGGCAGCAATACCAGCCCATACCAGCGCAATTACCTCAGAATACCGGGGGATGGACCAGGATTGCCGATACTACCCAAAAGGAGAGACCCAGGTGACAGTTCCACCTCTGATTGGCCATTCATTTACCCAGCCGGAACTAGTGGATCCCATTAGTCGAAACAGTACGGTCACCACCGCGTACAGGTTAATGGCGCTTCCCCCCCCATTATTATTATTCCCAACGCTTGGATGGTTTTCCCTCCCTCCTAAACTACTCTTCGATCTTTATCAAAACCTCACTCCCGTCTCATCTTAATTTCACTATCGCCTGCTTGTCGCGCGGATCTCTGTCGTGCTAACAGGGTCACGTCCGACCAAAGTCAATTCGCGTACCCTTCCCATTCGGTGTGCGCTTCCGTCGTGGTGACGTCTTGATCCCTCGACCTCGACGCGCCTGCAACGTGGCCGACGTTTTGGTGTCGCATCCTATATTACCCTTTCTTGAAGGCCTACTTCGACTTCATCTTTCCACCACTATTTCTCGCCGTCTCGGACCTATACCTGTCTGAGACACTCAGCTTTTCATAATGCGCTCTTTGCCGAAGAAAAACAACCCGCTCATCCAGCCGGATGCCGCTCCTGCATGTAAGCTCTCTTGCCTCTCGCCTCTGGCCGCGCCCTCTTCGATCCTTCCCCCGGCTACCGGGAACTAACTAGCGCCGAATGAATTAATGTATACTCATGCGATCGCAGATGAGGAGCTTCTGTCACGTCGTCGTCTGGGTAAGACGAACCTCGCGGTGAAGCCGACACAAGTCGGCACGTCGAATGCGACCAAGCCGGAAAATCTTGGACCCTTTGAATATGCGCACTTGCGCGCGCCTTTGCCCAAGGACCTCAAGGGCTCGGAGATTTTCCCCTCGCACACCCCCCAGCAGCATCCAGAGACGTATTTCCTCATGGTGAGTCGCGCCCTTCGGATGGACTGGATCGCACGGCACCGCGACTAACTCCAAATCCCTTTTCCCTTGACAGAGACGAAGCAAGGATGGCTACGTGAGCGCTACTGGAATGTTCAAGATTGCTTTTCCCTGGGCGAAACTGGACGAGGAGCGGTCTGAGCGGGAGTATCTGAAGTCGCGCGAGGAGACTAGCGAGGATGAAATCGCTGGCAATGTCTGGATTTCGCCTAAACTCGGTAAGTGTGACGGAACTTTTCATGCAAGTTGCTCGGTCTGACCCTGTGTTCACTTTAGCTTTGGAATTGGCTGGGGAGTATCAAATGTACAACTGGGTTCGTGCCCTGCTGGACCCAACAGATATCGTCCAGAGTCCCTCCAGCGCGAAGAAACAGATCACGCCGCCGCCCCGATATGATCTGCCCCCGATTGAAGCTCCGACTCAGCTCACAGCTACCTCGACGCGGTCCCGACGCGCCCGTTCCGCCTCCCCAAGCAAGAAGACTGGCTCTCCCCGCAAGCCGAGACAAACCCGAGCGATGAAGGAAGCCAACGTGCCCTCGACAATTGAGGCTAATGCGAACTTGCAGTCGTCGCTGGATGCTACCGCCGAAACAGAATCGGTCAACGGAGCCGTCGCCACCAGTATCGAAGAAGTTGAGGAGAAGGTAGAGAAGGTGGTCGCTAGTCCCAAGAAGTCCAAGTCGAAGAAGACCTCTAAATCTGCCCGCATGGAAGAATCTGCCGAGGAGGCTCAAGAAGCTGAGACGGCGGCCGATGCTGAAACGCAGCCAGAGGAACGAACGGAGATCCAGACTACCGTTTCAGTTGAGATGCCTATTAGCCTGCCTCAAGCCCCGTCTGCAGAGGAGACGGAAGAAATGATCGCCAAGGCCAAGGAGATGGTGGAAGAGGCTGTCAAGCACCAAGCCGCAGAGATCGCTGAAGCTGAATCATCCGGGTCTAAGACTGCGAAGTCTGTAGCTGCAGCCGTCTCGACGAAGGCCGCCAAGAAGCGCAAGACCGAAGAAGCCCTGAGCGAAGATGAAGAGGACGAAGAGACCAAGGCCCTCCGCGTCAAGCGGGCGAAGGTTCTGGAAGAAAAGCTGAAGCGTGAGCGGGTTCGGAACCGTGCCCTTGTCGGTGTTACCGCTGCTTTTGCACTTGCGTGAGTACTCCTATCATGGTATCTGCGGAGCCTTGACTAATTCCTTACTAGTGCTTCCATTCCCTACTTTTTCTAGATCGTTGTTTCTCTTTGACTATCTGGGAATCTGCGGACAGAAATAGCCGCATTTACGTGTGCTACCAGTTGAGATGGGCGTCTTATGGCGTCTCGACTCCAGACCTACACACCTTTCCCAATGAATCGTTATGCGCCTCTTGCGAAGGGCTAGATTGTCGACCGTTTGCCTCTGTGAACGGAGAAGACGTCTACCCCTCTGCCTTGTATACCCCTTCCTCTTTATCCCCTCCAATCCCATCCCCTGATCTTGTCCGAGTTAGACTCCGGCGTGCTTCCCCTTTCCCGTGCATTGTGATAAACATATCCTCCTTTTGACAAGTTTTGATGTACTGTGTTGACCCTTACCCCCTTTCTAATGGCTATCTGGTGACTTCAAGAAGAGATGCAGTATGCTATTTCTGTCTTGCTGGACATCGAAGAGTTGGTCCTGGAGATCGAGGGAATTTCCCCTACCTGATTTCGTTCATTCCATGTGCTGTCTCTCTATTCCTCCTGGATACCAGATATGGTTTATAATCTTGAGTTTCTTTTCCTCTTTCTTGTTTTGATCACCAGTTGATCTTGGAAACAGTGCTGGAGCTTCTTCAGCGACGATTGCTGAGGGGGATCGATAAGGTGGTTAGCAGATGAATATTACATGAAGATGATCAATGATCGACTTAATCGTAAGCCAATAAGTCGCTTTCTGAGTATTGAAATTCGCATAAAGACAATCTAAAAACGTGTCTGCCAGATTCGAAAGCAATGAACGTCCCTGGTTCTGGTAAATTATCTTTGATCAGGGCCTCAGTAGGAAGCCTGGAGAGAAGTCTAATCTCCAGATTGACAGATGAAGGATATATATCTCGCAATATCTGATTCAGTGTCCCCAAAATGACATGCGGACATACTGTAGATGCGAGGCACAGCTGACCGCCTGAAAGCATGACGGCAGAACCTCTGCAAACAAAGCAAACTCTACACCCAACCGTACAGAGCTCCCATCGCAATCATTCAACCTACCTCTCAATCCTGCGTGCCATGTCTCTTCCCGGTTTAGATCTCACCCAACCTTCGGCGGAGAGGGAGTTTGCGCCCGCTCCGCCGTCACAGATAACTCTGTCCGCGGGCTCGGAGTGGAGATTCGAGGTTGCCTTCGGGACGACAGTACGGGTAAAGGTGCGTGCAATGTGACATAGCTTTCTTCATTTTTCAAAGCGCAATTGGCTGACTATGCTCCATCTTGAGTTATAGCTCATCTCCGGCACGGCAGAACTCTTCGGGACAGAACTCGCCCCGTCTCAAACCTACACATTCTGCGGCACCAAATCCGCAATCTACACCTGGCATGGATGCGAACTCGAGGTCGGCGCGGGAGACGCAATCTCCGCACTGGAGGCGACAGGGATGAACGGCGCAGCGACGGCGCAGGGATTCGGCGCGGGCGGATGTCAGAGCGAGTACACAGCAGAGGAGACGCCGATGGTGGAATACGCGAACGTACATTTTGCGTTGGAGACGATGCGGCAGGAGGCCAAAGCGACGGGGAAGGATGGCCCGCGCGTACTGATTCTCGGTCCTGAGGACGCCGGGAAGACCAGCCTGTCGAAGATCCTGACCGCCTATGCGACCAAGATCGGGCGCCAGCCCATCGTCGTCAACTTGGATCCGGCCGAGGGCATGCTGAGTGTGCCGGGCACGCTGACGGCCACGGCGTTCCGCACGATGATGGACATTGAGGAGGGATGGGGAAGTAGCCCCATGTCCGGGCCGAGTGCTGTGCCCGTCAAGCTGCCGCTGGTATACTTCTATCCGATGCAGAACCCGCTCGAAGGAGATGGGTCTGTCTATCGCTCGATTGTGTCGAGGCTGGCGCTGTCGGTTATGGGGCGTATGGCGGAGGATGAGGATTCGAGGGAGACGGGCATCATTGTGGACACACCTGGAGTGTTGAGCCAGAGTAAGGCGGGGAGTTTGGAGATGATCAACCATATTGTTACGGAGTTTTCCAGTGAGTCTTGTTTCTCTTTTCAGTACGGTTTTATGGGGATAATGCTGACGAATGGTAGTTACGACGATACTTGTGATCGGCTCGGAGCGACTGTACAGCACGATGATGAAGAACTACGATAACAAACCGACTTCCAGCGCGTCGGCTGTAGCGTCGGACGAGCGTATCTCCGTCGTGAAGCTGTCCAAGTCTGGAGGATGTGTTGACCGCGACGCGGCCTTCATGAAGCATGTACGCGAGTCCCAGATCCGGACGTACTTCTTCGGCAACCCGATCCCGTCGACAGCGTCCGCGGCTCTCTCGGTCTCCGCGTCGTCGACCACGAATGTGACCCTCTCCCCACACGCCCAGCAGCTCGACTTCAACTCGCTCGGCCTCTACAACTACAACATCACATCGACTGAGGAAGACGAGGATGAATACGACCCCGCGCAGTTTGGCGCTAGTGACGCATTCCTTCCTGGCGGAGCCAATGACGCAGAGCAGGGCGCGTCCCAACAGGACGAGAACCCCTCTGCGACGCCGTTACCGGGCATCGTGTCATCTATCGAAAGTGCCGTTCCGTCCGGCGCTTCGAACGTGCCCTTGAAGAAACTCTTACCACCGGCGCCCTCTGCGCTGGCAAACTCCCTCCTCGCTATCACACATGTGCCGCCGACGGCCACCCCGTCCGAGATCCGGGACTCCAGTATCATGGGGTTCTTGTATGTGGCGGATGTGGATAGCGAAAAGGGGAAGATTCGGGTGTTGGCTCCTGTGGGAGGACGGGTACCGCCGCGGGCAATTGTCTGGGGGAAGAGATGGCCTGGGGAAGTCGTGGGATTGGTAGGCTAGTGCAGGGCTGTATGTGCGATGACGATAGCATACCTTTCTGGAGTTGACGGGCAATATCTATACGGCTTTATTGGTTGCACTGCGTTACATTTGAAGGAAGACATGTTGGAACGTGATGCTCCACCTGTCAGCCTTAACGCAGGCTGTGCCCCGTCCTGATGGAGACCCATCTTGGCAGTTGTCGGCTGCACTCCGATTCAGACGGGCGTCGAAGATATAAACAGACATGAGTCCGTCGTAGCAAAGTAGACAATCAACATTAACACCTCTCAGACGCTTGGTCTTGATTTTATACTTCCTATTGTACGGCTCAGGGCTAGGCTGATCACCTGACGGGCAGCATATCAACCCCCTCTTTACCTCCCAATCTAATTTCGAAATGAGCTGGATACACAAGCTGTTTCCCTGCATGAGTCCCGAGTCAAAGGAATCCCAACGACGGAAAAAGGCCAACCGAAGGCGCAGTCGACAGGTTCGCGCGCGGGAGCAAGAGCTGCGGCGTGAACGGGCCCGCCGACAAGGGGATGGTAAATGGTATTTCCGAGCTGGCGGCACAGCTATACCAGCGGCTTGAGACCCTCCTGGGAATATATTGAGAGAACTTACCCAGTGAGTCCGAAGATAAACCATCCAAAACATGTACGACGTACGGAGTATGTTAATCAATCACCCACGGAACGCAGAGATCGACATACTCCACGTCTCCACCGGATCTCCTCGCCTCGACCTTCTCCTTCGCAACAAGCACCACCACCACCACAACAACATCCACGACCATGCTCCTCCCCCGCCGCAAGCTCAAACGCCTCCTGATCATGCTCCTCCCCTTCCTCCTCACCCTCGCCCTTCTCACGCCGCTCTACTGCATCTACAAGCCGCCCGCCCTCCTGATCCGCTACTTCCAGCACCACTGGCCCGACACCCTCTGGCACGTCCCGCTGCCCTCGTCCAAGAAACTCGTCGCCCTGACCATCGACGACGCCCCCTCCCCCCACACCGCTGACATCCTCAACGCCCTGCGCGAAAATGATGCCACAGCCACCTTCTTCCTGATCGGCTCGCAGATCCCCGGCCGCGAGGAGACCCTCCACACCCTCATCCGCGGCCGCCATGAGCTCGCCAACCATGCCATGCACGACGAGCCGTCGCGCAGTCTGACTGACGATGAGCTGGCGGTGCAGCTCGCGCAGGTGCAGGATCGCATTCGCGCTGCGTATGCGGCTGTCGATGGCGCGCGGGAGCCGCCCACAAGATACTTCCGGCCTGGGTCGGGGTTCTTCAGTGAGCGTATGCGCGCGTTGGCACAGAAGCTGGGGTTTAAGATTGTGTTGGGGAGTGTGTACCCGCATGATGCGCAGATCTCGTGGCCACGGGTGAATGCGCGCCATATTTTGAGTATGGTCCGCCCGGGGAGTATCATTATTTGTCATGATCGGAGGTCGTGGACGGCGCCGATGTTGCGCAGGGTTTTGCCTGAGCTCAAAAGACGCGGGTACCGTGTTGTTACGGTGACGGAGCTGCTCAAGGAGGCGTCTTCCTAGATTGTTTTTGCGTATATATATGCATATGGGCGTTTATCGGCTGGCGCTAGGGTCTGTACATACATAGAATGGGCTGATATGAGCGTGTGCGAACATACGAACTAAACAAATTAATCAGGAAACGCATAACTCTATAGTCTACGCAAGCACCCCCATGGGGTCCCACCGCGGCAGTACCGTCGGCTCCTGGTTGAGGATATCCCGCACCTCCTTGGAGACAAACCGCGGATCAACCACGACCTGGAAGGTGAACTCGTCCATCCAGCGATCCGTCATGACAAACCAGCCCTTGTCACCAACCTGGTCGCCCCACGAGTTCTGCACCCGCCAGCGCACCGGCTTGCCGTCCTCGACATGCACCGCCGTCAGCACCATCGCGTGCGTCATGGACGACTCGCCGCTGCTCAGGCGCTCCGCCTTGGTCATTCCGAGAGTGACGTTGAATGCCAGCTCCAGATCCCACAGCTCCGCATCCATGACACCCAGCGTTGAGTCTGAGGACTTGCCCACGTCGCAGCCGAAAAAGACCGGATGGCCGGCGCGGAGCATAGCAATGGCTGCTGCTTTGATCGTCTACATCCGTTAGCGCTTTCATCCCAGGCCACATTCAGAACACGACTTACCTTCATATCGACGTTGACATACGTGATGGGCCGTCCCTCCACCACATTTCCGAGCCGATCAACCGTCATCAAGCGCCCAAACTCATTCCGCGGATCATTCACCAGGCTGATCATGCTCGTCGGATCGACCTCCGTCCTGCGCGTCGCCGCCATGGCGAACGCCTTCTCCGCGAACCCACGCGGCGTGTCGACGACCCGTCTCGCCCGCCCACTCACTGCGTCATCAAACTCCCACACGAACTCCTCATCCGGCCGCGGCGGCGGACCCAGCATGAGCGTGACCAGCGCATGGATCTCCCGCAGCGCTTCGTCTTTCGCGCGCGCTACCGCCGCATCCATGGCCCCCTCACGACTCGACTTGCTGACGAGCGAGCGCAGCCTCAGCGCATGCTCGCGCAGCTTTGCGGTGACAAGCCAGTCCATTTTCGCCGATGCCTGGGCGTTGACAGGATCGGGGTACAGGACGTGCGGGACGAGTCCGTATTTCCGGACGACGTTGGCCACCATGTCCCACTGGCCGCCGTCCGTGACGGGGTCCTGGAGGAGGGTCTGGACGAGACGGCTGGAGAGGTCGAGCCCGGCCGTCGCGACGATCTGCTCGAGGAAGAAGTTCGCCTTCTCAATCTTGTCCCAGTAGAACAGGTACGCCTGGCTAAGCTCGAAGTCGGCCAGGTGATAGCGGTTCATGAGCGGGACGCGGAAGACGTTGGTGGATGCGAAGAGCCAGCAGCGACCGGAGGAGCGCTGGTTTGTGATTGGCTGGCCTTCAAGGGGGATTCTGATGTTGAAGATTTGGGTGTCGGTGCGGAGGGTGGGTTGGTTCCGCAGGAGGGTTGTGAAGGGGGTTGTTGCGAGGGTGGTGATCGCGAGGCGGTTCTTTGGGTCCTGAAGGAGGATCTCCTCCCAGTTTCTTATCTGAGAGAGTGAAACGGTGGTCGTAGGCGCTGACGCGCTGTATGGAGGCGCTGAGTTGTGTTAGTCTTGAGATCTACTTCCGTTGGAGAGGATACTGTACGGGCTTCATCTTCGACATCGTCCCTTGCGGGAACGAGCTGCCGCAGGGAGGTTGCCGCTGCTGGGGGTTTCTCTGAGGGAGCTGGAGTGGAATAGCTGATACCCATGGTGGTGATGAACAGAAAGATAAGAAGAAGGGAGAATGCGGGGAAGATGCAGGTGGCTTATATACCAGGGACCTTGGGGTTATCTGTCTCGTGACTACATCGGCTTACATTCCTCGCAGTCACATCCAAACGCTTCATTCATCTATCCTCAATAAGAAACTCTCATGGTGTATAGACATGCAATGGGTATCGATATGATCACGGACAAGTCGTAGCAAAACCAAAGCCAATGTCCACCAGTTACTGGTCTCCTTTCCAAGCCTCGTTACGAAGTCTTGCGGTTAGTAAAAAGACGTATACACACTAGAAACGGATAAAATCCTGTTGCTGAGCGAGCTCGCTATTACCAGCTGTGCTCGCCGCTCCGATGAGCTCCGGCTCATCGTCTTCCAACGCATCCGAATCCACATCGTCTGAGTCGATCTCATCGTATTCCTCATCCTCACTGGAAGCATCAGACTCGTCGTTGTCTTCGTTATTGTCGGTGTCCAGCCGCTGAGCGGTATTCTTGCGGATCTGGCCCGCCCGGTCCACATGCGGCAGTCTGCAGCGCTTCTTGTTGCAGACGCCTGTGTTGGCGTAGTCCGGACACTCGTGGACGTGTCGCTGATCACACTCGGCGCCCTTCTCGCAGTAACCCAAATGCGCGAACCGCCGGCACACCGGCGCGCCAGGCGTCACCTTAATGTGGGCGTAGCGACATTCGGGGTTCGCGCAGCGCCCGCGCAGAAAATGCATACAAGTAGGGGATCTGTGGGGCGAAGGTTCATGGGAGAGATCGCAACTTATACCTGCGTTGCAATGGCCAGTCTGCAGGAAGTCCTTGCAGATGGCTACCTTGTGGGGGTCGTGGATGTAGGTACACGTCGGTCCTTTGTAGCAGGTACCTAAGATAAGTGTCAGTAATATGGACCCAACGGAAACCCCCAAAAAGAGAAGACTATGTGCAGCCTGAGGGAAGTGTCGGTACCCGTCGTAGTAAACCGTCGACAAAGTTCGTTCTTCTTGACCTGCGTATGTTTCCTGTGATACAGTGAGCCTTCAAATCCTCGCATGGAGACACAAACTGTCACCTTTTCGAAGTCACGGCGCCCAGACGATGGAGGTTCCCGTTTTTGCTCCGCACAAAAGTGACACCAGCAACCGTCACCCGCTTCGGCGTGTTGTTCGGATCCCCTATGACCGGTAAGCCCGCCCGCTTGGTCGAACAAGAAACATCAATGATAGCCGCACCAGACACGCGAATCAACTTGCTGCCTTCACGAGATACGCGGAAGGGGATATCGTTGAGGAAGACTTGATAGTCTGCCGACGGCTCCACAGTCGCAGAAGGACGATACTGGTGGCCGACGCCCCGCGCGTACCGTAGCACCTTGTCCTGCTCGACCTGTGCCCTCTTCAGGGCCTTCGCCTTGCGGCTCTCTTCCATGGCCTTCGCGCGCGCCTGCGCCTCCTTGTCGTAGATGGCTGAGTTGATGAGCTGCATGTGTCGATCGCGTTTGGCAACCCAGCCGTTGGGCGTCGTGGACCGCCCGCTCTCACCATCGTTGTCGGTGCCCGCGCCCGTTGACGGCGTGGTCGCGCCAGGTGTCCCCGATGCGGTCGCGTTGTTGAGAATGAGGGTGCGGTGACGATGGGGAGCAGCGCCTCGGCCGCCTCGCGCATACGGTCGTCCGCGATACGGTGCCCATCCGCGGCCGCGTGACGGTCCATGACGTGCCACATGTTCACTGCCATATGATGGCTGCGGCTGGGGGGCCTGGTTCTTGTGTCGGTTGATCTGGCCTGCGCGAGGTTAGCTGCGTCCAACCGCGGACTGAGGCGAGCTCTGGCACGCGCTTACCAGCTAGCTGGCTGATCTTGGCCATCAGGTCCTGGTCTTCTGTCATACTGTGTTGCTTTTCTGTCGTGTATCTAAAAAGAGAGAGATTAGACACAGTTAGTGAGTCTCGCGGAGAGACGAAACTGTGGTTACGGTGAGAGTAAAATGGTGGGAAGCTGATCGGATGATGTATCGCTTGTTGACGCGGAGGGATTTCATCACCGGTGGCGCATCACGTGACTATCGTCATCCTCCAGGTGCTAAATGCATATGCTCCCCGATACTGGTTGTTTTTTTTTTTTTTTTTTTACATAGATATGGGCATGGAGGTGGTAACAATTTGTACAATGCTTATTCAGATAAAGTGTAAAACTAGACCAACCCTTTAGTGTACCAACAACCAAAATAACGCCAGAACCGTGTATGCTACATTAGACCACATTCTCAAACTGCCCTTCATCATTATCAGTCATCATGGCAGACGGCGTGGCATCCTCCTCGGAACCCTCGTCAAAGTTGTAGTCCATGCCGGGAGGCAGCTCCTCTTTCGCATCACCGTACGCGAGCGTGTTCGAATAGCTACTTTCCTTGGCTTCAGGCTTGAGCTCCCATGTCATGGCAAAATCGCCGGACTTGACCAGATGCGCAACCATCTCCAACGTCTGCTTAAGATACGCTTCGGGTTGCCGCAAACGCGCCCTAAGAGTCTTAAAAGGCCAGTATTTGTATTCGCGGAAGCACTGGTAGATGAGATCCAGAAGCTCGTTCTGCGGCATACGGGTTGTCTTGTTCTCTTGGGGCTTGAGCTTGGGAGGTTTCGTTGCTTGCTGGATGGTGTAAGTCATACTGATACGAAAATAAGCAGAAGAGAAAGGAAAGGTACGCACCACGAAAGCGCTCTTTTCTCCTGGCAGCGCGTTCCTCGGCTGGAGCAACTTGCCCGGCACTTTGTCGATGAAGACGGTTTCCCGCTTTGGTTTCAATGCCTCCAGCGCCTTCTTCTCCGATAGCCGTTGGAATTCCTCGTTTTCGACTGGCAGACAGTTGAATTCCTCACTGACACTCCCGACAAGAGCCGTTTGTTCTAGACCGCGTAAGTAGGAGAGTATGGGACCTCAGGGAGCTAGCTGATAGATGCATACTGGGTACGGTTTTCCGCACATACGGCTCCCATTTCTTCTTGCGCTCCCTCTTCCGCGCATCGCGCTTCATCGATTCATAAAGCGCCGACCGCGCCTCGCCAAAGACGACCATTCGGTTTTCGTGACCGGGGATGTCCTTTTCAGTAAAGACGTATGTGTTCTGTGTAGAATGGGAGATGTTTTCGTTGTTGATGGTTTGGCGCTGGAGGAGATAGTCCTTCGGAAGGTCCTGGTTATCTTCTCGTTCGTTGATTCGCAAGCTGACCTGGTCTCGATTAGTGTTTTCACGACAAACACGCGAAGAGCGCCACTTGGAAAGAAGGGTAGACGCACTCGTTTTATGTCGTTTGGAGGCCCCTCGATGCGAACCGTTCCAATCTGAATCTCTTCGTCGTCGTCAAGTTTGGACCAGTACTCCCACAACGACCGCGGAAGACGCGAGAGCCACACATTCTGACCAGCGCTGGAAAAATCAAGGTCTCCGGCATCTTCGTAAAGGTCTTCATCATCGATATCAGCAAGCACCGCGTCTTTGTCGTCGGGGTCCGTCTTGATGTACGGCGTGGCGGCATCCGGATCCTGCTTGACTTGGGGAACCATGGCGGGCGTTAAATAGATACAGTATCGCCGAGATAGAGTCTGACCAGCTTAATGAGAAAAGACCCAAGAAGGAGGAGATGTGAAAGGATGTAAAATATGGAACAGAAAGTGACGTGATGACCTGCGGGTGCTCACCACAAAGAATGCCAAGACGGAAGGCGGTCAACCTTGATTTGCTGTTCTATACTAGATGCAAAAACAACCATCTTGCGTGGGCCGAATCTATCTTTGATCTATCTTTGCTCTTGATCATGGAGGCCAATGGTTCGGAATATGGTCATGACTCTCAATATGAGGAGGAGGATGAATTCAATATGACGATCTATATCGTTCTGCGGAGGAAGACATTGACGAAGAAGCGCAGTACGGTACTGATTATTTCGCTTCAGAACAATGTATGCTCTGTTCTTTTCGGACAGATCGCTACCCAGCTCCTGATGATTGGACGCGCATATTTACCAAGGTACGATTCTCGTTTCCAGATAAAGACTTCGACTAAACGAATCAGTTATATTGAAGGACACACATATTCAAGACCCCCATCTTGAAGTTGGTCGTCTTCAATATGATGAAGATAGCAGATGGCACGAATCGGTCATCCCCGGAGTCGGAATGGAACGGCGTATTCGTTCTATGGTCATAAGACGGAGTATCTGCAGAGTACACGGTTTTCAACCACTCCAGAAGATACCATAGTATTTGGACAGGATGAGCTTGGGATCAGAAGGGTACGATGGGCCCATTGCCAGAGTTCGAAGGAAGATCTCGGCGATTTGGAATGGTGGGAGGGCCTTAGCATGAAGCAAAACCTCCAAGAGATACGGATTGTTCATGATGTAAGGCATCCCAGTGAGTGAAGACAAACTTTGGCAACTGACACAAGATGATAGGCGCTCAAATTTCGACAAATTGGCTGGCATCGTGACAGGTCCCCTTCATTTGAGGAAGCCATCCTGATGAAAGGAGGTCATCCCTCAGTTTCAGGTCGCGGATGCATCTCAGAAGAACTCCAGACCCACCTAAACCTAAGCCAGTGGCGTGATTCAAATTTGACAATTTCAATTCCCTTTGGAGATGTCACGACGGAGGCTGTATGGTTTGATCAATGGTTGGAAAGTCTCACTATGGATACCTATTTTGGCATCGGTGGTATTGTTGGGATACATGTAAAAGGATCATCAGGGACATACACCGTTGGGAGGTGCACTTCTCCGACGCAGACAACTCTCACCCTGAGCGCACCGGACGAGTTTTTGGCGGAAGTCGATGTCTACGCGCGTCCTCGTTATCTGCGAGTAAGTCTTATGCCCCCATCGAATAGAGGTCATTCAAGCTCATGTTGATGCAGCTGAGAACAAACTATGGCCGCCAAGTGCAACCAGCGGAACCTATCCCCGGGACCTCTGTGAGGTCTCTTCGGCCGCCCCCGGGGTCCTATATTACGGGATTATATTTCCGATTAGGGCTTGAACAAATAGAGTCGGTTGAGCTGATATACGCCGATTGTTCTCAGAGGAAGCACCATGCGGGAGCTGAGAAAGGGTCGGTGAGTTGATACGGGAGAACATGTACATGAATAGTTGAGTTCAGATTTAGATCGACGAGTGCAATGTACAGAACGCCGGATACGAAGAGGAGAACAAGACAAAGAGGCTTATGTAGTTGGAAGGAGTCTATACAGGTAGCTTCCGACCACGCACTGGACAACTCAGACCACGACCATGACATTAATCAAAGTACGATAATAGAATATCAACGAAGATTAATGAATCAAGATTGATAGTTTTATTTGCCGAGAGCTAATTGGTAAAAGTTCAGGAATATTTGTTCTCAGAATAACCATATGTGGTGATAAACAGTTGTATGTATACGGTGGTGGCTTATCGATAAGCATCGTCATCAACTTCAACTTCACCTCCGCATCTCCCACCTTTTCTCTATCGTACGCCTTCCACACCAACCCCCCTTCCCAATCCCGCAAAAATGGCCTCTCAAAAAATCGCCGCCGCCCTCGCGGACATTGAAGCCTCCTCCAATCCCCAAAACAAACTCCAGCGATACGACCAGCTCCTCTCGGAGCTCGTCTCGACCGCCTCCGACGACCAAATCGCCCAAGACCTCATCTTCTACCTCGACTCCGTGCTCAGCGAAGACATCAGCATCGTCTCGGCCCGCCCCATCCTCGACTCCTTCATCGCCGTGCTGCGCAACCTCCGTCCCGAAACCCAGATCGCCGTCGGCCAGCACGCCGTCACGCTCCTCCAGTCCCGCTCCACATCCGTCGAGGAGCAGGACGCCCAGATCCGCGAGCTCCTCGCCGACGCCTACGAGTCCCAGGAGGAGTACATTGCCGCCGCGCGCGCCCTGCAGGGCATCCACATCGACAGCTCGCAGCGGCTGGTGTCCGACGCCGCCAAGGTGCGCCTGTGGATCCGCATCGTGCGCCTCTACCTCGAGGAGGACGACACAACCAGCGCGGAGGCCTTCCTCAACCGCATCAAGAACCTTCCCAGCAAGATCGACGACCACGAGCTGAAGCTGCACTTCCGCCTGTCGCAGGCCCGCATCCTCGACGCCCGCCGCCGCTTCCTTGACGCCAGCCAGGAGTACTTCACCGTCAGCCTGGCCGCGGGCGTCGACGACGCCGACCGTCTGCAGGCCCTGGCCGCCGCCATCCGCTGCGCTGTGCTCGGCCCCGCCGGCCCCCAGCGCGCCCGCATCCTCGCCACCCTCTACAAGGACGACCGCGCCACCTCGGTCGACGAGTTCGCCATCCTCGAGAAGATGTTCCTCGACCGCTTGCTGACCCCCGCTGAGGTCGCGGCGTTTGCGGAGCGTCTCGCTCCGCACCAGCTCGCCCAGACTGCCGACGGCACCACTGTGCTCGACAAGGCTGTCGTCGAGCATAACCTCGTCGCGGCGAGCAAGCTGTACGAGAACATCACGACCGATGCGCTGGCAGCTATCCTGGGGCTGGAGGGCAGCGGAGATCTCACGGCGGGCGAGAAGGCCGAGGCGTATGCGGCGCGCATGGTTGAACAGGGCCGGTTGAACGGGACGATCGATCAGATCGATGGCGTTATCGTTTTTGCGTCTAACACTGCTGCGCGTCGGCATATTCGCCAGTGGGATGCGGGCGTGCAAGGTCTCGCGGAGGATGTCGAACGCGTGGCGACCAGCATCACGGATGCTTTCCCGGTACGTATCGTCCCGTTTGTGTTTGGGTTGTTACTGACGGTGGGTAGGAGTTTGCCGCGCAGACGGTGCATTGAGATGGCTGCTCCATGACTGACGAACTAGATAGCATGATACGACTGAATAATGAAATGATTGATTGATTGATTAATCTAGTGACATGATTATGTCGATTACGCTCTGGGCTATGCTATGGCTATAACAGAATAAACGCTCGCTAAATCCGCGACGCAACTGTGATGTAGACAATGAGAAATGGAGTGAATGGCGAAAGCAAGCAATGCTTTCCGGCCTGGCTAGCAGGCGGAGTATACACTACCGCGCCTCTACCGCACCTGCTGCACGGCGAGCGGCATGCCACCCGCAGGTTGCAGCTGTCGCCCCGGGACTGTCCGGGACTAGGCGAGGGAGTGCGCGTCGGCAGCGCCAGAACAACCCGGGGTGGAGTCGCCGGGTCAAGCGGCCGCACGGGCTCGCGAAGAAGAGAACTGAAACCGAACCTAAACAAATAGGTACCTCGCCGCTCCACTCACGTATGCGATTGCGATTTGATCGACGCGGCATCCTGAGAGATCTTGATGTCGGTGCGCACAGTGATATCCATGGGGGCGAGGTGGGTGTTCCCCACGGGCGAGACGGGCACGGTGGTCGCCTCGCTGGTGGCGCGGGAGATGCCCTCCTCCATCTTGAAGTACTCGGAGGCGGGGGACTTGGGGCTGGACATGCCGAAGTGCGAGGTGCTCAGGTCGGTGTTGATGTAGTAGGGGTTCTTGGTGTAGCGGCGGGCGCTGGCGAGCTTGAGGCGGGGGAAGAGGCCGCGGATGATGGGCAGACAGGCGCAGATGAGGCCGATGGACGGCTCAACGTGCGTCCACAGCGTGGCCTGGTACACGGTGTAGGTGGTGTCGGCGGGTTTGATCCAGAAGAGAACGACGATGCGGTAGATGCTGGCGAAGCAGACGAAGGCGCCGAGGGCGAACACGCCGTTCAGCGCGAGCTTGTCCTGCCAGGCGCGCTGCAGGCCCCAGATCATGGGGATGGGGAGGGCCAGGATGACAAAGTCCATGACGATGTTGAAGGCCTGATTCACGATGAAGAACGTGTTTCCGTCGAAGCAGTGGCCATCGATGCGCTTGTCCCAGTAGGCGCGCAGCGGGCGGCACTGCAGGGCACAGGCGAGGAAGATGCCCGCCCCCCAGAGCCCGACCAGCGTGTTCAGGCAGAACGTCACCCATTGGAAGGGTTTCATGGTAAACAACCGGCGGTAGAAACAGATGATGGAGATCTTGATGGCGGGACACAGCACGAAATAGGTGAATTGGTTTGCCAGGAAGATCTACTGCGGTCAGATTGGTCTGGATGATGGCGTTCCTGGTTGCTTACCTTGGAGAAGTTCATCAAAGTCTGGAGATCCAGGTCTTTCATGTGGGCTCCGTTGCCTCCAATGGTAACCCCTGATCATGTCAGACGGTGACGGACTGATAGGATCGTACGCTACTTACACAAGACCAACTCAATTTCCATGGCAATGAGGAGAACCATGGCCAGGAAGCACAGATAGTCATCCATCCCAAAGGGAACCCGACGTTTCAGTCGGGCCCAGGCGCGGAGAATGGTAGCGATGAAGGAGATTCCGACCAAGACGGAAACAATGGCGATAATCTCGCCTCCTCTGGAGGTAAGGACCATGTTGATTGAGGGAGTGACAGACTGAATGGGTATCGAAGGAGGGACGAGCACAGTCAAAAATCGTATACAAGCGAGAGGTGGGTATGGTGTGGTGCATCAAAACTCCCCACAGTCATACAGTAAACTAAAAATTAATGTATTAGATTATCTGAGAAGAAGAGACTCCAGATAGAGCAGGTTTCTGCTACTACCGGGAATGAGTAGTATGCAGACACTGGAGGAAGATGAGAATCTTGGAGAGACGAGAGGACCCAGAGGGTCTGGTCGATAATATGTACTACTCCCACATGGCTACGGAGTACGTCCCTTGACAGTGGTTACAATCTGATGGAGCAGGCGGCACATGCATAATGGGTCTCTGGACCAGCGTATCAATCAGCCAGCTGGTATGGGGGGTGTGAACCTCCCACAGCGAGCTGCGAGTGAGGAGGGCACGACAAGTCGACGAGGGCCATGGGCCACGCACGATCGCCAGTGGAGATTGCCATCGGAGGCCCAGGAATGACCTAATACCAGGGCGTCGTCCGATCCAATTTGGAAGGGCAAGTCGACGCTAAGATAAAAATGCGCACCTCGTGGCAAGACGGCCCCAGTGTCCCAGGGACGATCCCGATGGTGTCGAACTCTCCCGGTGATAGACCGACTATTTGTGTTAGCGTTGCGAACATGCCCTGATTGACATTCGATACAAATGCATTCTTCCAGCACCGCAGTACTGTAGTAGACAATGCGCTGGAGAGAAATCAATCGGAATTGCTGGATGTAACCTGACTGCCGGAGCCATGGGTCCGTCCACAATGGAAACCTTCAATTTAACTCAAACCTGAGGGCTTCCGCGGGAATTTCGAATTCTTGGGTATCTCCAGTATGATGTGACGACTTTCCCGGTTGGTTGCTCTGATTTGGCGAGAGGCATCCACTTGCACAGTGAGAGGGAGTCGAGCAAAGACTCAATGCACTACTCCATATCTCGCCCGAATGGAAATTGTCAAGGAATGGAACAGAAGCCTGCATCCTGGACTGTTCCCAGAGATAGTATGATCTGCAGTAGGATCAACAGTGGCTTGGTCACTCCGCGAGTGGCCCCGTTCTCGGGGCTCCTTGAGCTGTTCTGTTCTGTCTGTTCTCCCCATGTGGCCGTAAGCGAGCCGGGATCTACGGAGTAAACATCGGCATATCTAGTTGGATATAGCTGATGGAGTCGTGTTTGGTGGTGTCTGCAACTCCTTCCCTGTTCTTCAGCCGTACCCGCTGTCACGGATCCTTGGGACGGTTGTCATTTGTGCATCCTCGTCCGTCTCTCTCCACCTGGCTCGTGGTGGAGTCGATTATTGAATAATCGTCACTCGGCGGTCAGTAGACGCAGCTGTTTCGTTGGACATCGAGGGCATCCTGGTTCCATCTCAGTCATCAGCGCGGTTAGAGAGGGTAAAAAAAAAAAAATAATAGCTATTGGAGCTGAACCATGGGCGAATCCTAGTGATCGACTGGCGAGATACTGAAATAGTTAGGAGAAGAGGTCGGGATAGCGACGACAGTCAGAGTCGACTCGGACCAAAACTCCCACAAGGCCGATGATAGACGGGGTCGCCCTGATCGTCTTGTTGACAGCTGTTGTTTATCCGAATCACCTCGGTCAATCCGGCATTTTGCCTCAGGGGCAACCATGTCACCGTGCAACTCAGACGCCCCTTGTGCACGTTCAGCCCATTATGCAGGTACCCCCTCGTTTATGCACGGTCCATGTCGATGGTCAATAGTCCGGGTTCTGTGTAACTTTTATGTAAACAGCTCCTCTGCGGGTCGATACCCTCCAGCGTAAGGTGGTATCTGGTATGTCCGTATATCCGAAAAGGGTTGGTGCATGGCTTGCAGGTGGGGGTACAGGGAAACCATCTTAATGATTTGTCGCGCTTCATCTTGTGGGTTAGTCTACCTAGGTAGTCGTAGTATAAGGCAACTACTCCGTAGTAGATAGTATACAATATAGAAAACGGCACCACCAAGTCAACTCACAGACCCTCCCCCTTTCCACATCAAACAGAATCCCCTCACAACTACCGCAATGACCACCCGATCAGATACCAACGCCCCCCCTCGCCCCGAGGTCATTCCCCTCATCATCAACGGCAAAGAAGAAGTCCCTGGCGAGACCTTCGACGTCATCAGTCCCTATACCAACGAGCGCTGCTGGGCCACTGCCGCCGCGACTCCCCAGGATGCCATCCGCGCCGTCGAGGCCGCCGACGCCGCATTCCCCGCGTGGTCGCAGACCAAACCCACCGTCCGTCGTGACATCCTCCTGAAGGCCGCCGACATCCTGGAGAGCCGTCTGGAGCAGAATGCCGAATACATGCGCACCGAGATGGGCGCCGACGTCGGCGCCTCGCAGTTCTTCATCGTCCCGCTGGGCATCCGCATGCTGCGCGACATTGCTGGCCGCATCACCTCCATCTGCGGCAGTGTTCCCGTCGTGGAGGAAGAAGGCCAGAGCGCGATGATCTACAAGGAGCCGATGGGCGTGATTCTGGGGCTGGTGCCGTGGTACGTCTATGCTATATACTCGCCTACTCCATCCACGCCGCTATCTCTATAGGTTTGCTGATGCGTTTGCAGGAACGCCCCCTACGTCTTCGGCGTCCGCTCCGCCGCCTGCGCCCTCGCCGCCGGTAACACCACCATCCTCAAGTCCTCCGAACTCTCCCCCTGCTCGTACTGGGCGCTCGCTCGTGCCTTTGAAGACGCCGGCCTGCCCGCCGGCTGTCTCAATCTCATCTCCTGCCGTCCGCAGGACGCCGCCGAGGTCGTCAACGCTATGATCGAGCACGACGCCGTGCGCAAGGTCAACTTCACCGGAAGCACGGCCGTCGGCCGCAAGATCGCGCGCGCCTGTGGTCAGAACCTCAAGCCCTGTCTCATGGAGCTGGGCGGGAAGAACAGCTCGATTGTGTGTGCGGACGCCAACATCGACACGGCGGTCAAGGCCGTCGTCGCGGGTGCCTATCTGAACGTATGTTCCTTATCCCAGCCACCCTCGTCCCTGTCACTTCTTCATCATGTTGGGCCAGTTTGACTAACGGTGTGTGCTAGTCCGGCCAGATCTGCATGGCCACCGACCGCATCCTGGTGCACGCTGACATCGCCCCCCGGTTCATGGAGGCGCTCAAGACCGCCCTCCGCGCGAATGCGGAGGCGGCTCCCGCACCTCCGACGCTGGTCAGTGCGGCGTCGAAAACGCGCGTCGAGAGTATTATTTCTGATGCTCTTGCGTCGGGCGCGCATGTTATCCACGGACCGGTGGGTGATGATGCGGCGGTGAAGGGCCAGACCGGAGTGCGGATGGCGCCGGTGCTGCTCGGGGGCATCAAGGAGGATATGAAGGTGTGGCAGGAGGAGGCGTTTGCGTCGCTGGCGGCGTGCATGGTGGTGAGTAGCGACGAGGAGGCGATCCGGATCGCGAATAGCAGTGGGTATGGGTTGTCAGCGGCGGTGTTTACGGAAGATCTGCGGAAGGGGCTGGCGATGGCCAAGAAGATTCAATCTGGGTAAGTCATTCTGCTGCTGCTGCTGCTGTGGGTTGTTGTTGAGGAAGGGTGTTATCGGCCGAGTCGGTCCGGACGGGGCTAATGCTTGTTTGTAGGGCCGTCCACATCAATAGCATGACGATCCACGACGAGCCAGTGCTGCCGCACGGTGGAGTGAAGAACAGCGGTTGGGGTCGGTTCAACGCGTCGCAGGGGCTGGAGGAGTTCCTGGTGACGAAGAGTGTGACTTGGATGGATTGATTAATGGGTTATGATTGCATGGGTTCACTTCGGCATTCTGTACATATTTTGCTGCTGAGATCGTGGTAGTTGTCGGCATCGGTCCGCAGGGCCTCGGGTTGAAATAGACCGAGCTCAGCGGCAACTCGGCGATCTATCCGCTTACACGATAGCGAAGGGGGGTAATGTTCCGTGTTTCTGCTTTTATCCTCGAAAATGATAGAGGTATAACCTGTTCATCTGAGGATTGGCAAGCCATGGACGCTCCTCTGTGTCGGCAATTGAAGATTCCAAAGAGGAAACATGGTCGATGATGTCAGTCGCTCGGAATTCAAAGCCCCGATGCTGATTGGTGAAGGTGATCACCATTAGCCGGGACTCACGTGATCATTTGCCGGTATCTCGGTCACAGTAACCGTACGGTATTTGAGAGTCGAAGGGATAGGGCAGGTAAATATGGAATAGATAGAATATGCATCCTTCTGTGAGTACCAATCTGAAGCTGTCCACTCAGGTTGAATGTCTTAAGGCAGTATGTGTGCGCTGGAGGACTGGGACCTCAGGCCACGCTGAGACTCGGTCCGAGGTACTTGCTGAAAGGGGTAAGAGGACGACAGGGATGTACGACGCATTATGACAAGTGGCTAGGTAGATACTAGGTATGCAGGTAGACACAAGGCTGATTCAAGTGCTTCTAACTTGCTATTGTAGATATAGTACTCGGAATATACAGGCGGTAGTACGTCTGGTGATCTGGGATCTGGAATTCTACGTATTTTTCCGAACGGAATTTATGGAGATCGAGAGGACAAGACACAGAAATCCGGGGTAGCGAGACGGGCCATTATCATTCAAATTAAGACGGTGGATAATCAAATGACGCGCTGACTTCCCCCTAAATCTGATTTGCCCCTGGAGAAGACATGTGAAATCGACGGCGTGCCACTGGACGGGATGGTAGACAGAGTTATGGAGTACTATGGGAATCTGGTGACTATGTGGATGCATGTGAAGGGAGGTGGGATGATGTCAAGCTGACCAGGGAGCAACAGACAGAATATAACGAGTAGTTAGAATGGGTGGAATCAACCATCCAAACTCAATGGACAAACCAGAATGCGTACAATCAGAGTTACTAAGAATAATCGGAATGGAGAATCGATCATTTCAAAAAGAGTACAGAGAGTGGGAATTGTGGTAGTATGGGGAAGAGTAATACAGGATCAGTAAGGCAGAGGTGGTATCCTGTAATGGTAAATGCCTCGGCCGAAAAGCCCCATCGGCTTCTGACCACTTCCTCTCTCTCTCCTCTTTTCCCTCCCCCGGATCCTCTCATGCTTTAAGATCCTCCTCCCCTTCTTTCTCCTCCACTCTCTTCTCCCTCCACACTCATCCCTTTTTCGCCTTTCTTTTCCCCCATCCTTTCTTTATCTAAATACCATCTCTCATCATGGCTACGCCTCCCCGGGTCATCGTTGTCGGTGGCGGATGTACGTGATCATCCGCTCTTCCCCCAGCTTTCCCCGCATTTGCTGACCATTGTCTTCGCTCTCAGTGTCCGGTCTCAGTGCCGCCCACACCGTCTATCTCAACGGTGGAAACGTTCTCGTTCTCGATAAGCAGGGTCAGTATTTCCCATTCGTTCGATTTGTCTTGTTTAAATTGTGCCATACTGACTTCTCCAGCCTTCTTCGGTGGCAACTCCACCAAGGCCACCTCCGGTATCAACGGTGCCCTCACTCGTACCCAGGTCGATCTCGGCATTCAGGATAGCGTCAAGACGTTCTACGAAGATACCCTCAAGTCCGCTCGTGACAAGGCTCGTCCCGAGCTCATCAAGGTCCTCACATACAAGTCCGCCGCCGCCGTCGAATGGCTGCAGGATGTCTTCAACCTCGACCTGACTCTCGTCTCTCGTCTGGGGTAAGTCTCCGATCGCCCATCCTGCGCTTCCTTTTGTTAACCCCCGCAGTGGTCACTCCCAGCCCCGTACACACCGTGGCCACGATGCCAAGTTCCCCGGCATGGCCATCACCTATGCCCTGATGCAGCGCCTCGAAGAGCTTGCCGAGGCTGAGCCCCACCGCGTGCAGATCGTCAAGAAGGCCCGCGTCACTTCCATCAACAAGTCCGGAAACCATGTCACCGGTGTGACCTACGAGCGCGATGGTCAGTCTCACTCCGCCGACGGTGTCGTCGTCCTGGCCACCGGTGGTTACGCCGCCGACTTTGGCGATGGCTCCCTTCTCAAGCAGCACCGTCCTGACACCTTCGGTCTGTCCTCCACCAACGGCACTCACGCCACTGGTGACGGTCAGAAGATGCTCATGGAGATCGGTGCCAACGGCATCGACATGGATAAGGTCCAGGTCCACCCCACCGGTCTCGTCGACCCCAAGGACCCCACCGCCAAGTTCAAGTTCCTGGCTGCTGAGGCCCTCCGTGGTGAGGGTGGTCTCCTCCTGAACTCCGATGGCCAGCGCTTCTCCGATGAGCTGGGCCACCGTGATTACGTCTCAGGTCAGATGTGGAAGGAGAAGGAGAAGGGCAAGTGGCCCATCCGCCTCGTCCTCAACAGCAAGGCCTCCAATGTCCTCGACTTCCACACTCGCCACTACTCCGGCCGTGGTCTCATGCGGAAGATGACTGGCAAGGAGCTCGCCAAGGAGATTGGCTGCGGCGAGGCCGCCCTCAAGAAGACCTTCGACGAGTACAACCTCATCGCTGAGGGCAAGAAGAAGGACCCCTGGAACAAGCGTTTCTTCCACAACATGCCCTTCAGCATCGACGACACCTTCCACGTCGCTCTCATGGAGCCCGTCCTCCACTTCACCATGGGTGGTATCGAGATCAACGAGCACGCCCAGGTCCTCAACTCTGAGAAGAAGCCCTTTGACGGCCTCTATGCTTGCGGTGAGCTGGCTGGTGGTGTCCACGGTGCTAACCGTCTGGGTGGTTCGTCCCTGCTGGGCTGCGTTGTGTACGGTCGCGTGGCCGGTGACAGCGCCAGCCAGCATCTCTTCCAGAAGTTGATCTCTGGCGGTGCCTCCTCCGCTCAGCAGCGTCTGGGCCAGATCTCTCTGCACATCGACCCCGCCACTCCCGGTAAGATCTCCGTGGAGTGGAACGGTGCGGCTGCTGGTGGCAGTGCCCCCCAGGTTGCCGCGGCTGCTCCCACTGCTGCCGCTGCCGCTGCCCCCGCCGAAGCCGCCCCGGCTGCCTCGGGCCCCAAGAAGTTCGAGATCCCCGAGACCGAGTACTCGATGGAGGAAGTCGCCAAGCACAACAAGAAGGATGATCTCTGGATCGTCGTCAAGGGTGTCGTCTTGGATGTGACCAACTGGCTGGATGAGCACCCTGGTGGTGCCAACGCCCTGTTCAACTTCATGGGCCGTGATGCTACGGAAGGTATGTATTATTCCCTACTTGAGAAAAGGGCTCCTGCTAACGAGACACAGAATTCGAGATGCTTCACGACGATGAGGTCATCCCCAAGTATGCTTCCCACATTGTCATCGGCCGGGTCAAGGGCCAGAAGCCCACCCTAGAGATCTAGATTGTGCAATAGAATGGGACGGTTACTGGAAAGAGAAAACGAGCAGTTGCTTTGATACATACCCTTATTTCATCTGTTATTTATTGCTATGTTATGATCGGGCGAGACCCTGTTAGTTAGCATGTAAGATACTCAAATTGAGTTTTCATCATTGTTCCTTTGTTCCAAAAGTAGTTTTCTTAATCGGTCTTAATCTCGGAATTGGCCTCGGCACTCATCGTGCACCAAAGTCCACATACACATGCAGCGTTTCATAGTAATACATTCTATATGCTTCAGTTGCTCCCAACCTGCCTATATATCTACAAAACACGTAACTCCAGTAAATGTAAGACTAAGCCTGCATATGTTTCAAGATCATCTTCAACCGACGCACCGCAGGTCCCTCCTCCCCCGATCCGCGGGCCTTGTCCTCCTCCATCTCCTTCTTCGCAGCCTCCAAAGCCGGCCGCAGATACCCCCAGACCTCATCATGGTATCGGTCCTCGACAGCCACCCAGTCCGCCGCCCCAGGAAGACCAGTGAGCACGGCATCCCGGAGAGCCGTCGCATCGGCCAGCGTTGACGACGGCGCGCTGGATAGGATGGTATCAATATCAGGGACGAGACTGAGGGAGGTAAGATGAGCCTGTCGCTGTCCTTGTTCGCTGTAGGAAGGGTCCGTCTCGTGCAATTGTCGTCGGAAGGACTGGATCATTTGCAGCTCCGCGGGCGACAGCGTCTCTGACAGATCGGTCTCGACGGGTTCGAAGGGTTCAGCGCTGGTCTCGTTGGGGAATTCGGGCGAGAAGGTGGGCGAGGTGAGGAGGGATACGACGGCGTCGCCGTCGGATTCTAGTAGCGTTGGTTCTGTCGCTGTTGCTGTCGCTGAAGACGGGGTTGGTGATTGCGTCGCGGGCTGCTTGCCCTTCCCTTTGGTTGTTGGGGGAAGGTTCGCGTCGCTGATGTCGATGGGCGCGTGCGCGAACTCGTCTGTGGTCAGCGGGGGCAGCTCGAACCCGCCTGCCGCGTGTTGCGTGTATTGTCCTTGTGCGGACCGGAAGGTCTCGCCTGGGTGGGTGGTTGTCGCATTGTTTGCGGCGGCGGTGGAGGAGGATGAGGAAGTCTCTTGGGTGTATTGGTGCGCAGCGGAAAGGGCGGCCGTTGATGCGGCGCTGCTGCTGGGCTTGCTGGTGATGGAACTGCCGCTGAGGAGGTGCGCGTCGGCGGAAGAGGCGCCGGAGAAGGCGTTTCGGGCGAGACCTGCGGCCGAGGATTGAATGCGACTGGCTAGAGAGGGAGGTTGTTGTTGTTGTTGTTGTTGTTGTTGTTGTTGTTGAGATTGGGATGGTGGTTGTGGCTGAGATGGAGGGTCAGTGGTGGTGGGTGGGTTGCGGGGAGGCTTGGAGGGGTCCTGGTCGGTCCCCCGCTTTTGGTCGGACATGGTTGTGCACGGGATGTTGGGGATAGCTCATATGCAGGTGGTAGGCACTTGGGTAGGTGGTTGCAGGTAGGGAAGTATGGATTTGGATGGAGGATATAGTGGATGAGTGTTCGGACTAAAGGATGGAATCGGGAGGGATAGGAATGGCATGTGATCGTGGTTATGGGGATATTAAGGGTCTGATGGTGGGCGTTGCTGACGGTGTCAACAATAGGTATTCAGAGATGGGTATTCGTATTGTAGGGAAGCAATAGGATGAAGCTATTCATGCCCATCCAGTGATATATATACTGCCTGACCATTTGGTACATGACATGGGTGACTTCGGGTGAGTTCCAGACCAGGTATCTAGATCCAGATACTATCTAGGTAAATATTAAACATAGTCATCGCCCATTAGTATTCCATAGACTATAGCTTCAATTGAATCCAGGGTGAGGTTGCATTGAAATGGTTGATGTCACTGACCAGTTGGCGCAGATGGAGTGACTAAGAAGTGCTCCCCACCATCCACTTCTCCCACTACTCTAAAGTACCTGCTGCCACCACCACCTGGTACCAACTCTCTACCTCAGGTATTACCTCCACCACCACCAACACTTCCACCATTCCATTTACCACCTCGTCTACGGTGAGTAACGTCCCTGCTACTACTCCCCTATCTCCTCCATCCTTCCCTCCACGTCTTTCCCCCTCGACCACTGTCCTCGTCCTCGTCCACTGGAAAATTCTCCCCTCTCATCATCTCCTCACCTCTTCCCCTCCTCATCCTGTCGTCGCTGCCCTGCGTCCCCTCTGGTAGCACCTACTCTTCCTTCCTCCCACCCAGCATCATCTCCCTTCAGTTTTCATTCTTCCCTGTCCCTGGCTTAGGAGATCGGGATTGTGACGACGGAGATTCTGTCAGACGGATCTCCGCCTTGCATACTTTCTCCTCGTTCCGCCCAACGGCTCCAGTCATCCTTTGTCGTGTCCATCCTGGAAGTCAACCTGAACTGACCCGAAATTCTCCCCTCCTCAGTCTGGTCTGACGTCGCCATCGTTTCCCCTCTCCGTGTCTCTCATTCTTCCGCGTCTCGTCAGCCTCCCTTATCTCCTCTCGTGATCTTGTCCTGGATCGGACTTGATCGTCTTTTTTTGCCGCCGTCCTCACCGCTCAACTGTCTATCGTCGAGTCGAACAACGGCTTAATCCTATCCCACCAAACGACGCTCTGGACCGCCATAGTGGGTTACCCTCTTATATCGCCATAACCCCCCGGATCGTGGTTCTTGGTTGTGTACGTGCCCCGCGAAAGGGTGGACTTTGTTAGAAAATGGTAGACAGGGATCCAGGTACACCTACCTGGAAGTTCACACAGTGAGTTTCCCTTGACTCTTAGGATGCGAGTGTTCGATCGGTGAACAATCTTCCGCCCGACTCCGACCTATCCTTGGATCCGTCATGTCGAGGGTCATCCAGCTAATCGTGGTCCATAGATGCTTCGGAGATAAGGGCGATGTGGAAGATATCACAGAAGGTATGTGACCTTGTCGGAACCCCCCCGGACGCATCGCTTGGGCTCCATGATTGACAAACGTCTCTAGCTGATATCATCTCCACCGTCGAGTTCGACCACACCGGAAACTACCTGGCCACGGGAGATAAGGGCGGGAGAGTAGTCCTTTTTGAGAGAAACGAAACGGTATTACCTCCCCTCTCTGCCTCCTTTTTCGCCGATTCTAACCTCTGCGATAGAAAAAAACCTGCGAGTATAAGTTCCACACCGAATTTCAGTCGCACGAACCGGAGTTCGACTATCTTAAATCCCTAGAGATCGAAGAGAAGATCAACAAAATTAAATGGTGTAGACGGCAGAATGCTTCCCATTTTCTACTCTCGACCAACGATAAGACGATAAAGTTGTGGAAGGTGTTCGACAAGTCGCTGAAGGTGGTCGCCGAAAACAACCTCTCGAGCGAACTCACCCCTGCCGGTGTGGGTGGTGGAGGGGCGCCGCGCCCCCCTCGTCTATCATTCAAGGATGCCTCCGCCTTGAAGCTGCCGCGAATGACGCACCATGACACGGTGGTTGCTGCCGTGCCTCGCAGGACATACGCCAATGCGCATGCATACCATATCAACAGCATCTCGGTCAACAGCGACGGGGAGACGTTCATAAGTAGCGACGACCTTCGCATCAATCTGTGGAACCTCAACATCCAAGAACAGAGCTTCAATATCGTCGACATCAAACCAGCGAACATGGAGGAACTGACGGAAGTGATCACGGCTGCCGAATTCCATCCCACCAGCTGCAATTGGTTCATGTATGCCAGCTCGAAAGGCACCATCAAGCTGGCCGACATGCGGCAACGCGCCTTGTGCGACGAACACCACAAACGTGAGTTCCCGTCAAACATGCCTAGCACGGGGAATAGCCTCATTTACTAATCTCCTACAGTCTTCGAACAAGAAGAAGACGCTTCATCACGCTCGTTCTTTTCCGAAATCATCTCCTCTATCTCCGACGTGCGATTCTCTCATGACGGCCGGTACATCGTGTCCCGAGACTACTTGACGGTGAAGATCTGGGATGTCAACATGGAGCGGCAGCCGGTGAAGACGATCCCCATTCACGAGCATCTGCGTCCTCGCCTGTGCGACACGTACGAGAACGACAGCATTTTTGATAAGTTCGAGGTTGTCTTTTCGGGCGATGCGGAAAACGTCATGACCGGAAGCTACAATAATAACTTTATGATCTACCCTACCGACCCCAGCAAGGAGACGGAGATTGTCCTGCAAGCGGACAAGTCAGCGTTCAAAGCGAAGAAGGTTGGCGTGCCAACCCCGATGAACAAGGGTGCCAACGGAAAGAAGAGCGGCTCGCGATCCACCAGCCCGGCCGGGCCTGGTAGCCGCATGAAGAAGGAGACCGATGCGGATCAAATCGACTTCAATAAGAAGATTCTGCACATGAGCTGGCATCCCTATGAGGATAGCATTGCCATTGCTGCTACTAACAATGTGAGGGATCCCCTTTCCTCCTATCTGTTCTATCATGCTAACCCAGGGGTAGCTCTTTGTTTTCTCCGCATTGTAAGTACGTGGGAAGAGGGTTCATCATCGTACATGGACAGGTGTATCGAGGTACACGCGGGACCACATATGACCGAAAGAAAAGAGGTCGCTAGCAGCAGCATTTGCAGATCCAAAAATCAAGTTGCCAGTTCTATTTTATAATCTTGTCATGTCGCCCGACCCCTTTCTCCCGTTGCCACTCCCTGTCGTTGCTATTGGGCCATGCCATGTTTCCGACTTCGTCTCGCCATCCACTCCCTTCTCTTTCCTCGTTCATGGGCTCATGAGCCCTCCGCATTCTGCTTGTGTTTTCATCTCGTGTTGGATTTTGGTGAAAATTTGTTGATTGATTCTTTCGTGGGCGTTCTACGGGAGTGCCGCATAGAGAGGTTGGAGAATGCGGAGCCTCCGTTCTCTCTCGGTTGGACGGAGGGATTGTTTCCGCAGAGATTATCATCACCCGCATTGGCGGCAACTAGAGCAGGGTCCTCAGTACTAGGTATTCTTGACTGGATGATATTGGGGGTAGGGTGTGTTAGTGGTCGTATGGAGTAGATAGTAATGAATATATGGGTTGACTCGACTACATAAAAAGCTCTTAGGCAAGATCACCGTAGTAAACAACTGATCCACACTGTCCGGATCTATCAGATGTATGACGTCGGTTTTACTACGCGCCAATCACTGCAGTGCACTGTCAGACGGTCACGCTCCGGAAAAATTATCATGCCGGGAACTGTCGCTACTGCCCAAACAGGCATAGCGTGGATAAAGCCTCTCTCCGCCTTCTTCTCCATCCGTGATCGGTCGCGCGCAATCCACCATTACTGTCAACCAAGGTCTGTTGCTTGCTGCTATAGACAGGCGTTAATCTTCTCTCTTTCTCCCTCTTTTTCTTGATTCCCTCTTTCAGTCTCCCACAGTTACTGCATCTGTGTCCCGTCACTGCTGTTTGAATCCCTTGTCTGTGTTGGTTCACACAACCGCTGTCCTAGTGATGTCGCTGTGAAATGACATGGACACAGAGATCTCAACTGTGCGAAAAAGAAACACAGATTAAGAGCGTGGTGTGACCCCATCAATAGCTCTTCTTTTTGCCTCCTTCAACATCTTTTCCTTATAGAACGGCGCTCAGAGCAGAGATCGCGGCGTCTCTTCTGTCTTGCTCTCGTCCCAGACCATGAACCCGGGCAGTGATAACTGGCACCCTGGTGGCCCACCGCAGCACCCAGGCATGGAGCAGATGAACCAGCAACCTCGCCCGCTGGGCTCTTTCAGGTAAGTTACCCCTGGATATGGTGTCCATCAGGGCCTCGTTGCCCCGAGCATGGTAAGGAGATGCTAACCCCGTTCTTTGCCGCAGTCAAAATCCACCCCCTCAGCAAGGTCCGTCGGCGCAGCCTGCGGGGCCTGTCCTTCCGCCCCCTGGTGAGCATACCTTCTTCAGGATATAATGTCGACCATATATGGATCTGTTTGGTCTGACTGCTCTGTCTTCCCCCAGGCCCTTACCACCCCGCGAGCCAGCCTTCTGGCCACTCCCTCCCTGGGCTGGCGGAGTTGAGCCAGGGCCACGGCGGCCCTCATCAACCCCCAGCCTATGGACAACACCCTTCGGCCCCGTCCCACAGCGCCGGACACTCGCTCCCCGCCATCGGACAGGCTATGCAACATCCCTCGCCGCAGTCCATCAACCGCGAGCGCGAGCGCGACTCCCGGGAGCGCGAACTCATCGAGCGACAGAGACAGGAGGAGATGGTCCATCGAGAACGTGAACAGCGCGAGCGCGAGCAGTTGGAGCTTCAGCAACGGGAGCGACAGCAGCGCGAGCAACAGCACCACCCGGTTCAGAGCCACACAGGGTCTATCCCCTTGCATCAGCCTGTCGCGTCGAAGGTCCCGAACTCCATTCATGGTCCCAATGGGCTCCTCTCGAACATCGGGTCAAATCCGCCTGCTGGTCCGCAGCCAGGTGGTCCGGGCTCTCTCTATGGCCCTCAGATGCAACATGGCGAAGGCACGCCCCGGTCGTATCTGCAGCATCCGGGTGGCCCGCCGGGTCAGCCCATGATGGGTTTCAATGGCTCGGGTCCTCAGATGCCGGGCAATGTTGCGGCTTTGGCGCAGGGTCAACAGCCCATTCTGAATGTGGGTGGTCCTTGTCGGTTGTTGAGTGGGAACGTTTGCTGACAGTATTGGTTCTTAGGATGCGCTCAGCTATCTCGACCAGGTGAAGGTTCGGTTCGTCGACCAGCCGGATGTGTATAACCGGTTCCTGGACATAATGAAAGATTTTAAGAGTCAAGCGTGAGTTACCCTCCCTGTTTTGCTGTGCGAATATTTTGTGGGGTGTGTCTGACCCGCCTGCAGCATCGATACGCCAGGCGTCATTCAACGCGTGTCGACCCTCTTCAACGGTCACCCTGCCCTCATCCAAGGCTTCAATACTTTCTTGCCTCCTGGTTATCGCATCGAGTGTGGAACGGAGGATAACCCAGATGCCATTCGCGTCACCACTCCCTCGGGTACCAACACAATCAGTATGCCCCAGCGCGCGCCGTTGGATGCTGCAGGTGATATGGGACCTGCTGGTGGTATGGGTCATGGACGTCCGGACTTCTTTGATCAAGGTCGTCCGGGGTGGCAACAACCCCAACATCAGCAGCAACAGGGTAATCTTCCCGGATCATACTCTCCTGGTTCTCGCATGATGGGTCCAGGGATGTTTGGCCAGCAAGGTGGACAGGGACAACCGCGCGAGCATCATTATGATTATCCCTCTCAACAGGAACAGCAGGGCCCCGGCCCCTCGGTTCCTCATGGACAGGATCATCGCGGCGTGTCACAGCTCCAGGGCGCGGCCTCCGCTGCGTCGGCTGGTTTGGGACGTCCGTCGATGATGCAAGTGTCTCCCGCGGGGCAAGGCCCCAACTTGTCTCAACCGATGAATAGCCTGGCAGGTGTGGGATCGGGAATGTTGCAGGGTTCGCAGGCGGACTTGAACAAGCGTGGACCTGTGGAGTTCAACCACGCGATCAGCTATGTGAACAAAATCAAGGTAAGCGGGGTTTCTCGGTTCGCTCCAAAGAGAACTGAACACTGACGGAGAACTCACTATAGAACCGATTTGCGAGCGCTCCAGAGATCTACAAGCAGTTCCTGGAAATCCTTCAGACGTACCAACGCGAGTCGAAGCCAATCCAGGACGTGTATGCACAGGTGACGCAGCTGTTCAACACGGCACCGGATCTGTTGGAGGATTTCAAGCAGTTTCTGCCTGAGTCGGCTGCGCACGCCAAACAACAGGCGGCGGCGGCTCGGCAGGCCGAGGAGGCGGCCCCCCTTAGCAACGTACGCGGAGAGCCAAGCTATCCTGCGTCTGCCCTCCCCTCTCAGACTCCCAACCGTGATGTCAAGATGCCCCCTCTCGGCCAGTTCAACGTCAAGGACTCTGGTAAGGAGGGTAAAAAGCGTCGCGGTGGCCCCGGTGGCCCAGGGACGATGGGTTCCATGTCGGGTCCTTCTGCGGCCGCGGATGCGGCTCGTATGGTCGATGCCCAGGGTCGGCCTCCCGCTCTTCAGCCGGGCAACGCGAACAAGGTGAGTTTGTGTCCTATCTTATTCTTTTTGTATACGCTCTGACGAGAAACAGAGAGCCAAAGTACACCATGGAAAACCCCAGACCGAGGTCGCTCCAGCTGTGTCGCCTACGCTCGTGCCTGCGCTTCCGGAACCGATCCAGCCTACTTTCTCGCTGACCCCCACTCAAGAGGAATTCGCTTTCTTTGACCGCGTCAAGAAGTACATTGGAAACAAACAGACTTTCAGCGAATTCCTCAAACTTTGCAACCTGTATTCCACTGATCTGATCGATCGTCATGTTCTCGTCAAGCGGGCTGGTAGCTACATTGGATCCAATCCCGAGCTCATGGCCTGGTTCAAGCGTTTCATGCACGTCGAAGAACCGGAAGACAAGATCATTGAATCCAAGCCTAAGCAGGAGCCGGGCGTGGTGAACTTATCGCATTGCCGCTCTCTCGGGCCGAGCTATCGTCTTCTCCCCAAGCGTGAGCGCCAGAAGCCGTGCAGTGGTCGGGATCAGCTGTGTTACAGTGTCTTGAATGATGAGTGGGCGTCGCATCCGACCTGGGCGTCCGAGGATTCGGGTTTCGTGGCCCATCGCAAGAATCAGTACGAAGATTCGTTGCATCGTATTGAAGAGGACCGCCACGACTACGACCATCACATTGAAGCTTGCACTCGGACCATTCAGCTCATCGAGCCGATCGTGCAGCAGTTCCTCGTCATGTCGGAGGCGGAGCGAGCAGCCTTTAAGCTCCCTCCAGGTCTTGGTGGTCAGAGCGAGGCTATCTACCAGCGCGTGATCAAAAAGATCTACGATCGGCAGCGTGGTGAGCGAATCATTCGCGAGATGTTCGAAAGACCCTGCCATGTGCTCCCCATCATTCTCTTCCGCTTGAAACAAAAGTGCGAGGAATGGAAGGCCAGCCAGCGTGAGTGGGATAAGATCTGGCGCGAACAGATGCAGAAGGCGTACTGGCGTAGTTTGGACCACCAGGCTATCGCTAGCAAGGGCGTTGATAAGAAGCTCTTCGTGGCGAAACACATCCAGAACGAGATCCAAAACAAGTTCGAGGAGAGCAAAAACCTGCGCAAGAGTGGATTCCAGGTCCCTAAGCATCAGTTCGAGTTCGTGTTTGATGATTCGGCTGTTCTTATCGATGCCACTCACTTACTCCTGACCTTCATTGACCGCAATTCCGCTGGCTTTGGAGCCGACCCTCAGAAGGTCATGTCTTTCATCAAGGACTTTATCCCGGTGTTCTATGGCATGGACCGCGACAATTTCCACATGTACATGAACGAGATATCCAGCGCCGCTTCGCAGGCAGATGAGAACGATGACGAGAGCCTGGCTGCTGAGGAAGTTTCGACTCCTCGCAGTCGCAAGGGCCTCACCGGCAAGAAGATGGATCTCCTTCGGGATGTGCTGGAACGCCGTAGCGAGAAAGCCAACCGCACCGAGAAGGAAGGTAGTACTCCGGCGAGTCGAGATGGAACCCCCGAGGCGGTCCTGGTGCCGTCTACCCCGGTCCCCGATCCGACTGAGCCTTTCGACGTGGCCGAGCTGAAGTGGATGGAGCACCCTGGACAGGGTAATTTCAACTTGCAGCGCGAGTACACCCTGAACGAGTCGTACGAGAAGAAGTCGCACCACCTGTACGCTAACCTTAGCATTTACTGCTTCTTCCGCACTTTTGAGATTCTGTATTCTCGGCTGCTGCGCATTAAGTTGCACGAAAAGGATGCCCATAGCGATGTGCGCCGCGCGCTTATGGCCAAGCCGGCGCAGGATCTTGGACTGATTGACAAGGTGCCGACCGACTTGTTCTATGACTGCAACCCCGAGGCGAATCTGTACCAGCAGATCGTGCGCATGTGTGAAGAAGTCATCAAGGGTGATCTCGAGCCCGCTCATCTGGAGGAGACTCTCCGTCGCTTCTACCTGCGCAGCGGTTACCAGTTGTATAACTTGGAGAAGATGCTGGCGGGCATTTCGAAGTTCGCGGGGGCCATCTTCAACGGAGACTCGAAGGATCGGAGCTCCGACATCATCAACCTCTTCTTCAAGGAGCGGGATCGCGAAGAGACCACGCATAACCAGGAGATCCAGTACCGCAAGCAGGTCGAGAGACTGGTCCGGGATAGTGATATCTATCGCATTACCTATGTAGGTGACGTTCTCTGCCATGACGTGAATTCTTACTAATGAGTCTACAGTACCCTACGAACAAGAAGACTACTGTACAGCTGTTGACGCCGGAGGACGCCACCTTGGAGAACGAAGAGCTGAGCCAGGAAGCACGCTGGTCGTACTATGTCTCCGCCTATACCATGCGGGACCCCACGGAGGGAGTACCCTTCTCGCAGATGCGCATGCCGTTCCTCAAGCGGAACCTGCCGGCGAAGCTCGAGCAAGAGGAGGAGTACAACCGTTACTACCGTCCGCTGGTGCATCAAGATGGTCTTATCATCCGCATCTGCGCGAACAGCTACCACATTTTGTACGAACCGGGTAGCTTTGACTGGTGGTGGCGGCCTAGCGTGTCTTCGGAGGAACCGGCGGAGGAGGTTGCCAAGGAAGAAGCGGCTGTCAAGGAAAGACGGCGGGACCGCTTTACCGAGAAATTCGTCAACAACCCCAGCTGGGCGCACGGCCTGAGCAAGGACGAGGTCGACAAGTCGAACCAGAGCTTCCGATCGTGGATCAAGGGCACTGCCAGCGAGAGCGGTGCCGCCGAGAACAGTACGACCGCAGCCGTTACCACGTCAGCCGAGGATGCCCCGGAGGCGTCTACTTCCGACAAGAAAGAGGAGGACCAGGAAGACACGGAGATGGCAGATGCCGAGCCGGCCGCGACAGAGTCGAAAGACGAGTAAATGAAAGAGCATTGCCCCCACCGGACATGCACCGAAATAGTCTGTCGATGTGGGGGAGACCATGCCGTGAGCATTTGTTGATAATCTGCGCGGAGGCTTGGCAGGGGGGACGGCACCGGGGAACTGGGCCGGAACTACTGCCGGTCGAAGCGAAAATTCTCATTTGGTGATGTTCTTTTCTGGTTTTCTTGTTATGAATATGGTTGTCTTGTACAGCCGGGAATTTCTTGCGATCTGATCCATCCGATGGTATTAGCGCCCACATGATTTGATTTTACCGCTGTCTCGCATGACCAGCGACGCATCCAATGGATTGCACTGCACGAATGGGATGGGATTCTGGGGTCGGTTTGTTAATGAACGCGCCTGGGGACCGGCCAGGGACCCACGGCCGAGAATATGGGAATGGTGTCTGGGATGGGTGCTTTGTGTGTGTATGTGTGTATTCTGTGTTTTGTACGTGTACTTTACGGGTCTGTTCAATAAAGTCTCCTTCCATTTGCTTTGGTATCTTTGGTATGCTGTACAATATAGTAGGTAGAATAAGGAGGGTAGAACCGACGGCTATCCATGAAAGCTCCGTGTGGCCGAAGGCGGATAGCCGATACAGGCCGAGACTGGGCCGATGGACTAATTTCGGGATCGACACCTCACTTTATTTTATCGCTTTTCTTCCCAGCACGATGAATGCAGTTGAGTCGATTCTCGTTAATCCAAGTAACGGGGATGGGCTATAAGGACATATAAGATACACCTACTTCACTACAGGGTATGTGGCCCCCATTCATCCAGGCCATTCCACTGTTTGTCATTCTCTTGGGGGAAATGCAGATCGAGAAAAAGCCGAGCCATCGCCGAGGTGACGTCAACATCCTTCTGGCCCTGAAGTCTCCATTCCACTTTTTTTCTCCCCTTCTCGTTTTATAATTCCATGATGGACACTGGTCCAGCTGGAGAGAACGGATCGAATCGATCTGGAGTCTGGGGAAATCCAACATCTCCTGGGGAATTGAGCTGGTTGGAGTGGAAGATAGAAACATGTAGATAGAACAGAACCATGTACTTTTGAACCATTCACTACAATGTACGTCAGTAAGACATTTCCCTCCCCAACAATCAATCAATCATGTAAGCTCCCTTCTTCCGGCCAGAGGGAGCTCGCTCTCTCCACCTGCAGCCCGGGGCATGGCGGGGGAGAAGTACTTATTTGTGGCTCCCCCTCCTCTCTTCGTCTTCTTCTCCTTTCTCCCTCTCCCTCTACCATTCGTCCCTCTCCACTCCCCCCTTTTCTTTCCTTCTTCCATCCCCCCCTCTTCACAATGTCTGCTTCTGCTCTGCTGAAGAGCCGTGTCAGACGGCCTTCCTACCTCAAGAAGCTGGCTAGGGCTGAAGACCTCATCGACCTCTTTCCCCATGGCTCGTACATCGGCTGGTCCGGATTCACGGGTGTGGGATACCCCAAGTAGGTTTCTTCTTTGAATTGCGTTCAATCAGGCGAATTGTTACTAATGGAGTCTGCGACAGGAAAGTTCCCACGGCATTGGCCGACCACGTCGAGAAGAACAGCCTCCAGGGAAAGCTGCGCTACACCCTCTTCGTAGGCGCCTCGTCCGGTGCAGAGACCGAGAACCGCTGGGCTCGCCTGAACATGATCGAGCGTCGCAGTCCGCATCAGGTCGGCAAGGAAATCGCCAAGGGCATCAACTCTGGTCAGATGAAGTTCTTCGATAAGCATCTCAGCATGTTCCCGTCTGACCTGGTCTACGTATGTCTGCCTTTCTCCATTGGAGTGACGGATACATCTAACAATACCAGGGATGGTACACCCTGAACAAACCCAACAACAAGCTGGATGTTGCCGTGATCGAGGCCTCTGCCATCACCGAGGATGGTGGTATCATTCCCGGCGCTTCCGTGGGTGCTTCTCCCGAACTCGTCCAGATGGCCGACAAGATCATTATCGAAGTCAACACTGCCAGCCCGTCCTTCGAGGGTCTGCACGACATCACCATGTCGGAGCTGCCGCCCCGTCGCAAGCCCTACCTCATTCTGTCGCCCGAGGACCGCATCGGCACTCCGCACATCCCCGTCGACCCGGAGAAGGTCGTCGCCATCGTGGAATCCGACTACCCGGACCAGACCCAGCCTAATGCCCCCGAGGATGCCACCTCGCAGGCCATTGCCACCAACCTGATCGAGTTCCTCAAGCACGAGGTCAACCACGGCCGTCTGCCGCCCAACCTTCTCCCCATTCAGTCCGGCATCGGCAACATCGCCAACGCCGTCATTGGCGGCCTCAGCAAGGGCGGTGCCGACTTCACCAACCTCAAGGTCTGGACTGAGGTGCTGCAGGACTCCTTCCTGGATCTCTTTGACAGCGGAAACCTCGACTTCGCCACGGCCACCTCCATCCGTTTCTCCCCCGACGGCTTCAAGCGCTTCTACGACAACTGGGAACGCTACGCCGGCAAGCTCCTCCTCCGCTCCCAGCAGGTGTCCAACTCGCCGGAAATCATCCGTCGTCTCGGCTGCATCGGCATGAACACCCCTGTCGAGGTCGACATTTACGCCCACGCCAACAGCACCTGCGTCATGGGCTCCCGCATGCTCAACGGTCTCGGTGGCTCCGCCGATTTCCTCCGCAGCTCCAAGTACAGTATCATGCACACGCCCTCGTCGCGGCCCAGCAAGACCGATCCCACCGGTGTCAGCTGCATCGTCCCGTTCTGTACCCATATCGATCAGACCGAGCATGATCTGGATGTTGTTGTTACCGAGCAGGTATGTTGCCCTTCCGTGGCTGTATTAAAGAGCTGATACTAATCTGTGCAGGGTCTCGCCGACGTCCGCGGCCTGTCTCCCCGCGAGCGCGCCCGCGTCATCATCAAGCAGTGCGCCCACCCCGAGTACCAGCCCATCCTGACGGACTACCTCGACCGCGCTGAGTATGAGTGTCTGAAGAAGGGCATGGGCCACGAGCCGCACCTGCTCTTCCAGGCGTTCAAGATGCACCAGAACCTGCAGGAGAACGGTACCATGAAGATCAAGAGCTGGGATTAGAGTTGATAGAGTGTACAGATTAGATGCGGGTTGGGAATTGGGTAATGCTTGTACAACACATAGTAATGAAATTCATGTCTTGCATTGGGATGAGCGAGACGTAGGTGTGTAGTAGGCTATCAAGTAGAACAAGAAGCAACGCTGGGAACATTCTGGCAGCTCCCGTAGTCCTTTCCACCGGTGACATCGACGCTCTCCCAGGTCCAGTTCGAGCAGGCGCCGCTGCCGCAGACAATGGCGATGTTGTAGCCGCTGGATGATACGGCGCTTGCGCCGGAGATGTTCTCGACCGTCAGGTCGGTGATGGGGATGCCGGAGGTCGGACTGCCCTTGAGATCGCCGCCGTCGTAGTTTTGTTCGATGAGGATACCGTACCTGACAGCCGGGTTAGAACGCATTCCAAGCATAGAAGATATGGGAACGCACTTTGAAATCGAACTCAGCGTGATCCCGGAGTACGTGACGCCCTTGATCGTCCCGGTGTCGCCAGCACTGGCTTTGATGCGGATTCCTGTCTGTGTCAACACCCATTCCCACCCCAAATAATCACATAACATACCATTCGTCGAGCTCTTCACCGTCGAATCCTTAAAAGTAACCGTATCAACGGTATTATCCGACCGCCCCCCAACACTCCCAATCGACAACCCATGGCCGCCCGAGCAAACCCCGCCACTAAACGTCACCCCCGTCCCCGAGTTCACCGCCACACAATCGTCCTGGTTATACACCTTGGCCCCGGTAATGGTCACATCCGAGCTAGAGCCGATATCGAATCCGTCCGTATTATGCCCGCCGGCGCTATCCCCCGCCGAGTTGTCGATCGTCATATCCGTGACCGTGAGCCCGTCGCACCCGTTGATGCTGACGGCCTGCACGGGCGTGTTCGTGATGTGCAGATCCGTGATGCTCGCGTCGCTCAGGTCGTGCGCGTAGAAGAACTTCGGCTTCGTCTTGCCCCCGTTGCTGCCCTCTCCGTCCCACCACCGCGCGCCGTCCGGGTTCAGAACCGCCCCCGACGCGCCTTGCACTTTGATCCCCTTGCCGGAGATCTGGAGCAGCGGGCCCGACCATTCTTTGTAGCCCCAGGTTGTTTCGCCTTCGAAGATCACCTGCGCATCAGTTAGCTTGCGCTTCGAATGTGATGTTGAAGGGGGAGGGGAGTACGGTGGTGTCGTCGGCTAGGTCGCTCAGGTCCAGAGTCGTGCCGGAGGGCACGGCGAGCGCGGACAGCACCATAGTCGCGCAGGCCTTTTGCGAGGCGCTGGCGGAGGCGGCGCCGTTGGAGCCAGAGAAGGTGCAGCTCGTGGCGCGTTTGGCGAGGGTCGGCGAGGCTGTGATCATTGGGTCTGCTGGCGAGGCGAGGATGCCTGTCGCCGAGGCGATGAGCGCCAATGAGAAAAAGGACCGCATTGTGAGTGGTGTAGAGGGCTTGTTTTGAGGATTGGGGGCGTGAGCTGGGAGGTCATGATGGAGGGTAGCCGGATTATATACAGTAGATGTGTGGGTGTAGTTTCAGATTGCGGACGAAGTGGAGTGCGAGGGATTGCAGGTAGGCTGAAGACCGCCAGGGGTCGTTTCTCCTCCAATGGTCTCGTGGTGGAGTGTGTGGAGGGGGTGCCATTGGTGGTAAATAGAGAGCATGCAGAATGAAGCGATATCAGACACGGCGGGAAGACAAGCATTTCGCCGAGAAAGCTTCTTTCGGGGTTCTGGGGTATGCGCATGCTGGAGATTCTGGACGGGATGAGGTCTCCGTGCTGGTTTCACCACGGCTCAAATGAGTGGTGGAAAATCATCGAGTTGTTCCGTAGGTGGTTTCAGGATGGGCACTTCGGCGCCACTTCATGTTTAGTATGGGGGGAAATGATACTGCTGTAGGTACCTGGGAGAATAGTGAAATTAAGGGGATTATGGATAGGAGTGCGTAAGTCTGTGGGGAGCTGTTTCTTGTATACAATCCTGTTTAGAAGTAAACAGAGATATCAGGCCACCAGATAGGAGATTCATTGATTTCACGAGAAGCGAGTTCATTTTACTGTTCTCTTTGCGAGTAGCAGTAGATTCGTTATATATACAAGTCAAATGCCCAGAATCAACATGATGCAAGCAAAGTATCCAGAACTATTCTACAGAAGAACAACATCAATCGTCATCATCCACTATAACAACCATCCACACCCCAACTTTCCCATTACTGGCGCGCAATGGAGTACAATGCACCCACCGATTACGCCCTTCGGGGCTATACCGCGTCACCCACTTTATCCGCGCTGTCACGCTCCGGTCACACATGAACGCCTGCACTAACTCATCCCTGACCATGCACGAGCTCCCAATCCGGGACAGAAACGAAGACTGCAGCATGCCCGGGATTTGGAGCGAAGGAGACGTGAACAGAATGCGGAGGGAAGGATACGGACGGACCAGGAGGTACTATCGAGCGTTAGCATCGCTGGAACAGTGTAGAATCATGCCCTCACATTCTCGTAAGCTCCAATCAACGACCCCCGAAAGAAAGCAGGCTTGATGTCGCCCGATTCAAGAACCTCCTCGTCATCTTCCACCAACGTCTCCGGCTGCATCCATCCGCGAGCGCCGCGGGACGTCTGCATATGGCTCACAGCGGGATGGAACAGGTCTCCTCCGTGTGCGCGGACCCCGACCAGCTCCTGGGGACTGAGCATCTCGGCCAGCTCGCGGAACTCGTCTTTGGGCTTTTCCGCCACTGTTATTGCGTCGTGGGACTGCTGCTTCTCGAGTAGCTCGTGCAGAGACTCCAGCTGCGCCCCTTCCATAGCCAGTGCGGACACGTCGATTTGTGCGCCGATAAAATAGCGGATCTGGCCGTGGCTGTCGCATAATGGTGCGCATTGGAGCAGGTTCATGAACGGGGATCCGTCGCGTCGGCTGTAACGTGATTAGTACAGAACGTGAGAAGGCTGAGCGGATGCGTACTAGTTGAGGAACAGTTCTGAATGATGTCGCCCATCTTGGATGGCCTCTCGAATGCGCCGAACGCTGTTCTTGTTCGTTTTCGGTCCCTGCAGGAACCGGCAGTTGCGGCCTAGCACATAGTCCATGCCATACTGCGTAGTCCGGTGGAATTCTGTCCTCGTCAGACGGCGAACATTCGACCGTAAGGAGACACAAACCTTCTGATGCAAATATGATAGGGTTATCCGGCCGCGAGGGATCCGTCAAGCAGAACACCTCCGCCAGCCCATCCGACGTGCCCTGAAACTTCGGCGGCAGGGTGCCGCGAACCCGCGCTTCCACAATCCGGCTCGTGATGGTGATGCATCGCGAGGTGATGAAGGCCGGCAGCTCTTCCGCCGTCAGCGCATCCAGCGCATCCCGCAGACGCTCCTCCAGCTTCGCATTGACAGTAGCCCCGACCAAGCCGTCGCCCGTGTGCACCGACGGCGGCGGCGCGTCGACAGACCGGCGCACAAGCGCGTTCGCATAGTTGATCGCCTTCAGCGCCTTGCGGGTGTTCAGGTAATATGTGAGGGTTGGCAGCGAACGCGGCCGTTCATCGGCGAGGAACTCGCGAAAGCGCGCCAGATACCGCGGGTTGTTGAGGATGGTCAGCATGTGCTCGGACGAGAACATGACGTCGCCCATCTTCTCCAGCTCGTGGAGCGGCACGTCGCAGCCATCGTAGGGGGCGATCAGGTCGTAGGAGGCGCCGAGTTCGCTGATCGGATTGAACTCGTCGGTGCCGTTGAAGGGGTTCCGCGCCTGGAGGAGCGGGAATTCGTTGATCATGTAGTTTCGGCGGAGGGTCTTGACGGATGGCTTGGGGCTGGGGGGCGCGGGGTTCTCTGGGACAGTGTCGACATTGTGGGATCGCCACGGGGGTTGAGGGAAGTCCGATAGGAGTCGGTCGGTTCTGCTTGTTCAGTGGGATGCTCGCGAGCCGCGGGATAGGGACTTACCGCGATTCTCGCCCCGACTCGCTCGCCCAATCAGGTAGGATGTTGGACGAGTATGAGCGCAGGGACTCTGCATCAAAACTGGTGTATGCGCCGAAATCCATGCTGGGCTTTGTCATTGTGAGCGTGCCGTCCAAGACTGACGGACACGAACGGCCGTAGACGCATTTAATAGCGGCGCCATAGTGTCGACCGTCAGGAGCCTCCGTCCAACAGAATGATCCGTCAGATGATAGCCCTCCGTGGCATGGCTTCTGGAACCATTAGAACATGAGCCTGTCAGCTTTGACGTCGCGATGGGCGGCGGACCGGCTCAACAGGCCGCGCCGCATGGCGATTATCAGCATAGATATATGCGATGTCACAACCGACGACGCGGTGATCGATCGATCGATGGATAGCAGAGCGCGTTTAACCCCACGAGATCGGATGGAAGCTGGCGGGTGATGCAATGCTGCAGACGATCGTCCCGGCAGGTCGGGGGGCAGTGGGAAAAATGACATGTCGAGCCGCCATCCGTGGGATCTAGGTTTATACGAGTGCTCTGAAGGAGTGTTGGAGATTGTTCAGAGGTATACGCATATACACCTCACATCACTTGGGCTATTGCAGTGCTACGAAGGCATTCGCCAAATATCCAGATGAGTATGGTGGTTGCAATTGAGGCTTATAGACGCGATGCCAACATCTGCAGAAGGCTACATACAAGATGGATCTCCAGCATCAACAAACAAAGGTCGAAGGAAAAAAAGCACGCAAACCACCATGTCCAAATCAATTTTCAACAGACACAATTCCAGATACTGACACCAAATCCTTGATCATCGCATGCTCACAAACTGAGGGTTGACAACAGGCAGCCTGTGACGGAACACGGATGCGAATCGATCAGGAGTCAGCCATTTAGCAGGTGTCGCTGTGGTTGTTGCCACCATCCTGGCAGGCGGCACCGCAGTATCTGATGATATCAATATCACCGTTGGGTCCGCCAACGCACTGGAACAGAGTGTTCTGGATGTGGGAGGGGTCGGTGGGCATGTTGGCATCGTCAAGAGCCTGGGCGATTTGCGCGTAGTAGTTGCCTGGGTTCAGTCAGCTTCGAGGTCACCGCGGTCAGAGGGAGCTGGCTGTTTGGGACAACGCACCCTTTCTGAGGAGGACGTAACCGCAGTACTGGAGACCAGTCTGGCAGTTGGCGGCCACCGCCGTGGAGGCGAGGGAGGCAGCAGCAGCAAGGGCAATGGTGGTGAACTTCATTTTGAAGGGTTGGAGGTTGGTTGTTATGAGATTGAAACTGATTGTTTGTGATTGAGAGCTTGAGTGATGATGGATGGGAGAGGACTTGGGTAGAATTTGGGGAGGTTTATATAGACCTTCTTCTTTGGCCCCCATTCACCCTCAAGCCGTCCTGTTGATGTGAAGAGATAAATCCCTCATTGAGGTGAGTCTGCCTACATCCAACGGCCCCCAAATTTCTTGGTTGCTTCGCCTCTGGTAGTTAGATTGACGTTACACTGGATATGCGGTGAAAGATGGTGAGACACGCAGGAACATGAGGTTGAAGATAGAGACGTATATCGGTATTCTCATGATGTGCGTCTTCTCTGTGTGTTCTTTCTTTCTGTCTCTATCTTGATGTCATGATCTCCTAGACTTGCGTCAATGATGAAGCACCGGAATTTCTAACTCGATTGCTTAACAGTTCATCACTTCTGCAAATCTTCCGAGCCTATAGCTAGGTAAGTCACAAAGGGAAAGGTCGAGGGGCCAGAACACGTAGGATTGCATCTCCACGGTATGCATAATAAGGTTGAAAGTTGGATATGTGCATGATCTAGATCTTGAACAAGGCCAGGCCACATCAACCATTGGATAGGTCGCTTATTCTGAGCCACGAGATCTGCCGATCCCAACGCCAGGATCAGAACCCATTGGACAAGACGTAGTACTCGCTGGCGAGCTCTAACCCCGGATCTAGCTCTCTTATGGGGCAATACATGGGCAGTCCAGAGGTTGTTCCTGAACCAGCCGCTCAACGGCAGGTTGAGTTAGTTGCCTGGACAGATGAATGGCCAGACCACGACCTAGAAAGTGGCTAATTGGACGTTCGGAAGTGCACCGAAATGCTCCTCTGATAGAAGAAATGGGGGCCGTTCGAGCCTCGGTGTTTTGCCTGAATTGGCCGTGATGTACCCGTCTCGAGGTGGATCTGGTGAGGTTTAGCCGTGTTGTGGAGATAGTTTTAAGCCCGTGAGACCCTGCAGGAGATAGCGCCAAGCTGTAGCTAAATCGCTTCCGGCCAAGGGGCTCAAACAGTGCATTTGGAAAGGACCAATTAACACCACCTGTCTTGTTGGTTTGTTCGAAGAATGCGTCCCTGTCTGCGTCAGAAATACGGAGAAGGTTTATTCATGGGGCTGTGTGAGGCCTTTATTCCAACTGTTCTGAAAAGACACCGGCTTCATTCGTGCGCAGTGCTGTTGGTTGTTAGAGATCTGCATCGGAAGCTCTACACAGCCAAGACGATCGCATCCCGAGCCACTTAGCTTGCGAAGCAGTCGCCCAAGTGGCGGGGACCTCCCGGGCGATGCTTAGCGCTGACGAGACCCTGGGGCCAAGCTCAACAGTCAGTCCAGCATTCCTCAAGAAGGTTGTCCACCAGTAGTATTGTCGTTCCTGATGGAGATGCTGTTGGAATACCTTCAAGGTTACATCTGGCCTATAGTGCTAGTGGCACCTCCATCTTGGCATGAAGGGGTCCCCATCGCAAAAGGATCTCAGGATCGAGACTTCGGCTGGGGTTGAGAGAGACTTTGCAAATTCACTTGAGACAGACTGGACTTGCCGTATATTCATGCCTGGCGCACAGTCTGAGAGTGCAAATGGTATCCAGAGTGAGTCTGGAGAAATGTATATCGACCCTCTATACACTGCCAACCAACGATGCATGATTCATATAGCTACGTTCTCTTGGTTTTGAGACTATTTGGACAGAACCCTACTAGTTGATGCTGACGGCAGGCTACCTAGCCTAATGCAGTTCTGGGGCCGTTGTCGGGTGCATGCAGATGAGATTGGTCTCAGTCGCAAACAGCCCCGCGGATATAGGATTTTGTATGCCTTGCTTAGCACTGCTGGACAAGGTGAACAGCAGATCTGCAGTACTCAAGGCGCTTTACCCCTTCAACGTTTAAACGTGTAGAAAGAGACTACACAGACAGACCTGGGAAGCTATACGAACTCGATATGGCTATGAAACGATTTTTCGAACATTCAGAGGCGTTTTTAGAGGGAACGAGCTATCCTGCTGCTGGCGGAGCACTATGCCTATGATAGCCGTCCCCGTGCCTAGCGCACATAGGCAGAAAATGGACTACGGAATACTACGCATGAACCAAATACGATTTGTTAGAGGGACGGAGTCCGAGTTCAATTGAGCGATAAGCACAATCATCGCATTTATGTCACCTAATCTGTAGTGAGTCACCAACTATCGTAGATAGTACACCTAGGACATCACTAGGCCTCGCTTGAACTGGGCCCTACTATCCAAACCATTTCTACCCGCGGTGACTTTGCAGCAACGTGGCCTTTGGCCATGAGTCTGTCCCCGTGGGACTGGTGTGAGTCTAGCACAAATGGAGAATTGTCAGTGTCCATCGAGACATAAGTCACATTTTGGAGATTCCGGACGTCAAAACGATTGAATTCAGAGGCATCAGTTACACGGCTCGGGGTCAGCATCATCAACTCCCGACTGACAGACTGAACCAGTGAGCAGGGAGAGCCTATGCTCCAGCTCGTCGATAGCCAAGGTGCGGGCGGCACCAAGGGCGTCAACAGCCCCATAGAGCAACTCGACCTGAACAACAAAGCGGTCCTCGGGGCGCGTAAGAATTGGAGGGCTATGCGCAATGAAAAAGTCCATGTCGCCGTTGAGAGTGTCTAGAGCAGCCTGGATGCGATTGCGCTCAGTCGATGGTCCTTTCAAGGATTTAGTAATGGAGATGATAACCCACGTGGTGATCCAGTATTCGTCGTTGTGGATATAGATTTCGGGATAAGCCATTTTGGCTGGTGGAGATCGGCGAGTAAGGGTTTGGTTTGGGGATGTGGAATGTTGATTGAGATAGGACGGAGGTGTTTTTCGGAATGGGATAGACAGAAGATAGTGAAGGTCTGATCTAGGAGAAGTGACGAAGTATTTATATTGTGGCCTGTCCCAATTGAAGCTGTTCATGTGTTTCTTTATATAGGCAGATTCCCTTATCTTGCGGGGGTTCTATCTATGGAGTTGGACTCATTGTTTGATATGGAGCAAAGACAGGAATATCCCTGAGATCAGAGTGAAGGATAGATCCCGCAACAATGCTCCCTAAGTGATCTCATAAATAAATCAACTGGGTCACCAAAGGAACAATGCCATGCAAAAGACGGAATCTTACAAGGATTCGAGAAAGACAAAGACGTGCAACAGCGGGAGGAAAAGAGAACAAAGCAAGCCTCGGTATCGCCCAAAAGATTTGAATCCTATTATACTGGAGTGCACTGTGCAATGAAGTTAAGCGGGGCGATTGGGAAATACGTTGCTCGGGTTGCGTGCATAACTCTAGCTGACGTATGATTGTCCATAATAGAGTGCTTCTTGACGTTTCCTTTTCTAAACCTCCGAGAGGAATGGCAAGCGAAAGATGCGCCTCGCGGGTATCTTTGAAGACTGGGAATTTCTATCTAACGTTGACCATGTCTTCTTAAAGAATCAGATTCTAGAGAGATTGCGGTGCCGTATGCTGCATCCATCTATAAGGTCATTAGTGCTCTAATTACTCCTGGGCATAGCGACTGCCCCCTTCATCTAAAGCAGGGCTTGGGGCGGGCAAATGGCTCAAAATTGCAAAATGTAGACATTCAGCGGCGCCCAAATGGGTCCAGCGGGTTGAATGCGGCACCCATGAAGCGAATCGAGAAGCCCAAGGCTTTGGGAAAGTGTGGGCTTATACCTTATAGCGGTCTCTGCTCGGTTACAGTTGTACAATCTACTGTGTCGTACTTAGCCAAGTTGTTTTTCGAGCTCTAAGTACATCCTGGCCCTAGGGCCCGCCATATATGGACACCTGGACAGATATTTACTGCTTGCGATTGACGGTATCGCGACAGTCCACTGTCGGTTAAGTGGAAGAGTCATAAACCAGACAGCTCTTGCATATGGTCTATTAGCTCTATGTCATATGCTGGCCCATCGCAAAGGAAACAAAAGAGTACCTGTCATATACATCCCCCTTGACGGGACACATCATATTATCCAGATCCTCGAGTACTGCTGTACGCTGTACGCCCTGACAGCAGTGTGACAGCGCACATTTGGAGTTCTCAGACGAGTATATTTTATTGGTGGCTTCTACTCCTAGGGACCTAAACTAGAGCCTTTTAGCATGTAGCCCGAGAGGGTGTGTTCAATACCAAACCAAAAACAGCAATGCCGCCTGGAAAGCTGCAGTGGAGATGCAGGAACCGATCAATAGTTGAACCCTACTAATTTAGGGCACTCGGTAGAATTTTCCTTTTGTCGGTTTATAAGTCAAGGGTCATATTTTCGGTGGAATTTATACGATGGTTGTGTTCTGAGTAGCATGCCTCCTGGACCGTCCCTTGAGCTCCATGATGTTTCTGCTCCAGATCATTTGCCTTCTATCATGGGCGTGCGTGCAGGTTCACTCAAAAGCCGTTTTCGCTCATTTCATGGTATGTCATCTAGTATCCAGTCATTATTTTCGGTCTCGTTGATCCACACATAGGTTGGAAATACTGGCAGCTATTCCGAACAAGAATGGAAAGACGATATCACGCTCGCGCAGGCGGCAAATATCGACGCCTTCGCTCTTAATATGGCAACGAACGAGCTAGACAACAAATCACTGTCCAAAGCCTTTTCAATATCCAAGGATGCGAACTTCAAGCTCTTCTTCTCCTTCGACTACGCTGGCAACGGTAACTGGCCCCAGAAGGACGTCCTCGAACTCCTCACTCAGTACAAGGATCACCCAGCGTACTACAAGCACAACGAGAAGCCGTTCGTGTCAACGTTCGAAGGGGCGAACAACGCCACCGACTGGCGTAAGATTAAGAATGAAACCGACTGCTTCTTCGTCCCCGACTGGACGTCCATTGGACCCCGCAAAGCAGCCAACCACAGCGTGATCGACGGCTTGTTCAGTTGGGACGCCTGGCCGGAAGGCCCGCGGACGATCAATACCACGGCGGATAAGGAGTTCATCGCTGCTCTTGACGGCCGCGCCTACATGATGCCGGTCTCGCCGTGGTTCTATACCAACATGCCTGGCTTCAACAAGAACTGGGTATGGCGCGGCGACAACCTCTGGCACGACCGCTGGCAACAAGTGTTCGAGCTCGAGCCCGAGTTCGTGCAGATCATCTCGTGGAATGACTACGGCGAGTCGCACTATATCGGGCCACTCCGAGACAACGGATACGTTGCTTTTGGAGCGTCACACGGAAAATCCCCCTTCAACTACGCCCAAAACATGACCCACGACGCCTGGCGCACGCTTCTCCCATATTACATTGACCAGTACAAGTCCGCTGATAACAAAACTACTCTGCCCATTGTGAACGAGACGGCTGTCGCCTGGTATCGTCTCCATCCTGGCGACGCTTGTCGCACGGGCGGTACGACGGGCAACGCTCCCAACCAGGGGCAGAGGGAGTACCCGCCGGCGACGATCCTAGAGGATCGCATTTTTTACTCCGCGTTGCTTAACTCGTCGTCTGAGGTCAAGGTCAAGGTGGGCGACTCAGAGGCAACAGGGACATGGGATTCTGTCCCCGATGGTGGAAAGGGCATATACCATGGCAGCGTGCCATTCAATGGTACTGGGGAGGTCCGGGTATCGGTGGTGCGAGAGGGCAAGACTGTAGCAACGATCGAAGGCGAGCCCATCACGTCTGATTGTCCGTCGAGCAAAGGCATCCAGAACTACAATGCCTGGGTAGGACAGTCCGCGGCAGGACGTACGTGCGTGGAGGGGGGGATTGTCGGTCTGGTCACTGCTGCCTGGATTATCGCCATGCAATGGATGTGAGCACTGTCCTGTTGAGTTATAGAGATGTATGAACCTTCACCTATTAATTTTTCCATTCCTAATGTTTAACAAAAGGGAGAGTTATTGGCCCATTGCTCGAACTGTATGCAGTGATAATCAGGAATAGAATATGGATGGACATACCGCACTGATCCAAGGACCTCATCATCCATTCAATTCAAAACAATATCTAATTATACTGTCTTGTGGATGAACTTTGCACAGATAGAAAGAGGGTGACCGTTTCAAGACTGGGATAAGTTCTTCTGACAGGAGAATTCATCACCAGGTAGGAGTTCAAGAATCTTTCAACGGGTGTGGTTGCATCAGGGCACTTGAAATATGTAAAGCATGAAATGCTCGTCGCTGACGCGTTCCGACTACAACAATGCTCACCTGCTAGCTACCCCTCCTCCTCTCCCACTCTCCACAACAACCAGACACCATGGCCCAGACGACGACATTCTGCTTCCCAGTGAAAGACCTATCAAGTGACGCGGTGAAATTGACTCCATTCGAGGTTAGTCCTTCACTCCTTTGTACTCTTCTCCGAGCCCTGAATCTCATTTACATGCTAATCCGGTTCCAGCCCGAAAAACATGCAACAGCCTACTTCGAAGGCTCAAAGGACCACCCCGAGCTTTACAAGTATATGTCCATTGGCCCGTACGAAACCAGAGACGACTTCATCAATGGCTTTCTGGTCGATCTAGTAGGAAAGCAGTCGCCGGGCATGACCACCTTTGCCATAATCGATAAGAAACGGCCTCCATCCGACGCAGACCCCGAGGGCCAGCTAGCAGGAATGGTGTCGTACATGGCTGCCAGCCCAGTGCATCTATCAGCCGAAGTTGGGTACATCATTATCCTCCCGCCATTCCAACGCACCCACGTCACGACGCACGCGGTAGGCTTGCTCCTTCAGTACGCACTGAACAGTCCCGAACAGGGCGGATTGGGCTTGCGGCGAATGCAGTGGCTTGCAGATCCGCCAAATAAGGCGTCCCTGGCAGCAGCTCGTCGCATGGGCTTTGAGCAGGAGGGTATCCTTCGATGGAATCGAGTCATGGTTGACGCAGAGGCACGCGGGAAAGGACATAATGGAAGAGAGGGGCCGCCTTATGGGAAGCCATCAGATCGTGGCCGGGATACCGTCTACTTGTCGATGTGTTGGGATGATTGGCTAGGGGGGAAAGATAAGCATGTCGAGAGGTTGATGCTACGGCCGATTGTGGTGAAGGAACCATGAAGTTGTGAAGTTATCGTGACACGCCTCTTTCGCAAACGGTTTTAAGAACTAGCTCTGTTTAAACCAAACACCTAGAAACCAAACTCAGAAGAGAAAGAATTCATAACATTTCAGCCCGTGCTTTGGAGAAAATTAGTAAGACACACGTAGCTCGACGCGCCTAAGGCCATCTATTCATCGAACTTCACATTAGTGTATATTAGACAGCATCTACCACACGACCGTCCAGGTCTCATGGACCTCCGTATGCGGGTTTCCACCTTTCCCCAGGCGAATCAACCAAGATGTCTCAGCGAGGTATCAATGCCGCTCTGGTGCAATGGGCCGTTGTTCCCACAGCTTGTAGAGTGTCGGGTCTTTGCTAAAGGATGTCGTCACTGGCGATTTGCAACGACTTTCTGCACTGCAAGATTGGCTTGTTCCGACTTCTTCCTACTAAGTTAATAGCGAGGCTGGAAGTCCCCACAGAAATATTCCCCAGTCTTCACTAGCCACCTCTTCACCGCTGAGGGACTTCTCTTTTCATGAATGAGATCATGTTAGATTGATGGTTCATATTTGTGAATTGTTTCGTCTTCACTATATTTCCCAATCACTCTTTGTCTATGGAGGGAATCAAATCCGAATGAATTCATGATGCAGTCATCAGATGACTAACAGCCTACCTTATTCACTAGATGAGAAAGGTATATATCCTGAGCTTTATCGACAAGATGGATCAGCCCTCACGTCTCTCTCGATCTTCCTCGCCAGAGATCGCAGACGGGTCTCAGGAATATGTCAGGCAAAAATGACCGCTAGACCACCAAAAGTGTGAACACGCTCATGGGACCCTATATGGTCCATATCTGGTTTGACACATCCCCCATGCTGGGAACAATCGTCATGAATCTTGAGGCGACAGCTCCTAATCGGAATGTCCATCTATTCGACGGCCATGGCAAATACCTCGCAGGTATGACGGTCATGTCGTGTAATTCGACTGCAGGAAGCTGACGTCGATGTCTATAGGAATGCGAATCCGAACTGAAGACCGATACGTCACCAATTCCAACTTGTACTCCATGTCCGCCATCGTCCTCGATCTAGAAGATGCGGGATCTTCATCTCCACGATGGGCAATCTATCGCCTTGCCAAATCCAGCCGAACGAAAAACACCTGGTCTGTGAAACGAATGCTCCCACGAGACAATCAGTACGTGGATGTCGGCAACTACGCCGTGCTGACCACCAACGCCTCGTATCTGCGCGTGCAGCAAACCCCGGAAAAAGCCATGCACCGGTGCGTTTCTCCCGAAGGGAAGACCGACCCCAACAGCCTTGTACGTTCCGCACTTCAGAGAGAATACCGGCGTTCTAAGCTCATCCGCAACAGCACACCAAATTCCGCGATAAGGTCCGAGACCGCGATGGAGCGTGCATGATCACCGGAACCCCGCATCCTGAAGGCGAAGACTGGGGCGGTTACGAGAGCACACATATATGGCCTCTGGCGAGGGAGGGTACGTGGAACGCAACGCCTCAACTCCACGGGTGGATCACAGACACCGCTCCTGCGGCTGAGATTGGAGGCTCGCGTCTCTTCTCGCCGCAGAACGGCATCTTGATGAAAAGTGATTTGCACACGAGATTCATCGTCTACAAGTTCTCCATCAATCCGGATGTAAGCCCCTTCCGCTTCTTACGTTATCACTCACTGCGACTGACGGACTGGTGGACAGGACGGCTACAAGGTTACCTACTTTGGCCAGGATGTCGAGCGTATTGGCGGTCGCAGGCTCCAGCGGAATGCGCTGGATCCCGCCAACCCACAGCACCGGGTCAGCGACGGGCTTTTACGGTGGCATTTTCGCCAGGCCGTGCTGAAGAACATGAAGGGGGTGCCGGATGTGTGGCCTGATTGGGAGTTTGATCTGGCTGGCGAGAGCCTGCTGGAGATCATCAAGAGAGGGCCAGATGCTGAGGAGAGGATGGAGTTGGAACTGTTTGGTCGACTGGCGGGGTGGGAAGAGGTCTCGAACGAGACTTAACGGCGAACTCGTTGACTATATCAGGATGTTGAATGGATTCTAAGCGATAGAACTTGGAGGTATGATTGAATCAAGGATTTATGTCGCTATATGCATGGTGACTCGTAAGGCGTGATTATATACATCAAGGTAATGAAAGAAGGGTGGAAGGTGAAGAAAAGTCTAAAAAGGCCAGCTCTAGAGTCTAGTGCGTGTCGGTGGGAGGACGGTAGTTGCCTCCAAAGATACTGGTCACAGTCAGCTTCATCCTAGTGAACTGTAGTAGGGAACATACCGAGCCGTGAGAAAGCTCCACAGTCCACCGGTCTGGGTCTCGCTGGGTCTGCGCTTGGCCCAGCCGTTCTCAACATTGTAGTTCTTGACATCCTGGAGACCAGCAAAGAGGCCACGGCCAGCAGTAGGGTGCTATGATGGTTAGAAAGGTCCGAGCGAGAATGCATCAATGAATGCAACATACATGCTTCTTGTGGTCGGACTCGCGGACCCAGAGGTCAGCGCCGTAGTCGTTCTGCAGGCGGGAGTTGGAAGGCATTGTTGGAGAGTTTGATTGAGGTATGTGAGTGAGATATGAAGGCTTGTCCCTTGGGAGCTGATTGAGATTGCTGATGCAGTGGGTGAAGATGCGACTTGAAGCTGTCGAGGGTATATTTATACCTTCGCCGGAGTATACAAAATTTCAGTCAGGCCATAGGCTCGAGGTCGGCCCCGGATCCGGCCGTGTCGGCCCATCCGCTTGTAGGTTGGAATTCTCGATTGAGGATGAGGCCCCATGGGTGGTCGCATGGTGAAGTGACGATGTATGGGTGGTCTATGGGCTATGGGTGGTCTGATGGGTGGCTGTGAGGCGGTGACATAATCGACGTCAGGCGGATTTCCCCGACCGCCACTCGAGGATTTTTCGGGGGGTTTCAACCTACGCGGTGAAGGTTGTTAACAATCCGGAGACGACGGTCGGACGGTCCCTGGTCGTCGAATTTTCCATTGTTCGATGGTTCGATTCGTTCAATTTCTCGAGTTCATGTAGGGCGGCCGATGACATCATTCAGGCCCGACCTTGACTTGGGAGATAAGGCGTACTACGTACTCAGGTAGTTCCTGGCATTGGTATTGTGACTCGGCGTTGGCTGTATTAAGAGGAATTCTTGCGATTTCAGAGACCCTTGTGTCAGGATTTATAGATAGATTCTGTCCTCGGATGAGAGGGTGATCTGATATATATTCCGGTATATATTACAACCTGCAGGAGTACGGGGTAGTGTGGTGAGGCAGATAGATTGCAATGCGGGGAATTAGATGAAGAATAGATTGAGAGTTCGTGATGCTATGAACTGCATAAGAAGAGATCAGATCAGATGGTAGGACATTTGGTAGTCCGATGTTTATTGTGCTCGGCATGCGAGGCCCTCAGGGATATTACCCGAGCCCTAAGCAGAAGGGGGTGGACAGGACAGAGTTTGTCAGGATCAGACCTCTCGGCAGAACAACCTGGTAGCCTGGTAGCCTGGTAGCATCGAGGATCTGACTCTTTAGCGAAGTTTAGTCGAATTAAACATGCGATAGATAAAGTTGATCTAAGAGCATGGTTGTCCCTTGCGTCTGATGTCACTGGTATTTCAAGTAGAGGGGTGCATCCTAGACACACCAACTAGGTACATACAGGTAGGTACCCAGGTAATTCCCACGAGCGGACAGGTGTGTACCTGCATAAGGGCTGTGTTGGCGGTCCTCTTCCAGCTGTTCTCCAGACCGCCTTGTGTCGCAACCACCACACGTAATACGTATGGGTACTACGGGGGCGGGGATAACCGAACCGTCATCCACCACCAGCGAACCACGTTTCCTAGATAGACTCTTCTCGATCGTCTTTGAGATTAAACAAGTCAAGGGGATGTTCTGTTTTGCCAAGAGGATCCGACCTCGTCCCGCAGTGGAGGAGAGCGATCAGCGTCGACGAGTCCAGACCACGTCGGTTGGACGCTGCAGGTGGCAGAGTTTTTCTGTTTTTTGAGTCAGGCTGGTGCCTGATGATCGGACTGGCGGTGATACTATACGGAGTCGACAGGATATATATCCTCTGTAGATGACGACAACAGAATATTCTATTCCCCAGGCAGTCGGCAATCGGTAGTTGACCGTTGACAGCCGGAGACTGGCTGGCTGGAGTGCATCAGCTGAGATGAAACAGAGGATGGAGGACACTGCCAGACTCCGGACTAAAGTGAATCAGGGGATTAGGTTGGCTATCCGATAGTGGGCGCCATGGCTGGGCGTTATTTTGGAGGAAAGCAAGTGCTGGAAAAGGAATACGAATACCCCTGAACGGCCGGCGATTGGGGGGAGACGGTGGGGACGCGGAAATGAGGGTAATAGTAGAGTATGTATACCATAGGGGAATGTACAGGTACCTAGATAGGTACTACTCTTATATGAAGGAGAGATAAATGTGTATGACAGTCAGAATGAGCATGTCTATTATACCAATAACACTTCAACTGGCAACATAGTAGGTATAGAAAAAGTACTATAATCATAACAACAACAACAACCACCATAATAATACTACTAGTAAGGAATAATATTAACTCGGCGGGTACCTGACCCCGCCTGGGCCAATCCATGGACACTTCCCACGTTAGTGCGGGTGTTTAGTTTGGCCGCTAGTCACGATGCCCCTTTTCCATATGAACCCATCTTTTTCGCTTTTTCTCCTCCTATTTCCTTCTTCATCTCGCTCCCTCCCTTCCCCTCCCTCATAAGCCTCCTCTACCCCCCCTCTCCAGCCGGAGTTGTCGTTTCGTTTCCCTTCTTGTTGACCACCGCTTCACTCGTTCAGCGGGCATTCCTTCGTTCCCAACTTACTCCCCCCAATACCATCACCACCATGAAGGCTGCCATTCTGGCCACGGCGGCCGCCTTGACCGGCTCCGCCCTCGCCGACGTCGCCCACATGCGCCGCGGTCATGACTCCTTCCATCACCGTCGCGCCATGCACGCCCAGGAGCCCGAGGAGACCTGTGGCTGCACCACCGAGGTCATCACCTTCTACGGATCTCCTACCCTCGTGCCCATCTCCACGCCCTCGGCCACTCCTACTCCCGCTCCCGCTCCCGAGACCACCAGCACCGAGGAGGTCACCACCACTCTCCACTCCACCAGCACCAGCACCGTCACCGTCACCGCGACTCCCGAGACTCCCGAGGTGACTCTGCCTACTCCCGGTGTCACCAGCTTCTCCTCCACCGGTGTCTACACCATCCCCGCCACCACCCTGACCGTCACCGACACCACCACCGTCTGCGGCGCCACCAGCACTGAGCTCCCCAGCGGTACGGCCACCTACGGCGGTGTCACCACCGTCGTCGAGACCTCCACCACCGTGGTCTGCCCCTATGCCACCGTCAAGCCCAGCGGCAGCACCGTCACCAGCGTCATCGAGACCACCACCTACGTCTGCCCCAGCGCCGGTACCTACACCGTTGTGCCCCCGACCACCACCTACGTGCCCACCAGCACCGTCATGGTCTACCCCACCCCGGCCACCTTCACCCCGGGTACCTACACCCAGGATGCGCAGACCGTGACCGTCACCCGCACCGACTACACCTACGTGTGCCCGACCTTCCACCCTGAACTGCCCTCCAGCTCCGCCCCGGCCCCCACCACCAGTGCGGTGCCCACCACTACTGCGGTGCCCACCTCGACCGTGGTTCCCTCCAGCACCACCTCCGTGCCCGCCTCCAGCTCCAGCTCCTCCGCCGAGGTCCCCCAGACCACCGGAAGCGGCCAGATGGGTATGACCTACTCGCCCTACACCAACGCGGGCGGCTGCAAGTCCAAGGCCGACGTGCTGCAGGATATTGCTACCATCAAGCAGAAGGGCTTCACCCACGTGCGCGTCTACTCGACCGACTGCAGCAGCCTGGAGTGGATCGGTGAGGGTGCTAAACAGCAGGGACTCATCATGATCTTGGGTGTCTACATTGACTCTTCCGGCGTCTCCGGCGCCCAGAGCCAGGTCACCGACATTGCCAACTGGGCCGAGTGGGATCTCGTCTCGCTCATCGTCGTCGGTAACGAGGCCATCCAGAACGGCTACTGCACCGCCAGCGAGCTCGCCAGCTTCATCACCTCCGCCAAGCAGGCCTTCAAGGCCGCCGGCTACTCGGGCCAGGTCACCACCACCGAGCCCATCAACGTCTGGGAGTCGTCCGGCTCCGCCCTGTGCAGCTCCATCGACATCCTCGGCGCCAACATCCACCCGTTCTTCAACTCCGAGGTGACCGCCTCTCAGGCCGGCAAGTTCGTCCAGAGCCAGGTCGACATCCTCGAGAAGATCTGCCCCGGCAAGGACGTCATCAACCTCGAAACCGGCTGGCCGAGCAAGGGTTCAGCCAATGGCCTCGCCATCCCCGGCACCTCCCAGCAGTCCGAGGCCATTAAGTCGCTTCGCAACGACGTCGGCGCCCTGTCCGTCTTCTTCTCCTTCTCCAACGACCTGTGGAAGTCCCCCGGCGCGTTCGACGTTGAGCAGTACTGGGGTTGCATCGACCAGTTCTAGATGAGGGTTGTGTGGCGTGATGTGGAGAGGAGGGTGCAGTGATGGAGTGACTTTTATTTGTTTATTTTGATCTATATTTATTTTGATTCCGTTCTCCGGCGTCGAGCCGCTTCCTTCATCTGTCCATGTTACGTAGTCGATACGTCTACTTTGTATATGCTAATTATGATTATGGAGTAGTAGCTTCATTCTGTATACAACCTTACTGTACACTGCATACTGTCCTAGTACGGGCGATGGCACCGCTGCAATCATATTAGTATCTGCGACCGGACGCATGGAGTTGGGGTACTCACCGCGTCACTTCCACACACCAACGGCTCGCAACAGGTATAATTGATGGTCGAGTTGCTGCACCATCTGTCGTTCAACTGTGTTTCTTCGTCAGCGACGTCCGTCATAGCCATTAATGTCCCACACCTACACCAATGCAAAGCTTCTGGGTTCCCAGTTCCGCAGGGACGGCGAGGGCGGTCGCAGCCAGCGCGAGGACGGCGAAGAAACGCATGATGATCACAGCGGATGATGGAGGGACGTCGGATGAAGAATGAAGAACGTTGGACGAAGCGAAGGGAAGGGCACGGAGGGGAATGCAGGTCCGGAATGTGCCTGTGTGCGTGGTTAGACGTCATGCTGCGATCATCCGGACACCCTACGTACCTCTATATGACAGTCGAATCGAGACGATGAATTGATGGAAGGGAATGGGGATTGGAATCGGTGGGATGAAAGTTGAAGAAAGATCAAAACAGGAAGAAAGGGATGTCGCTTATATCGGGGCCCTGTAACTAGCAGCACGCAAACATCCTGCGGCTCGAAATAGAACAGCACAAACAGACGGAACGGTGAAACACCCCCGCTGATCAACACCACGACTTGCGCTGACGGGCCCGTTGCAATGCAGCCCAGCGCGATCGGCGGCGATGCCTTGATCTCAACGACTATCGATGAAGTACTATGAGGACAGCCCTGGTCCGATCTTCAGGGGTTGTGGAATCCATATGTCATGCTATTACTCCGTACGTACGTACAGTACATTCATATGCCAGATGCAAACAGTCAATGACAGGTGATGATTATCGAAACACGAATGCACGCTATGATATTATGATTACTAGAAAATCCCGAACCGTTTCTTGCCATCTACACAGCGTTAGTTAGTACTAATCATCGGTAGGGATGGTGCCAGGGGATAGGTCACGTACCCCGTCGCTTTCCGTCAGCGGCCTGCGCTGGATGCTGTCCCTCGGCGGCCGCGCGAATGGCCGCAATGCGATGCTTTGCGCGCTCGTCGCCCTGGTCCGCGGCTTTGACGTACCACACGTTCGCCTCGAGCGGGTCGCGCCGACAGCCAATGCCCATCTCGGTGAAGTATCCGACCGCATATTCTGCTTTGGCCAGGCCTGGATCCAGTTAGTACAGGTATGTTCTGAGGAGCCCTGAAAGATCCCAACGAAAGGGAACGAACCTAAATCAGCCGCCCGCTTGGCCCACTCATACGCCTCGTTCTCGTCCTTCTCCAGCACCGGCTCCGCCCCCACCAGATACCACGCGCACAGCGCCATCATGGCCAGCGCATGACCGCCCTGCGCGGCGCCCGTGTAGAAATGGATACTCAGTGCCGGGTCGCGCGGACAGCCCAGCTTGCCATGCTCGTAGGCATCGCCGAGCCGGTAGCTCGCCTCGACGTGGCCGAGGTCCGCAGATTTGGTAAACAGCTGCGCGGCGTAGGCCGGATCGGCAAAGACGTCGTCGCCGTAGCCGGACTCGTGTAGCAGGCCGAGCTCGTACGGCGCCGAGTTGTACTGGGCGTCGGACGACTCGGCGGCGCGCTTCAGCCACTTGATGCCCTCGCGGTAGCGCTTGCCCAGCCCCATATCGCCGGCGAGGCAGGCCTTGGCCATGCGCAGCATGGCGCCCGGGTGATTCTTGGACGCGGCCTGGCGGTAGAACTGCTGGGCGCGGGCGGCCTCAACGCGCGTGCCCCAGCCGAACTCGTAGCAGAGTGCCGTGCGGTAGCACGCCTCGACGTGGCCGTGCTTGCTGGCTGCCACGAACAGCGGGAACGCCCGGTCGTAGTCTTCCTTGCCCTTGCTGAAGAGCCCCGATGCGTACCCGTCCGCCAGGTAGTACTGTGCGAATGGGTAGCTACGGTCGGCGAGTCGCTGGAGGATGGACTTGGCCTCGCGCAGGAGGCTGGCCCGTGTGATCTCTGACCCCTTGCGTCCGTACACTTGCGCGACTCCGTCGTCTAGCGCCTCCGCCGGCATCTCACGCATCGCGTTGACCATGAACACGGCGAACTCGTACTGCACCGCCGGGTCGTCGGTTTTCTTCACGTTGGCCAGGTACATGTCAAAGGTTTGCTTGTGGCTGAGCAGCGAGGCATTGTTGCCCACCGACGAGCGGAGGTGCGCGTTGCTGAGCTGCGCCGGAGCCGGCCCCGGCTGCGGGTAAGAGGTGTTGAGGAGGTCGACAAACGAGACCGGCCGCACGTCCGGGGAGGCCGTGGAGTTGCGTGACGACGACCGCGCGTGCAGGTACGGCGAGGCCTGCGGCGAGCTGCGGCGGCCCTCGCGGTCCCGAGACGTACGAGTACGCAGAGCGGGGCCGCGCGGGGCGGAGGTGCCCGCTGGAGGTGAGGAAGTTCTCCGACGAGCTGGTGGCGACCGAGGCGCGCAGCCCGGCCTGCGAGGTCTGATAGGGGCGGTGGTGGTACTGGAGGGGTTCGTAGCTGTCGCCGACGGCGGGCACGCTGTCGAGGCTGCCCCGCGAGGAGCCGTTGTTACTCCCGGCGGGGACATCGCGCTCGAGGGTGGAAGAGGAGCTGGTGTTGACGAGATGGTCCTCTTTCGTCTGGGGGTCGACGACGGACCAGGAGCCGCTACTGGCCGGGGTGTGTCCGAAGCCTGCGGACGGGTCGGTGAAGCGCTGGGCGGCGTAGGAGTCTCGGCGTGGGGGGAATTGCGATTGCGGTTGTGCATGGGGCGCAGCATGGCTCTGCGACTGGTCGCTGATGGTCATGTACGAAAAGGCCTCGGTTGGCAGCGGCGGCACGTCGTACACGTCCTGGGGCGGATGCTCTGAGTCGGGAGACTGGGGGACATCACCGTTGACCCTCACAGGAGGAACTGCGGAATGACGGTATTCCCGATCATTCTTCAGCCCAGGAGGAGAGTCTGGTAGAGGTCTGCGGGCGACCACCTTGTTCAATGGTTGTTGCGGGGTGGATCGGGGGGTGGCCTCCTGATGAGCGGACGACACTGGCGGCGACGAGCGGAGATAGACGGGAGGAGGCGAGGCGACGGGTTGAGGGTAACCGCCGGCGACAGGACTGGCCATGGTGACGGATACACGGCGCTGTCGGCGATACTCTCGAACAATGAATCAACAGACGACACTCCGAATCGATCCGGGTCTGACCTGTACGGAGCAGACGAGGACGTATGGAGGAGACTCTATGAAAGGGACATAGAGATGGGGATGATCGTGGAGCAACTGGGGGATGGTCCACTTGCTGGAGCGACAAGGAGGAGAGCGTCTGGGATGGGTCAGTGAGGGAGTGGAGGAGGGAAAGGAGGGGGTTTCATCTTTACCGAGTTGCAGGGAGGAGAGGAGGAGTCAGAATCCAAGATATTTGGAGTGGAGAGGGAGAGATACGTAGACAGAAGGAAGAGAGAGAAAGAGAGAAAAGAAAAGAACCATGGATGGTTATTTTAGGTACCCTACCTACTCTGGACTAGCTACCTTGTTGTACCATACGGGCTGTTCCAGCGGCACATCGCTGGTACCTCCTCTCCCACGCTTTCTCACGGGGTCTCGGGGTACCGGCGATGCAACAAAGAACGCGGTTATTTTTATCCAGGCAGCCATACGGAGTACAATAATGAAGGCGCCGTCTGCAGGAGGAACTCATCCGTCATCTTACTCAGACCAGACGAGCCGCCGTCCAAAGCCTCCTCTCGCTTGAATTTTCTAGCTCCGTCCAAATTAATGAGACATGCCGAAGTTCTAATCAGCAGACACACCGAGTTTTCCGCCAGTTCCCCCCTAAACCGCCCCCAAAGGGGACTAACTCGACGCTATCCAGGACTAACGGTGCCCCAAGATGACTATTCTCCAATATTCGCCCTCGGTCTTGCCACGCTTCCGGTCGGCAGAGAGGGAACTCAATTGCCTCGATCGGGAGAACCAGCTCGTCTTCCGAAATCATCGTCTATCTTCTGTCGTGTCTCGATCCACCCGTCTATCATCTTCTCGGGCTTTCTGAGGCTTGGGGCTGGAGTCTTAGACTGCAGTCGTGGTGGCTGTGGCGGCTGAAATCGGTTCAACCACGTCTCGTAAAGAGTCCCTTCCCATCGGAGGATATTTGTTGTGTCTTCTCGCCTGACGAACCGTGGGTATCAACCGAACAGGGTTTCCCCACTGGATCCATGAACGTTAGAGTTCACCGCTGCAGGAGAATACGATCTCCAGAGCCAACCTAGACGCTCCTTCCTGTCAGATATATACATCTGCTCCGTATGCAGGAGCTGCGATCATTCATCCCTGTACTCCATTCGCACACAGACCGCCTGGCGGCTCCATCCTGCCCTGCACCCTGGATCCTCCTCCCGAACGGCAATCCGATCGGCGCGTGTGGAGGAGCGTTGGAGAGCTGGTCGAGCTGACCGATGCAGTAAGGCTGGGATGGCTTGGGGATACGAGCCTCAATGCCAACACATCAGACACGATGCTGGCTGAGGGCCTGGGTTGATGATTGGCGATGAGAAATCTGCTCCCGTGTCCGATGAGGCTGAATGTGGTCGGTGCAGTAGTGCTCAGTAGTGCTTGGGGGGGACAATCGATTGTGCACTGGTGGTGAGATATTATGCAGGTCCTCGGAAGGCGGAGGTTTGAGATTAGGCACCTGCATGGTACGGTGCATGTTAGGCAGGAAACTCTCAGAAAGACCCTTCGGCTTACCCTAGCTATCTGATGAGTTGTACTCTGTATTCCATACAGGTGAAACCATACGGATTGCTCATCTTGCACTTTTCTTCCGACTTGTGCATCATTCCTCAGCATTGTGGCTGATTGGCGGTTTGCCTCTCGCCCAAAATAGAACGGAGCCTTCTCCCCATTGCCGATATACGGAACATGCATGGACTAGTAGTCGATTGTGACACCTGCCACGGTGGCGTTTGGGGCCCTGGCAGGATGCGCAGTCGGAGAATAATATGATTTTGTAACATAACCAGTCAGTATAGTACCTTGGTACCTTTCCTTCATGGAGTATCGATGATATGAGTGTTTGTTGGACTTGGAGAATCTTTCAATCCCCAGATTCCATAATCTACCTGGGTACCTATTTAGGTATGGTCTCCTCCAGACGGGCTTAACCGAGGTCAAGCTGATTGGTGGAGACACGAGATCAGACCAGCGGCTATGCCATATACGGTTTAGATGCGAATGGACGGCACCACGAGCCAATGAGAGTGGGCCTTCCGGTCAGGGTCTCAGCCGTTGTGGCGATCGATTGGTCGGAGCCAGGATCTAGCCCCGGCCGATTGCCCCTAGCGACGCTTTTTATTTATCGCGTGGTGGAAGCATCGAGAGCGATGAAATTGCGTGCACTGGAAAAGCATTGAATCTCTTCATTCCGTGTTACTTCACATTATTCCAGTTTTGCGGGAGTCGAGACAACTAGAGAGGAGTCAGATATTCTTGTAATTCCCGATCTCCAGTTGTTGATCTGGGGTATCTACTCCCAAGTCCCCCCGGTGTTTTCCCTCTATCTAGCCCAGCTAGCCTAGCCTAGTACAATCAAACATTAGCGCCAGGCCATCGTTGTACCACCGTCTGTCCCGCTGACCAGACTCTCTTCCTTCATCCACCCCTTTACCTTTGCTTCTTTTTATCGACTGCACCACCGTTCTCTCGCTGTCCATCTTCAGTCGCTCCATCCACCACGGGCATTCTCGCCATCTTCGCGGCGTCCATCACTGCCTCGTCATCCTCAAACTCGGTCGCTCGCTTGCTTACGCTCGTTTTGGCCCTCAGATCGCTCTCGACCGGCCTGGCTTTGGCCTAATCACGCCAGACAATTCCCCTTCGTTTCTCCCAGTCTGGATCGCAACCGATCGTATACGATCGGATTCTCGCCGACTGCCCGAAACCGCAGCATCCCTTGTGAATATCGATGGCTAGTTAACGCGCCAACCCGGCTACATTTCAGTCCAGCGTCATCGCTCTCCGTCGCATTCTTCCTACCACCTGTTCCCCCACGCGCATTCCTGCCTCGACTCGACCCCACGGCACCCCACTTCCACCACCTCCATCGCTGAGACCCGGTCCAACGGACCATGTCGCTGCCGCAACGGCCGGGGAAAGTCCCCCCTCGACGGGAGGAGACCCAGGCCTTTCGGGAGTCATCCCGGCGCAAACGCCGCGATCCCGACGCCGGGGGTTACTTAAGCGACACGCTCTCAAGCCCGACGTCGCATCATCGACACCACCGACGACGTCGCTCCCACAGCGCCCGCAGACAGGATGCCGACGAAGAACGAGGCGAGGTCAGTGGCGGCGAAGTCCGACGCAAGCGAAGCATGGTGAAGCCGGAGCGGCGCCGCATCGACCCCGACCATCCCAATTACCACTATCGTCAACGCTCCCAACACATGCCCACGCATCCGTCCACGACGGGCCACGAGCCCTTGATGGACGGTGAGGCCGACACCAACAGCTCCCAAAGCGCCGAGTACAAAACCAAGGACGCCCTCTACGGCGCCAAGGGCAACGTCAACAAGCCCATGGAGCGGGTGCCCAGTCGGCACCGGTCCAAGAAACGCCGGTCCTCGCGCAAGGTGACGAAGAAGGAGGCCGCGGCGGAGCGGCGGAGACGCAAGGCGATGGAGCAGGTGCGTCCGCCCAGTCTCTGGAGCACCTACTGCGCCATCATCACCTTCTGGGCTCCCGACTTTGTGCTGCGGTGTTTCGGTATGCCGCAGAAAGCCCAGCGTAGTGCCTGGCGTGAGAAGATCGGGCTGATCAGCATCATCCTCTTGATCGCGGCCTTTGTCGGCTTCCTCACGTTCGGTTTCACTGCGACAGTCTGTGGTACACCTCCGGTTCGGTTAAAGATCAATCAGGTTTCGAGTGGCTACATGATCTTCCATGGTAAAGCATATGATCTGTCCCGTTCAAGCCACCCTGCGGCCGTGGGCATCCCCAGTGGGTCGAACGTGTTGTATGACTTGCCGCATAAGTATGGCGGCCAAGACGGCAGCTTTTTCTTCCAGCAGGTCAATGGAGCGTGCAAGAACCTCATCACTCTCGCCGAAGGGTCCGACGTGCCCACAAACTCTGACGGCGATCTTGCCTGGTACTTTCCCTGCACGGCCTTCAACCAGGATGGCTCTTCCGTTCCAAATCTGACCGAGCCGTATTACCCGGGCTGGGGCTGCCACACGTCAGGTAGCGCGCGGAAAGCGTTCTACAGTCTGGCGGGCTCCGGTGATGTGTACTTCACGTGGGAAGACACCCGAAATAAGAGCAGAAACCTGGCGGTTTATTCTGGGAACGTTTTGGATTTGGATCTCCTCCGGTGGTTCAACACCTCCCAGGTGAAGTACCCGTCCAAGTTTGATGAGCTGCGGGAAAACCCCGATGTGCGCGGCGTCGACCTTACCTACTACTTCCAGACCGGCGATGAAAAGAAGATTGGTAAATGTCTGTCCCAGATCATCAAGGTGGGCAGCATCGACACCGACACGGTCGGATGTATCGCATCCAAGGTCGTGCTCTACGTTTCCCTGGTCTTCATCTTGTCGATCGTTATTGTCAAGTTTGCCTTTGCGCTGCTCTTCCAGTGGTTCCTTGCGCCCCGATTCGCCGCGCAGAAAACCAGCATGGGGACAAACTCAAAAGCTCGCAACCAGCAAATTGAAGATTGGTCGAATGACATCTACCGCCCTGGTCCTCGTCTCACGGAGCCAGCCTCGGACCGGATGAGCAAGAGAGCCAGCTTCCTGCCGACAACATCGCGGTTCTCGAGTCCCTACACCGTGAGCAATGGCGGGAAACAGCGAACACCATGGGTCACCATGGCAAGTCAAAATTCGGCTTCTCGACTGGTGCCGAACGGGAACTCCTTGTACAAGGGCCACAATAGCAGCGGTGGTACGCTGAGCCTGGACCCCTCTCGTCAGAACCCAACGGCCAGCCGCACCAGCCTGGTGCCAGATTCTCGTTTTTCGACGGCTCTCGACGACTCTGCCGGCCTGGGAACCGGCTTCATTCATGAACTCGTCGTCCCTCAGCCACCCCCGGAGTGGCAGCCGTATGGATTCCCGCTGGCGCATTCGCTCTGCCTGGTGACCTGTTACTCGGAGGGCGAGGACGGTATCCGCACCACGCTCGATTCCATCGCCATGACCGATTACCCTAATAGCCACAAGACGATCGTTGTCATCTGCGACGGCATGATCAAAGGTAAAGGAGAGGAGTATTCGACCCCCGAAATTGTCCTGCGCATGATGCGCGACCCGGTCATTCCGCAAGACGAAGTCCAGCCTTTCTCGTATGTCGCTGTGGCTACTGGTTCCAAGAGACACAACATGGCCAAGGTATACACCGGCTTTTACGACTATGGTGAAACGTCGATCATCCCACCCGAGAAGCAGCAACGCGTACCGATGATGATCATTGTGAAGTGCGGCACACCGGCGGAAGCCACTCAGGCGAAACCCGGAAACCGTGGCAAGAGAGACAGTCAGATCATCCTCATGTCGTTCCTGCAGAAGGTGATGTTCGATGAGAGAATGACGGAGCTGGAGTTTGAGATGTTCAATGGGCTTTGGCACGTCACGGGGATATCGCCCGATTTCTACGAGGTGGTGCTCATGGTTGATGCCGACACCAAGGTCTTTCCGGACAGTCTTACGCACATGATTTCCGCGATGGTCAAGGATCCGGAGGTGATGGGTCTCTGTGGCGAGACCAAGATCGCCAACAAGACCGACAGCTGGGTGACGATGATCCAGGTTTTCGAGTATGTGTCTTTTCCAACCCCTTTTACACAATCTCCTTCCGCTAACGCAGGCTAGATATTTCATTTCACACCACCAGTCCAAATCGTTCGAGTCCGTCTTTGGTGGTGTGACCTGTCTCCCCGGATGTTTTTCGATGTACCGGATCAAGGCACCCAAGGGGGGCCAGAACTACTGGGTACCGATTCTCGCCAATCCCGACGTCGTTGAACATTACTCGGAGAATGTGGTCGACACCTTGCACAAGAAGAACCTGCTCCTTCTGGGAGAGGACCGATTCCTGTCCACGTTGATGTTAAAGACGTTCCCCAAGCGAAAGCAGATCTTCGTCCCTCAGGCGGTCTGCAAAACACAGGTTCCGGACAAATTCATGGTGCTGTTGTCTCAGCGCCGTCGGTGGATCAACAGTACCGTACACAACCTGATGGAGCTGGTGTTGGTGCGCGATCTGTGCGGCACGTTCTGCTTCAGTATGCAATTCGTCATCTTCATCGAGCTGGTCGGTACGTTGGTGCTTCCGGCTGCCATCGCGTTTACCTTCTACGTCGTGATCTCGTCTATCGTCAAGAAGCCGGTGCAAGTGATCCCGCTGGTGCTGCTGGCGTTGATTCTCGGTCTCCCGGGTGTGCTCATTATCGTGACCGCCCATCGGCTGGTCTACGTGTGGTGGATGTTCATCTACCTGCTCTCGCTACCCATCTGGAACTTTGTGCTCCCGACGTATTCCTACTGGAAGTTTGACGACTTCAGCTGGGGAGACACGCGGAAGACGGCGGGCGAGAAAGACAAGGGCCATGAGGCGGGTGAGGGAGAGTTTGATAGTAGCAAGATTACGATGAAGCGATGGAGGGATTTCGAGAAGGGTACGTCTCACATCCGTCCCCTGCACCTTTTTCTGGATGTAGCTAACATGAACAGACCGCCGGCTTCGCATGCAAGCCGCATGGGTACCGCCGCCTCTGCCGCCGATGGGAGGGTATGGGGGACATTACGAGTATGATTATTAGCGAATTGTGTGTTGTATATTTTATCTTGTGTTTGGGAGCTGTTTATATGTAATAGTGCGCATATACATATGTTGAATAATACCTCATGTCATCATATAATCTGTAATATACGGGGGTTTGTTATTGCTAATAATGGCAATTACCCCTTTCTGGTGCGTACAGGGCCGCTTATGTAGACATCCCGATCAGGAAATGCCTCAGCCGAGGTTTCTCGCATGAGGAGAAATCCGAAACAACGTGGCAGAAGCTGAATAATAATAGCAGTCAGCGCAGCGCTTATCCTAACGGGCTGGGACCCTTGCCACCAGACGATCCTTGCTGCCGGTCATGCGCCTGGGATCTGCCGTGCGTTCATCTTATTCACTATTATTCCTTCAGATAAGACGGAGAGCGTTCCTCTGGTCCGATTTCGAGGCATGCACATGAAACTTGTCATTCTGGTGTTGGTATCAGATGGAGGTGAGGTTGTATGAGGCCTGAATAGGAAGCTGACTAACCCTATCTTCTTCCTCTCTCTCTCTCTCTCTCTGTCTCCTCCTTCTCGTCTTCATCTACTTCTACCTACTCTCCATCTTCTCCTCCATCATCTCATTTGTTCCTTCCATCGTCGATCGTGACACCCATGCACGTTGTCTGGAGTCTGACCATGCACAGCTGCGCGACTATTTGCCTTGTGCAGGTATACGACTCCCGCGACCACGAGACTTCTGATTCCCCACGCCCAGTCGGTCCCTGACTGATCTTCTTAACGGTATGTTGATCGCATTCTTGTTTCTCTGCGACGGATTACCTCTTGTTCCATCTGCACCGCTCTCTCCTATCCATCCAGGATCTCCACATTCTTCCCAAACTCTCTGAAACCCCAGATGACCCCTCCGAGTCTGAGCATTCTCGTGTGACGTGCTCGGGCGTACAGCCGTTATTGCCCCTCTTTAAGCATTGTCCTCCCTCCCTCTCTCCCGGCCTTTGCTCGAGTCTTCCCACTGTGTGTAATCCTCTAATCTTCCTCTTGTCTGACACAGAGCCCCAGAGATTGTCATTCCCCCAGTCCAGATTTCAATCCGCACACCGTCGACCAACCCGCGCCAGGCGCAGTTGTCCCTCATTGCCGTGTGGGGGGAAGGGAGGCCATTGTTGCGGGGTGCCCGACACTTGCAGAGCCAAGATCTCGAATCCCGATCGAGCGAAACGTGGACCGCCCATTCCTGACCCCTCTGTAACACCCCTGGTGCCAATCACACCCCCGTCGGGCTTATTCTCTGCATCATCCCACTGCACCAATATCATTCTCTCCTATTGCTTTTCTTCTTTTTTTTTTTTTTTTTTTTTTTTTCTCTTACTGTTCTTACGCGGAGGGCTGTTTCGCTGGCCTGTCGGCTTCCGACTCCCGGAATGCCTGACTCTGATGAGTCTTGCCGTCCTTCCTCTGGCGGCGCATTCGTCCCCTCGGAGCATCGCGATTCCAGATTCACCCCCGATCCTGCGTCATGTAATTGCCCCGCGGATATAGAATCCTCGCATCAGCCTGCGCCCACCGGTGACGACATGTCTGCGCCCGACCCCTCGTCGCCGCTCTGGCCGCCCGATCTGCCCGGTGGCGTTGCGATGCAGGAATCCATCCTCCGCACCGCTGGCGCCGCCCACGCAAGGGTCCGCGATGACCTCTCGATTCCGAGTGAGGAAGCGCCCTCCCGAGCCACAGGCAATACTATCGATGCGAACAATGCGATCCGCGAACAGGCTCCGGCTTTGCGACCGCCAGCGCATCGGCCGGCGTCGCCACCGGCCGATCTCTACATGTCGGATTCAGAAATGACCGATACGCTGTCGGAGATGGGCGGTGTTCCCCTCGGTCCATATCTCAGCGGACAAATTGCGCTCGACAGTTGGGTGGAGCATTTTGTGAACACGGCCATCGCGCGCCACCAGATGGCGACCATCTCGGAAGATAGCGATGACGATGAGGATGCAGGTCTTATCATGGACTACGAGACCCCGATGGAAGGGACCCCCGAGATCCTTCCGCCGACGCAGGAGGACGATCTGGACGATACGCACAAATTCTATTCCGACGACCTCGTTGGAGACGCCAGTGACGATGATGACGACGTTACCGCGAATTACCATATCAGTGAAGACTCGGAATCACTTTCGGAAGTCGACTTCGATGATTTCTACCGCGGCTTTGGCCCCGTCTATGACGCGCAATTTGCAGAGGTGGGGGTGGTCCCGGGACATGACGATCACAACTATTTTCCAGAAGGCGAAGATCCCAACGCTCCCGACGTTACAGACCCTCATTTTCCACCTTCCGCCGTGCACGGAACAACCCACGAAAAGAACTTCACCATCGACCAGTTCATCCAGCAATGGATGGGACAGTCATCCGCCGCCGCCATCCCGGGTCTCCCCCCGCTGGCCGCCAGCCTCACCAACTCTCCCATCTCGAGCATCCTGGCCTGGAAGCCGCCGGCGAAGATCACTCGGCCCAGTCGATATCCACGCGACTTTTACGACATCCAGCAAATCCCGTGGTGGCAGGCCCTCCGGGTGCATCGGTCCGATGCGCGCGACCTACGAGATCTCTGGTACACTTCGTACCACAACGTGGAGTACTCGGAGCAACGGCCGGGGAAACGGCCGCCACAGGAGGAGCACTACTTTCGGGAAAAGGCCATGTACACCAAGTGCAAGGCGACCTTTGAGCACTTCCAACTTCGCAATCTGATGTCTGTCGCCGCATACAACACCGTCCACTTTGCCCACAAGTCGAAGCTTTATTCGTGGATACCTGCGTATGACGACCTGACCTGTCTGATCGATCTATCCAAACCGCGGCCAGAAACGGGCTTCCAGGGTCCCGTCAGGATCTCGACGATGAAGTCCGCCCACGACGTCGCCATCGCCGGTGGGTTCAATGGCGAATACGCCCTGCGCGCCGTGGGTACCGACGGTGCGGGGGTGGAAGGGTTCGTCACCAAGGAATTCAGCGGTATCACGAACCACGTCGACATCGTTCCGAGCCGCTCGAGCCGCTCCCCGCTAGGTATCTTCGCATCCAATGATCGCCACCTGCGGGTGCTCGACTGCGAGACTAACACCTTCATCGCGGACCACGAGCTATCCCGCGCCATCAACTGCACCTCCACCTCGCAAGACGGACGCCTCCGCGTGGTCATCGGGGACTCCCCGGACGCGTGGGTGATCGAGGCCGACACTGGGCGTCCGGTCCACCCACTGCGGGGCCACCGCGATTTCGGGTTCGCGTGCGCCTGGTCGCCGGACATGCGCCACATCGCAACGAGCAACCAGGACAAGACGGTGATCATCTGGGACGCGCGCACGTGGCGCATCCTCGAGCGGATCGAATCAGACGTCGCCGGGTACCGGTCGCTGCGGTTCTCGCCCGTCGGCGGCGGACCGCGCACGCTGCTGCTGTGCGAACCAGCCGACCGCATCGCTGTGGTCAACGCGCAGACCTACCAGACGCGCCAGGTGCACGACTTCTTCGGCGAGATCGGCGGCGCCGACTACTCAGCGGACGGGTCGACGATCTGGGTGGCGAACACGGACGAGCACGTCGGTGGGTTCATGGAGTACGAGCGGCGCCAATGGGGGCAGCGGTATGGACCGCGCGAGCTGGCGCACGAATGGGTGCGCGAGTCGGAGCTGGACGAGGACGCGCGCTGCGTGCTGAGCGACCGCGAGCGCCAAATGCGGTTTTGGTGGAACCTCAGCGATGAGGAGCATGAGCGATTGTTGGTGTAGCTGGCGTTTTCATCTGACCTTGAGATACCTTTTCTTTTGTTTCATGGGATTTGGGTTTTAGCGTGCATACGGAGTACAATACCATTATCTTTTAGACTCCATTCAGCCCCGAGACACTCCTTCCTAATAAAGCTAGCGCATGCCGATCGTGTGGCTGCCCCGCCCGATCGATCTGCACCGCCACACTCCCCAATCAGGCACATAAATACCCCTCATACATCACCACTACAGAGTACACCTCCTTCTGCTCTTCATCATCATCCTCCACCCTCATCCCTACACCTCTCACAACAAAGTACCTAACTACAGACACCATGTCCTTCGGCGACTTCATCAAAGACCAGGTGGCCAGCCACCTCAACAACCGAAACGACAACGACGACGACTTCAACCCCGCCGCCAGCCACGCCGCCCAACACAACTCCCACGAAGACCCGTCCCTCTTCAACACCGCGCTGTCGTTCCTCAACGAGCGCAAATCGCAGTACTCCGACCCCAACGCCTACGACGTCGACGAGAACGAGCTCGTCAGCTCCCACCAGCGCCTGTATTCCGGCGGCAGCAGCGGCGGGTCCCACGACTCGAACTCGCTCGGCGCCGGGGCCGCCATGCAGGCGCTGAAGATGTTCTCGTCCGGCGAGAGTGGGTCGTCGGGCCAGGATAAGAATGCGTTTATTGGGTTGGCCATGGCGCAGGCTGGGAAGTTGTGGGAGCAGAAGAATTCGGAGGGGAGTGCGGTATGTATTTCTTGTTTCTTTGTTTGGGAGGTGTAGGTGCTGACCTTTTTAGTCTGGTGACAAGCAGACGGCTGTGAACAAGGCTGCGGAGATGGCGCTCAAGATGTACATGAAGAGCCAGGGTAGTGGTTCCTCGGGCACTGGTGGCCCCGGCGGTTTGATGAGTCTGGCCAGCAAGTTCCTGTAAATGATTGTCGAACAGGAGACCTGCAGTACATAGCGGCATACAAGATACTATAGCATCTAGGCCATAACATGTCTATTCAACTCTACAAGCAAACAGGGTATGCAATCGCCAATCAACCAATGACTACCGACCTCCGTAGCCCAAAGCAAAACACAAACAAACAAATCACCACTCGTCGTCGTCGTCCTGCTTCCCGTGCATCGCTTCCTGGCGCTGCCGCAATGCCTCCGCAAGGCCGCCCGCCAAGCTAGCGTTCGACGCACTGTTGGGCGTGCCACGGCCACTGCCCCCAGACGAGTCCTGCGAGTTCATGCTCACAGCGCTGTCCCGCGGCGCGGACGGCGGTGGAGGCGCCATCTTGCGGCCTGCCATGTTGGGTCGTTTCGCGGGTGGTGCCGGCGGGGCGGGCTTTGCTTTGGCGGCAGCGGCGGTCGCGGTGCCGTTCGTCGCGGGGGTCGACCGCGGGGCCGCCGGGGGAGGTGGTGGCGGCGCCGCTTTCTGTTCTTCCAGATACGCTTGGGGAGTCCAGCCCTGAACGGATGTTGTCGTGTTCATGCACAACCACCAGCCTGGTTCGATTAGCTACGTCCGTGATATGCAACTGACGGCAAAGGACTTACCGTTTCCTTCCTTGGACACAATCTCCACGAGCTCTCCAGCTTTGATGGAGAGCTCGTTCGACTGGGCGCTGCTGAAATCGTACAACACCTTGGCCATCGGCTTCTTTGGCGCCGGTGGGCTCACGGGTGGAGGGGGAGGGGGTGCCCGCATGGAGCCGGACGAAGCAGTGCGAGTGTGAGAAGCTGCGACGGCAGCGACAGGCTGAGGAACGGGTCGAGGAACCGCCGCGGGCTGAGGTGCGGGCGCTTGGCTCGCAGCTGGCTGCGGCACTGGCTGACGCGCAGGCATGGGTCGAGCGGCCAGTTTCGAAGGTCCACCACCAGGTCCGCCAGGGCGAAGAAGCTTTCCCTTGGTAACCGGACGGGCAGCCACCTGCTTGCCCCTGGGAGTCGGTTTGGAGACAGAGCTGGGAGGCTCACCCGCACTGGTGTGGATGGTGCTACTCTTGTATGTATCAACGTTGGAAGAACCGGGCTCTTTCACCACCTTGACAGTGGCGAGTTTTCCGGGCTTCTTGTTATATTCGATGCTACATCCGTTAGCTCCGCTGGTAAACCACATTCGGGCGCACTTACTGGTCAGCGATCTTAATGTTCAGTTGTCCATGCAACGCGTTCGAGAGGTGGGTGAAAAGTTCCGTCTTGAACACGCAGTTCATCAGGGGGTCAGGCTCCTGGGCACCAATGACGAACGAGAACCAGTCATCCTTGAGGTTGGATGTGCTGACACTCTTAATGGCGCCAATGGGTATCGTCCTCTCCGCAGAGATAACAAGCTGTCCGTTGACGAGATTTTGTGCGACGATGATAAAATGGCGGTTGGTCTATGTAATTAGAACAATGGCCTTGCAATCCTATTACAGGAGGACCTACCAGGACAAAGATACGGGGCGACGGCTTGCTAGACCGACCGAATTTGGACACCAGCACCTCACCACGGCAGGAAAAGAGAACAGTATCCGAACCTAAAATTGTTAGCATAGGTTGGTTATCAACACCCAATCTATACATACCAATGCCTGCACCGTTGCGGATCATTTCTCCCGGTCCACCCTTGTTGGCAATGCCCAGGTAATCGCCCAAGAACCGACGCGATCCGAGCAAACTCATCCGCCGACGCTCCTTGCGGCCCTGTAGAACCTTGTGACCTTGGTCTCGCACCTTAATGAGCTCCAGACCACCAGTCATCCGCCGCCAGAAGCGCTGGATACGGATGGCACATTCGATCCGATAACGCAGGTAGTTGCGCCATGCGCGTTGGATACGGATAGCCATGTTGTGCCAGTACCGGTCACGCATGGCCTCCAAGGCGAACAGAGTCTCAGGGGTCTTGACGAAGACCTTAGTGATACCCATCTGGAACTCTTCTTGTGGAATACTGGTATCCTTCAGAATCTGGCGAGCACCAGACTCCGCATCGCCCGTCCATGTATAATCACCGGCATAGGATGTCTTGGGAGAGAGAAGATAGAAGCGTTCCACGAACTTGTCAAAAGTTTGACGATAGGCGAAACCGGCGCGGCGAATCCGAACGTTCTCCTGAAGACCCAGGTACTTGATCTGATGCAGCACGTTTCCTTCATTGTACTCCTTGGGTGCCTTGTTGTCATTGGGCTTGATGGTACGAATGTAGGAAGGCTGCGCCTTCATCAGGGTCGCCACAAGGTCGTTAGCGGAGGCCTTGATCTTGTCGCTGGCAGTGGGAGGGCGTCTCTTGTCATCCTGGTTGACCTGGTTGGGGAAGAGCGTGTGCACGAACTCGTTGCTGCTCGAACCCACGAGGTTCAGCAGATCCTTCAGCAGCTGATCCTTGTTCTTGTCCGTCATGCCCTCGACAGCGTAACTCACGTCACCGGCATAGTGCTTGACAATGAACTGACCCTGGCGGTTCTCAAAGTTGGGATTCTGGGAGAGGAAGTTCAATCTGCCGACGAAGGTGTTGTCCGCGGCGCCAGAATCAGCATGCGCAGTGGCGCAGGCATCATTCAAAGCGGCAAAGACACCGGGAGGACGTTTATCCTCAATCAAAGAGCAGACGACCTTGTTGTCAAAGTATTTAATGGGTGTCCATTGGATCTGCTCACGAGCATACTCGTCCTGCTCAGCCTTCAAGGTCAACTGAATGAAGATCTGTTGCAGCTTCTCATTGACGTAGTTGATGCAAAGTTGCTCGAACGAGTTCTTTTCGAAGATTTCGAAGCCGTAGATATCCAGAATTCCGATGGAGTTCGCCACGGTACCACGAGCAGTCAGAGATTGGTTGACTCGCTCAACAATCCAGTCGAAGAGATTGAAGTATATCGCCTTGGCGAGAGCATCGCGGACGGCCAGGGCTTGCACTGTGTTCAAGGGAACCTCGTACACCGAACCACGGCGACCCCCACGAGCTGTCTCCATGATGCGAATCGTAAGTGCCTTGTTGACCTGGCCGGGATCGACTTCGAGCAAGTATGCGACATAGTTGACGGTCGATTGATCCGGGATAGCGGCATTTCCAGAATCGTCCTCGACAAACTGGATGTTTCCGATCCACAAGATAGCGGACAACATGCGGAAGACCTGATCCTGCTCGGGCTCGCTCATCCCAATCACACCCATCGCATTCAACGTATCCCGGAACTCGGCCGCATCATCGACACCGGGGACATCGTAACACTTGGACCGACTCGTGTAGAGGTAGGATTGCGGTTGTTGTATGCCAAACATGTCTATATCCCTGTCAGCGTTGCCCCCGAAAAAACTAGCGCCAGATCGCCCTACCTCTATACTTCTGAGGGGCGGCCTTAGTGAACTGGTAGAAAATGTGGAAGTTCCGCTCATTTGTAATCTGGCCGACCACCCGGGATTTCTCCAGTAGGTAGTTGGTAATGTTCGCACCAACCGGCTCACCCCTGGAGTTGAACTCCAATTCCAAATATTTACCGAAGCGGGACGAGTTGTTGTTGCGCAACGTCTTCGCATTACCGAAGGATTCCAGCAGTGGGTTCGTCGCCAACACCATGTCCTTGGTATGCTGAATGGACGAATCGCTGCCTCCGGACACACTGGCGATGTACTGCATAATGCGCTTGGCAGCCTCGGTCTTTCCCGCGCCCGATTCTCCAGAGATAATTACACACTGGTTATCATTGTAGGATTTCATGTTGTAATAGGCCGATTCGGCGACCGCGAAGACGTGGGGAGGGACTTCGAGTCGGTTCTTGCCACGGTATGACTCGAGGACTTTGTCGGTATAGATGCCCACTACACTCCGTTAGTCACAGCGCAATGTAGGCTAAATGCCCGGCAGACGGCACTTACAATCCCGGAAAGGGTTGACGGACACCAACACATGTCCGATATATGTCTGGTAGGTGAGGTTATCAGTTCCGCTGTATGTGTACATGCCCAACCCCACCCCGCTGTACGTCAACTTACATAGATCTCATCATGCTGGAAACGAAGTTTCAGGTTGTCATTGATGGCTTCATTGGAGATTTTGCTCAGTAGCGTCAAATCAGAGACACCAATCTCCTTTTTCTTGGTGCTTTCGAACGTGGCCTTCTTGACCTGGGGTTTCCCCCCGGTCTGTCGGCCGTCGCCAACATCAGCGACGGCTTTGGAGCGACCAAAGCCTCGACTCTTCTTTTCGCCGCCAACCGGACGTCGTGAGTGACCCTGCGACGGGATTTATTAGCGCGATACGTTCCTCGGCGTGGGTTCCCATCGGCCACGATGGGACGACTTGGGTCTTGCGGGGCGCCTCTGCCGGGGTCTTCTGCCGAGTATCCGTGAAGAGAGTTGTATATGCGGAAGAAGGATGGAATTCGGCTTCGACGGAGATAGGACCGGTCGGATAGACTTGGAAGCGTCCCTGTGATTGAAGAGAATGCGATGGAGAGACTCACCATGGTTGTTGCTACCGACGTCCCCGGATTATTGGCGCCCAGGCGTCACGATATCTACCTAAAGGGAAATAGACAATGAAACGAGCGCAGAGAACCAGGGGCCCGTTTAAGACATGCGTCGAGGGGTAAGAAGATGTAGCGACCGCAGGGAGAAACGAGCGGAGAGCGGAGGGCGTAGTAATATGTTCTGGACAACATTCCACCAGAGTCTCTCCTGGTCCCTCCTGCTTGCTCGCCGTCTGCGCCACAGCCTCACGTGTTGACCCACGCACTTAACGCGCAATCCCTTTTTATGCCCGGCTGACTCAGCCCGTCTGGGGGCAAATCAGGTCCCTGAACTCCTGCCATTCATCTTATTTTTTCTCGAAATATTATTAATAGCAATCATATTCCCGTCGTCGACGTCATTCAGCCGAGACAATTTGTTTGCTGCCTGATCATCGGCAGTAGGTATGTACCTTAAGAGTATCATAGCGTCGGCCATAATATGCTTCAGGCACCATTGCCACTATCCAAGAAAGGATAAGAATTTTTGTGGGTATCTGCAAATAATAAGTTAGGTAGCACAATTAAATAGAGAAAGAACTTGTTTCCATAATCAATGGGTGAGATATATGTTCTGCAGTAGGGTGACGATGCGGGTGATGCTCCCCGCAATTATATACTTCTCCATGGCCTCTTCTCCATCCAACATACACCTCCACTAATCCCACATAACAAGACAAACTAAGTAGAATCACGAATTATTTACCTAATTACTGTCCCAATCGCATTATGATGAACATTAATCTCTAACTTGTCACGAACCACTGAACGGAGCGGATCAGCGTTGATACGTCACTCCGATGTCATGCCCGTCGCCATCCGCAATGTATATAAACGCCCTTGTAGGCCAAGCTCCTATACCAAAGCCACCATTCTACACAGAACAAACACGCACAAGACATAGTTTTCAACATGCCTCAGAAGAAAGTCCTCATCATCCTTAGTGATGCCAATTCCTTCCCACTGAAGAAGACCCGTGGCCCCGATGCCGACAAGGTCATCGACGAGCCCTCCGGCTACTTCCTCATGGAGCTCGCCAAACCACTCGAGAAGCTCCTCGCCGCCGGCCACGAGGTCACCTTCGCGTCGCCCAAGGGCCAGGAGCCCGCCGCGGACCCCAATAGTGAAACCCTCCTGGCGTTCGCGGGGAACTTTTACGAACGTAACAGGGAGAAGGACCTCATCGAGCGAATGAAGCGTGAGAACGGCTTCAGCCACCCGCGTCCCTTCAGTTCCATCAGTGACGACGAGCTGGCCACGTTTGCCGGCGTTTTCATCCCTGGTGGTCATGCGCCGCTGTCTGACCTGGGCACGGACAAGGAGCTCGGTCGAATCTTGAGGTACTTCCACAAGGAGAACAAGCCCACCGCCGCGATCTGCCATGGTCCGTATGCCTTGTTGAGTACGAAGTACGCTGGTGATGGGGAGTTTGCGTACAAGGGGTACAAGATCACCTCCTGGAGCGACGCGGAGGAAAAGCTTATGGAGATGATGCTTGGTGGAGGCATCGAGAAGGTCGCGTCAGACTTGGCCGCTGAAGGAGCGATCATGGTTGAAGGAGCGAAGGAGAAGGTCGGCGGGACGACGTTAGATCACGAGTTGCTAACAGGCGGCAACCCTGTTGCGGCAGATGCTTTGGGCGAGAGGTTCCTGCGGATGATCAGTGCGTATTAGAGTTCGCATGGCTGTGATGTATGATATTGTTGTATAATATGAACATTGTGAGAACGAGAATATGTAAAGAAAGTAGTCCGGACATAGGAGTGGTAAGAGGGGACGTGATTAATGGTAGTCTATCAACGATGCTCTAATATTTCCAATGAAGTAGAGAGGAGATTGGCAAGATCCATGCAGTCGCTTCAAACAGAAGGGTATCCAAATAGAGGAACACAAATGATAACAGCGTCCAGCTCCACGGGTGGACTCCATAATAACATGAGTGCAAAGCACACGAAAGTTACTGCTTTTCAACCTTCGTTGCAGACGTGGCTTGAATGGAAGGAGTCTCAGCTGAAGGAGCTGCGTCCTTAGCACCAGCAGGAGTCTTCGATGCTTTCCTGCTTTCCTTGATGACCGCGTCGGCCTGTTGTTCTGGGGTCTGTCCGAAGGAGAAAAACGAGGAAATTTGGGAGAACAGACTCGGCTCCTCAACCGGCTCCTCCTTTTCCGGCTCGACATCCCAGATTTCGCGCGGTAGAAGGCGATGTGGTGACTTCGTCAGCTCCCCATGCTTAGCCTTGAGCTGCAGCAGCTCCTTCTCCAAGGCGATCAACGCCAATCGCTCCGACTTCTGAGACTCTTCCAGCTCCGCGAGCCGGGAGGCAACATCCTCGCGGCGGGTAGTCTCCTTTCTCCGAGACCGCCATGACTCGAACACAATCAGACCGCCTGCCACGAGGAACAAGAATGTCTCGCTGATAAAGGTAGCACCGGACTCGATGGCTTTGGATTCGGATAGCGGTCGAATATGCGGCCGCGGCGCGGGTTTGGCCGCTTCTTCCGCTGCTGCTTTGGCTCGTGCAATGGCTTCTTCTTCGGCTTTGGCTTCTGCTTCGGTCTTGACGGTGGGGGAGGTGGGTTTGTGTTTTCGTACCGCGGCCTCGGCCTGTGCTCGTCGTTGCGACGCGGCGGTGTCGCGTAGGGTGCCTAGTCGGAGCCGCATGTCGAGTCGATGGAGACCTTGCGCCATGGACACGCAGACTCGTCGGAATCGCTCATGTTCGCGTGCTTGTGCCTTGATTTGGTTCTTCCTGGAGTCAGCAGTGTTTCTCGAATGGTGGGGGTGAGGGCGCGTACGGCGATTGGTTTCGACAGAGTTCGAATGACGAGCGAGGAGAGTTTGAGGGTGAGCGACATGATGGGAGAGAGGGATGCGTGGAGGGGGAATTAGGGAAGCCTGAGATATTTAAAGGTGATTCACTGTCAGAATTTAGATGACTGAAACATCAGGCAGCGCTGCGTCATCTATGCAGCGGCACGGGTCGCGTTGTGCAGAGCTGACATCAGCAATGCATGCTGGTTGTTACGGCAGGCGCCCACTGTTTATCGATTGCCGTTTCGGGAAAAACGTTGTCCTCCGCCCATCACGATTCTTCCTCTCGTTTTCTTCTCTTCCTCTTACCGCTTCCTGCACCCCAACTCCTCCACTTCGGCCTACCCAGCGGCCCTGGTTGCATCGCGTTGTTTTTGAGCGTCATTGTTTAATCTAATCCGATTTGTCGTATTTGCTTTGGTAAGTACTTCCACGGGGCCGAGCTCCCCCTTCCCCATCTTCTATCTTCCCGCCTGAATTTAATCTCGGCTTTCTACATATCGACTGCTGCATTAATTCTCCTACCCACTTCCTCACCAACTGGGGTCGCACCTTGGCGATGGCCCGTCCTGAGCTGACCAGCCATAGATTCACCACGTCCATTATACCCCCTTGCGCAATCGATTGTCTATATTGTCATAATTGATGACCGTTACGACCGCCTGCATTCGTTGTCTGGGCAATTGGCTGTTATTGGCAAAAATCCTCGCGACACAACGAACATAGAACAATGGAGGCACTATCACCGCGCTCGACAAATCAGATGATCAAACCCAAAGTGCCGATGGAGAGGAAAGTGTTGGATAAGAATGCGGCCGCGGCACAAGCAGCTCAGAAGACTTCCTCCTCGAAGAACCACGCGCCCCCACCGCCGTCAATTGTCGCCGAACCCGAGGTAGATGGAGAGCGGTACACGACCGGCGCATTTCTTGGAAAGGGCGGGTTTGCGATTTGCTATGAAGGCACGTTGGCGCGAAATGGGCGCGTGTTTGCGATGAAAGTGGTGAAGTCCGAGATGGGACAGAAGAAGATGCAGGAAAAGGTCAGTTGTCCCTTGATCGTGTTGGCGACCGATGGTACCAGCGATGTGAATCGATGCAAGCTAACTGGCGTCGCCAACAGTTTCGCACGGAACTGCAAATCCACTCCAAGATGCGACATCCGCATATTGTCGGGTTCCACCGCGCTTTCACCTTCGACAAGTGCATATATGTGATCCTGGAGCTATGCCCCAATGGGTCAGTCATGGACATGGTCAGAAAAAGAAAGTGTTTGAGTTTGCCTGAAGTCCGCCGATTCATGATCCAATTATGTGGCGCCGTTAAATACCTACACAAACGGAATGTTGCGCATAGAGATTTGAAGATGGGCAACCTATTTCTTGATCAGAATATGGATATTAAAGTGGGGGATTTCGGTCTGGCGGCCATGATAATTTCTGAGAGGGATGAGAAGCGAAGAAAGACTCTTTGCGGAACACCGAACTATATCGCACCGGAAGTCCTCGACAGAAGCAAAGGGGGTCATACGCAGAAGGTCGACATCTGGTCATTGGGAGTGATATTGTGAGACCCTCCAGTGTTGCGACACGACCTTTCGCAGTTGGTGCTAATCATTCTCTAGATTTGCCATGCTCACTGGATACCCGCCATTTCAGTCAAAAACGCAAGAAGAGATCTACAAGAAAGTTCGGAACCTGACATACGTCTGGCCCAAGGGAACGGAATGCGCCAATCATATCCCAGATGAAGCCAAATCCCTCGTCAGCTCGTGTCTAAATCTCGCCGAAAACGAGCGACCAGAACCGGACGATATCGTCGAACACCCATTCTTCAATATGTACGACGGCTGCATTCCGAAGAGACTGGACCCCGCATGCTGCACTACCAGACCTGTTTGGCTACGTCCTGACGAGCCTCGTGGGGATCGAATGCTACTTGGTCATAGTCTAGAGTATGACGACAAACTCTCTGGATATATCGAACACGTCGACGACCCAGCTCAGAGGTATCCGATATGCAGAGCAGCCTTCTACACACTGTGTGGGGTGGGCCGGAAACCAGACGGTTCTGCTCGCAAAGCTGCTGGCAAGAACTGTTCCAAATCCGCATTTGCAGAATGTCTTTCAGAGGAAGAGAAAGGGTTGCAGCCGGTGATCCCTCTTCCCGAAGATATTGTTTACAGGTATCCGCATGATCTGGAGACAGATTGGAGTGTCCCCGAATCATGCTTGCCGAGCCGTAGAGACGCCAGGTCTCTTGAAAGCAGCATGATGTCCACCAAGGCCAACATCTCTGCACGGAGTAATGCTGTATCCGCCTCGCGGACACAGTCTGCCCTTGCGGCAGCCCAACAACGTCGAATGGAATCGCAGAGCCATGCGGCCACTCTTCGACAACAGGCGACGACAGGTAGGGGCTCCGTCCGCAAGGTGTCAGCCCTTTGTGATCCAGCTCCAATGGTGCGACCAATCCCAGACCCGAGAGCATCGCAATCCGGCGCCGAACCGGCTCCAGTTGTACCGACTGGAGGGTTAGCAGAGCGGCCCATTCGAACGCGCCGGGGGGTAACTGCATCATACCCCGGCTCATTGCGGGACTTGGACCGGAGTGTCTCTGGGAATACCTCCAAACCCGGCAATGAGCCTGGCATGCTCACGGTAGGCAAGACTCGATCGCAGTCCCGACGTCTGGAGGCGGCTACGCAAGATGTCCCTAAGCTACCTCTCGCGAAGGAGCGGCCTGTGTCTACAGCAGTAGAAAATTTGCCACCCCGACGGAGTGCTTCTTTACGCTCGGCCCCGAAGGACGCTGGAATGGATCCAGTCAAGCAGAAGCCAGAGCCCAGAGAGAGACCCAAAAGCTCCGTTATCGACGCGGTACCGCCTTCTAAACCTGAGAACCCGTTACCCCAGATAAGCCGTTCCGGTAGTAAGGCATCGGTGTCATCTGGTAGCAAACCACGATCTTCATTAGGACTGTTTCCCTTGTTCCACTCCAATGACCCCTGTGAAATCTTACCCAGGACTTCCATGGACGATGTCAACGCAGATCTACGCCACATGCTTTCCAACTTGGTACCGCATTCTTCCGTCCGACGACGGACGGCATTGAGACGGACGCCTCACCCGTACGTGATCAAATGGGTTGATTACACGAATCGATACGGCATTGGATATGTTCTGGATGACGGTAGTGTTGGTTGTGTTTTCAAAGCCGAAAACGGGCAACCTGCTAGTGGCGTTGTCTTGCGCGATGGTGAGAAGCATATTCGACGAAAAGCCCGGAGCCAAGATAAACAGCAGCCGGTGCCTTTCCCTTATTCTGAAGCCGACCAACTTGTACCGCGGCACGGTCAAATGGTGGAGTTCTATGAGAACTGTTCTGACAATCTGGCCGAAAGTCGGGGTGGAATCCGTCGCGCATTGATTCCTCCGTCGCTCTTCGAAGTCAATGGCTCGTCAGGAACAGGATTGAAAGTGCGGAGTAACTCCGGTCTTGAATCTGCCCGAGCTGATGCCGAAAAGATCAAACGGGTGAAGTTAGTCGACCAATTCGGGAAGTATATGATCGGCTCTCTGGGAAGACATGGCGACGAAGCGCTGCTTGATGATGATCCTGGAACCCAAAGCCATGGCCAATTCGTTAAATTCTACCAGAGGCTGGGTAATGTTGGCGTGTGGGGTTTCGGAGACGGCGCCTTCCAGTTCAACTTCCCAGACCACACAAAGCTTGTTATTTCGCCTGGCCGAACACGGAGCTCGTCACCTTGGATAGATTTCTATCATCTGTCTCCCTCTGCTGCTCGGTATCTGGCTGCAAGAGGAAAGATGCACCCCTCCGGATTCGACACACGCGCCGTGGCCTCTGACGAGGCTGGAACATTCCTAGGCATTGCCTACAGCACAGGTGGCGGTGCTGTGGATGAAAGATTGCAGGATATTCTTGATGCGAACTCGTTTTTGCCAAAGATCGGGTTCATCAAGGAGGTTCTCAGGGGATGGATCAAGCAAGGCCGCCTAGGCGGGACGGAAGGGAGCTCTGGTGGCTTCGAGGAGATGTTCTGGGAAGGCACCCAAGAGCGCGCGCATTCTGGAGGAGGCAAATTCGTGTGGGTGACGGTTGGTGCCCCTGGGGGAGACGGGGAGTACCGGTCTATCTCATTGAAGGAGAAGAAGGAGACCGATTATGGCCACGAGGTGGATGCGTTGAGGGAGCGTCTGCGGATGCTTGGAGCTGCAGCGTAGGCTGCCTGATGGGTTACGACGATACGATTATTGGTTCTTGACATAATCCCGTGCTGCGTTTTTGTGTATAATGAATGATTCATGTGCCTATTGGATTAATATTCGTTTTCTAGCGCTGTTGTATTTGTCTGAACCCTGAAGCCAAACTATTATATACATGCACTTGATGTTAAACATCCCACTCCTACCCCGGATTCTACTCACACTTCTTCTGCACAAGAACAACTTAGGTCGGGAGTACTGAGGTAGTCCCTAAAAGGTCCACGGCACTAAACAGTACCGTACTCCGTACGGCGGCCCACCAGACTTCAGTTACTTGCCTATATATCTCCCCTCGATTCCGCACTTGCCGCCAGGTTGCCCCGTTCCAGTACCCAAAATGTCTCAATCACCGCCTAGCCTCCCACCCAGTGTGCGACTTCACCCCGATGGAGACATCTCCCAGGAAGAGATTCGCGACGAAACAAAAGGCTGGAGACAATTCGTATCGGTACGGCCGTCCCATGGCTTCTGATCATCGAGTTCCGCAGACTGACAACCCTCCTAGGAAGAATGGGCCGAGAACGAGGATAGCCTGAGCCAGAGATACAAGCTCATGGAGCGATGGGCTACCGCAGACCAGAGCTTCCGCGATGTTCGCTTCCGTCTTTCAAACAATCAGACAAAGGTGCATACTGATACCTACTAGTCCTACTATGACCGCGCAACAACGAACCCATCTCCCTCATCAGAAATTCTATCCCAGGATTCCCTCGAGATCCAGAGATTCGTCTGTCTTGCGCCTGCGAACCGAGACCCGCACCAGAAGAACTACGCCCACCTCCTCAAAATTCTCATCCTTCTGTACATCGTCCAAGACGGGTACATGGTCCATCCGTTCAGCTTTCGCACGGCCGGCAAGAGCCCAACGCCTCAAATTCCCGTTTTCATTACCTCCGATGACGAAAATAGCTCGCCTCTTGCCGTGGAGCATCTCCTCGCAACACTCTTCCTGCGCACCGCAGACTTCCGCGTCGTGGCCATGACGCGCACGGGCACCGCCCTCTTCACGACCGAATACAACAGCCTGTGGTACGTGCTCGATGGCTCGAGTCTCGAGACGGGGCTCATCCACGTGGTGACGTTCAAACCGAACGGGGAGATCCACAACGCGACGCAGCGGAGACCATTCAACCTGACCCAGATCATGATCTTTCATATTGGGAATGGGTGGCCGTTGTCGGTGCTAATCGAGAATAATGTTGGGGGGCGGTCGTGGCATAATAAACCGTATGTCTTCCAGCCCTGAAAATGCTCAGCCGGATTGAGCAGTGATACGCAAAAGTCTTTTCATGTTACTAATGCGGCAGTAGGATGGACTTGGATCTCTCGATTCTTGATCTTCTGCAGACGGTCAAGGACCGGGGGGAGTTTCAATATACAGACTGGGGAAGTCGAGAGATGTGGGCAAGGGAGATTGAGCGGGCTGCTCCTGGGTACTTGCAGTTGGAGGGCGAGGGGAAGGAGGGGGAGTTTGCGCTGGAGAGTCTTGCGGAGCTGGAGTAGACATATATCTACCAGCTACTGGGGGCTGCTTTTTCCACTGTTTCACCATCCGTGTAATTCATATTGCCTACTTCCCTATTGCGGACGTTGCGGAGAAGGAGATTGTCGTGCGAGGGTACTTTCGGTATGGCCCTGGGGATTTTAAACTTGAAATCGAACTGGCCGTCAATGAGAAGATCCCCGTCAAGAAGTTTATCACGAAAGTGGTGCCTTTCGAGCAGGTGCCGAAGGCATGGGAGACGACGCGACGGGGGGAGGGTATCAAGATATTGATCTCCCGGGGGGGGGAGGGGTGAGAACGTCGGTTGTACTGGACTCTGCCTACTCTAGGTATATAGCCTATTGATAAATATCTACTTCTGCAACCTCTTCCACTCGTCTCTCAGAATCGCCGGCACTTCAGTCTCCAGACTCGGCCTGGATGGCTTCCATCCGAGCAGGTTCCGGGCCCGGCGCGCCCGGCCGCGCGAGTTCATCCCCCAGCTGAGCGACTCAAAGCCGGCATATCTCTTCGCATCATCGAGGTTGATCGGCTCCGCCACAGGTTGAGGAATGTATCCCAGCTCCGCCGCCCGCTTGGCCATCTCGCGCGCAAGATCGCCCCAGCAGTGCTCCCCGTTCTCGGCGAGATAGTAGGAGTTTGCACCCCATAGACCGTCGTCCGCGCGACCCTGGACGGCGGCCTCCACGAGCAGCATAAACAGATCGCTCAGGTCATGGACATGGACGTTATTCCAGACGGACTGGCCGGCGCCGATAATGGGCGCCTTTTGCAGCTGGATCGTGACCCTTGCTAGTTCGTAGGCTTGCCGGCTGCGCTGCGAGCAAGGGCCGCGACCTCGTCCTGTCCATTCGTCAGTTGTCTACACGTGCGAAAGAGCCAAGGCTACGACGGGGAACACGCACCGTAGATAGTAGGCGGACACACAAGCGCCGTCTTCACCACGCCGGCATATTTGGCACCTGCATCCAGCACGATCTGGTCGACGTTCCGGTGGAAGGCATGGTCAGGGAGATGCGTGAGCTCATATACCCCGTCCCAGTCATCGTACACCTTGTCGTCGCGATCGCCAAATACGCCTCGATCGGAGTCCGCGAAGGTCAGGATGCCCGTGCCGCCCGTGTGCAGCCAGTACCCGGGCTTGTCCGTGGAATGGCCGGCCGCCAGACCTGCCGCGATGGCTTTTGCGGCGCCGACATGGTCGGAGGCGTCCGCCGTATCTGTTGATTGAAGTTTAGCTCCCGTGTCAGACTGGGTGAGCTGAGCTCATGGGCAACCTACGAAGCACAATGTCGGCCGCGGCGCTCTCCTTCTCCAGGAGGTCAGAATTGTCGAGGCCCCCGTGGACGATCCGCACAGAGGGGAACTGGGCCTGCACCTGCTGGGCCTTTTCGGGGGAGCGGATAAGGGCTGAGATGGAGAATTCGGGGTACTTCGTGGCTAGGACGGAGAGGACGTCGCCGCCGATGTACCCTGTTGCGCCGGTTCTGGTACGGACGGTTAGCTGGAGGTGATAGGCGGTCGCTTGGTGCTCAGCTCACAGGAAGATTTTGGTCATGGTATAGGTGAAACTGTGTCTTGTGCAACTCGAATTGGGTCAATTGAGCGGATCTATAACGGAGGTTGGATTGATGTCAATGGCGGGATCCCCGCAATGTGGATTTATAAGCGGAGAAGTGGAAATGCTCCGAACCGATGGGGCCAGATATGTAGCTGGTGGTTGTATATGGATGAATCTCCGTAAAACTATGAGGCAGGTCTGCTTGGAAGATTGTGACTATATACGGAGTAGAGGGAAATGAATGTATCAATCAAAGTGATACGGCCTGCATTACCGAATCAAGTAAGCCAGACCGACCGACTGCTTGCTCTACACTGAGACAGGATCGCTGAATTGAATGTAAGTAAAAGTACGCTGCAAGAGCAATGTATGCCGACAAGCAAAATGGAGATAGCACATTTTATACTCATTAAGATTAACCATTATCGAACATGACATGCGGGCAAGACAACCCATTGGAAACACCAGCAATGCAGACGCAGACATTGGACAGATGCATATCACCGTATACTTGCACAGCCACCAAAGACCGCAACCCTAGCTAAACGAGCAACCTAATGCTTTTCCAACGACCGCTCCGGGACCGTCACCGGACTGTGGTCGCGCGTATCCCTTGAACGCGCCGCCGGCGGCAAAAACGACCGCCGATTCTGCCTATCACTCGTGGCATAGCGACTTTCCCCACCACTCTTGGTCGCCTCAATCTCTCGCTTGACCCCCTCATACATGCTCTCGATGATCTGGATCTCCTCCTGGACGTCCAGATCACACCCATTGAGACACAGCTCGCGCTCGCGCTGCTCGACATACTCGCGGATATTACGCCACTCGTTCTGGTAGTGCTTGAGGCGGTCGGGCAGCCCGGAGCCCTTGAGGTAGGTCAGCACGCCGGCCATGATGGTGTTGATGGCGCCAAAGGCCGTGACGGCCGAGTGCGGGCCGGAAGCGGCGCCCAGCGCCGTCAGCGCGGCCGCCACGACGATCTGGATGCCCAGACACGTGTTGATGAGGATGCTGAAGAAGCGGTAGCGCTGTGCGGCGGATTGTTCGGCGCGCACGACGCGCGTGTAGATGCCTACGTTCGGCGCGGTGCGCCGCAGGTGGTTCAGGGTTGTCAGCGCGGGGACGCTGTCGATGCCTGTCAGCGCGCGGAAGACGAGGAGTTTATCGGTGGGCGGGATGAGCGTGCTCTCGTCTGTCCGTACGACTGTCTGTCGCTTTGCGCGGGTCTCTGGGTCCTCGGTGGCTGCGTCTGGGGGCATGGGCGGCATGCCGCCCTGCGGAGCGAACTGCGGCAGTGTCGGGTCCTGTTCATAGTGGTTGAAAAGGGCGGTGACGATGCGCCGCGTCAGGCTGCGGCGGAATGGTTCGCTGGACATTTGGAAGGCGGAGGGAGGGGCGTAATCCAGGGAAGACACTGAGGGTAGTCCGTTACGAGGGAGAAATGCAGAGACAGTAGTACGTCTGGAGGTGGGCCCCTATTTCTACGAGGATTTGTTTGCCCTGTACCCCGGTCGAAAGCTTTTATAGCTGCCGGGGTCTAGGACGGGTTCTTGTTTTCTTTTTCATGTGTCCCATGCACTGGATCGAGTTAGACTGGCGTCGCGAGGTGCAGGACTGACTGTCTGCAACAGGTAGTGATGCCGGACATGACAGTGAGCGTGACGGGGCAGCGATATGGGTTCGTCCTGTTTGCGAGAGTTGATTGGACACGCGAGCCTGCACGAACAAGCCCAGACAGCCGGTCTCAGCGCCATTCGTCGGATTGGGAGATCGACAGACGCCGACACAAACCCTTCGGCTCGAATCAGCGCGAATGGAGGGCACCGGATGGAAGACTCGTGGGAGACCCTGGCGTGGAGATGGTCCACACCACCATGAATCTCCCGATAACCCACAACCCAGCTGGTAGTTAGCAAGTGCTAGGACCCATGGGGGTGCTCAGCGGGTGATTTGGAATGTGTCAGTGGTAGTGGACCCTGCGCATGAGTCGAAGATGGCGTCGGGCTGGAGGTATCATTGGCGGAAGGCCACGGCTTGTCGGGTCCGTCAGCCGGAAGAAATTGGCTGGCTTGCGATGTGCAAGGTGCAGATAGCTCAATCTGGTCAGGTGAGGAGGAGAAGGCTTGTATTGTGTGGTACTTTTGCCTCGTCGCCGGATAGGATGTCGAATATGGGAGCTACGATGCATCCCTAACCCGAAGCAATGCACCCCAGACGCTGTCTCCTGGCATGTCCCCAGCCAGGCTTCACAACCGAGATCCTTCAGATCCCAATGCCGATCATGCAGCGATGGCGGGCTGAACCCGAGGCGAAGTGCACTAAGCGGCCTTGGCTGGGGACTGGTGCGAACTATGGATCGGAAGCCGTCAGAAGCGGCCTTCCCGTGCGGTCTGAGCTGAGGCCATTGACGAATAACCGGACGGTGGTGGAGTAGCTGCTATACCCGAGAGCCGTCTGCAGAAGAGGGTTGCTAAGGGATGAGACAGAAGTGTAGCTTCTCCTAGTTTACAACGCTTAGAACAGCATTCTTGTTTCAACAGTGCATAGATTCATTTTCATCGCCAATGTCCGACTATTTCTCGTGTGATGGGCCTCGCCCGGGCTTTCCTTCCCCTGGCTTTCCTCCTTGCATCGTCTGGATATCCTGCTGGGATACAACTGCGGCTTCGCCTCTCCGTCCTCCAACCTGGTCTTCCCGCTTGGGGCTTTGGGCACGAAAAGCAAGCCAGCTGCCGGCTATTACCGCAGCTATGCTGAAGATTGCTATGTTGCGGGACCTGCCAGAATTAATATAATGTTCCTTGCGTGTAACTGAACGACGACTGGAAACATACTGCGTCGCATTCGGGCGGCCTTTGGTGAAGGGGCTTTGCATTTTCAGCAAATTTATAAGAATTCGACAATCGCTATAACTAGGCTTAATGGCGACCGAATTGATATCTCAAATATTCGTGGTTACATGCAAAGGGTTATATAGAGTATCAATGAGATGTTCGTCACAATTCGTCATCTGGGTAATAGGACCACTTAACCCCTCTATGTTTCCGTGGTTATCGAGACAACGCGATCGAGCCATTATTCGTCTGGCCAAGGTCCACAATATCAGGTCAATGTCAGGAAAGACGTGATGTAGGTGGCGGCGTGCGCAATCTACTATGCGTTTATGGTGACTTGTAGAACTAGATCTGATAATTGACTTCACGGGTCTGGACCTCGTTAAGCGCCGCAGCATCCCGGCGCGAGGTCTGCCCACTGGGCTCAAGAGGTTACGATATATATTACAGAACGATTGGTCCAAAAAGTACATCCTCCACTATGCATGCCGCTGCGCTTCACGGCAAATGCTGGACTTGAGAAAAGGCGGTACTGATAGGGAGGAGGAAGGTCGCCGCCTTCCTGAATAGGAAGGACTCCATCTTCAACTACCTAACTAACCTATACTGCGCCCGATTACTTTTTCATATCCCTCATACCAAATATCAAATTGATGATGCGGTCCACAGCTAAACGAATACAAGAGTGTCTCGCAAAGCTAGAGTCTCACTTCAAGTTATCGCTCCGTCCCCTGTCAACTCCTATGCCTTTCCAACCGGCCGAGGGTAGGGAGACCAACACCCTGTCAGACGTGTTCATCATTCTTGGACGGACAGGCTCCAAGTAATTATCTCCCAGAGGATCTATCTAGTCTAAGGGGCTACGCGCAACAGAATGCTGACTCCAGTAAGTCTATACTATCGAGCATATGCACGCCCGCCTGGTATGCCTGCCTTTTTTCTGACATTAGGTAGGTCTATACAGACAAGTAGAACAAAGCACAAAGCCCAAATGTCTTGTTAAACCTCCCTTTCACACCAGCTCTGGATAACCCCCTCAACCGTGGTATCGTACTCCACAACTCTCACTCGAGGACCAGTATCTGAATCTATTGTGCCCTCCTCCAGGATCGTATTGGCCTGGACGAAGAGGCGCGGCGCCTGATTCTTCACTCGGTCAACCACGACTTCGCGAATTCGTAACCAGACTCCGTCGACCTCGGTCAGCTGGCCGTAAAAGTCGGTGGCCGCGGGGCCGTCCGCGCTGCACCGCCAGACATGGAGCTTGGTCATGAGCGTCGAGATGGCAGGACGTGCAATACTTTCGAGACGTGCTCGGTCAATGTGCACGGTTAGCAGCGGTGGGTCCTCCTCATACACCACTCTCATGAAATTGTCGGCAGCCATCAAAGTGCGAAGGATGCCGAAGCGAGCTCGGTCATGGGCGGAGGTCCATTTCTATAAACGTAGATGCAATCAGTGGCTGACTGACAGGTCTCTCATCGCCAATGGTACCTTATTTTCAGGCTGGTAGCTGTCAAGTGCACTGAGACCGAGTTGGCCGAACGCCAGGTATAAGTTATAGATCACTGTGCGTCATCAGTCTACTGCTTACAATCACTGCTGCTTTTCTCTCCTTCTGTTCTTGCCAGATGGAGAACCTACAGTCGTCTGCAGTGATGTCACTGCTATCCGAGTAGCCCATTGTCGAGAGGATCCCTTTGTCAAATGCAAGATACGCGGCAATCGCCTCTGCGCGGCATTCTTCCAAACTCATATCCATCTCGCCAAAGACCGAGCTCGTGCGCTGCTCCTGACTATACCAGCTCGTGATTGGCGTCCCCGTCAGCGGGTTCATCGGCGGGTTCTTAATGTCAAAGTTGTACTCGTCGGGCCCGAGTTGCGAGAGAAGCTTGCCCGTGCCGTGCCCGAAGAGCTCGTGCAGAGCGACTTTAAACGTCACCGATTGATCCACATGTTGGAGGTACGTGGTACGCTCTGCCTCTGCGATAAACCACGCCGGTTCTCCCTGGGACAGCTCGCCGACTCGCAGAGCCTGATCGCGAGTCTTCACCATCAAGTTTTTCCATGCGTAGTCTATCCAATTATCACAGAACTAGAACGGTTAGCGAGTTCGAGGACAGTCATCGGGATAGACATTGGCAGACGGCGTACCGCAGGCATGCTGAGACCAGTGAAGATGTTGGTGGCGGCGTACGCGAGAGCTGGATATGGTCAGATGCGCCCTTCGGTCCGCAGTGCAGGAATTCGTCTACTTCATGGGGCTACACACCGTATACTGCATTGAAATCTGGGGCCTGGAATTCGTCCATCTCGAAGGGTCCGTTGGCACCGCCCTGCCCCTGCAAGCCATCCACCCAAGGCAACGTGGCAATGTATTTTTGCGCATCTTGCTGGAGCGCGTTCAATTCCCGTGAGCCATCACTGTCCAGCAGGCCCACGAAGCCCTGGAACTCAGCCCGTGCCCCGGCGGGATCCCTGTACTTGTGGTTGAAGCCGAAGAAAGTCTCCACCCGCGGCTGCTTGTCTTTCATCCAGACGCGCTGGGCATTGTCGAAGAGTCCCATGTCTCCGGTCTGGAAGTATCTTTCATAATAACTCAAGAACTCGACGCGCAGCGGGTGGTCAGTGACTTGTCGCGCCGCCCTCAGATGGGTGTTGATCTTGTCAAGCTCGAGGGAATGGTCTCCCTTCGTTGATGTCACAGGCGCGCCATTGCTAAGCGTGCCGAGCGGCTCAGGACTGTCACTCTTGTCAACCGAAGCTTGCAGGATATTGAACACTACATGAGCGCCAGTCTCGTCGAGATCCTTACAGACGCGGCTGTGGCGCGGTCGGATATTCGCCTTGACCAAGAGCGGCGCCAGCTGGTCTATCTCCTCGCGGGTGATTTGGACCTGGCCAACATAATAGGAACTCTGGGCGATGCGGCTCGGATAGCCAAGGTGGCTAGGAGTCGATGCGCAGATTGCAGGGCCACACTGTTTGCAAAGATCGAGTGCCGCGGGAGAGACGGCGCATATTGCATGTAAGAATGACTCTGGGACATCGGGGACGAAATTTTGATCCCCTTCGCCCTGTAAATCAAGAATGACTCGGTGAGTTATCATATCCGACCAGCGCGGCGGGAAATCGTACATAATAGTTACCCATGTTGCCGAGGAACGTGGCCGCATAGCGCAAGAACTCTTGGAAATGCCTCTCCTGCTCGTCTCTGGGACCCGCGGCCAGCGACGGTGCATTGAGAATTGATTTCCAGTTGCCTTGACACGCCTTGTATAGCTCGCGAATCAAGTCAAAAATCTGGGGCGCCTCCGGAGACACTTGCCGGAGGACTATCCGCGTACCAGCCCATGCTGCTCTGAGATCAAGTCAGCTTGTGAGTATTCCTCATGTGGATGTGCAATCGTGTCCATGAAAGAGTGTCAAAGGGACTTGGAACAATGACTTCGACATTACCTGCTCAAGTGATGCGCGTAAAGCTGCTCCCTCGGAGTCAATGCATCGAAGAATCTGGCAACGCTCAGCCGCGTAATCAGCGGTTCCTTCATCACGCGATACCCAGACTGGTGTGGAAACAGGATGCTCAGGTGGCTCTTCGACGCTGTGTGTTGAGAGTTGCTCAACAAGGGGACCAGGGTAAAGCCTTTGAGAAAGAAGATACTTCACCAGCGCGGGTATTATCGAGTTCCAACGTGACTTGCGGTCAAGACAAGAGTCGCTTTTCCCATAGGCAGTCTCAACGATGTGGATAATGAAACTAGACCAGGACAAAGAAACGAGTCGAACGACGCCACATTCTTGGATTGCGGCCGCTCAGCTCCGAACCCTTCCTGCTTGCGCCAGGAGGCTAACCCCCAGCCATTAGACCTCTGGAGCAAGTCTTCAGAGCCTCGATCAGAAGTGCGTCGAACGTATTTCGAGTTGTCCTGCGGGTGTGATAAACTCGAGGATGCCGACGAGGCGGTGGACGCTAGATACAAAGCGGAGCAGATTCTAGCAAAGCTGGGTCTGAATCTGTCACAGAAAGACATACATGATCTTCCAGCATGGGCTCGGACTTGATGCTTGCTGGCAAAAAGGGTGTTATATTGTGCCCTCTGGTTGCGAAACCCCTAAGTATATACTCCGCACAGCCCTAGTATGCGGATGACACGGCTCCTTGACAAGAGCCATGCCCACAATGCTCTGTCTACGCAGTGCATGTAGTCATCAGATTTGTCTACGAGATAGCCACAGCTATACAAGAACTAGGTTGTGAAAATGCAGACTTCGTGCTATCATCTAGCACGGATGACGCCCGCTATAACAACCTCGGTATAGTTACGGACCAGCTTATTAAGGTGGAGAAACTGATAAGAAAAATCCCCCGCTCGAGACTCCATTGCGCCAGCAATACAATCTGATTGCGACATTGACTCTGGTCAGCTTATTGTTTTCAGGAGATCTTCATGAGACCTGCCATTGACGGCTTTCTATGACAGTCCACTACCGCCTCAACCACATCACGCACACCATGGGTAGCATCGGTCCCGCCAAAGACCGTCTCCTCGTCGCCTTCTTCTCCGATCTGCCGGAGAGGTTGATGACTGCCATTCAGGCCAAGTTTCCAGATGCCGAGATCTCGACGGTTGTTCTTCCCCGGGGAGCGGATATCCCAAGTGGTACGTTTGCTGCGAGTCTACAGGCGGCAGTAGTTCTAATGGCTGCGTAGAACATGCCCAGAAAGCAACGCTGCTGGTTACTTTTACCAACCTTCCTCGCCCAGAAGATGCGCAGAAGTAAGCCCTTCTATCGCAAGAATGCGTTCGGGCAGATAACACTGACCTACCCAGTCTCCGACTCATCCACTTCATCTCTGCTGGCCTGGACCACTCCATCCACCACCCGGTCCTGACCTCAACCAATATCCCTGTGACGACAAGCTCCGGCATCCATGGCCCTCCGATTGCCGAGTGGACCGTGATGAACTGGCTGGTTGCGTCGCGCAAGTTCGTCACTACATACGAAAGCCAGAAGAAGCACGAATGGGGTGGACCCATGAAATACATGGACGGACTGTCGGACCAGGTGGGAAAGAAAGTGGGCATCCTGGGATACGGCAGCATCGGCCGACAAAGTCAGTACCCTATAAACACCCTTACGTAGATGAATCTGTACTGACCATACTAGTCGCCCGCGTCGCGGCAGCCCTCGGCATGACCGTCCACGCCTACACGGCCTCACCCCGGCCGACGCCCTCCTCGCGACAGGACACCGGATACGTTGTCCCGGGCACAGGCGACAAGGACGGCTCGATCCCCGTCTCCTGGCACCACGGCACCGACAAGGCCTCCATCCACGCCTTCCTCTCGCTCGGACTGAACCATCTCGTCGTCGCGGTGCCCCTCACGCCGCAGACGACGCACATGCTCGGCGCCGAGGAATTCGCCCTCCTGGCGGAGAAGGTGCCAGCCCACCACCCGCGCCCCTACCTCACCAACATCGCCCGCGGCAAGGTCCTCGACCAGGACGCGCTCATTGCTGCGCTGCATTCCGGCCAGCTGAGTGGCGCCGCCCTCGATGTCACGGACCCGGAGCCTCTCCCGGCGGATCACCCGCTGTGGGATGCGCCGAATGTGCAGATCAGCCCGCATATTAGCTCGCTAGGTAACGAGTACTTCCCGCGGGCGCTGGATGTCCTCAGGGAGAATCTGGCGCGGACGGAGAGGGGCGAGCCCATGTTGAATGAGTATAAGCGGGATAAGGGGTATTAGGTGGCTGCATGCATGTATATTTCGCTTTTTTGATCTAGAGCCCTCCTAGTTGGCTATATGTTTATGATTAGATAGCGAATGAGCTTGTAGTAGATCTGGTCGACCATGTCTCACCTCGTATTCTCATTATTCTGAGACATTCTTGGCTGACATGCATGGATGTTTCAGTCCAACTCGTGTGCGAGCAGTGCCACGGTCTCTGGAGCAGCAGTGGTGCATGTTACCCGTTCTTCTCATTCGCAACTATGTCTCTGCCGTCGCCATCGTACGTGTCAGCTGAATCAACTACATCATCAGGCCTCCATATGCCTATTTTAACACGGCTTATGCCGGCATTAGGCGCCCTGTGCTTGGTGGCTGCGATATAAGAAGCTTGTCACCGACTGCCTAGATGCTATCTTACTAGCATAAGGAAAATATCGACACCGAGTACATCACAAATACTACATCCTATCAATCAAAATGAAGACCTCCATCATCGCCGCCATCACAGCCCTGGCGTCCCTCGCCGCCGCCAACCCGCTGAACAAGCGGTTCAACGTCTCGGTCACCTTCTATGGCGAAAACGGCGAATCCTACAGCATGTTGTTTCCCACCGATACGTCCAGTGTGGAGATCAGTAAGTATACTTCTTCCGTATTTGGGCACAGCTCACACCTGCGCAGCAAACCCGATGGTAGTCTACCGCATCACCTCCCCTGGTGGCGGATTCTGTACCTTTGTTGGCGTCGAGGGAGAGAGCGTCGTCATCTACGCCGAGGACGACAAGACTCTGGAGACTCCTCAGGCTATGAAGTGGGGGAGCTGTGACAACAACTGATGCATTATTGTTCGATTGGCTTTTATTATGTTTGTACTTAAGAATGTCGTATAGTGTTGGCATCTACTCCTATATGAATATTATATTACTGCAACCACCCCCGAATCCCTTCCTCAACAACAACACCAACCAACCCACTCCCAAGCACAACCCACGTCCACGGGTTCGCCAGCTCCGACAAGCCAGGCCAGAAGCTGTTCTTATCGGCGCGCCACGTCTGCAGCTGCTTGTACTTGTGCGGGTCCTGCGCCTTGTACCGCGCCTCCTGGCTCTCCTCTTGCGTGTCGCCGCCCACCACGCGGAGATAGAGGTAGTTAGCGAGCGGGCCCAGCAGCGCCAGGGGGCTGAACGCGTTGGCCGCGTTCATGACAGCGAACGAGAGGTGCACCAGCGTGTCACCCAGGTAGCTGCACACACACAGTTAGTACCATCTACTCTACCTCACTGCCAGGTGGCTTGGGCGGACATACTTCGGATGCCGGACAATGCTCCATACACCATGCCGACACAGATCCGTGCGCTCCTGCCGATGCATCTCGAGCTGCGCATCAGCCATGGCTTCGAGGGCAAAGCCCGCGCTGAACAGCGCGACGCCGAGCGCGCGCACGGTGCCCGCCGCGTCGGCGGACAAGTCCAGCGTCGACGCGGTCAGGCGGAAGGGCAGGCTAAACGGCAGCGAGATGAAAGTCAAAAATACCGCCTCGGGGAGAAACAGCTTCCAGAAGGCCGATTTCCAGAACCCGGGGTCCTTGGCCTTCAGCTGGTCGTAGCGGGGGTCGTCGCGGCCGCGCGCGACGCTCCGCGACGCAATCCGGTAGAATAGTCGCGTGCCCCAGAGCGTCACCGAGCTGAGGAGCACCTTCTCCGTCCAGGGGAGCGTGCGCCACGCGGTGCAGAAGCGCACGCCGTCGTGGCACATCTGGCGGCCGACGGCGCTCCACCAGGCGTTGGCGACTTGGCTGGAGGGCCAGGCGAAGTCTTTGAGTTCGCCGCGGTCGGTGGCTCGTGCCGCGATGAAGGATGCGATGGAGAAGCCTGTGTGGAGGGTGAACGAGGGGAGGAGGGTTGATTTGAGGATACCGACGTCGCCGGTGGTTGCGCCGTGGGCCGGCGGCTGGCCTGTGTCGTCCAGGTCGACCATGGGCTTCTTGGAGCCGTATATGTCCATGGCGGGAGTATCTACTGATCTTTGGGGGAAGAAATAAGAGCTGTTTCTGCAGAAGGACGCGACTTTAATAGGATTGCAGGAGGGTTGATGTCAGGATTATGTAACTGTCTGCTGGATCTGAGTGACGTTGGAGTTGCCGATTCGGGTAACTCTCCACCGGTGCCGATGGAGCATAGACAAACAGCTTGCATGATATCATGGTTTCACCAGGGCTGATGTACTATATACAGGATAGGGATATTGGAAGATTGGCGGAGGATGCTCTGCGCAGCAGATCAACTTGTCCTTGTAGATTGAATAGCCAGATCGAAAAACAGGTGATATCAAATCTCGTCCAGGCGCATACTCACTGGATAGAAGAAAAGTCGAACTGCAGATTGTGGGCCATCGATCCCTGTTCATCTCGGAACTGCTTTTTGATCAGACCGGAAAGCCGCGATGACCATAGATTTATGATATCAGGCTCCGTCTCAGCCGTCAATCCCTCATATTGACATCCACTTTCTGTATACATGTCGACTCTAGATGTCTGGGAAAATGAAGCTGCTAGCGTCGACAAGTCCTGGGTCAGGACCAAACCGGTTTTGTGTAGTCCCCCATCAGGTATGTTCTCAAACGGCAATTTGTTTGTGTTTACTCGCCGTGGTCTTTCATCCCCAGTCATATTATTTTCTTGGTAAGCCCGATGACGCATCAGATACGCCCTCGGGTCATGCGGATTCATGGCGGTTCCTGATTGTCCTCCCTCAGGTCGATCCTCAGATAATGCAGCCCGCGCGGCAAGATATCGGTTAAGATGAGGAGAACTAGCAGGGGTGGATTGTTCTTGACGTCTCCTAATTTGTTCCCGTCGCGCCTGGATAGCTTCCCGCTTGCGGTTCTCAAAATCAAGAGCTTCTGCCAGGCCGGGTGTGGCAGTCGGTTGGGAAAGCTCGTGCAGCCTGGAAGACCATTGATCAAGTCGCTTCCACCCCGGCTCCGGACGCGCCGTTGGTACCTCAGAGGGAGAGTGTTGCGATCTGGTAGACAGTGGCGAATTGGGCGTGCGGGAAGAGCTATCTTCCACATGCGACCTACCAGCGGGCCTCGATTGAGAAGGAGAAGGCTGTGTCTCTGACCCAAAGCGTTCCTGCGCCAATTGGGTCAATGACTCCTGTTCCTCTGGACTCGATGGATCTTCCGCGGCGATTCGCGAGAGACCAACCTGGGTTGTTTTACCGAACCAGGTATCCAGCGAGCCATTTCCGTATCGTTCGCGGTCCCTTTCTCTAGCAGCGCGTTTTGCGTAGTTGGTTCGAAGACTCGGAGAGGTTTGTGAAATAGGAAATGGTGTTCCGGATGACGATAGACCTGGGGGAGAATTGGAAGTCGGGCTGGAGTCGGAAGCCGACGGACTGGGTAAACATGAGGCGACCGAGGATCTTCTGCTTGCGGATTCAGAGTTGCGATGTTGACCAGGCGAAGGCCAAGTCCGGTCCACAGACAATCGTCGAGCACTTGTATCTGTTGAAGCTGGACCTGGTCGATTGACAGGTGTGATGATTTTTGTTATAGTCCATGGGTTCAACGACTCCCTATTGGCTGAGTAGGCGCGAATATCACTGTCTCGACGTCGCTCATCTGACAGGCCTTGCACTCTTCCTCTCGAAGGTTGAGGGGTTGTTTGAGTAACAGGAGTAGGATGTCTGTTACCTGCTTCATCAGCATTGACACTTCTCTGCTGGCCTTGAGAAGTAGATTGCGAACTGGCGAGCAGTAACTCAAAGCCATCTCTTTGCCTCACGGGTTCTTTTCCTTTGACAGAAGTCGAGCGTTTCTCAGAGTCTCCCTCCTTGGCGCCGTAGACATCCCGACAAAGCTCCTCTATAGCCTCAAGGATACTCGGGGTATTCTCAAAGAGCACATCATCTTTCGCTGGTTCTATATTGACATCATACGTCGCTTCGTTGCAGTACACATGCAAGCAGAGGAATGGGTCGGTGACAGTTGTCGTAGACTCCCTTGCGGCACTACCTGACCGGACATATGATTTATAGATCTTGGCAATATTTTTGCCAATCCCTCTGGAAGCTGATATCGGTCGGCCATCAATGCTGATATATTGGCCTAGATTGCTAGCTTTTGCAAGATCTGATTTCGTGAGATAGTTTCTGATAACACGAGCGTGATGAACGTACCTGCGTTGGGGTCCAGGACAAGAGCAGTCATGCGGCAGTCTGGATTACCTTCAACGCATGTAAAGTCTGAAGTAGCCTCTGGAATTGGCCAATGCTTGAGGACACATGTAGACGCAACGTCGGTACCGGCGATCTTCAATGCAGCATCGAGGAGGCCTGCATTCGGCTTGGGCGCATACATCCAATTGCCATTCTCGTTCTTGGCTTTGAGCACCTTCAAAGACAGGCGCTTGGAAGGCTGCGCAGCAGCGTATTCTTGGATCAGGCGCTTGACCCGTGCGAGGGTCTTTGTTGTGTTTTTCAGCGTCGTCTGCCGCCGGACGGGAATGTGCTTGAAGAGATCGGTTACCCGAACAGTAGTACCGACTGGATGAGATGCACGCTGGACGCTTTGATATCCTCTTAGTATATGCATCGATCAACGTTCAAGGGGCATTACCTTATCACACCCCCATCGCGTCCGTATCTGATCACAGAAGCAACCGGCTCGGTGTCAACCCTCGTGGTGACGGTCACCCCTCCTGAGACCTCTGCAGTACTGGCAAGAGCTTCACCACGAAACCCAAGTGACGACCCTCCGATCTTCTTCAAATCCTCGACCGTCGCGATTTTACTGGTGTGGGCGCGTTTGCACACAAGCGCGTGGTCGCTGGGAGGGATCCCGCATCCATTGTCCTTCACCTGGATCACGTCCACGGTGTTTTGAGAGATCTCAATAAATACGGACGTCGCCGAGGCATCTAGCGCGTTGTCCAGCAACTCCTTCACCACCGAGCACGGGTCTGAGATGACCGAGGTCGAGCCGATTGCTCGGGCGGTGTCTTGGGGAAGCGCCGTGATCGGCATTTTGAGAGCTTTAGTCCATGACGTCGGAGTTGTTGAGCAATCCTGTGGAATACAATGGACTGGCCTTCATCTAAAGTAGAAAGATGAAGATGTTGCAGAAACATTGAAGAACATTGAACAGATCAAGAATGCAGTCGCAACACGTCATTGGACGAAGGGCTGTTGTGATTAGTCATCGGATTACCCCCATTCGGAAACATCCACGAATCCAGAGACATCAACATCTGACGAACATCAAAATGCTGTGTTCTTCCTTTTCAATATCACGGCTGGCCATACCGTCCGTATGTGCGCTGATCGGCTTCCTAGCATACTCGTCGCAGTATTTTTTTCTGCACTTTGAGCCCGCACCTCTCACGAAAGAAGAGGCGTGGCGGCTGAACATCGCTGCTTTATGCATTTGGATCACCTACTACCGGTCATGCACCGTAGATCCGGGGCGCATTCCCAAGGATTGGCGTCCTGCTGGAGATAAGCAGTCGGCAGATGACGGCCTCAGTGAGCGACAGCGATGGTGCCGTAGATGTGAAGCGTTCAAGCCACCACGCGCACACCACTGCAAGACGTGTCAGAGGTAGTAGTCTCCGCCAAGCCTAACTTCGAGTGCACTGGCTGACCGGTGTACAGGTGCATTCCAAAAATGGACCATCATTGCCCCTGGACATCGAACTGTGTCTCCCATTTCACATTTCCGCATTTCATACGCTTCTTGTTTTATGCCGTAGCAGGCATGGGCTATCTGGAATCGTGCCTCTTTGACCGAGTATCCATTGTCTGGGCCTCCAAGGATCTACCCAGTGTATGAAAGGCTCCGTCATCCGCCGCTTCCATTGCTGACCAGATGTTCTTCAGTATATGGGACCCACGATGACGCAGATTGCCCATCTGTTCGTCCTGGTCGTTCTGAACAGCTTCACTGTGTTCGCCCTTGGCATTCTCTTGATTCGAACCATCTGGGCCTTGGGATCGAACACGACAACCATCGAATCATGGGAAATCGAACGGCACGAAACGCTGGTCCGGCGAGCACGCCATTATGGTGGGTACCTGCAGGGACCCGGTGGGATCCGCGTGCGGATCAAAAAGCAAGAGTTTCCGTACGACATCGGAATCTGGTCGAACATAAAGGCTGGAATGGGCGGTAGTGCAAATGTCCGATTCCCGTGCGTCTGGTGGTGCAAAGTTCTAACGTCGAGGTAGGTTATCAGCTGGTTCTGGCCGCTTGCGCGGACGCCTAGTCGCGAGACGGGGTGGGATTTCGAGGTTAACGGGTTTGAGGGTGAGACTATCGTAAGCCCTTGCAGGGTACCTTGTTCCAGCTAACCAGTGAAGATCCCCATCTCTCTTGGCCGCCGCCTGATCCAGATCGGATCCCCCTGCCGCCGAGGAACGAGCCAGGAACTGCTGTTCTAGAGACGTCCTCATACGACGGAATACAGGCGTTCAATCAAAGGAAGGCCGACGACCTGCGACGCCTCGCGGGCATGGAGGTGCAACGCCGCAAACGATTCCACCAGCGTGCACAAGGGGAACTACACGGCAACGACCTGACCGACCAGTCTGAGTCATCCGGCGAGAGCGATGTCGAAGACGGCGAGGAAGCGTGGCGAAATTCTGAAGGAGAGCGGCTGCGTGACTTTGGCGTGGACGAAGAGATCGAATTCTACGACGAAGAGGATATACCCTTGGGCGTTCTCATGCGGCAAAGAGCCGAGCGACAAAGATAAACATCCAGTTGTATATACGCGCATGTCCTTCACTAGGTACAAATTATACCCGCTTCGCAACCCCCCTCAGCCGCACGTACCCCAACCATTGACTCCCGTCTTCGGGGCGGGTGACAGCCGTCTGAAGCACATCGCAAATCTGCTGGACGACGTCCTCACGCTTTTCAACGGGCAGCACATCGAGGAACTGCGCGCCCATCAGACGCACCCACCCCGCCAGACCGCCCTCCGCGGCCGACGTGAGTTTGGTCGGCCGATACTCGGTCTCCATCTTCTCGACCTTGAAGCCGATATCCTCCAGCGTGCTGGTCATCCAGTCGGCCGACGGGAAGAACCACGGGACGACCTCTCTGGCCCTCTCTATTGGAATGCCCTGTTGCACGAGTGCGTAGATCAGGGCCGTGAGAACCTCGCCTACGTTCCCGTGGGCGCCCATCTCAAAAACGAACGTACCGCCGGGTTTCAGGCAGCCATAGATGCCGCGCAGAGTGGACACGCGCGTAGACTCATTCCGCAGGATCCAGTGGAGAGCCGCGTTGGAAATGCTGCAGTCGGTCGGTTAGTGCCTTTCGCTGTGTATTCATGGCGATACGACTTACACCTTGTCCCACTGGCCATTCACGACGGACGGGTCCTGCTCCAGGTAGCAGCAGTCCAGGACGCGGAATGCCGCCTTGGGCCCGGCATAGTCCTTGTTGGCAGACTCGATCATCGCAGGGGAGCTGTCGACGCCCAGGACATACTCGACTGCGGGGATGAAGGCCTCGGTGAACTTGCCGTCCCCGCAGCCGACGTCCAGGACTCGGTCGGTTGGCTTCGGGTCGAGGTAGCGGAGGACAGTCTGGGTCAGTTTGGGGACGAAGGAGGCCGAAGTGGCGTATGCCTGAGGTTTAGTATATTAGTATATGGATGGTTTGTATAGAAGGTTGGGGTGGTATACCTCTGATGACCAGTGGTCTTTGGACTGGGACATGTTGGTAATGCGGGGAAGATTGATATAAGGAGGGCACTGAGAGTGTATGTTCAAACGAGGAATCAGTAGATGAATCGATCTATGTATGATGAATGACTGGTGAGTCAAGTAGAGTCAATGTTTGCTTTCTGTTCTCTTCTTCATGCATGATGGGCTCGTTTTATACTTGGTGTATGGGATCGCGACCGGCCGATATCGGACCTCGCTGGCATTGTCCGTTGACGCAGAGTGGGAGTTGACTCGTAATTGATCTGATTTAATTGGAGCTTTCCTATTAGAGATTAGGCATTTAATCATGATGTTCTCCTCTTTCGTGGATGATCTGGCTGTTGTTGATGCTTCTATTCCGGTACTACTGGGTCGCCAGTTGACGGTCGGGAGTTCCATACTAAACATGGCTCGTAGGCGGCCGTTGCACCGCACCCAGCGATCTACAAGCTCAGTTCCACAGCAGACAAGCCTTGCTCTGTCGGAAATAAACGCCCGTCAAGCGAATGAGCTGCTATGATTGCTTTTGGAAGTGGATGCTCCGCGGCGATTGCGCCATCGATGGAGGTAACCCTTGCTTATTGGCGAGGGTACTTTAAGCGTGGGGGACGCTAATAGACGGAGTATTGATGTCCATCATCTTACAATCATCTCCTACATCTCTACAGAGCATACATCTATCCTTCTATACACGATCTATAGCATGGATGAGGCACGAGAATACCCGATCGGCTACAGGCGGGAGTTGCCGATAGGCGAATGATGTCTCCATGACGGATGCGGCATTCCAACAATGCGTCCACTCCATCCCATCCATCCAACTCCCCCTTCTCCCTGCATTCCCCTGGGTCTTCACCCTCCGTCATCAATCCCTCGGGTCGTCACATCATGACAGGCCGGGAGGACCCTCCATCCCGGAACGCCGGGGCAGACCCAGACCCAGACCCAGAATCACCAGTCTCTACCGCCTCCGCCTCCGGAGCTCTGCCCGCAACGTCTTCCCCGGATCTCCACCGGCGCAACGACAATGACGATCGGGACAGAGACGCCTTGGAGCTCCACGAGATCGAAACGCACGAAGATGACGCGGAGAGCTGGTCGTCCGGCTCCATCTCGTCCGGCGAGTACCGGGTCACCACCCGGCGCACGATATCGCGCTCCAGCCAGCGCACCGAGCCAGCGCCCAAACAGCGGACGGGCTTCTGGGGTCGCGTGCAGCGGTTCTGGACGCGCAATGTCGTGATGACCGTGCCGCAGAAGAACAATCGGGATCATTTTGGTAAGTTCATCGTTCGTTTGGTTTGGTGTTGGGTGTTCACTATGAGGTTTCCATTTCTACACCGCTCCTCCAACCAACAAACGAATGGATGCGATGCTGACAGCCCAGCCAGCCCTCGAGCGAACTTTCCTCGCCTACATCCGCACCTCCGTCATGATCGCCATGCAGGGCGTCCTGGTCGCGCAGCTGTTCCGGCTCCAGCATATCCTCGTCCCCGACGTGGAGCTGGGGTACTACCAGGTCGGCGTCCCGTTGTCGGTGACGTTTCATGGGATCGCCATGTTGGTCGCCCTGCTGGGCGCGGCTCGTTTTTGGAAGCAACAGCATGCGATGGCTCTGGGGACGGTCTATGCGGGCGGCTGGGAGGTGAATACCATTGCGTTGTTGTTATGTTCGGTAGGTGTCTGTGTTCTTACTGTTCCTTACAGTGTTCCTTACTAACGGGCTCAGGTGATCTTGGTTACTTTTATCCTGTCGATTTTGATCACGGTAGAGATTGAAACTCATCTAAAATGAGGGTCCTCTTGCCATATGGTTTCTATATTCATAGTATATGCTTGATCCGACAGGGCTATGAAGATACGACATACGATTGAACATAATGATTATGGATTGAGTGCATGGTAGCGTCGCTGAACATACATTGAACTAGATATATATACGCCAGTATTAGCGTAAGTCGTGCGCATCTGCTCAGAAGCTGTACCAACCTTAACAGAAATAGTCAAACCACTCTACTCTATCCTCGATATACGAATACTTTCTTGTATACCCCGTAGACCCAGAGAAACAATGGAAGGCGGACCCCTTGACCCGCCCACGTTGACTGACGGTCTCGGCTCCGGCTCTCGGGAAGCTGAGCCATCGCATCATCGCACATTTCCACACATCAACCACACCACCACCACACCATAGCCCTCCATCCTCAATAAGAAAAGAGAAAAAACAGAAAACGAAAGAAATGTTCAAACTAGTCCTCTTCGACTTCGACGGCACCATCTTCGACTCCTACGAAGCCATCGAACACTGCGCCACATTAACCTTCGAAGCCCTATCCCAAGCCACCGCCGCCCCGCCCAAAGAGGAACTCCGCCGCCTGATCTCCAAGGGCGCCGCGCTGGCCGAGGCCTTCCGCCAGCTGCACCCCGACCACGCCGGCTTCGATCCGCAGGAATGGACGCGCACGTATCGCGGGCTGTACGCGGTGCACGGGCAGGCGCTGACACGGCCGTACCCGGGGCTGCGCGCGGTGCTGGACGCGCTGCGGGCGGCCGACGTCACCGTCGCGATCGCCAGCAACAAGGTGTTTGACAGCATCAAGACGGCGCTGAAGCGGCTGGACCTGCTGGATTATTTCCCCGACCCGCTCATCATCGGCGATACTATCGACGGCTCGCGCAGGAAGCCGGACCCTGTCAGCTATACGGAGGTGCTGCTGCCGCGGTTGAAGACGCTGTATGGGGCGGACTTTGCGCTGCGGCCGGACGAGGTGCTCATGGTTGGAGATACGGTGACGGATATCCAGTATGCGCGGAATATTGGGGTGAGGGTGTGTTGGTGTCGGTATGGGCAGGGGGATCATGCGGAATGTGAGGCGGCGCGGCCGGAGTATACGATTGATGCGTTGGTGGATGTTGTGGGGGTTGTGATGGGGAATTAATTAGATGGGGAGTGTTTTGTTGCTTGTTATGTTTTGGATACCAGATAGACTCTGTCTAGATTAGAATGCATCCTGTTGAGTGGGTTGTGACTACAGTAGAGAGAGTAGACTGGTCTAGAATTCTGGATACCGAGGGCAACACCATGGTTCGCAACAGACCCCGCAGGTGGCCACCAGAGTTGAGGATGATGAACCGTCGATGACTTCATCTCCCGACCACAGCAAATAAATTATAAGCGCTCAAGGTCTTTTGGTCCCTTGACAATCTGTGTCTTACTGATCCATCCAGGGTATACTGCCACCATGACCAAGGACGTGGTTAGCTTCTCCCCCAGGAACTCCCTAGTAATCCCAGTCTAACAACACAGAATTTCGATATCTACTACGCCAATGAGCTGGCACACGATTTCTACGGGGACGGAAAGCATCTAGCGGACTGGTATCGCTCTCCTTGCTTGTTGTCCAACAGTCTCAGCTGACACTCACCAGCGTCCGGGAGATCTACAAAGACAAGAGGGTGAAAGTCCCAGATGACTTTGAGTCGACCTTGACTACTCCACCGATCCATTTCATGCAGTACGTTTCTTCTTTAGTGCATATTGACCGACGCTAAGAGATGTAGAGTGGTCATCCCAGACGACATGGATATAAAGGAGCTGCAGGAGGTCGAGGTTCCTCCGGGTTTGAATATCGATATTACCGACTTTCATTGATAGGGTGTAGAGGTATACATATAGCAGTTTTCAATTCGAATATGATCAAGAAACATGGTTTTGACGAATGACATACATATGGCACGTAGCGACATACCTCCTTCCATACCGTCTTCTCGTTTCTTCCCTTTTACCAAACAACAAATAGTTTGTAGATGATAACACCAATAGTTTCCAGCAACTGAGCTATCTCGTATATGCGGTGTCTTCAACGCAACAAGCGCGGGGCTGTGCATCAGGCACCCGAATTCCAAACGCAAAGACCATCACTGCGAGTACCTGAGTGGCCGTTTTGTGTGCATACGCAGTCCGAGGGATGATGCGAGGGATGAGGTGATTGTGCAGGCGATCGGTGCCCGGGAACGCCAGATGATTGAGGAGCTTGCGCCTGATTCTTTGGGGGATTTTGAGATCTTTCTGATATCCGGCCGGCAGCGATAGACAATTGGAGGAAGGATTGGCGGAGTATGCCTCTGGCATCGGAGAAGCCTTCTGGCAAGGAGAGATCCGGATAGTTAAGCCCGCAGTGGTACTCTACTTGTGTGGTAGCTTGATAGATGAAAATATGTCCACTGACGACTTGAGAAGTGACCCTGCGGGATTATGTTATGATATTTTGGTGGAGCAACTCCACCTACAGCTGAAGGTCTACCTACGTACTTGTTGGAAGCGTCCGACTATCCAAGGCCTGTCTGATTGACATCGTCGAAGACCTATATCCCTCTATACCCTGGAGCAGTGCATGGTATCCACCCAGAGAACCGCTCAAATCCCCCAAACACCCAGCGGGTCAGGGCCCCCAGAATCCAATCTACTCTGCTGGAGATTCTTGACCCGTTTCACCAGGGTCCCAACAGCAATCGGACCTACAAGCGTGCACAGCGAGATGGCCCAGATGATTATGAGATACGTCTCCGACGGCCCGCCCGAGGCAGAGCCATTCGAGAACATGCCTTGGCTCTCGGCAAGCGACGCAATCAGGTAGCCGATCTCCCCTCGCGCAACCATTGCTAGTCCGAGGATTGCAGGCGGATACAGCGATTTTGGCTTGGGAGGAAGGGAGAGCGATGTGCGGGACGTTGAGGCTGGTTCAGGCCGCTGCTGCTGCTTCGAGGTGTTGGGCTCCTTGGTTTGGTCTCCTGCTTTCTCATCTTGGTCGCCTGATGATTGACTGTTGTCTGAATCGTTCATTGGTTCGCTCTGGGATTGGTTTGTCTCACCAGCATTTTTGCTCTTCCTATTCACGGTCGACTTACGCCCTGGAGTAGGGCATAAGAGGGTCATGTAGGACAGGGGTTTGGTGATGACAGACACCAGATGGCCCAGTCCAGAGGAAGATGAGAAGCGGACGAGCCACAGCCCCGTAATTACTTTGCCAAATGTCATCAACAGGGCGTACACGACACCGCGCCACACAATTTCCCCTTTGAACATTTCGGTAATGGGAATGGCGAAGCCGATCGACGCCTGCACATGTCAGCATACCATCAGGGAACAGAGAAGGGGTGTCACGGTGGCAGTAGGACTTACAAAAAACAGCGGAATCAGGATCCTGTTCACAGGTTGCTTGTAGTACTTTTCATATACCAGTTCACCCGTCGGGACTCGACTGTGTGTGTTGCTCTTGTTTGACACCTCACTGCTGGTTTCTACCGCTGCAGATGTGGTATTTTCTGTTGACCTCAACAAATCTCCTTCTGGTTGGCTGGCATTAGACTCGCCCTTAGCCTCTCTAGACTCAACCACCATCCCATCGAACCAGGAGATGATAACTCCCGCCATGTACGCAGCGAAAAGACTGGAGGTGCCGGCGTAGGTCGCACCACCGACAACGCAAACCAAAACACAGGTATGTGCGACGAAAGCGAACTCAAACGTGCCCATAACCTTGGGCATCTTGTCTGTCATGGAGAGCAGCTTCCTCAAGATCGGACGAAGGCAGAAAAGACAGAGGAGCAACAACCCGATTGCGAACCCGACGGAGACAAACACCGGTCGCACCACGGTAGTGGCACTAAATGAGGCAGCGCTACCACCGAGATTGGAAATGATCTTGACCATGACAAGACCGACCACATCGTCTAGCATCGCAGCACTGGTGGTCACAGTACCGAGTCTCGTGGAAATCAGCTGCGTAGTCGACAGGATCGTGAACGTGGTGCCAAGGCTTGTCGCGCTGAGGGCGGCTCCAGCAGCGAATGCCTGCAGAGAGGTTGCGCCAACTAGTTCGATGAGGATGAAGGACAGCCCCATGGGTACCCCGATTCCCGTAATCGCCACCGAAACTGACGCCAGAAGATTCGCTCTCAGCGCTTTGATTGAAGTTGACAGGCCACCTGCGTAGGAATTAGAAACCGCCTTTCAAGTAGGGGTAGGCAAACGCACCTTCATATACAAGCATAATTAAACCCAGATACCCCAGCTGCTGAATAACGGTCTCCATCTCTCGATCGAGCCATTTCGCGCCAGGGGTGCCCCAGAGGATCCCAATGAACAATTGACCGATGAGGCCACAATACAGAAGCTTGTCCAGGCAGACATTGACCAGGTTAAGCACCAATAAGAATCCAGCCTGGTTCAGGACGGTGGCAATTGGTGGCTCATGGTAGGCAAAGGCCGATTCATTGGCTTGGTCACCGGCCATTTCAGTCAGATGTTGTTGATCTTCTGAACAATGCGTAGTAACGGCTATATTGGTGGAAATAATTTTCGATGGCTCAGGAGTATTCGTCGAATGCTAGCGGACTCCATGAAGGGACTTGGGGGAAAGACTTGAAAATTGGCTGGAGTAGCTGGAGATGGGTTGATTGAGGTGAATGTGTATAGAGGGAGACACAATTTAGAAAGGCTCTGCGGGCAATATATAATTCCTTCATCCGCCAAGGCCATACTCACCCACGTGACGCTGCGGATTTCTTTATTAGGTCTAGATGCCAGCGATAACTCATCTTCCTACTACTACTCGCTATTCAAGGAACTCCTCATATCAGCGGCATAGATATTCAATAACCAGGCTAACAAGATTTAGTATTGCTAGCGGAGGAATCGGACAGACGTGCATAGCAGGCTTCAATCTCCGTTTGATAGAGCTCCCAGGCCTCGCCTCGCTTCACAGCGCCTTTGAAATTTCGCGGGATAGGTTTCTCAGGGCGGGCTAGGACAATCATCGACCGCTGCACCTGCTCATATGTGCGCATTCCCTCACTCGCTCGCTGGATCGCAGGCCAGATCTCCTGATCCAACATTTCCCCCGGAGTCCCATCGCGACGATCCTTCTCTGGCTCCAACTCGAGCAAGAGACAGACACATGGACGGTCATTCCCGAGCACCGTTGCCGATCGAACTGCTGCATGTCTCTCCAAGCGCTCTTCATATGCCTTTGGGATCACGTTCTGGCCAATGGACAACACGACACTATCGTCCGTGCGGCCTTCATATTTCCAGTGGTCCGGCTTAGTGGGGTGTTTGGAGAATAGATCCCCTGAGGAGTACTCCTGGAGGTCGGGATACGTCATAAAGATATACTGCGGTTGAAGAAGCTCGTTCTCGGCTTGCCCCGGTGTGGCACGCACATGAACCATTTCATAGCGACCTGGGAGAGTTTCTCTCCACTGGATACCGGTCTGTGACACTTTGACATGGATGTATTGATGGTCTTCGGGGTCGGTCGGTTGGCCCCTCACACGCACCAACTCGGTCGAGCCGAATTCAGTGACTAGATGGACGCGCTTCCTCAACAGGCCGGCGATTCTTGGTGGTAGAGGAGCTTTTGTTTGACCATCCAGTTCAGCAGTTAGTCGACAAATGCGGCGAAAAGGGGAGGTTGAGGCCTACCGCCGATATACGAGACTAACTTCAACTTGCAAATCTCGTCGAGGAGGGAGGAGCTATCCTGTGCAAGGGATAACTGGCTGGGGAACAGCGTTGCTATGTCACAATTGGCCATGGAGAGCCAGGACTCAAGCTCCGAGGCTGTGATTTGTAAAGTCGGTATATGCAGCGGCGGCAGAACAGCCGTTATGTTCAAATATATCGCAGTCGACAGGATTAGCATGCCACCGACATGATAAATGGCCGACGATGTGAAAACACGCATACGCTCGCTCTGTGTCGTTGGGCCGGGAGTCTCGCTGGGGGACGATGGTTTCATGAACGCCATACAGACGAGGTGTGCATTTGTCCATGTCACAGGCTTTGGAAACCCAGTTGAGCCAGAGGTGTGCAGAATCTGACCACTGGGTTAGTCGTGGACATCCTTTTCCAGACACAACTTACAAGAACCGGGTCTGAGGCACCCTCGGCATATGTCTTGAGATAAGGGAATCTTTTCACTGCCGTCTCATTCATCAACTCGTCCATCTCCGGGACTTGCAAACACGGTAACCTGCAACTAGCCCTTGCGGAGACTGACCCTGCAGAAGGGTCCCGGGTGGTAAAGAGGAAAGCAGCAGATCGTGTTTCTCGTAGTAGCCGGAGGAAAGCCTTCGAATCATTTGTAATTGAAGGCAAAAATGTCTGTTCTTTTGTGAGTCGCCGAGCTTTATATTCAGTGAAATCCACATACAATATAGCCGCATTTTATAGCAGCCACCAGGATCAGATAATACCGAGCATCGGGGTAGCCAGCATACGCAACAACGGAGTTCTCTGGAAGCTGAAGAACACCCAGTTCTGACTTCATCCACCACGCGGTACGGTCAATAGCCCTGGCGAAGGTCTTAAAGTCGAGCTTCTGTACGCCTCCGGGCGTCAACGGAGAGTCGATAAACTCCGCGAACACGCGATTTGGATCCTTTTCGGCGATCTCATCGATTGCGGTGGGTACAAGCTGTCTCCCCACTTCAACTGGGAGCAGTCTGCGTGGACGATTCTTGGAAATTGCCATACTTCAAGAATACTCACGAACACCTAATCCCAGAGAGACATGCAAGGTCACCCGGTCTTATCTACTTTTTCTTACGTGCGAGTGACATAATACTGTCCGAGCAAATTTGGAAGGGCCCTGCAAGGGGATAATCGACATTTTGTATATCTCAGCCCTTGCGTCTGACTGATAGGTTCAACAACGATGGAGTACTATGAAGTAACAGGAGAAATGTTACATTCCTTGGCCCTTGCATCTCACCAGCTGTTGACCATACGTAATCGCTAACCAAATAAGACAGAATGTCGGTGGCAACAACGTCTCCTGAGGTGCACAGAAGTATACATATTGGAATATCCCACTGGAGCTCTTTTATATAGCCACTTCTAGCGCTTCTAACAGATCCGTTGTATTCAAATTACACCTGACGACGCTGAACCCGGGTGGTGATATTGGCCGGCTTATAGAACCAATATGATGATGTTTTCAGGTCGCCATTCCCATCCAGCTCAAAATGATAAGAGCGCAGAAGCGCAGGGATGATCTTGTATATCTCGGCCATCGAGATCTGCACATGTTAGCATCTTCCCAATGAAGTCGCAGTGATGATACACCTACATGCTTGCCCATACACGTTCGTGAACCGGCTCCGAACTGAGATCTCATCAGTATCGATTCACGCATTCCAGTGCATTACATACCTGGAGAATATAGCGACTCATGTTGTCGGCGTCTGGTCCAAGCCACCGCGAAGGGTTGAAAGTATCTGCATCATCGCCAAAGATCGACTTGTCAAACTGGACAACCGCTGCATTTACACCTACTCGGGCTGTTTCGGGGATCCAATGTCCCTCGATATCACAACCACCTTTGGGGGCGTTTCGTGGGAACGTCAACGCTGTACTAGGGTGGACGCGCATGCCTTCCTTGATGCATGCGCTCAGATAAGGAAGTTTGACGGCTTCGTTGTAGGTGATGAAAGGGGTGCTGAGGAGACCATTCCTAGTGCCTTGATCGATCTCCCTGGTGAGAGTATCGTACACATCGCGGCTTTTTATGATATGGTACAAAGTCCCGGAGATGAAGATGGCCGTGGTATCGCTTCCAGCGAAGCTGGCAAGGTCAGTGAGAAATGATGGAAGAGCATATCGTACTCACAATGCGCCAAAGGCCTCTAACCGCACGTCGTCAAGATCAAAATCAGCCTTTTTACCGTGGTATATATCGAGCACCTTGTTCAACACATCGGCTCTCTCGGGTCCATCCTTGCTCTCGTCCCGTTGCGCCAGACGCTCCTGAACGGCGGTCTCGGCCGCTTTGCTCAGATTTCCGAGAGCTGTGAGCGCATTCCGGACACGAGGAAAGAGGATCCCAGCGAACATGAATACGGACCGAATGTAGGTGGGCATCACGGCTGACAATGTCATGACCGGGATCAGTGTGTCAGTCGAGGCCATGAAGCCCAGGTGATCACAACCAGACTTCAAAAAGCCAAACATTTTGCTAAAGTACAGTTCTCCAATCACATCGTATGCGTACCTGTGAGTCTGTCAGTGGCAGTCGTCCAAAAATGGCACCCGCTTACATCCTGGCCCATTCGTGCAGGTCGAATGTGCCTTTTCTATCCGCAATCTTTCCCATCTGCTCCAGGAACACGGCGGTGCACTCGTCGAGATAGTTCTCAGACTGGAGAATGCTCGTCATAGTATACACATGGCTCACGATACGTCTCCTTTCCGCGTGGACTTTCTCGTCCGTGGAGGTGAAGTGATCCGGATATCTCGCTGCTAGACGTTAGCCAGATTTGCATCGTACAGGGGTCGCCGCGTACAGAATGGTGCCCGGAAGGATAGGTAAAAGTCGCTCTGTGTCGTTAGTCGGATTCCTACAGCTCCGAATGATTGGGCTGACTTTGGTAAAACGTGAGTTGATCCCGTAAATTTTCTTGATATATTGAGGGTCATTGATCGCAAGTTCATTTGGTGCGATGCGAACCACACGACCTAAATCGGTCAATATGCAATGCTCGCATCCAGCATGACGATCGCTTACCATATCTAGCATGAAGCGATTTTTGAGCCTTTTCGGCATCACCCCTCAAGACATGCATCACAGTCCACACCCGAGAGACTGACGCCCAGAAGGGTCCTGGGTATCGCGACAGGGGATGAAACCATCTAGAATAACAGATCCAAGCTGCCCAATAAGTGGCAAATCCCAGTACCACTGCTTGGAGTATCAGCTGACGGTCAGGGATGTTGTCCAACATCTCGAGCGACAGCGTCATCAACTTCGAGAAACACACCGATGGAGAGAAGGGATGATCAAGATAGTACGGAGCAACAATTGGGGACCACTGGGCTGGGGCCAAAGTTGGAGTTTTAATGCATCCTTTCGCCTACGAGGAATCCACCTACTAATTGGTTAATTTCCTCATTCTCCAAGTGGTCGGTCTAGTGTGGGCGCTCTAACATGGACTAAAGCTCTTGGAAGACACCATTATCCCACATTCTCCCGGTTGGCTGTACGGACTTCACCGTATCAAGCGGATAGGTCAATGCGTGCCGGGGTCTGGAGACGGATCGTAGGCTAGTTCGGCCCAGACACCACCGGCTTAACACCGTCGTTCTTGCATATGGAGGGTGATCCACTATTGCTATTGCTGGAGTCTCGGCTGAAACACCTACCTTGTTCTATAGAGTACCTATATAGGTGGTACCTAGGTAGATGCTCCAAAATCACCAGGCACTTAAAAGAATCATCATAGCGGCAAGCGCAACTATCGTCGATTTTCCGTCACTTCACAAACAGCACGGGCTATGGGTATCATCTAGCCTAGCCTACCTGATATATGACGGCCCCCCGTCGCCCCGCTCGGCTGAAGGCGCTAGGATATGGCGCGTGTGTTCCTATACCCCTGTCACCAGGCCTAGAGCTGGCGCTGGCTGACAAGGATGTGCATCAACGCCAAAATGGCGAGGGCCTGTGGGAAAAGGGACTCAAATTGAAAGTGCGACATTTAATAACGGGCTCCTTTCCTCCAGTGGACCGGATTTTAGGTTGTCCAGCTGTGTAGTCGAGATGATACTGTACAGGATCATAGCCCTTTGGGGTATGGCATGGATAGGTCTGGCTTCATCACAGAGTCCAATGCCTATATGTGCGGTAAGAGCTTTCCCTGAAAATTTCTCCTTGTGGAGCTAACCAGGACATGAAGTCGGAGTGTCTCTCAACAGGACTAGATGGATCATCATGTATCCCAACCGACTCCCAATGCATCTGTGCGGATAGTGCTCTAAAAAACAACGTCAGTACATGCGTGTTAGCCAGCTGTACCATAATGGAGGCTCTGAGTAAGACGTTTCCCCACAAATCCTCCTGACCTACCGGCTCACTATCAACAGCGGCACAGAATATGTCAAATACAATGTGTGGTATTCATGGAAGAGACATCTCGAGCATTACCCCGACCATAACAAGCGTCTTTATGGGTCTCGGTGTCGCAGTGACGCTGATGAGGTGTTTGCAATTTCGAAATCAGTTCGGGTTTGAGGATGTTTTTGCGCTGCTTGCGCTGGTATGGACGAAAACAAACGAGAGTATTCGATTCGCTGACACTAGATACAGATCTCAGCTGTTGCGATGGGAGCTCTTGAGTACCCCAGTATGTTCTTCGCGTCCGGACATGAAAGTGTACTGAACCATTGTAGTGGCTCGAGACGGGATGGGCCGAGACATCTGGACAGTTGAGTTTGAGAGCATTACGCGAATCATCATGGTAGACCAATACACGGACGACCATTCCTAATTCGAGGTAAGCCTTGCTAATGTTTCTTGTCTAGTTCACATGGATCGTGGAAATGCTTTACATTGTCAGCATGTCATCGATCAAAATGGCATTTCTGTGTCTCTACCTCCGCATTTTCCCCAACGAAGGGCTTCGAAAAGTGATCTATGTGCTGATGATACTCGTGACTGGCTTCTTTCTTGCCTTCTTCTTTGGTATCGCATTCAACTGTACACCTGTCTCGTATGTCTGGACCAGCTGGACCGGAGAGACCGAAGGGAGGTGTTTGAACTTCAATTCGTTCGGGATCAGTTGTTCAATTATCAACATTCTTCTCGACTTGGCGATAATCGGGCTTCCCTTGCGGGAGATCATGATACTCTCACTGAACCTGACGAAGAAGCTCCTTTTGTTGACAATGTTTGGCACCGGGTTCTTGTTAGTTACCTCCCGTTGCTGGATTATCCCGATCTAACAGTCATTCTACGATAGCATCACCATTGTCAGTATCCTACGACTCAAGGTCGTCGTCAGTTTTGCCAACACGACAAATGCGACATGTGAGTCTCTGCCAGGCTGGATACACCCTGCTCGTTACTTAGACATTCTAGACGATAACGTCCCCACGGCGTACTGGTCCATTATCGAGTGCTTCAGTGCAGTCATATGTGTTAACCTGCCAGCAGTACGGCGGTTTTTCAGAAGAATTGTCGCACCGTTTTCTCAAGATGAGGGCTCCAGCAAGGCCAGTGACCCTAGCGGACATCCTGTGGGAGTAATGAAGCGCACCCCGATTGAGCTTTCGATTCTCAAAACGGTCGACACCACAGTCCGAACGGAGCACATACGATGCAATGATTCGAACGAAATCCAGCTCGTCAACGAAAAGGGTGCACAATATCTGTGAAATAGATATAGGCTGGGGCCAACCATCCGTTCCTGAGGTACCGCATCCGGATGCGGAAGTGATGAAGTCACCCCAATATGGTAGAGTTTCGAGAGATCGTATGTCACCCATTCGAAGCAGATGAGAACTCTCCGCGTCATTCTCCTCGTCATCACATCCTGAATAAGGGGTTCGTCGTCCTTGCTTCGATTCCCTCTTCTCTACCGTCGATCCTCTACCCCCCTTGCATCGCATTATCCACGCCAGAATCCCGCAGAACTCGAGCAGAAAATGGTCCACCTGTCACGCGTCAGGAAATGCTCTCAGCCCCGCCACGAGCGTCGAGCTGCTCCGGCTGCGGGCGGTTCAGAGTCGCCGTATGTCTATGCGTCGAGGTATGCGGCCGAGGAACTGCCCGAACATACAATGGCCGAGCGGGAGATGCCGGCCGATGTCGCATACAAGATGATCAAGGATGAGTTGAGTCTGGATGGAAATCCTTTGCTGAAGTTAGTCTACTGCCTCGTGTGGTGGAGACCATACGTACTCACATGAATATCTAGTCTGGCAAGCTTTGTGACCACATATATGGTATGCCAGATATATCTCTCTTCAATACCCTAGCTAACTTCCACAGGAAGAGCCAGTGGAGCGACTCATGTCCGACGCGATGAGCAAGAACTTTATCGATTTCGAGCAGTACCCGCAAACCGCGCACATCCAAAACCGTTGCGTCAACATGATCGCGGATCTCCTGCACGCGCCCACCTCTGATGACGCTGCCGGCGACCATGATGCCATTGGGACATCCACCGTGGGCTCTTCCGAAGCGATCATGCTCGCTATGCTTGCGATGAAGAAGCGCTGGCAGAACCGTCGCAAGGCAGAGGGGAAGGACTGGACGCGACCGAACATTGTCATGAACAGTGCGGTCCAGGTCTGCTGGGAAAAAGCCGCGAGATACTTCGATGTCGAGGAGAAGTACGTGTATTGTACGGAAGAACGCTATGTGATTGACCCGAAGACGGCGGTGGATCTCGTGGACGAAAACACCGTGGGTATTTGTGCTATCATGGGAACAACGTATACCGGGCAGTACGAAGACGTCAAGGCGATCAACGACTTGCTCAAGGAGAAGAAGATTGACTGTCCTATCCATGTGGACGCTGCCAGCGGGGGCTTTGTTGCTCCGTTTGTGAATCCGTCTCTGGTGTGGGATTTCCGGCTGGAAAAGGTCGTATCAATCAATGTGTCGGGGCATAAATATGGATTGGTAAGATTGCTCCAGCCTACCTTTGACTGCAAACTAGAACTAGACAGGTGTATCCCGGCGTGGGGTGGGTGTTCTGGCGCGCCCCGGAATATCTTCCCAAGGAACTCATCTTCAACATCAACTACCTGGGCGCCGAGCAAGCCAGCTTCACGCTGAACTTCAGTAAAGGCGCTCAACATGTAATCGGTCAATATTACCAGTTGATCCGTCTGGGGAAACACGGATACAAGTCCATCATGATGAACCTGATCAAAATCGGGGACTATCTTTCGGATGAACTGAGGAAACTTGGCTTTATTATCATGAGCGACAGCGGTGGCCGCGGACTCCCTCTAGTCGCATTCAGGTTGCAGAAGGATGACGACCGTCTCTACGACGAGTTTGCATTGGCGCATGTGCTCCGCCAACGGGGGTGGGTGATTCCTGCGTATACCATGGCTCCACATAGCAACCATCTCAGGATGATGCGAATCGTGCTGCGAGAGGATTTTAGTCTTCACCGCTGCAACCTGCTCATCGAGGACGTCAAGATGGCTCTCAAGTCCCTCGAGGATATGGACGAGGAGATGATCGAAAAATTCATGCAGTATGGCTACTATCCGCCTTTTCAATGAACGCAACTAACCACAACAGCCTTATGCAAGAACACGGGTCGAAGGTGCCTCAGAACCATCCGTTCTACAGGAATGAAAAGCACTCGTTGCAAGGGAAAACTGGGAAAAGCCACCAAGTGTGCTGAGTGATAGGTCCACGTACATACATGAACAGGCAGTAAAGGAGCTGTCTGGGAAAATTAGCGGTGTGTATTCTGATGTCGCCCCACGGTTCATGTCAAATCCAAGCTGCAGGACGCTTGCACGTAGTCTTTTTGAGATTGACAGACAGATGGTCGTAATGGTATTCACGACAACGTCTGGCGAAAGGGTCCAATTCAACGTTTTCCATATCAAATCGAATTTGTCAATGCCCTATCTGAATCTGCCTACAACAGAGAAATCTCGCTAGACTTTCGTAAAACTGTCGATGTGGAGAAAAGTGAACCCTGTATACGGCGTGGCGGACCGCCGAGAGTTTTCCGACATATAAAAAAGGCTCCTCACATTGTACATCGTACGACATCGAGAACAGCCGAGTCATGACGACAAGACCAGGATAATCGGTTTAACAGCTAAACAACGTGATCTTGACAGGCCCATGTTGGCTATTCCGCGGAGGTGAGTGTGCATATGCCACACGGAGATCCATGGCTCTGATGCGTAGTTGAAGCTGACGTGCGAACCGTCAAAATCTACGGAGATATTCCCCTATTGACATTATGATAATCCAATTCTTCTCCACAGCGTCGTATATTTGCCAACGTTCTTTGCGGTAGCCATGACAGTCGAAAATCTCGCAGTGCTGTGACATATCAGATCGTGGTCCCTGCAACGGCAGGATCAACAGCAATAGTTCCATCCCTGATGCACTAGCTGCAACCTTCTCTCCCTGTGATGACAACCATGCTAATGCTCTGGAGACTCTGGACTCCCCATGCGACCCTGTCAACCTTCTCAGTGGTTGGCACGCGACATGGAGGGATGGCATTAACCCGAGCTTCCAAGGCATGGGTCCGGTCCGTGCAGAGACTATTGAGGATTCTCATCTAGTCCATGCAATAGCGAATGTATATGTGGTTTCACATTTGATACCTATTGACAGGATGGTCTGGGGTGAATAGTGCGTCCTTGGTGTTGCGGCATGCAGACAGATCATATCCAGTCCGCCGTGTCTTGTGGAAGATCGAAGTATATAAGAAACCATCCCAAGTGAACAACTCAAACCCCTAGCTGGAAGTACCTCCTTTCGACCCATTCATCTATAAATATCCCCTACAATGCGACCATCATTCCTGGTAGCGGCCGCGTTAACGGCCGTCACGCATGTGGATGCAAAGGGGGTGTTTGCCCATTTCATGGTGCGTTACCTATCTAAACTACAGCTACATAGCTAATAGTCAGGGACATGCTTAGCTGGGCAATAGCAACAACTACACCCACGATAACTGGCGAACCGACATATCCGCCGCCAAAGATGCCAAAATCGACGCCTTCGCCATCAACACCGGATGGGGGATGCCAGGGACATTCCAACTCCTCGACGATGCGTTTTCCGTCGCCAAAGACATGGATTTTAAACTCTTCATGTCGTTGGACTACTCTGGGGACGGGCATTGGCCGCAAGACAAGGTCATCTATACCCTGCAGAACTACACCACGCATCCCGCATACTACCGCACAAGCGACGGGAAACCGTTAGTATCGACATTTGAGGGCGCCCAAGCCGGCGGCGACTGGCAGCATATCAAGAAGAAGGTAGACTGCGCCTTTATCCCGGACTGGTCGTCGCTCGAGCCCGACGTTGCAATTGGTCGGGGAGATGTCGACGGGCTGATGAGCTGGGACGCCTGGCCAAATGGCACGTCGCAGATGACTACAGACGAGGACAAAAAATACCTGGCGGTGCTCAAAGATAAGCCCTACGTGATGCCGGTGTCGCCGTGGTTCTACAGCAACCTGTTGCGGCTGAATAAGAATTGGGTATGGCAGGGAGATGACCTGTGGTACACGCGTTGGCAGCAGGTCCTCGAGGTCGACCCGGAGTATGTCGAGATCATTTCGTGGAACGACTGGGGCGAGTCGCACTACATTGGGCCAATCCACGATGATGACATGGACGTCTTCTCCTACGGCAACGCGCCGTTCAACTACGCCAAGGGCATGCCGCACGACGGCTGGCGTGCTTTCCTGCCGTACGTGATCGACCAGTACAAGAACGGCGGGAATGACGCTAACATCGACAAAGAAGGCGTTGTCGCCTGGTACCGCACGACACCTGCGTCTGCGTGCGGCTCAGGCAAAACCACGGGGAACACAGAGACGCAAAATCAGGACATCCTCAAGCCAGGCGAGGTCCTGCAGGATAAGATCTTCTACTCGGCGCTCCTTGAATCGTCGGCGGACATCTCCGTCAGTATTGGTGGCAAAAACCGGACTGGCCGCTGGGAAAATACTCCCGCCGGCGGCAGGGGCATCTACCACGGCAGCATTCCTATGGAGCAGGAACTGGGTGACGTGGTGGTAACTTTGTCCCGCGATGGCAGGTTTCTGGCAACGATCAGGGGCCATGCAATCTCGACGAACTGCGTGAATAATGTCACGAACTGGAATGCGTGGGTGGGCAGCACCACTTCGACGGCGCAGAACCGGGGGTCGACTTCGTCCTCATCCTCAGGTCAGGATGAGTCGTCGTCCACTCGTGTGCTTCTTGCAGGAGTAACTCCCGTGATTCTGGGCTGGACCGCCTTCCTTCTCCTGATGTGATGGTCGTGGCGGGGTCGAGAGGGATCATAGGGTAGTCCTTATCTGAATCATGTTCTAGATGTGGCCTTGGAGTGTTGGGCTGGGGTATATCCAAGGGATCTATCTGACGTGGACATAATTGCTAATATCTAATGATGACTTGCCAACTTCATGCCAATGAGATTGGATTGCGCTCCGACCCACTGGAAGTCTTTCCCCAGATGTTGAGGAGCTTCCTTGATCCTTGATCTTGAGAGGTTCTTCACAGCCACATCTTTACTATCTCTACTGCGATATCTTGGTACTCGACAGGGAGAGGACGACCAGAGCGGGGGTACGAGCGAGCCAGACTAATGAGAAGTCGAATGAGTAGTGCAACTGCTGCCATTTTCCGAATTTGGAAACCCATGATCTACGGAACGAATCAACCGTTCCACTGATCCAGATTTTAGGATCGTTGATCTCCGAGAGACTCTGCGATCCAGGCCAGCCTATTCTGGAACACCAATGAAATCCGCTCTTTGCCGTCTTAGACTAGAAGCTACGCTGCAGATCGAGTCGCGGGGGTTCGGTTTGGGCCGATATCTACATTAGTCGAGTGGCTGGAGACCTCGAAACATGGGGGTTCGCAGTCCGAGTCAGTGTGGCTCGCACTAACAGCCCTGCATCTTGGTATAGTGCACCTTTGTATAGTAGTAGCATCCTGGCTCATCCGGCAAACTGCGGGTTCATGTGGATATAGGTTAGCTAAGGCGTCGTCATCGGTAGTTGGGGCACCCTATTGGAGTCATATTCCATTGGCACTCTGAAACGACTCGAAGGAATCATAGTTTGTACCTTCCTTGCCATATCGCTGTGTTATCACGATGATTGCAATGTGGCGGTGTCTAGAAATATGGCTAGGTTATACTCGGGGCACTGATTAATGGGACACCTGGTAGTCATGCAACGAGCCAGGTTATGATCCTTGAATCAGGATCATCCGTACAGCCATAGGTATATTGCAATTTGACCTCAACCGCTGTCAACTGTCAATGGCATTCACGACTTTAGGGCTGGACCATTGTCCATCTACCACTATTCCCCAAAATAGGCAACCGGCTTCAGGAAAAGAGTCCCGAGGCGTCTCGAAGAGGAAGGTCCTCATATTCCATGAATCGAGATCAGAGAGAGATACGGCCTGTCCGCCAATGAATCGGCTTGGCGATCTGGTCGATGGCATCTGGTCCTCGAGTCTAACGCAAGTCTATGACACCATACCCGAGAAATTCTGCAACGCCACAACCAATGGACACGGCGGACCATTCCAGAACGGCCCCCGATCACACGGTTCACGGCTCTAAAAGACTTTCCCAAATCCCGGCCTCGTAGACGCCGTCGGGTCCGACGCAGAGGGCTGTGGCGACTGGTCTGGATCGGTCTCAGGCCGGACAAGCCCGGGTGGGTCTGGCAGCAGAGCGTTGAGAAAAGCACAGATGATGTTGTTTTGACTTTCTACAAGCCATATTATGTCTCCTGATTGGATTGGAGCTTTGTCTTCAGACAATCCGTGGCTGTGGTGAAGGAATGTATAAAGGTCCCTGAACTTTACCCCTGGCAGCTCCAGGGGGAGTCGGATTTCTTTTCAGCTGCAAGACCACTATTCTATACACTAGAAGAGGATCATAACTACTCTTCAGACTCTACGTCTGCTCAGGCTTTCTCATTCAGACTGCTTCACACAATGTCTGGGTCGACCGAGGCCCTGTCGAAACCGTCGGTCATGTTCATGCGTCACGTCTCACGCACCAACACCCGTGTTCCACCCATTGCCCGCCGATCTTCGTCTCCTATGCCATGCCGGATGGCTATGATGTCCCGGGACAAGCTTCAGAAAGAAACTGCGGCGAAGAGTCCCGACCTCCGCCGCTGCCTGGGACACCAGCGGCTGTTCCGTCGCTCGATTGAGGTCGCGCACGAGGACATGCGCAAGACCATGGCATCCTTCCGGCTCGACGACTGTGACGAAGAATTCGACGATGACTTCTACGAGACGCCCTTCTCACCCATTCGGGAGCAGATCACCAATGCAGTCAAAGCGATAGTCAAACGTCGCGCGTCGAGCCAGCCTCGCCCTGTCAACAGCCATCCTCCGTCGGAGGAGCCGGTCAGGATGATCCGCGTCTCGTCAAAGAGCAACGACTCTCTCAACACTCCGTTGTCGTCACCCTCTACGCATGACCTCACGATCCATCGGACGTCATCGGCACCATCTCTCCCCTCGAGGGGGCGCCGTTATGCCTCGAAACTGGGGTTCGCACGACGTCTGTGGTCGCCGTCTGTCCAGGCAATTGCCAGCTGATACGATTCGAGTGTTTCCAGCTCGTCATACCTCTTCGACATATTCCTATTCCTACTAGCCATCAGCATCTTACGACAACAACCTTCTCCCATATCTCATATCATCTACCTCTATCATTCGATCTTCTCGTTATACGATGGCAATACACAAGGACTTCAGAAGAGTCGTCCTCTCTATGATACTACGATTTTCATTGCATTTATCTGTTGATTACTTAGGGCTGCCCTGGGTTGTGCGGATCACGAATATACGCCGAGACGATAATATCTTTCAGACATGTATATATAGCAAACATTTTTTACTTCTTTAAATATATTTTCATCAAAGATTATCATTCACAGCATCAATGGCATGTAGTCATCTACAGCTTTCAAGGACATATTCCAACCAAGACCTACACCCACTAAATCCCCTCCATCGTAGGTGATTCTTCCCCAGTAGTCGGACGCTCCCACATATCCCACGGGATTTGCTCAGGGCATCATCACATCACCTTCATGGCCAAAATGAACGACGCGACATTGACATCCAAGCCCACCACAACAACCCTCTTCACATGGCCAATGGCTGTCTGGGAACCAGTCCACGGTCGTGGAACATGTCGGACCTCCAAATCTGGACGCGACTTCTGCTCAAGAAGTCCATCAAGTAACTCTGAAATGATAAAGCTTTGGATGCCCGCCGTTTCTTGCTCTTCTTTGATCCTCTTTTGGGTCTCGTAAAGTTCCTGGATGAATTTATCCTCTTCAGCTGTCGTTCGACGGTCACGACTACCGCGGTTAGCTTCATCCACAGCATTGGAGAATGAGCCCTTACAATGACCATCTAAGATTTGCGAAGCGAACGGCACGAAAACGGTCGATATCTTGTTTCTCTTTATCGGTCAGACTCAAGAGTTTCGTGAATTCGTGGATGATCGGGTCCTTGAATGCAGCGTTGTTTTGGACTACATATGAAATGGCTGCGAGTTCGAAGATGCGCGGATAAAACCCTGCAAAGCCCCAGTCAACAAGACAAAGAGACCCGTCGGACTCAAAGATGATGTTTCTCCGACAAATATCCCCGTGGCATAATACCAACGCGTACGGGGTCAAGTCGAGATGATCGAACCGACGCTGGTCTTCTTGTCTGCTCAAATACTCGTTCATTTTGTCCAATCGTTTGTTCATATACACGTTCATATCCTCAATGGAATCAAAGGCTGTTCCTGCACCTTCATCGCCGAAGATATAGCCATGAGCTTCCCCGCCAGTGACCGGCCCTGGGGAGTCGCAGTCTCCTAGTATCTGCTGCAAATGTGCAAGGATATTGGCAACTCGGATCGGTATGTCCTTGTGGGTTTCAAAATCGACGTCTTCCAGAGTTTGGCCTTCCACATACTCCATGAAGAGGTAACTTTGACCGTCGGATTCGAAGAAGCGGTGCACTTTTGGGATGTGGACAATGCTTCGATCAGTATTGTGATAGGCAACCTCCTGTGCTGCGAGTTCAGAGCGTCGGATATTGCCGTATTTCGCCACGATGCGATCAGATATCCGGACCACCTTTGGGCCGCCATGCTCCTGTCCGCCAATCTGGCGTCCCTCGTCTGCTGATTTATGGCAGAGTTCGATCAACCAGGCCTCGTCGGCTGTGGTGATGTCCCAGGCGGCCATGGAATAGGATGTGGTATGAATGGATAGAGGAACATGCATGAAGAGTCAAACAGGAGGAGGGGTTTTGTAGATGCTCAAGACATCACACACTAGGCCGAAAGGGGAAGACTATCTGACACCTCACTTCGTACTCCAGCCGGAGAGTCGTTGCTACTGATTGTCTCTGGACTTCTTGCGGAATTGTAGGGAACAGCTATATTACCAATGCGATAGTGAGGGTGCATGGGAAGTCCATCCCCATTTCCAGCTGTCTGCAGGTCATACACATACCTCGCATACCAGCTGGTCCTAAGGTCTACGTCGATGCAACGCAGGTTTTATGCAGATGCAAGAGGATAGATTGCCTCTATCAGATAATCATGCGCTCATAATAACTTATTTGAAATCAAGCAGAAGACGAGTAGCCGGCTTCAAGCCAGAGTATGGGGTCCAAGCACTTGGAAGTATGACAAGTAGAAACAGCTTTCAAAAAGACACCGGCGATATCTTCGTTCATCCATCATCATATATCGGAAAACCGTACCTAAGAGACCAAAGTATTTCTAGCGTAGGGTCAGAGTCCGTCGCCACACTGGAAACATCTCAGCAGGCGTATATGAACGCTCGACACCGCGGGAGGGAATCACGTCCGGAGCATCCGCACCCGGATAACGATTAATGCCGCTGCCAGAATCATTATTGCTATGGCCCAGCATGCAGTGGGCGTGAGGAAGTCTTTCCCAGGATTTGGACGTTGCAGGGTCGGTCGATGCGGATGGGGATCATGCCGTTTGTTGATTCTCTGCTGCCTATGGGGATCAACTCTCAGTTTGCATTCCATCACCGAGCAAGGGGTAGCTCCTTACAGATTGTCGGCTCTAGGGACATTGACTTCGAATGATGCATCTGACATCAGTTGGTGAACTTCATCATGAGGTCCGTACTGCGGTTCCCTTCCGAAATCTGCGTCTGGCTCGTGGAATTTGAGCCATCGCTCGTAATCCGTGTATACCCTCGAGGTTGACTCCATGTTGGCTGCAACAAAGGTGATGGACGAATTTGGTTCATTGCAAGACCTGAGTCTTATACAGACAAAGATCGGATATCTAAACGGGCGGCCTGTGGACCCCTATCCAAGACACGAACATGCCTGTAACGTGGTTGCCTATGACTAACTGAGCTTATTTCTGAGTCAAAGAAACCTAGTTTCTGGACGAGAAGTCGTCACAGTCCACTATTAGTTTTGTCGTGCAGCATGAAGATGGGGGCGCACGTCATCTCGTTGGTCGGCGGCCTCGTTGCCTTTCATCTGACAGTTGGCGTGGTCTGTTCCTTGATATTTTCAATTGATTGGCTTTTCACAGTCCGTTCTATCTGTTCAGGTCTAACAATCCCATTGTCTGTCCTTACCGTAACGCTAGAGTCATTATGACATCCAAGGCCACGCATCCGGCGGCGCAGAGTCTTGGCTTCGTGAGTTCTCTCCAGGGACCAGGCAGACATATTTCTCCATGTGGAGGTGAGCTTAACTGCATCTTTGTGGGACCGAGTCGGGGGTTTTGCCTAGTTGATCATAGCAAATTTTGATAGTGCCAAATACCTTGATGGTCTGGCAGCGTCAGTACCCAGAGGTGATTCTGTGATCTCACAATTCATAGTCGAGTCCTGATGACTATGTTGATGTATGGAGCTCAATCTTCATTCTGGTCTGGATTGCTTGTGCCAGGCTGGTCCTCTTCTTGTTATACTAAGTGTGGATGAAATAATGTGCATAATTTGTGAGTGGCATGTTGTTCTGGAAAATTCATATCTACCATGTTCAAGGTACAGGACTACATAGTGCCAGTGCAATCCGCAAATCGTCACGGATGATGCGCCCATCCCATCACTATTGCCAACTAAAACGTAGATACAGCATCATCCGCTGCCCGACCCAGACAGGCATATATCCCTTCTGACCAGCAACCACCTACCAACTCACCATCACTCCACCTATACCAACACTGATATTCTACACCTGAAATGAGGAAGGCATACCACTCATCAAGAAACCAACTCCTCCGTCTGACTACTCTGAAAGCCATGTCTGGAAACAGCAAGCACCACAAGCCCTTAAAGGGCTTTTTTGGCAGCATCCCCAAGCCGTCCGTCAAGGATTCCAACTCAAACCCCGGGGCGTACTACAAGCAAAACCAGAAGCAGTGCATGAAGCACATCGTCGCCCGGCTGAACGCACGCCTCTCCCACTGGGACACAGGCGCCCTAGAGCAGATGGTTATATTTGACATGTCGCTGGAAAGACTAGCACAAAGGGAATACCGATTCTTCTTCATGCAGGACGCGAGCGCCAGAAAACGCAAATACGCACCGTTTGCCCCGCCCACTGAAGACGACATCCAAGTCTGGAAACGGGAATTCCAGAAGGCTGGAAATGAATGTCAACGGATTGTCAGGGCGAGATTTGGCATTCTACAGGCATACAAGATACCCATGATCGAGCTTTGGGATTACGAGAGTCTGTATAAACGTCTGTGGTCGTCGAACTATCTTAGGGTAAAGTGTATCGAGCGGGGTGGGTGTTGCGCGCGCTCGTGCGGCTGCTGTCAAGGGACCCGGAAGACGAAAAGATCGATGGCTCATAGTCACTGCAGCCTCGAGTGCCACTGTTGTCTTTATCATCGGCGAGGAGACCTCGGGGCTGTTGATGTAAGGGCCTGGGTTCTGAAGGAAGCTGCCACAGTAACCCAGGAGTCGAGCAGCGTCCACAGGGGTTCTGATACATCGTCGAATGAGACGACGCTGTCACTGATGGGAAAGAAACATTCAGCGAGGGCCTACCACCGACAACGGCCGTTGGAGGAGAGAAAGCCGAGCCCCCTGAGGACCGTAGAGTCGTGTTACTGATATCATGAGAAGAAGTTTGTAGTAGTTGAGCATGTATCTCGAGTTGAAAGCGCTGCACACGAAGAAGTCATATTTCAGGTGAACTCTGGATTGTATACCTGTCAAAGGAAAAAATGACCGCTAGACCACCAAAAGTGTGAACACACTAATGGGAATCCCATATGATCGTAATATTGATCGACAATACCCTTTTCATGTATGCAGTTATTGTTTCTTAGTTCTGGCCTTTGTTCCATCATTGACATGCAGCACTCTGGGTAGGCAGTCAGGCCGACGTCAAAATGACAACTCACCTACCAAGTAATGTAGCCCATTACGCATCTAACTTAGGATTTTCTTTTCTCTTCCAAATCTCTGCCGAAGCCCTGGACAGCTGCTAAAGTGCCTCTTTGCAACACAAATAAAGAACCAATACTTTCACCTTGATTCCATCCTAGGCCTCGTCCAATACATTCTCGCTCATACGCAAGATGGAGCCCGCACCACAACAGGAGTGGATTGGCCTTCAGTTGGGTGGGCTCCAAGCTGGATTCGGCCTTCAAACATCGCGGACGTCCGAAAGTCTCAATCAAATCGACCAAGTCCGTGCTAACGGAGTCGGAGACCATATCGCCCTGCCACAGCTGGTGGTCTGCGGAGACCAGTCCGCAGGAAAGAGCTCCGTGCTCGAACGTATCACTGGCATCCCCTTTCCCCGACAGGACGGCCTCTGCACCCGATTCCCAACAGAAATAATCATTCGCCATGACCCAGCCCAGAGCCAGGCTACAGCGACCATAATACCACACCACTCGGGGGCGAAAGTACGTAGATCGCACCTCCGCAACTTTCGCCGCCAAATTGAGAGCTTTGATGACCTGCCAAATGTCATTCACGATGCTGCGCAGCTTATGGGTATTCGGGTATTCGGGGCCATGCTACGCAATCGGAAGATGCGCCCGCTTTCTCGAAGGATGTTCTCCGGTTGGAAATAGTGGGAAATACCCGTCTTCATCTAACGATTGTCGATCTCCCGGGCTTGATCTCCGTCTCTGAGAACGAACACGATGTCCAGCTAGTCCATGATCTCGTGGATACATATCTGGAAAGCTCCCGGACGATTATCTTGGCAGTGGTGCCTGCGAGCAGTGACGTGGACACACAGGGGATTATCCAGCGTGCCCGTCGCTTTGATCGAGACGGTGATCGGACTGTTGGTATCATCACGAAGCCCGATTTGATCAATCAGGGCACCGAGTCCCGTGTTGCGCGGTTGGCCAAGAATATAGATAAAACCAAGCTGAAGCTGGGGTTCTTCCTGCTGAAAAATCCATCGCCAGCGCAGTTGGAACAAGGAATCAGTCTCGCGGAGCATCATAGAGCAGAGATCGACTTCTTCTCCAGTGGGCTATGGAAGAGAGAGGCACTGGACCGGTCAAGGATCGGAGTCGAGAAGCTGCGTTCCTTTTTGCAGGATCTACTGGACAGCCATATCGAAGGGGAGCTACCAAAAGTACGTGAGGACATCCGTTCTCTTCTAAGGACAGTGGATGATGAGCTTGCGGATATTGGAACGGAGCGGTCCTCTCCAGACCAAATTCGACTGTATCTGATGCGGATAAGCAATGACTTCCACACTCTCGTAAGAGCTGGCCTTGAAGGGGCATATTCGGACATTTTCTTCCAGGCCCATGACGACGAGGAGGATCTGACTCTTCGTCTTCGGGCGGCGGTTCACAAGGTGAATCAAAATTTTGCTGACTATATGCGACAATATGGTCGGAAGCACCGGATAGTGGCTGATATGTGCGATGGTCCTCCTGCGGCGGTTGGGGATCAGTCAGAGTCGGATGAGGAGCAGTCAGAGCCACCTGCAGGTCCTCGTGCGGAGGTTGAAGATCAGTCAGAATCAGATGAGGATCAATCGGAGGATCATTGTCAGGAAGGACAGGTGCTGGTCACAGAGGGGGAGATGAGTGCCTGGGTGCAGAAGGTGGGACTTTCCACTTTGCGTGGTATAGTAGCTGCTAACACATACATTTAGGTCTACAACCAGACGAGAGGACAAGAGCTGCCCGGAAGTCACAATCTAAAGACCTGATACTCGGGCATCCACCACGTATGCACTTGACTTCCCTATGGTGTCATAGTTTTTGACATTAACCAATCACAGGCAAAGTGGCCGAGTGGTTATGGCGCACGGTTCAGGTGTGTACCTTTCCTATTTAGGATGGAGTGCTTCGTGTCCGTGTTTCGAAAGATACCTGGGTTCGAATCCCAGCTTTGTCAGTTCTTTTTTACCATTCCCTCCTACAGAGGACGAATCACAATTAAACTCAGCTGGCTGCAAACGCAGATACTCTGTTACCTAACGCATGAGGGCATCACAAGTCAATGCCGCTTCGCTTAAACATACCTACCTTTCAACCAGCGACAGACCGTGCCGAACGTCCACCACGCGCGTACCGACCTCAAGCCATGGATTGCTGTTTCGCAGTCAAACGAATCCCCCGCTCAGGCATGACCACGTCATGCCCCACTCTTTGCCCTAATCGGGAACAAACTCGGACTCAGCCTTGAGTCCTGCATAATTGCCTAATCGGGCGGCTGAGTCTCTTCACCGCCTACATAGTACGTATTTTTACGCTCCCATTACGAGCTTGCCGTCCAGGCACGGGGCATTCGCCCCTACGGTTCCCTCCCAGTTTGGGGGCCCCCCCGTAATACGGTTTCTCCCAAAAGGGAAATCATGGTGAGACTCAGACTCACGATTTCATGAGCAATGTTCTTCTCTCCCACCCTGAAGGAGGGTGGAATAGAAGTATAAATGGAGCGGCGACAACGCTCGTTCATGGCGATGCTAACATAGCGAATATTAACATCGAAGATGTCTTTTGTTCAGTTTCAGTTGGATCCGACTGGTAAGTGTACACGGCAACTATTGAGGAGTTGGCTTATGCCAGTGATAGTACGAGCTCCGCCGCCGACGACGTCGGAAGGCATTCTTTCTACTCGCACGACCCGTGTGAGTAAGCCACTAGTGCAGACAACAATTCCCAGCATGTTTCCGAAGCAGAGACTCAGGCCGTCTCAGGTCCAGTCGAAGCTTGTTAACAAGCAGTCTCGGTTGGGTCGGACTAGTAAGTGTACACGGCAACCGTTGAGGCGTTGACTTATGCCAGTGATAGTACGAGCTCCGCCACCGAAGACGTCGGAAGGCAGTCTTTCTACCCGCACAACCCGTGTGAGTAAGCCACTAGTGCAGAAAAAAGTTGACATCATGTTTGCGAAGCAGAGACTCAGGCAGTCTCAGGCCCAGCCGAAGCTTGTTAACGGGCAGACTGCCGACATATCCCGTCAGGCGTCGCCTTCCAACAACGTGGGTGACGTGGGATCACTTAATGGGACGTTTAACCCGCCTTGGAGCATCTCGGAGAAATCCTCTAGGCCATTGGATCTTTCTCCGATGGACGATGCATCGGTTTAGATTAGAAAAGGGTAGGGAGAGTCCGCGCGGTACGGCAGCGTTGCGTCCTCATCGAAAGGGTATAATGATTCCTGAATCGTTGAATCCGGAGGCTAAGTGAAAAGCCAATGGTCTTTGTACGTTACCTTTTCATGAGAAGAAACCCGGGGGGGGAGGAGGGAACTGAAGGTTGGAGTGGCGAAGCTCTTCCTTACGACAAGAGTATTTGGGAAATTGATTCTTTTGTCTGAGAAAAGGTCTATATATAATCGTCTTCATTGGCCCCGGCAGACACCTGTGGCGAGAACACACTGGAAATAAATCCTTTGCTCCCGTTGTATGTGGTCTGCTTGCAATCTTTGCAAGATGCTAAATGATGTGATGCGAATATATATTTCTTAAGCGTAACAGCGCTGAACTTATAAGTTTCTCTATATAAATATACTCAAAATACGCCGTCCGTTAACTGACACACACTCTACACTGCCCCGCCCTGAGAGCCTCTTGTAGAAACTAGGGAGATGGGTATCTTTAGTCCAGCGATGCTAAATCTCTTCCACGAGGCTCAGGGCCCTATCCCTCTTACAACGCCCAGTCCCCTATCTTTTCCACCTAATTCTTCTCTTGGTCAATATGGGAAAAGGAGGTCCCCAAGACTCCCAACCAGGTAGACGATATCGTGTCCTCAAATTGTCTTGTTGACATCGCACACGCCTATCCTACCGATCCTATTGTTAGATGGTTCATCGTACCATTCACTAGATACTTCTTTAAGTAAGATATATCTTTACAGCCTCTAAGCGACTATTAAGCTAATCTAATTGTATAGGTCTCTTCTAGCGGTCTATACCTTGCTATTCGGCTCGCTTATTACATGCAAAATTTGGAATGATGGCAAAGTATGCAGCGGCAGATTCCACTCTATAACATTTTATATGTTACTGGGATGCATGTTCCTCATCTGTTACCTTCACAGGAAGCTTGGGAAGCAGAGGCGGCTGCCACAAGAGATTGAAAGCTGGTATGGCATACATTGATGCCAACGCGTTCATCTCCTGTCAAGTATAGCCCATACCGTGCACTACCTAGACTAAGTTACTCTTGATATGTCTAGACTCTTCTCAAATAAGATTTAAGGTTTGATATAGAACGCACTATATCTTCCCCTATACAAATGCACACGACCGTATTATCTGGTCCGATAATCCTCCCAATGCTCCTCGTAATACACTTCCTTCACATGGCTAAATCCAACCTCGGGGGCATCATACGGCCATGGAAGCATGTTTCCACTTGCAAAAAGCGCAAACATCATGCCATCAAAGTTTGTCGGTACCAGACTGCTGGAGAAGTCCAGGCACCATGTTATGTCATTGCCCGTCTTGGTAGAATAGCCCAGTCTATACGTGTCGAATTTCGCCCGGATATGTAGTGTGAAGTTGCGTGGTATGGAAGCAAGCTCCAGCGGCTGCTCCGTTGTCTGTCTCAGGAGTCAGATTGAGAATCCTATGTATCCATCGTTTGGACATTATGCTTACCACAGGAGGCGTCCCCGGTCCCGGCGAATCCACAGTCTGGTCAATAAATAAGCACATGCCGGTCGAGTTCGCGCAACCTCTCAGACCAAAGTCAACATGTGCCTCGCCACTGCTGTACACCGCAGCCCCGATTGACTGGTGCTTCCCCAGTCGTCTGTCCGTCGGAAGCAGCGTGGCAGAAAACGTCATGTTCAACGACGTCTGCTTGCGCAGGATTGCAGCAGGCGAGTCGCGGTCACTCAGGGTGAAGACATTCGGCATAAAAATGACGCCTGTCCCGCCTGTGCGCGTTTTACCAACGCGATAGTTTTGAGTGTATGGCGATCTCAGCTGATACCAGCTCTTTCCCAGCTGCGGGCCGGTAAAGTGGTCTTCAAACGGTTTCGGAGGCCACTTCTGATCTGGGGCGTAATCGAAACTCTGGCTGGGCATCAAGACCTCCCCGCCGTTCATGGTCGGCCAGCCATCCTTCCAGGTGACAGGGACAAAGAACGTTTCCCGGCCCAGGGACCAGTCGCCAATGTTGCGTCGCGCCAGCAGCGTCGCAAACCAGCGTCCATCGGGCGTGTCCGCAAACGTGGCATGGCCCGTCGAACCGATGGTCAAGTTGAGATTCGCACCGTTGAAGATCAGCGGGTTAGTTGGGGAGGACTCCCACGGGCCTTCGGGGGACTTTGATCGCGCGATGGTCGCTCTATGAGAGGCGCCTGTGCCCCCCTCCGCGATCAAGAGGTAGTAGTACTCGTCCTTGAAGAATAGTTTCGGGCCTTCTGGTCGTCCTTTCGCGGTTAGGGGCAACGTGCCATTCCAGATATTGCGAAACGGACCGACACACCAGCCGGTCTTCAGGTTGACCTCGCATTGGCTGATACCCCAGAGCTGGTTATATCCGTTTTGCAGGCCCATCATGGTCAGGTAGTCCTTTCCGGATGCTGGGTCACGGAAGAGATGGGGGTCGATGCCGTACGGTTCGCCCCATACGACGTCTGACCAGGACTTTAAGTCGGGAGAAGACCGCCAGAAGACTCGCGGCCAGGTGCGGTAGTCAGGGTCTGATCCCCACATTGCCATCGAAGCCATGTAGAATCGGCCATCAATGTATGTCAAACTGGGAGCCCAAACGCCTGTTGCAGGTTAGGTGTTGAGTCGGTCAGAGGATACGGATAGATTGACCATTGTCTGTCCTGGTGCCATGCAGAGGCATCACATCGGGTCGGTCGAGAGCATGGCTCACGATCTCCCAGTTGGCTAAATCTTTTGACTGGTAGATTGGAATGCCAGGATACGTGAGGAAGGATGAGACAGCAATGTAGTATGTGTCGTCCACGCGCAGGACATGGGGGTCAGGATTCCATCTGCAGTATGTAAATTATTGCTGTCGGTAGATGCTCACTTCGTACTTACCCAGGTAAAATGGGGTTTTTGAGGGCCCCAATGCAAGGGACGAGTGCTGTCCATACTACAGCAATTGATATTGTCTTCATACTCGGTTTCGGTCGATGCCGGTATATCAGTGGTCTTATTGATATAAATCGAGGGTAACCTCAAGAGCAATATTGTCCGTACTTAGACAAGGAAAATCCTGAGATAATCTTTATATGGCCCATTGCCATGCCCAGACTATACTCGATATTTAGTCCGCGCGGGGTATCTACAACAGCATTGATTAGTGGAAATTGCTTTCTATTCCATCGCCAAGCGTGGGCCCAAACGTTTTTATAGACCAGTTAGTATCCTGGCCAAGAGACGAATCCTACGAGGTATCAATATTAATTCCGACTTACCCAGTCCAGAAGTATCTAATGCACGTTAAACACGACTAAATCCATGAAAGAGATTGCAGCCTCGTATTGCCGTTCAAGTGATGGCAGTCTAGCTATCCAATGGTATACCGTACCTGTGTATACTACACGCATTCAGTGCGAATGAGATGAATTAATAACACTTAGATTACTGGCATTATGAATCATCTTGGGGTGAAGTTGTGCTCATCTGTTCGACTTTTTCCTATATAGCTCGACGGTACAGCACACTACGGAGTAGTACATTATAGCAGGTACGTGAGCTTTTCAATGTTCAAGAGGGATTTGCGCCTTTCGGATCTTAGTAGGAAAGAGTATTTCTCCATTCTCAAAGTTGTTGTTGATTAGCATTGCGGACCCCAATACAGACTGAAATATATATCTGTCCCACACAGGGATACTCGCAATGGACGCAGTTGTAAAAGCCAAGGACATCAGGTGGAGTATACGTTTCATAAGCGACCGTCATGCTTTTCCTGTTCTTCGGAACTCAAGGTCCTAATTGCGTATCAATACTGTGTACTCCAGAGTAGGTGCACAAAAATCACGTGCATCTGGCTGAAGCATTGCGTTGTGCCTAGACTTATAAGGCTAGCCTGGAATGCTTAGCAAAGCTTTTCTCGTTCCCTTTTTGTGCAAACAAATTATCCACCATTCCACCGCACAAATTCCATTCTCGACAATCTTCTACCAACTAGACACTACATGACTCACGCAGAATGTGCAGTCCCTCTGATCTGACTCCGGGGTAAAGGGAAATCCACATGCTTATAGCGGCGTATGCCATTTCCACACACCGAACTGCGATCGTCGGGATTATTGGCAATACTCGGCAAGTTTCCGGCCTCCAGCCGGGCTAATGGCTCATCCATCGGCTGCAGCTTCAGGAACCCGAAACCTCACTGGCCGGCTAAGCAATTTCCGCTCCATCACGGCTGGCCCGGTGGGACTTTGCTCTTCCACGAAACAGCCCTGCCGAACCGAGCCGAGCGGCCCTCGTCGTGGCAGAGATTCTCGACCAGAGCAGATTTTGCACGGGATGTGGGATTGTGTGCCAGTCTTACGGAGTATGCCCGGCCTTTGTTCTCCGTACAGCATGTGTGCATCCCGATGCTTCTTCACAGGCGTGATTCTCACACCGTAGAGCAATATTTCATGCCTCTAGACCAGCCATCGAAGCGTCTACGGAGGATAGAAAGCTGTACCTGCCAAGGTGCCAAGTGCTGGGAGAACGCCAGGGTATTGCAATGGATATATAAGCAGCCTTCTGTGCTATCCCCGCGGTTGAATGTTTCGCCCTCTGCAGCGGGTAAGCGAACGAGAGCCGTCTGGGGAAAACACTTCCCCGGCCCTTGTTCCACGTCAACATGGGGAGGAGATGGAGATGCAGATGGAGATGGGGGAAGATCCTTCACGCTGAGAGGTCGATTTGCGTCCATCCCACGGCGATTGCAGCTCAACGTATCGTAGCTCTCGTTATTCAATCCTCGTGACGTCCCCAGACGGGGTTCGCCACGGGCATCGAAAAGGGAGTGTGGAGAGGGTTCGAGTGGAGGAAGCCCTCACCGAGCCGGAGGGCATGGAGAAAACATGGACGCATCTTATTACTTAGATCCCCAGTCCCGGCCTGTCTTCTCCAGACCATAGCATTTCTCTTCCCTCTCTGAACCAGCATCTTCTTCGGACGTCTTATCCCTTCCTTCCACTGCCGGGACCTGTCGTACTCTTCCTCCCCTGCTAGCTGTCTATCCAGCAGCCATGGGTCTCCTCCACGTTGTCGAGGACCGGCCGACGCCCAAGTCGGTCTACAACTGGCGGGTCTACGTCCTCGCTGTCATTGCCTCGTGTGGCTCCAACATGATCGGTTATACTAGTGCCTTCATCGGGACGACAATCACGCTCGACTCGTTCACGCACGAACTCGGACTGGACCAGATGACGCCCGAGCACGTCAACCTGATCAGTGAGAACATTGTCTCTCTTTTCATTGCGGGCGCCTTCTTCGGTGCACTGCTCACCTACGGCGTCGGCTACTACTGGGGACGCAAATGGGGTCTGGTGCTGGCCTCGGCGGTCTTCACCTTTGGATCCGGTCTGCAGCTGGGGACCACGGGAGCCCGGGGTCTGGGCATCATGTATGCTGGTCGAGTCCTCTCGGGACTGGGCACCGGTATTGCCTCGAACATCATCCCCATCTACCTCTCTGAGCTGGCCCCTCCGGCTATCCGTGGTCGGCTGGTCGGTCTGTATGAGCTCGGATGGCAGGTTGGCGGATTAGTCGGATTCTTCATCAACGTGAGTGAGCCGTTAGACCATGCAGCCGAGACTAGAAACGCAAACTAACCCCTGGTGACTATAGTACGGTGTCGAAAAGACCATGTCTCCTAGCCACGAACAATGGATCATCCCCTTCGCCGTGCAGATCATCCCGTCGGGCCTGCTGTTTGTCGGAGCTCTCTGGATGCGAGAGTCTCCCCGGTGGCTGTTCCTGAAGGGCAAGCGGGAAAAGGCCATGGCCAATCTCTGCTGGATCCGTCAACTGGAGCCCTCGGACATCTACATCACCGAGGAAGTGGCCGCCATCGACCAGGCCCACGAGGAACAAAAGGCCAAGGTCGGCCTGGGCTTCTGGAAGCCCTTCCAGGCGGCGGCCGCCCGCCCGACCCTCCTGTACCGTCTCTTCCTGGGCTGCATGCTGTTCTTCTGGCAGAACGGCTCGGGCATCAACGCGATCAACTACTACTCGCCGACGGTGTTCAAGAGCATCGGCATCGCGCCCGACACCGTGAACCTGATGACGGGCTTCTTCGGCGTCGTCAAGGCCGTGATGACCATCATCTGGCTGCTCTTCCTGGTCGACCAGCTGGGCCGCCGCAACCTCCTGCTCGGCGGCGCCGTGTGCGGATCCATCTGCATGTGGATTATCGGCGGCTACATCTGCGTTGCCAAACCCGAGTCCAACCCGACCGACCATCTCACCAGCGGCGGCATCGCCGCCATCTTCTTCTTCTACCTCTGGACTGCGGTGTACACGCCCACTTGGAACGGCACGCCGTGGGTGATCAACTCGGAGTTCTTCGACCCCAACTTCCGCACCCTGGCCCAGGCCTGCACCACCGCCAGCAACTGGCTGTTCAACTTCCTCGTCTCCCGCTTCACCGAGCAGATGTTTGACAAGATGCACTATGGTGTGTACTTTTTCTTCGCGGCCCTGTCGTTCTTGGCCTTCTTCTTTGCCTTTTTCCTCATCCCCGAGACGAGCGGCATCCCGCTCGAGGTCGTCGACCAGTTGTTCGAGCAGAAGCCGATCTGGCGGGCCAACGCTATGCTCAAGGCGCAGCTGAAGGAGGACGAGGAGCGGTTCCGATTCGAGATTAAGGAGGGGAACTTCGACAAGCCTGAGCCGCAGGAGCATGTCGAGAACCGTGACGCCCAGGTATAGACCGTCAAATTGTACATAGCTTGGTTTCGAGGGACGCACATACGTTGATAGAATTACGCTTGATAGAACGCATTCAATTATTACAGTGACCTTCATCCCATTCAAGTGTAGCAGGTTCGGGACGTGGAATCATTAAACATTGCACGCGATAAACAGACCCATTGCCTCCCATCGTAGAAAATACATCTCATCGGGAATCACATCGCTCGCCGCATCATACCTGAACCCACGACACTCACCACAGAGCCATCAGACACTTCTGCACATCGCCTGGAGGAACCAGCCGCAGGATGCGGGACGCCAGGTCGACCTTCAAGTCGCGCTGCAACCGAACCTTGACCGCGTCGCGGTACGGACGGTTCCAATGCAGATGCGCCATCCAGTAGATCAGCCGGCCCATGTCGACCGGGCCACCCTCGGGAATACACTCAGCCAGCTTGCGCGCGTGGTACAGCTCCGGGTCCATCGCATGCTGGAGCATAGCAACAAACACGGCCTTCAGATGCCCCGAAAACTCATCGCGCAGCACCCTCTCCAGACTCTTATGATACCGCGCCTCGAACGCGCGCGCGATCGCCACGAGCTTCGCATCGGGCGCATTGAGAAACACCGCGGACACGCCGATCTCGTCAGTCCCCGTCTTCGCCTGCGTCGCCTGGTGGATCTCGCGCACGTCGGCATCCACCGACGCGGCGTCAAAATATGTCCCGGGCTCCGGCCGCGCCGCCTGCAGCAGCATCTCGAAGAACCGCTCCGTCTTACCGGACAGGTCGCTCTTGACGTCGTCCAGCAGCGGCTTCTTGTACGTGCTGACGTAGGCGTACTTGATGGCGCGCAGGTCCGCGTTCGTCCGCCCCACCAGCACGTCGTTCATCGCCGTCTCGTCCGTGCCGACCCCGGCCATCGCCTGCTTCAGATGCCGCACGTCGTGGCCCAGCGGCCCCAGCGCCAGCGCCAGCAGCGCGTCCTCCAGCTTCCCCGACGTCTCGGACTTGATGTCCTTCTCGAGGTCGCGCCCGATCTTGGCCGCGTACGTGTGCCGGATCAGCGCCATCTGCAGCGGGTCCGGCGTGCTCAGGATCCGGATCAGCGCCGCCTCGTCCGTCCCGAAGCCTTTCATCGCCTTGCGGAGCGCTTCGGCTTCCTTCGTGGCGTCGCCGGGCGCGCGTGCGTCGGGGTCGTAGCCGAGGGACGGGGGCGCGGGGACGACGGTCTGCGGGGGGTAGCCGGGTGCGTTGCCCTGCATCGGCGGCGGGTACTGGCCGTAGGGGTTCGGCGGAGCATACTGGCCCGGAGGAGGGTGCTGGCCTTGCGGCGGGTAGTACGGCTGGGTTGTAGTGCGCTGGCGGCGGCGCGTACTGTCCCTGGCCCTGCTGCGGGGGCGGAGCGTATTGTCCCTGCGGAGGATACTGTCCCGGCGGAGGCGCCCAGGACTGCTGCGCATGCTGCTGCGGTGGCATCGACTGCGGCGGAGGATACTGCTGGTACTGGCCTGGTCCTGGCGGCTGCTGGGGCGGATAGCCCTGCGGAGGAGGGGCCTGCGGGGGGTATCCCCCCTGAGAATGCGGAGGATACGGCTGTCCGTACGGCTGCTGCTGCGGCGGCGGGCCGTAGTTATTATTAGGCGGGTACGACATGCTGCGGAGAAGTAGGTAGGAGTTAAGGAGGTGAGGATGCGAAAGAGAGAGAGAGATAGAAAGTAGAAAGGTCAGCCACGCGGGGTCATCTCTAGTATTAATACAGCCATATCGGCAACAACCGGCCGCTGCCAAGTTCGTCTTCTCGTACCAGTGTGGTCATCATTGGACACGGTTGAGCTCATCGTCTGGTCCAGGGAACCAGAAGAATTGGGATATGCTGTGGCTGTGCTGGATACGACCAGTGAGCCAATAATGACGGCAAAGAGGCCGTCTGGAGCTCAGCGCGGGCCTCGTAGGGTCTTCCTTAGGGCTTTCTCTGTGGCTGTTCCTCGGGACCCGTTCAACGACGGCTTCTATAGTGGATAAGGAGGATTGGGGCGCAGTCTTGCTTGGCAAGTCAGCCAGCAACGGGCAGATCGAACAGTGTCTTGCATTATCTGCACGAAAGCGCTGCTGCGTCTGCTGGTGGATCTTAGCAGACTAGACCGATACACGACCAGCCGTTCGTTATGTAAATGCAGCATCCCGGTACTTCTGACACACGATACACATGCAATTCCAATCATACCTTGTTAGGGCTAAAACTATTCATTCTGGCAGTGATCGCTGAACCCCACAAGCCATAAGCAATGTCGCAGGCGTCAGCATGGCTGTGCGAAGGGCTCAGGGGAAGTAATCATGTAAAGTGTCCTTGCTGGCTGCAAGTTGTAGATGTAAAAACCAACCTAAAATGTCTCCAGCAACGCTCAAATCCGCTCTTATTGCATCAATCCTCGGCCTGGCAGTCGTCCATGCAGCAGAGCCCTGGAAAATACTGGATGTCGACTTCCCCGATCCGGCTGTGATCCAGACAGACGATGGATACTACGCCTTTGGCACGAACAGCGGAGGCATCAATGCGCAGGTGGCACATTCCACCGACTTCCAGTCGTGGACTCTTCTCGACGGAGTCGACGCCTTGCCTGGTCCGTTTCCAGGCTGGGTAGCTGAGGGTGGAAGCCCCAGTGTGTGGGCACCGGACGTTATCCAACGGGTATGCTGGAACAGACTCTCGATCTCACTGCAGATGCTAACACACCTATGCTGGATCTAGGACGACGGCACCTTCGTCATGTACTACTCCGCGACCGCCCGTAACTCCACCAAGCACTGCATCGGCGCCGCAACCTCTCCCTCCGCCCAGGGCCCCTACACACCCGAAGCCAACGCGCTCGCCTGCCCCCTCGCGCAGGGCGGCGCCATCGACGCCTCCGGCTACCAAGACGACGACGGCACCCGGTACGTTGTGTACAAGGTCGACGGGAACAGCCTCAACACCGGGGACAACCAGCACCCGACCCCGATCATGCTGCAAAGGCTGGCCGCAGACGCCGTGACGCCCGTCGGCGACCCGACGCAGCTGATCGATCGCGACGAGGCCGACGGCCCGCTCGTCGAGGCGCCCTCCCTCGTCAAGCACGACGGCACCTACTACCTGTCGTTTTCGTCCAACATGTTCAACACCATGTACTACGACATGAGCTGGGCGACGGCGTCGGCGATCACGGGCCCGTGGACCAAGGCCGCCGGTCCGGGGGCGCCGCTGCTGTCGTCCGGGGATCCGAGTAGTGCTGGGCCGCTGGGGGGCCCGGGGGGTGCGGATTTTCGCGCTGACGGGGCTGCTATCCTCTTCCATGCGTTTAATAATGGGAAGGATACCGCCGATGGTCGGGGCGTGTGGGCTGCGAATATCGAGCTTGCGGATGGGAAGATTACGTTGGCTTAGTGCGTGTATCTTGGTGTATGGGTGTATGGATGCGTAGTATACAGTTGTATGTACACGTCAATCGTCACGGGTTAGGGTATATACACATAAAGGATGGTCGGGAAGATCAGCCGGCATGCCCATTGCTGTGAGCGCTGGCCCGATCATGTTTCTGGATCTCATGCCATCGTCGAATCACCTCGGCGCGTTCTTCCGTCGTTGCTGCGCACATCTCCTCGACGCCTTGTACCAGTCGCGACTGGAGAATTTCCTTGGTTTTGGATTTGGATATGGAGTTCCGGAGGCTTTTATGGATCCCGCTCAGAGGGTAGCCGGCGAGTCCCCAGAGACCTATACAGTTAGAGGATGCGAGGGGTTCAATGGCAAGAAGACGTACCGCCAATAGGCTTGAAAAAAACCCCCCCGATGCCTTTCCCCATGCCTTTGACGAGCCCCTTGGGCCCCGTTTCAGAAAACCCACGAGCAGGCTGCGTGACCAAGCCGGTGATGCCATGGTAGAAGCTTTGTGTGAATTCCTGTAACGCATTAGCTTTCTGCAAAGACTCGGTATGAGAGCACTTACCGTTCCAGCAGCCCTGAAGCCGCTTCGCACCCCTCGCACCTTGGGCGTGTCCAGCACAGTTTTGTCGTGGTAGAGCTTTGGGGCGTTGTGGAATCCCTTGGACAGACTGAGAGTCAAGTCTGTGGGCAACAGCAGAACCCAATTGAGGACCTGTTTTGCGAACTTGCCGGCGTGGTATCCCGTCTCCGACAGGACGATCTGCGTGCTAGTAAGGTCTTTAGACAGATGTCTAGTCATCGTCTTCTCGAGATCGAGTTCTTGTCCACAATTCCCAAGTCCCTCCGGATCGGCCACGGTGGTATCGGACGACGCCCCTTCGGAATTCGACAATCGATCTTCGGCCGACTCGTAGCTTGTGTCTGATCCCTCCTCCCCCTCCTCGGATGTAGAGTCTTCTCCATCTTCGTGTCCCTCTTGGTCGACTTCCTGTTCCCAGCGCTGGAGGTGGTCTTCGCCCCGCGGTGGCTGTTTCTCCTGTGTTCCCCCCGTGAGATCCGTGGACGCTTGGCCTCGCTCGCCGGACTTTCGCAGACAGGGACAACCCCCGGGATAGTCTTCAGGAGGATGACGGTGATGGTGGTGGTGTCTGTGGCGATGGTGGCCACGATCGGAAAAGTGATTGTTATGTCTCCACGAAACGGCCTCGGACATCTCGATCGGGACTGACGCAAGACCGCTGATGAAGTCCGTCACCACTCCATACAGCACCTCGGCACCGGCGGAGAGGGGGCCTTTTGGGTCGCGCGTCGTGTCGTACTCCTGTGGACGGTATCTATGCTATTCATCAGCCTAAGGATTCTCAGCAGCGCAGAACAGAGGCACCCACAGTACGATATTATGCGGCTTCAACAGTCCCGTCTCCACCAGCACCGTCGCCGCGAACGCACTGAGTTTGATATGCGAATGCTGGATGAACCACACCGCAGGACGTTTGGGACACAGCGAGCACCGGAGACTATCTATATCCAGATGTTGGTGGAAGCTGGACACGGCATTCTTCATCCCGTTTTCCATCCGCATCTCCGCCCCAATCTCCCCGGCCTTTTCCAGCGTCTCCGGCTTCAACGCCGTCTGGATTGCCTCCGTCAGCTTCTCCACCGTCAACTGCTTGTACGGGACGGGCAGCGGTCCCGCGCCAGCCCGCGCGACAATCGACCCCCAGAACGGCTGGTCACCAAAGAACGGGATGACGATGGTCGGGCGGCCTGCGAGTAGACCGGCGGCGGTCGTCCCAGCCCCGCCGTGGTGGATCACACACGACACATGCTGGAACAACCAGTCGTGCGGACACTTCCCAATGAGCAGGATGTTGTCGGGGATCTCCGTCTCGCCTGCGCCAATGTTCCCCCATCCCTTTGACACTATCGCGCGCTGGCCGCTGCGTCGGACGGCCTCGAACACAATCTCGGTGAGCTTCTCCGCATTGTCGACGACGATCGATCCGAACCCGACATAGATTGGCGGTGGCCCGGCCTTGAGAAAGGCATCGAGTTCCTCCGGGGGCTGGTAATCGGACCCCGAGGAGTAGAATTGGAACCCGCACACGTCGATACTATCGTCCCAATCTTTGGGTTTCGGGAGGAGCGCAGGGGACCTAGTAGGTATAGAGTCAGCTGACGAAGCAGCAGCAGGGCCGTGAGTCGTACCAGAGATAGGTAAAGGGCACGCGCAGACGGTGCGCAATGCTGGGCGCGCGAATGGCGTCCAACGGGTCCAGGCCCAGCTCTCTCTTGCGAAACCGATTGATCAAGTCACCCAGACCCTCCCACATCATGATCTCGACGATCGCGTAGGACGCGAAGTTCGCAGCGGAGGGCTTCGTATTTCCCGACCGGATGTTCGCCAGCGGATGAGGAAACGCCTGCGTCGCCGTCCACGGCATTCTACATTCACAGTGTCAGCAATCACACCATGATCAAAACTCGGGGCACCCACGTAAACATCATATTCAGCGGGATGCCGAGCTTTTCCGCGCAGCTGATATGCGCAAAGCTCGGCGGATTCGCAATGATCACATCCGCGACAAACGGGCGGTCGCGATAGTCGACCGTGTCGCTCCACGGGTCATCGCGGATATGATGCAGCCCAGTCCCGTCGCCGGTCTCAAAGCACGACCGCCAACACCCGGTGAAGATGGTCTTCATGTCGCGTCGGCGGCGCTGGATCGCGCCGCTGCGGATCGTCCGCATGTCCGGCATCAACCCGGGATTCTTGACCATGAACGCCATCAGCTCGGCGGGATCGCCGCCGATGTTGAAGAACTCCAACCCCTGCTCGTTGACATATTCGTTGAATGAAAGATGCGTCGCCAGGCGCACGCGGTGCCCATGCTTCTTCAGCTCCTTGCCCAGGATGACAAACGGCTGGACGTCGCCCTGCGACCCGACGACTTGGATGACGATGTTCAGGCGCAGCGGGAAATGCTCCTTCTCCTCGGTCGCGTGGATCGCGGACGGACGGCGGTCGTACGGTGCGGTCTGCAGGTGTTTCTGTAGCTTACCCAGGAGGGGCTTGCGCTTATGGAAGTTGATGTCGAGGCGGCCATCGTCTGGACAGAGGGTTAGATGCATGCTGGAGTAGATCATGAGCTGGCTTACCCATCACTCGCACGCCCGTATTCAACCCCTGGTCGGCGATCAGTCCGCGGCCGTGCAACAGCGACGACCTGCGACTGAGACTCTCCTCCGGCCAATCCTCCGAATCGATGCCATCGTGACGCGATGCCATGGCGTGTGGGCTTGTCGATCGCGCATTAGCGTCACGGAATGCTCAAGCGTGACAGGATTCAATGCGACGAAATCCTTGTCTGGGGGTGATTTGCGACGGAGCCATGGTGGTGATGTCGGATGCGATGACTTCAGTGATGATGTCACCGCCAGATTTAGCTTTCCTATATAGCCCGACATTTCGCACACAGCACATTATGTCTACGGAGTACTCCGTAGTCAGCAGTGGGCATTCCTCGGAATGTCACCGGCTAGCAGACCCTGATGCTCCTTGGCTCTGGTGGACGCCGTGGGGCATGTCTTAGCTGCTGTTCGGTGTCTTGCAGTGCTTCCGATTGACCCGCTCACCTATACACCATCTGCCGAACTGAAGTATAGGATGTCCATTGAGACATCTCATGATTTAGAAGCTACTAAGAAAGCCTCTATTGATGTACGTCACTCGGTCCATCCCCTTGTATACGCTCTCACATGGATGTGTAGGCATGGATATGTTTGGCCGGGCTTCAGATCCTATATTCGGTCACTGTCGTCTATGCCCGGCACATGATTTAGCTTAGGAACCAGATCCTGTCGTCTGTCGATAGTCGTATCATCTGTCGGACTAGTCCGTCGATGTTGATAACGATGCGCGGGGTCAGTGACACCCCGTCTGCGCATCGCATGAGATAAGATACAACTATAAATATCCTAAGAGGCGGCACATCGCTCCTCATTGCTCTATGTGCAACATGTCTCCGATAAAATTACCAAGTGAGACCCCTCCAGCTCAATACGACGTGATAGTCGTCGGTGGCGGCCCTGTAGGCCTCGTACTAGGCTATCAGCTTGCCAAATTCAACATCTCAGTATGCGTCCCCGAGAAGCACGACAAGGAAAGCGGGGGCAGCTATGGCCGCGCCATTACGCTGTTCCCTCGCACGTGTGAGCTGCTCGAGCAGCTGGATCTTATCCAGCCGATGCTCCAGCAGGGGTTTGCCTGTAGGAGTAGTGTTACTTATAAAGACGGCGAGAGACAGTAATATCTTGTACCGTTTCCTTCTTACGAAAGCCTGTTCTAACTATGATAGACACCCCGGACGCGTCTGGACGTTCATGGAAAACATCACCGGCACGGCCTTTGATTTCGCCCTCGTCCTCCGACAGATGTATACGGAGGCTATCCTGCGCGAGAAGCTGCAGACCGTCGGTACTGCGTACTATCCCGCGACAGAGTGCGTGGATTATGAGATTGACCCCGACGCGGGGAATAACTACCCTGTTACTGTAACATGCATCGACCATAGAACACAGAGTAATATCATCCTGAAGGGGTAAGTAAACACCACCAAACCCACCGAACAACCACTAAGTGAAAAGGAAATACCTCGTCGGCGCCGACGGCGGCCGAAGCTTCGTCCGAAAGCAAGCCAACATCCCGTTCGATGGCGACACGTCCGAAGATCAATGGATACGAATCGACGGGATAGTCGAGACCGACATGCCCATCAGTCGGGCATACGGGTAAACACCGTGCTTCGTGGACTTTGGCGTACAGCTGACAGACCCAGCGCCATAGAAAGCAAGACCCACGGGAACGTCTTATGGGCGCCTCTTGACCATGGCGCAACGCGCATCGGCTACGCATACACACCGGAAATCGCCGCCAGATACCCCGATGGAGTCACCCAAGAGGTTGCAGAGACGGAGGCCATCCGCGCGATGGCCCCGTTCCATGTCCGGTTTACCGAGGTGCATTGGTGGACGCTGTGAGTTTCCTTCTTTATTTACCCGGGACCTCATCCAGCTAAAGCTATGCCAGCTACAAGATCAGCCAGCGCATGGCTCGCACATTCTCCTCCGGCAAGCACATCTTTCTCTGCGGCGACGCCGCGCACACACATAGTAGCGGTGCAGCGCAGGGACTCAACACCGGGATCCACGATGCAGTCAACCTCGCCTGGAAACTAGCGCTACAGATCCACGGGCTTTCGCGGCCAGCCGTCATCGAGACATACGCCGCCGAGAGAAAGGAGGCCGTCGAAAAGCTTATCAACTACGACAAGGACATCGCCCTGCTCATGACGCACAAGTGGCCGTCCTGGTACCAAGGGGATTCTACCGCCGACCCGTATGTGGTCCTTGGGGAGATATTCGACAAGGCTGCGTCGTTTAATACGGGTTTGGGGATTTCGTATGCGGAAAATGCGATTAATAGGTCTGCCTCTGTGCGGATAAATCCTGCGTCTGGGAGTCGGGCGCCGGATGTGGAAGTTGTGATGCCGGGCCTCCTTGCGAGGATACGTCTCCACCAGGTCTTGCGCAATGTTGGAGCGTTCCAGGTGCTAGTGTTTACTGGTCGTTCGGAGCAGCGTCAGAAGGCCTTGCTGGATTTTCGGGGGTATCTGGACCAGAACAGCGACTTGTACGGCCATAAGGCTATCAGGTGGTTCACCATTACCCCTGTGATTCAGTGCTCTGCGTATGAGGCTGTGGGCATGAACCCGTTTGGCGATACATACTTCGACCCGGACGGGCGGGCACATGTGGAATACGGAGTCGACATAGAGCAAGGAGCTGTAGTGGTAGTACGGCCTGATGGGCTTGTGGCATTTGGGTGTGATATTTCGGGGCCGAGTATCCGGAACTATTTCGAGGATATACTGCAGTTCTGAGATGGGAACATGCGTCACACAGTCTACAATGTAATCTTGTGCCAGGATGAATGGTAGCTAATCGAATTAGACTAGACTTGTCTGATATCTGTCTAAAGTCATATCAACAGTGGCTAGGACAACGCCATCTATCCAACACGCCTATCTCCGCCGTACAAATTGACAGGCTATATCTAAGCCTTAACGCACTGGTGGTAGTAGGGGTTCCACTGCTTGCAGGTCAGACCGCTCTCGCAAGTGGTGCTGCCAGAGTAGTTCATGCCACCGCACTGCGCGTACATCTTGACGACACCGGTGGCGGGGGCGGTGGCGGAGCAGGAGCCAGAGCCGGAGTCACCGGCGCCAGCCGTAGCCGTGGCCGTGGGCTTCGCAGACGTGACGAGGGTAGTCGGGGCGGCAGCCTGAGTCGTGGAGGTAGCGGGCTTCGCAGACTCGGTCTGGACAGGAGCAGCGGTAGTGGCCGGGGCCTTGGTGGAGGAAGCAGAGGCGGCGGAGGTGGCGGCAGGTGCAGCAGCGGTGGTCTTGGACGATCCAGAGCTGGAACCAGAGGAAGAGCCATCCCAGACGGCCGGGCCGGGGATGGGGTAGCTGTCGAAGGAGTTGTAGATGTCGAACAGAATGCCCGGGTCGGTGGCGGTGTAGGTGCCGGGGATGGAGACACCCTCAGGCAGGGTCTTGGAGCCATCGGAGGTGACCTTCACCTGCACACACTCCATGTAGAGCTGAGCGCCGCCCTCGCGGTTACCCTCGTGCAGGGCAATGATCTCGGGGCGGAACAGATACTCGCCGGCGGGCACATCGGGGACGGTGATGGAGTGCTTGCCGCGGTTGGCAATCAGAGTGTCAACAGCCCATTTGCCGTTCGAGTAGCCATCCTCGGCGATCTTGACCCAGCCGCTGCCGGCGGAGCCCTTCTCCGTGGGGGCCATGTAGACCATGACGGGGCCCAGGTGGGAAGAGGCAATGATGTCGTCCGAGGCATCGCGGCTGTTGTGGTGCCACTCGAACGTGATCTTGTCACCGGCCTTGACGTCCAGGGTTTTGGCGGCCGCGGTAGCGCCGTTGACGTTGCAGGTCATGTCCTTCGAGGTGACATCGGTGACGGGGCTGTTGTTGGGGGGAGAACGAATGTAGCCATCAGCAGTGTTGCCCAGGCCCTGGTCCTCGTCGTTGATCCAGACAGCGAAGACGGTGGCGTGGGCGTTGACCAGCTTAGCAGCCGCTGCCAGAGCGAGCAATCCGAAGGAGGTCTTCATGTTGATGAGTAGAGATAAAGAATGTGGGTGTCAGCTAGGACGAAGGAGTGAATAGAGAATAGAAAGAGAACGAAGCAAAGTGAATGGAATGCACAGCTTTCCCTGGTTGAAGAAGCAGCAGAAACGTCTCTGCAGCCAGACCGCGGACGTTATATACAATCGCTGCGCATGCATCGACATCGCGCGATGGAGCCCGTGAGATGAAAGAAGCCCTGCCAAGAGCGTCGTTTCATATATACACTAGTTCCTCCATCGGCTTCATCTAATCCGCTTGGCTTCATTCGTTTCTCCGTCGGCTCATTGGCCGAGATCCAGCGTTCTGATGCCTGGAATCCCTCGACTGGGTCTATAAGCTGACCACAATCGCTTCGGACTCCGGCCTATTCCCATCCCTGCAGGGGAAGCTCGGGCAGTCCCTGATTGACGCCGGCGAGGGATACAGGATTTCCTCTTTGGGCCCGCAACGGTCGTCTTGGCATCGTTTGGGATATCAATTCCGTTTCAGCCATCAGATAGTCATTGCGCTGGCTCGTACTAGCATATATTGGTGGCGGCACTGCAGGCATCTCGGCTCATTCCACGGAGGGGTCTCCTTTCGAATTTATCCTAGCCGCTGACTTTAGCCGTGGACTCGTATAACCCGATGAGCAGAGGCTTACTTACAGTGTACTACCTCGAACTCGGTCTAATGTCTAGATGTGAGCTGAGGCGCCGAGGGCGTGGGATTCCGATCTGATCGACACGGGGTCCATCATACTGTCGCAAACATCAGTAGTGTTAGGAAAATATCGAGGCGATTGGCATTTAACCGAGGGTATTATGCAGGGACTTGTTTCTGCTCCATTCAATAACCACCACCCAACTGTCTCTAACACTGAAGAACTAGTTAGGGGTCTCGCCGGTCCCTTGCAAGCTTCTTTTCTGTCGGCTTCTCTCCGAGAGTGAGACAGGAGGAAAGAAGGGCTCTCTGTGTTGTCTCCACTGACCCGGCGCATCGGCTATCTCTCAGAAGAGAAATCCTCCGAAGCCATCCGTCTGAGATCAATATCCAGACCGACGTTCATTGGCCTGGAGACTGCAGTGGTGGTTTCATAGGCGCCGTTGGCTGCTCTCGCGCAGGAGGTGGTAGCACTATAGGCGGTTATCTGGCTAGTCTGCCAGCGATCCCTGAATTAAGGGACATCAACAGTTCCTCGATCCCTGCTCCTGCAGCGACATGCCTAAGAGAGATTATTCGCAAAGTTGATGGCTGAAATCATGGTCACGGCCAGAAGTATGCGGTGTGCTTCTAGGCATATTGATTACCAGCGAGTGAATATGCGACAATATTCTCGCAAATCGCATTCCAATTCACGTCAATATGCACCAAGCCGAAGGTGCTCTTCCGCTCTATCCCTATCATTGAGGACTGACTGCTGGTTCCTGGAAGGACTTCATCTATCCGATCGCAAAAGTCGTCTTCTGCTCAATATCCCTCAGTCGAAAGATTAATAGATCGATACTTATGTTTAGCAGCCTATACGCCAGGGTCATCTTTGTAATATGCCTACCTTTCTCCTCTGCCTTGATGATTGGGCACGACGCCGGCGAATACTCCAACAATCCCCAACTCCCAAACCCTTCGTTCGGTCAGATGGCCACTTTGGCGCCGATACATATCCAGCGAAGACTCCCCGTAGCTGGTGCCTAAATCCATGAGAATAGACGCCTATTTACGCCACAAGGTGTGGGATGGTAGGCTTCCATCACTGTGATCTCGCTGGACTAACGCTCCTGGAGGCAGAGGACCGTCTGCAGCACAAGTCATCCATAAATATCCGCCCAGTACCGAACCGCCTCGACTCATGAGTATGGCTCAAAGCTATTCTTCGATACTTTCCTGTTCAATAATGTGAATACGACGAGCGTCCTGACGTTGCGATCACCCGTTCCACCGAGTCGCTGCATCATTCCTTGCACCGCAGCTGAAACTGAACCACCTCTTCATACCCGACTCGACATGGGCGAATACCCATCTGTGCGGTCACTTACGCCCTACCGTGGATCAGCTATCTCTAGGAGATACAATCCGTCAATATCGAGACAATGTCTATCAGGGCTTCGCGACTGTGATATCGACGGTGAGCGAGGGCCATCCGCCCTTTCTGTGAGAGGCTCTTCGTTGACCCCGTGCGATCACCTCAGTCAAGGGAAGTGGGAGGGTGCTCTGCATCTCGTCTCCCGCGACGCTTGTCCACACGCTGCTGTTCCTAGCTATCCGCTCGCATCCGAGCTATGAACGAAACGCACCAGGAGACTAGTCGCCCATAGTGATGAGATCGGGATACTCGGCATGGCTGGACCCATTCGTGCCAACAGCATTTGTAGAGGACGGAGGTCAATGTTAGTTGCGCGGCGCAGGCTATTTGCAAGTCCTAACTGGACTTGTTTTGTGATTGTTCATCTGTAGTCTTACTCGTAGGCTGTATCTTTTTCATAAAAATGAGCGCCATGGCTGATGGTGACGTCTCTTCCTCGTTGATTCAGGGCGCATGACACAACCTGGGGTAAATAGGCCATCCTGAACTACAACCTATGAAGCTTGCTGTTTTACTCGTGGCGGCAGTGGTTTCACTGGGATATGGTTGCCACCTTAGACCTGTGTTGAGCATAGGTGGACATATGATCGAATCGCACCTCGCGATATATATTCCGTGATATATACAGCGATGTATCCCTGCTGGACAAATGCCTTCTCATGATCGGGATGTCTCCATATTGATCGCATGATGTATACTTCCTAGTTATTTTCCTGATCAAGCATGTTTCGTATGGTATGACGGATGGCTATGGTGTAGAAGAACGGCGAACCCGATACAGAGTCAAGTTTCATGCTTAGAAATCTAGCATGACTGTCGATGTCATGCGCCACGTGAAGATAACATGCTTCTCGGATCCGACAACAGGGTTCTGAGCAAACTCTACAGAAAACTTGACACCTTTTGATAGATAGTACCGTAGTAACCGAGTACTCTTGGTGGTAAGTCCAGTCCAACTTCCAAGTCCAATGGCAGATGGAGAACTCGATCGACTACGTAGACGGACCACAGCATGACCGTTTTGTTAGCTTTAAGACTTCTCGGTTGACGCCATTCCAAGGCACTACATTCAGTCCCTTATAACCGTCTCCGATCCGATGTCCGCAATGCGGCAAGATCTCCCAAGACAGGAAAAAGGCCATCAGACCGTTCAACCCATTTGGCAATGCGGTCAGTGACTGCATACTGGATCGATCTGCTGCATGCACTGTGCGCCAGCCATATTATGCGAGGAACTCCGTCCGCTCGGTGAAGCACCCATACAGAAACACCCATATATCCGGGTTATCCGTCTAGCAGGCTAACCAGCCAATGTGCAAGTCACTAACATCGGATGCTCACGATGCACGCAACCGATTTGGAGAAGGCACTATTAATAATTGGACCCCAACGACGTGGCGCGCCGCCTTCAAAGTTTTACGATGGGGCTGACAGCGTGGACCCGGACGGACGAAAGGGGTATGCACGGAGTATCTCACCGGCAACGATGCTGTATTGTACCTGGCCGAAAGAAAGAGATCGATAGTATCTGTATGTGAATGCTGAAGGTTCCGATGAGTTCCTGGAACACACATCCCGATAGACGCGCCCCAGACCTATATACCAGGGACATCTTCAGATCTGGTTCTCTCCAAGATCGACGCGCAAGCGAGATTCCCCGAGGTCGACCCGAAGATACACCCCGGGCCGACCGAACTGCTGCGTGGGATGAGCTCCATGGGGTGGCAATGTGCCCTCCGAACCGGTCCGACGGACACGTTGCATAGCCCTTTACTGCATCGGGATGCCGAACCGGCCTTCGGCGTGGGATGATCTAACTATGGAGCAGCGGCTCGGGCGAGTTCCGAACACGGCCAGGAGACAAAGTAGCACGATTTAAGGTGCAGGTACAGAGCATAGCGACAGGGATGGTGGATATAATGATGTAGCGGGCGAAATTGCCTGAGATATGGTGGCGTGCAGGTAGAGTAGTGGTGTAATGCAGGTTTTTGCCAAAGTCAGGCCAGGAAAGTGAACCCTAACATATTGAGCATCCAACTTCACCGACCCACCGGTAGCCTCACACTATCACCCGACTGCACGAGACGGAGGAGCCGTAGAAGCCGTGGGGAATGCCGAATACGGCGTTTGGATGCTGAGGGCAGTGAATAATGGGTCGTTGGAGATCTCGTTGGCTGCGTGCTGCGCAAATTTCTCCTAGAATTCCTTTCAACGACGCCCCAGACAATGCCATGACGCATCAGGTGCCATGGAGAATCGTCTTTTTATATAGCCTAGCCCATTCTCCCCATTTGCTTCCCCTTCTACTCCATCTCTCACCCCCCTTCTCCTCATTCTCTACCCCAGGGCTCCATATCCAACATGAACAAGGAGAAAGATAATACCCTGCCTGGCGTGTTCTCACACACTGAGAACACCGCTGCTGAGTCTCACTTCCACGCTGTACCAGAGTCAGGCTGGGTGGTTGGCGGCCAGCATGCTGAGAAAGTCGCAGACGACACCTCCACATCCTCCCAGGAAGCCCTCACGCAGGTTTTCGACTTTGACCTTCCTCTAACGCTGGCTCGAAAAACTGTCCAAAATGACAAGCAGTACATCGTGCTCGACTTTGCCCCCGGCGACACGGAGAACCCGTTCAACTGGAGCCAGGGCAAGAAGGCGTTCATCTCGCTGCTCCTCTGCCTCATGACCCTCTTCATCGGTCTCGCCACGACAGCCTACAGCTCCGGCATCTCGCGAATGTGCGCCGACTTTGGTGTCTCGGAAGAACTGGGCCAGCTGGGTCTGTTCACGTTCAACTTCACCTGCGCTCTGGCGCCTCTCTTCCTTGCTCCCTTCTGCGAGCTGGCCGGTCGACGCGTCGTCTACGTCGGCGCCTACGTCCTCTTCGCAATCATGTTCATCGGACTCTCCCTCGGCAAGAACATCGCCACCATCCTCGTCTGCCGCGCGCTGCTGGGTCTCTTCGGTTGCGTGGGCACAATCCTCGTCGGGGGCACCTTCGGTGACATGTACCGGCCCGAAGAGCGTGCCATCCCCATGGCGGCCTTCTCGTACGTCGCCATCCTCGGCACCGTCGGCGCGCCCATCTACGCCGGCTTCATCGACCAGGCCATCGGCTGGCGCTGGGTGGAGGGCGTCCAGGGGCTGGCCAACATCCCGCTGGCGATCGTCATCATCTTCTGCCTCCCCGAGACCCGCGGCAGCGTCAGGCTGGCCAAGCGCGCGAAGCTCATCCGCACGCAGACCGGCGACGAGCGCTACGTCACGCCCAACGACCTCGAGGCCCCCGACATCAAGACCATGCTGCACAACTCGTCCGTCAAGGCCTTCAAGATGCTCGCCACCGAGCCCGTCGTCTTCTTCTTCGGCCTGTGGATCAGCTTCGCCTGGTTCCTCACCTTCCTCTTCCTCTCCGTCATCCCCATCACCTTCCAGGAGAAGAAGGGATGGAGCGAGGGCATGGCCGGCCTGCCGTACATCTCGCTCTGCATCGGCACCACCGTCGGCTTCGCCCTGAACTTCCTGCAGATCCGCAAGTACAACTCGCTGGTGGCCAGCGGCGATAATCAGGCGCGGCCCGAGGCCCGCCTGTATGGCGCCATGTATGGCGCCGTGTGGCTGCCCATCGGCCTGTTCATCTACAGCTTCACGCAGTACGCCTTCATCCACTGGATCGCCCCGGTCATCGCGCTGGTCTTCATCACCGTCGGCATCTTCTTCATCTTCGAGTCGTGCTACAGCTTCACCTCCGACTGCTACGGCGAGAACTCGTCGTCGGCCATCGCTGGCCAGGGATTCATGCGGAATACGCTCGGTGCGGTGTCGCCGCTGTTCGCGTCGCAGTTCTTCCACAACATGGGCAGCCAGTGGGCGGGTCTGCTGCTGGCGCTGATCGCGACCATCCTCACCTTTATCCCGTACGTGCTGTTTGTGTATGGCCCTCAGCTGCGGAAGCGCTCCAAGCTGGCCTCGCATATTACGGGCGCGTCGTGATGCGTTGGGTTGATTGCATTTACATGGTGATTGCATTGGCGTCGTTTGAATACATAGACAAACAACAAGAAACTGGCTTTCTGGTATTTCATTATGGCTCTGAAGGATTGGGCTGGCCTCATGAATCACCTCTCCTGGCATGGATTTGATGAGATGGAAATACACTATTGCATTGATGAATAGCATAATCAGTACCATCACGATTCAGCATAACATTGGCAGTAGTCATGGCAGTTGAGCCGAGATCGTAGACCCGCCACTGGCGCTACTAGTAAATGCGGTCGATATATTGGCTTTGGCCATACCGCTCTTGTAACTGTTGAGTCCCAGTAGGCGAGCGACATCGGATATTCTCCGTTCTGACTGCTGAGGACTATTATTCAGACTGTCAGATCATGGTCCAGAAGGTGCTTTATCGTCAATCTACATAGAGAAGCAATAGTCTAGCACTAGGAATATATGATTTCGTGTCATATACTCTCTCCCCGTGTTTTCCTTTCCATTCAGTGCTCCTTCCACTCGCCTTTGCCCTAAGCAGCCTAGTAGTATAGAACGCCATGCATGGGGATAAAGGGGATAGCAAGAGAACAAAGAAATCGTTATAATAAACGATTCCACTCTGAGGATCATTTTAGTATTCCTTCCAGCCTGTTTGCCAATAGTCATCGTGAGCAATGGCTCAAAGAATTGTCCCTAGAGCAACTCCCCACTACAACAACCCAGCGAAGCATGAGAATCAACTTGGCATACTTCTACACCTACCAAGCTCTTAGCACTGGCAAGATCGACTCCATCAGATCATGGATCCCACGCCAAGGAACGCAACGATGGATGCTACTACGGGTGGCGTAGCACCATACGCGGGATACTACTCCTAGGTAGTACCGTCCCCCTCGACCATCCCGTTGCGGACTATCCGTTCCTAGACATCTCGACGATGACGTCGAGGCGCCAGAAAGCGCACAAAAAGGCATCTCTACACGCCGATCTTGGTCTTCTTACCGCTTTATTGCCGCTTCGGGGCTAGACGCTTGCGGGGTAGCGGGCATCTGGGGAAACACGAGGCAACGAGAGGCTCCGACTGCCCGACTGGGGGTTCGGTCTTTGTTCCGGCCGGGGTATCATTGCCCGACGCATCATGACTCGTGCTGTAGTACATCTGTAGTATGAGACCTAGGTATATAAGGGACGTCCGGCGGAGACACGCGGTGTTCCTCCGTCTGTACATTTTTCTCGTTAATAGATTCATCATGGTCAAGGTTGATATTTTCCGGCCTGGGTTCGTCCTGCAGGCGGCGATATGGACGGCCTGTGGCATGGCCTTTATCCTGTTTGGTATGCGCATCGATTGCGTTGCGCGCATGTGCTAATGGACGCAGGATACGATCAGGGCGTGTTTTCGGGCATCGTCGAAAACGAGGACTTTCTCGGCACCATGGGCCATCCGGGCGATAGTCTGCTGGGCATCATTGTCTCCATCTACAACCTGGGTTGCTTCTTCGGGTGCATCGTGAACTTTCTCGTTGGCGACTGGCTGGGCCGACGGAGGGCCATGTGGCTGGCCATGGTCTGGGTTGTTGTACGTGGACAGAGTAAATGGCTGGCTGGCTCTGGTGCAGCGCGCTGACAATATGCCCTAGATCGGTGCCACGCTGCAATGCTCCGCGTACAGCGTCCCGCATATGATGGTCGCCCGGTTCGTGACCGGCATCGGAACGGGCATTGAGACCTCCACGGTGCCGATGTATCAGGCCGAGCTGTGCGAAGCGTCCAAACGAGGCAAGCTGGTGTGCAGCGAGCCGCTTCTCGTTGGAGTCGGTATCGTCATCAGGTATGATAATAATGGTCTGTGGTGTCGCTGGCCAGCTCTAACCGGTGCAGCTACTTTTTCGATTACGGAATGAGCTTCGTCGGGGGGCAGATTGCGTGGAGATTGCCCATCGCCTGCCAGATGATCTTTGCTTTTGTATTTCTCCCAGCCTCATCTTTGTGATTGTCGTCTAACTGTCCAGGTCGTCATCCTCCTCGTCTTTGGCCTCCCCGAGTCGCCGCGGTACTGCTACAAAGAGGGCCGCAACGAGGAAGCCCTGCAAATCCTGAGCGACTTCTACGGCCGACCAAAAGACGACCCAAAGATTCTCGCCGAGCAAGCCGAGATCCTCGAAGCCCTTGCCATCGAAACCAAGCATGGAGAGTACAAGTGGCGGAACATCCTCAAGCGCGACGAAGTCTGCACCGGCCAGCGAGTGTAAGCCCTCACCCTCACCCTGTCCAGCCTTCCACACCCTCTAACAGAGCCAGTCTCCTCGGATACGGCATGCAATTCATGAACCAAGTCGGCGGCATCAACCTGATCGTGTACGCTCCCCTTCCTCCTAACACCTCCCCATCTAACACCCCCGCAGCTACTTCATCCCCACCGTGCTCAGCACCAACGTCGGCCTCAGCAAGAACCTCTCCATGATCATCGGCGGCTGCGTGCAGATCATGTTCGTCGTCGGCAGCTTCTTCCCGACCTTCTTCGTCGACCGCGTCGGCCGCCGCCAGCCCATGATGTGGGGGGTCGTTCGGGCTGGGCGTGTGCATGATGATGGTGTCGATCCTGCTGAGCTTCAAGGGCAAGGCGAACGAGCACGCCACCTCGTCCGCGTCCATCGCCTTCTTCTTCGTCTACATGCTCATCTTCGGCGCGTCTGTCAACTGTATCCCGTGGGTGTACGTGCCGGAGATCTTGCCGCTGCATGCCCGGGCCAAGGGCACGGCGATTGGGATTTCGTCGAATTGGATCTGGGTATGTAATCTCCCTGTTTGTGTAGAGATGAGGCGGTGCTGACTGCGATAGAACTTTTTTGTCGTCATGATCACGCCGGTCATTATTAACCGGCTGCAGTGGAAGGCGTATCTCATCTTCATGTGCACGAATTTCGCCTTCGTCCCGCTTGTGTATTTCTGTTATCCGGAGACGGCGAAGCTGACTCTCGAGGAGATTGATTTCCTCTTTAATAACCCGGAGAAGAGTGCTGTGAAGCTGTCCAAGGAGCTGCAGAAGGAGCGGAGGCGCGGCCAGGGACGCAGCATCGTTGTGGATACGGGCATCTTGCGCAATGCGAGTGTTGCGTCCCAGGGTGGGCAGGAGAAGAAGCAGAGTGCTTCGGAGGAACAGGTCGAGGAGGTTTAGTTGATTTGGTATTCTGTCGATGGAAGCGACAGCTCTAGGAGATTATGGCTAGAGATGTCTACGAGTAACGATCGCTTTGTCTCTAGCTTTGACTCCAACTGCTTCGACAGCATTGACCCGTTGATCTTGATGGAAAATATATTCAGAACAGACGTATATCTGAAACATCGACCCTGTCACCTATCCAAAGAAATATATAACAAGAAGGTGTAATATGACATCTACCCTACCCGACCAGCCTGCAGAATAAGAACGTTGCCGATGATCCTATTCTCCGTGCGTACCATGGCTTGTCCAACTGCTCCCAGAGCTCTACTCGTGTCACCACCGACCTCGTCAGATGAAGCATTGATATCCGTCTCAGAACCCACCCGGTTGTTGCGACGTCCAACAACCACCAAATTCCCAGCCTTGTGGGTGGACTTGCTCATTTCCTCCTTTGCGGCCGACACTGCCAGGGTAACCGGGTCCTTCTCCTTCTTGGTGGGCGAAATCCGCTTGAAGACCACCCGCGACGCAAGGGGTTCGGCCAACGAGTCCTGCAACGCCCCTACAAAAGCAGAATCCGACTCCGGCCCCAAGGGCGACTGACTTGCTGCAGTCTCGTTGCTTGCGCCTGCAGGACTCGACTCGTCGCTCGGCGAAGCCCCTTGGTACAGCGGGGCATCGATGTGCACAATGGTAGCGGTCACTTGATCGTTCTGTGCTAGTTGGAGGACAAACCGCAGCGCATACCGATCGTCGTCGCCGCCAAAGAACGGCAACACAATATGATGGGACAAGGCAGCCGAAGGCGCACTGTTCCAGACTGAACTGCGCACACTCATCGCGCTCAGGGACCGCCGGGACAAAAGGGGCCGCCGAGAACTCCTCGTGTACACGCTTCTTTCGATGAGAACTCCCACGCTGCACGGCGACTGACCGAGAACACTCGAGACGAAATCAGTGTAGGGGCCATTCACGAAACGACGGGATTCATCCACGCCGAGTCCGCTTTGTTGCTCGCTCATTGCACCGCTCTCGCTCCACGGGATCAGAAGCAGGTCGCTGGATTCCTCGCGGCACATTCCCACAACGGTGTCAGCGAATGAGTACTCCGGAACGACAGAGACGCCCGCCATGAGGGAGATGTCATGCCATTGACCAAACGCGCGGAAGGTGTTCACCACAGGATCCCAGAGAGAATATTCGTCAATCTCTGATACCTTCATGACACTAGAGTCACGATCCGTTAGTTCCATCAACCGCACTCCGTGCACCCGCAGAGCTGGTTCTTCGACTTCCGTCGCGGCGGACTCTTCCGCCGCCGGTTCAGGGGAGGTGGTCAACGACTTTTTCTTATCCGGGTGCACTTTTGCAGCTGGAGGCTGAGCGAAGCGGTTAGGCCCTAGAAGAGCGGCAAGGGTACAGATGCTCGATAGCCCATCCAGGCGCAGATACACCAACACCTTGCGAACTGCACTAGAGTTCAATTGATCCTTGGCGACGGCAACACTATCCACACGGCCATCAGGCTGGATCGGATTGCCATTCCAGTCGATCTCTCCGCGTCTCCAGCGTTCCACTTTGATCTGGTACCACTTCGGATACAGCAGGGTGGTCAGTGGGGTGGTCGCAAAGGTGGTGACCAACGCCATGACGACAAACATGGTAAATGTACGGATACTCAGGATGTTTGCTTGCAGACCGATGTTCTGGCTCGTGTCAGTAGGCGATTATCCGGGAGGAGACAGTGGTCGGGCATACCAGTACGATCAGTTCGACCAGACCCTTGCAGCTCATCAAGACCCCAATCGACAGGCTTTCTCTCCACAGGAGACCACACAACCTGGAGGCTAGCGCCCCTCCAGCGACCTTGGCAATAAAGGCGATCGCGATAACTCCGACGACGTAACCCCACACGGTGCCATCATTCAGCAATCCGAGGTTGGTCTGCAGTCCAGACAGGGTAAAGTATAGAGGAAGGAACAGAGCGGCAACGAGATCTTCGATCTTCTCCGTGAGCTTGATCGCAAAACCGCCTTCATGGGGACACAGCAGCCCGATCAGGAAACCGCCAAAAATGGCATGGATTCCAATGACCTGGGTGAAAAAGGCAGATGCGAGAGCAATCAGCAGTGTCAAGGCGACAACCGACTGGCTAGGCCCCTTCTGCAAGCTACCCGTCCTTGCGAGAAAACGAAGGAACAGAGGCCGAAAGACCAAGACTAAGACGAGCACGTAACCCACAGCCACAAGAAGGACCCATAGAGCTGTCAGCCCGGATCCTGCATTGACCAGTGCGACACAAAGCGCGAGGAGGATCCAGCCGACAACGTCGTTTCCCACGCCGGCAGAGAGCACGATGACACCGACATTGGTTCCAAGCAATTTCAGCTCGGTCAGAATACGGCACAGGACGGGAAAGGCCTTCGAACCAGTAAGCAATACGACATCCACGAAACGAGATGTTCACCAGATACATACCGTGATGGCCATGGCGATACCGATGAACAGTAGATAGGTGCCGAAATCGATAGGGACCGTGTCTGGCTCATTGCGAAAGGTATTGTACAGACCATACGAGATGGCGCATCCAAACCCGAATGGCAGGATCATGCCCGCCGCCGAGACACTGGCCGCCACCCGCCAATTGCTGACCAAGAAACGGAGGTCGGTTTCCAGCCCAACCAGGAAGAGGAAGAGAACCAGCCCCAAGTTGGCGACCAGATTCAAGTTGGGGAGGGACGCGGTCGGAAAGATGGCCTCTGTAAAGCCTGGGATCCGGCCCAGGACGGACGGGCCCAGCAGGATACCGGCGATGACCTCCGCGATGACTCGGGGTTGACGAATCTTGGAGAGCGGCCAGTGCAAAGCCCGACAGAAGATGATGATGATGGAGGCCTAAGCACCATTGGCACATGCACCTACATCACATGAACGGAAGAGACGCCTGACCTGGATGATAAAGATGACAATGGGGTTCTTGGGATCATAGTGAGATGGGTTGCCGCCTTCGAGAATGCCACCCTGAGGGGGGACATCGCCGGTAGAGTTGGAGGAGGCAGCCATGGTAGCAAGACCCGGCCGACGGCCTGACCTGATGAAGGGAGGGATAGTGTAGCTGGATAGACAGAAGAACAGAACAAATGGTTCAGGAGAAGAAGAAGGATGAAGAGGAGAAAGGAAGAGGAGGTCGAAGGATGATGCGAAATGACAGCTGACGGAAACGGCTTAGCGGGATGTGGGGTAGTTCGCCCTCATGTCTAGGTAGAGTATACAAAACCATTGTCACCATGATCGTTTGTGGTCTTTCCACGGCGCGTTGGTGTCTTAAAAATACCAGGAAGGCTATACTTAATTTATTTTAGGGCCATTTCTATAGTTACAGCTATTAGTGTCTCTCTTACACTGGGCACGTACACTAGATAAGTAGACAAAAATATATAAAGAAAGCCCGGATGTAGCCTCGTAGATTACTAGTCAATAAGATAACCTTATTAACTACCTAGGTAAGTTATGAGACGAACAGAGATGCATCTTAGCTAATCGTGCTGTATGAAGAACGCTTCCCCTCTACGCCCCCCCCCCCCCGGGGTTCAGCGGGCCGAATCTGTTTTCCTGTCATCGTCCTGATCCAAGTGCACGGCTCTCCTCCTGGGGTGCTTATTGACTACCCTCATGAGGTCGAAGACGTCCATCTTATCCTCGTGGGTACCAATGATGCTGACCAACACTTTCTTGTACGGGTCGATGCGGTACGGCTGCAAAAGATCTATTGAATCTTGCGATTTGCTGATAACCGCAAAATGCAATGTCGTCCATCCGTAGTCATCAATAGCAAGGGGGTCAGCTCCATATTCAAGTAACGCTTTGATTCTCCCGGCATCTGAACTCTCTGCCGCAAGATGCAGAGGGCTGACATTCTCTCTCCCTCTGACGTTCACGGATGCCCCATAACCCAATATCAACCGTAGGGCGCCTTCTCCTTGGCCACGGTGGTAGGTCTCGTCTCTCGGATCCTCCAGCTTCGTTTCTTCCCAAGTGAATCTAATCATAGTGCGTTCGGAACTTTTCCGTTTCAAGGCTCTGGGAAGAAACCGTTCAACGCTGCGAGTCACCCATTCAGGATTGCATGCTAGATGGAGTGGAGTATTCCCATCCGCATTCCGGAGATCGATATCGAGACCCATCTGTACCAGCACTTCAATAGCCTTCGTATGTGCACATTTCGCTGCTAAATGGAGTGCTGTTTGTCCAGTTCTGGACTTGCCATGAAGCGCCGCACCATTCTTGATCAAGAGCCTTATATTTGTACCGATGTCATAAAGCTTGTTCTCGCCTCCGAGTATCAATGCGTGTAGCGGATTGTCCCCTCGGTCATCCATCGTATTGACGTTTGCGCCTAGCTCCAAGGCGAGCTGTATGCTTTTTGTGTTCCCTGAACGGCATGCGAGATGGAATGCTGTCGTTTCGTTAACAGGAGCGTTGATGCCTCCATACCGAGCGACGAGTGATTGAAAGATATTCTCGTAGCCATACTTTGCTGTGTTGAAGAGGAAATGATGGGCATAACCTTCATGGTCCCACGTATCTCCCCACTTCGTAAAGATCATTTCAATGAAGTTTTGCGTGACAAGAGCCATGGCTTTCACAGTTTGAGGTTCGTCAAATCGCACTCCTTTCGTAATTAGAATGCCTATTTCTTCTGCCTGCTTGTGGTTGATGGCATGCGAAACACACTCCCCAAGATCGTTTTCCAATTCCAGGGCTCCACCACACTGCATCAGATCTCTAAACATTTCAGTATTACTTCCATTGAGGCAGAGAACCAAAATGCTGGACCAATAACTCGCTGACTTGTCGATTTTGCTGCTCGAACTCAGAATACTTTTCACCGAGCTGGCATCCCCGCTCCAAACAGCTGCAGTAAGGGCACGTGACGGATCCAGGGTAGCGTATTTGAGCTTCGCTGCCAAAGACCTTGTCCATTTCGTCGAAGTTTTCTTGGACCTAGCTGTTGTGGGCAGTACTTGCATATCCTGCGCATACACAGAATTATGCCGAGTGGTACGTATACTGTCATTGCTAGAAGCAAGATTGGACGCTCCTAGTTCCGTGGTTGGGATAGACTCGGCTCCGTCGTCTACCTGAGGTGCGTCGGCTGGGTGGTTTATTCTGGATCTCTGGCGTGGTTCCTCTTGGGATTCCAAGTCAATCCTTCCCGCCATGGCGGCATTTATCAGCCATTTTTGGATGTATTCGCGTTGCTCCGAAATTATGTCTGGCGGAAATCCCGCGCTGACCAACTCCGAATGTATCACCTGCCAGTCATCGCTACCGGATATTGAACGGCTCGAGAGATGAGATGACAGGACTGAAAGGTTGTCATCGCCACCGTTCATTAGGCCTATAAGGTCTTCCAGCTTCTGTGCTAAATCATTCATAGACCGGCTGTCATATCTAATTAGGCGGCTGCTGGCTGAAACTGGAGGGAAATTTTAACACACCTGGCAATCTTCTTGTTCAACAACGTAAGCCTTGAAATGTTAGACTGGATGTTGGATCTGAGCTCTTTGAGACCATAGAACTCTTCATAGGACCTGACATTGTCCCATTGAGCTCGACTATTCTGAGGCATACTCTGGTATACATCCAAGGTGGATTGAAAGTTTTCGAGCGTTCGGCAACAGTCCTGGAGAAGAGTTTGAATCTCGTCGGCGTTGCTGGATGAGTATGTGTCCGTCTCTAGCCTGTCTCTAAGGATGCGAAGACCCAAGTACATGCTGGAAACATCCGATGCTGCCTCAGCGATAGCAGCTGATGATGAGCGTTCACATAAGCGGTAGACTTGCCATGCGAGCTCAGGGGCATCCAGGAGATCTATATTTTTATAAGTCTTCGTTGTGTCGCAGGAAGTGGACTGTGGAGTACTATACTCCTATGGATGGGCTTACTTAGGGTATATCGCCCATGAGTGCCAGCATCCAATGGTTTCGGATGCTGCATAAGGAGGCTTGATAGATCAAGTCCTCCTTGCGTCACATTGCGGATGTATACATCTGAATCGAGCCCGAGAATTAGACACTGAAAACAATTCAAAAACTCCGTTGAGGGGTCCAAGAAGTCCAGAGAACCAGAGCCTGGGCGGCAACTACCATAGCTAAGTCTCAGTTGCTTCACTTCCCCATTGTATTCTTGCATTCAATTCTTTGTTGGACGGAGTCCACCTTCTAACCTACCTGTCTCATTGATCTCATTTGGTAAATCCACCAAGGCGTCAGCACAGAGCATTTGCAAGTTGCGTTCCACTTTGCGATAGTTATCCACATCGGCTTGGATACGCATATCAAAGCGACACATATTGCTGTGATCAGCGTTGATACGCAGCTGAGTCTCACAGTTGCCTGGAAGCCCAAGGACTGCCGAACTGAATGGCACGACCTTTTCAAGTTAATAGCACAGACATTAATGGAGGAATGGTAGCTATACATCACCGACACCCTCATAGCATGACAGGATCTTGTACTGGTTCAACTGGTGGCGAAATGATTCGCTCAACAGATCAGAAAATAATGTTTCTCCCTCGAGTATCTCGATGATCTTCGAAGAGGAGACAAATGGCAAAGACCGCGCTATTCTTGCACAAGCCATGCCGAGTCCAATCTGCACATTCCTCGCTGGGCCAGAATGCGGAGTTCCAAAGAACACTAAGGCGTGTCTAACTGAACGGTGAGCGTCAATGACAACAAGGCCAGTGCGGTGTCTTACGTTGCCTCCTTGATTCCTCTGTACTTCTCGTTGGCCCAGGCATTCACCAAAGCCTATTCATAAAAATGTCAGACACTTTGGGATACTTTATTCTTCTGTGATTTGAGGGTGGGAGTTTGGGGACTTACCTGTTTGATCAGGATTCCGCCCAGGCTATGTCCAACCAGGATAATTGGGATGTCTTTTTTCTTTTCGCACAAGACCGAAGTTAGCATCAGGTCACGATACGCAGGGATAATCAATGAAAAGAAGAATTAGCAACATACCATTTGCCAGCGCTCACCATATATCTCATCCAAGAGTTGATTGGCCTCACCAACAAAGCTGTCCTTGGCCGAACCAAAAACGGGGATGGAGTTGTATTCGTATAGATAGATTCGCGCATTCGGTTGAGCCTTTGCGAAGCAATCGCGAAGCCAGAGGCATCCTTTCTCTTCGAGGGGCTTTCTCCAAGTGTTGAATGCGTGATCGGAAGAACCAAGGGGATTCAAACCGTGCACCGCAATGATACTGTGTCTTTTTAGCCAGGGCAATATCTATGCCGGCTTCGTGTCTTACTCTATCGCTGGGGTTCCTGTCCCATCTTGTCCTGTGCCCGCTGCGAGTTGCCGAAGAGACTATATCATGACTCTGCTGTTAGAAGGAATACAGTTGATTCTCGTTCATTTGCCAGGGAAGGGAAGGTAATACCATAATAACGGGAAGAGAGTTTCGTAGCCGTTATCTCCTCCAACAGTCACTGTGTTGGGAGCTATCGAAGTCGGGGAATACAATGAGTCGGAAAACATGGCAAGGAGGAAGTCTCCGACTGACCCCCCAGGTATTTAAATAGGGGCAGCGACATCGGGTCGTAAACAGGGGGCTAGATTTTGACGCTAAATTGAAATGGGTCTTACTACTGGGGATTGTGACGCTGTATCGACCAACTGATGGGATGATAAACCCAGCGGATTTTCTGATCCTGGGTTAGGTATTCAAGTAGTGAATGGCTTCCTCACCCGGACAAGAGGAAGGCCAAGGAGGAGTCGTCACATACACTGACCTTCATTGTTACTGGGAACAAGTCGAGGGAAAGTGACCCTGCAAGCGAATCTGGCCTGAGAGGAGACGTGGGTGCGGAGTCCAGATTGCGGCGCAGGAGCTGAACAGCAAAAGAAGGTATAGCGCGCTGAGTGCCCCTCAACGTCTATGTACACCCCTGCCACGGAGTCCTTCCCTACGTCGAACAGCCGAACTTCCGTTGTGACCCTCTTGCGCCCGCCGTAAAGATCGATGAGCTCAAATCAGCAGCGACAGGACGGCTACCATTCACCTTTGCACAGCTGCAGTTACTATTCCGAGGATGGAGAACAGGTCGTTTTCGGTCATTGTTTCTTTTCACACGATAACGCGCAGAACACCAGCTTAATCCCAAATATTGATTATATCGATCTGAACTCGCTAGAAAGCGTGTTACTAGTACAGAGTACATGCTACATAGTTAGGAAACTCGAGGGTTTCACTGCCGATATCCGAGCACTTAACAGTAGCATGTTCTACGCATTTCTTTCCCTGATCGCTAGCTGGCATTCTCGGCGTTCTGCCCATGTAAACCTCGACCTAGCGGCCCAAAAGGATACATTTAGATCTTGAGAAAGTGATCTCAGTCTCTGTGTAAGGGACGAGGTCCCACGATAGTTGCAGGAACAGATCGAATATGATAGTCAGGCTCTACACTTTGTTTGACGCCGCTGCGTCTGATGACCCGGACCGCTCATCACGATACTGCGGAACGATATCGGCCCCCATCAGCGCTACCGCTGGTTTACTGCTAACCCGCCCTTAAACATCCGGGGTTCTGCAGGTCGCGAAGGGGGTCAGGGTACAACCCATCGGCACACCGCACCAGGTGAGCAAATATTCGCAATTCAACTGAACAGGGTGAAATATCGTACTTGGTAACCGCATGATGTCAATGATGTGCACCTAGCTAGACACAGCCACTGGACTATGGTATCCGACAACCGAAGTGCGGCTGATGAGCATCTCGAATGGTAGCGGTCTTTCTAAACTACGTAAGCATCACTGTGAAGTGTAAAAGTAGGCAGGCGTAGCGGCTAATACTGATCCATACGCTAAGGTAAGACCACAACATTCATCTCCCAGGTATACTATCACTATATCTAGGTTGTAGATATGCAGTAATTCGCCTTCACCGCAGAATACGGAGTACAGTGCATGTAGTATACAGTATACGGTATCATTCTTAGTTTGTTATAGATGGTGGTAGTACATGGTCCTATTAACGTCTCGTCGGCGATGTAGATCCAGAGCTCTATCTCCTCATCGCGACCCGGTTCAGTCTTGATAACGGGGCTGGGTACTATAATAATTTCCATTCTTTTCTTCGCAGCGGCATCCCCAAAGACTATACCTATACAGCTTCACGGCGAGATCGCCGGCCGGTCATAATATCCCGGCTGTGCTCGAAGTTCATCCAACAGGATGAAAATGTTGACGTCGGGTCCTCCCAGTTCCGACTTGATCGCCGTACAGGCTCGAGACAGCTTGGACCTGGGATCCAGCCGACGAGGAATCTCGTCCATCTCCTGCAACGACCGTATCAGATCTTCAAAGATTCCAAAGAGATCAGGAGACATCACGGCCCCCTGGAGGCGCTTTTCCGCCATGTAGTCGAACACTGTCTGGATCTCGGCACAGTTACTGTTCACTAATTCCTGCGTCAGCGCCCCCCTCCCCCCGTAGGGTAGAGATACTCACCGATAGCGGCAGCTGTACCTACCTCGACGCCATAGAGCTCTTTAAACACCTCGTAGTCTGTCCGCATGCGGTTCTCGTACAGGTACACGTCCAGCGCGACGTCGCCGCATCCCCATTTCACGGGCACCCGATCCGCCGGGCTCGGCGAGTGCAGAATATTATCGACAAAGGCGTTGATGATGCCCTGCCGCACATGGAGGCATTCAGGGTTGCTCCGTTTGCGATTGCGATTGTCGGCCGTCTTTTGGTCGAGTTGTCGACGCAAGTCTTCGAGCATGTGTTTGTTGGTCTCCAGGTCTTTCCCGGACTCCTCGAGCATCTGTCGGATTTCGTCCATTCTCACGGTCATCGCTGGCGGCAAAAATCGACCAGGTCACTCGTTTATTAAGGATCTACAGACAACGCCGCTGACTTTGGGCCCCATTCGCCGGCCCCCTCCTCATATACCTCGCAGCATACTTTGGGGCTTCAGTGATAGCACAAGCCCCTTTCGTCGAGCGCTCGTCATGGATCTGTGGCAACACCCCTTTGCAACTGGGCGGGAGGGGCTGGAACCAAGCGAAAGGGTCGTAAGTTTTTTCCCGGGCGAGATCTATGGTTCGATCAGGACTCACATAGTCTAGACTCGGAGCGGGGAGTCGATCAGACCGACTGGTGGCGCGGCAACAACCATGGTACCGCATTGCCCGCATGGTTGACAACGGGACCTGCAAGTATTTTCCGGACTAATCGTGTGGGGAAGACATTGGGAGGAACCTCTCCCCTCCTCCTCCTCGACCCTGGGTGTTCGTGTTGCTTGTCTCGGTAGTCTGTTCGATCTGAATTCTATCCCGGATGGGATTCTGATTCTGGGCGCTGCAGAATGGGAGCAGACGGTTGCGCCTGCTGAGCATGATTAGAGTTAACTCTCGACGCACCACCATCTGGATAGACAGAGCAGGCACCCTCTTCGCCAGACCAGACGACTGACCGCATGAACCATCAAGCTTGTAAGGGATGCAGGGTTGCACCTTGGAACCCAGGTGGCTAGTCGATTAGAGCGTTGAATCCGGGTGTGCGATACGCGTTACGCTTCTCCCTAGACCGCAGCTGTATCCTAATGAAAGCATCCATTTTACCTTTGTATTTTAGGTTATACCCCCTTCTCAAGAAGGCTGATCCGCAAACGTGGCAGTCGTGATGTCACCCAACACCCCCGGTGGCAGTTGTATAAAGCCGTACACCTCATGGGTCCCGAGATATGACTAGAATATGCACGATTATGAATCAACGGCGATGGATAGAGAATAGGGTAACAGCCAAACGGGTTTATATATTAATCCAGCACAATTACATTCAACGCCACTAAACCTTCATCAATCTACCCAGAAGTCCGCGGAAATACTCGATGCTGAATACAAGCATAACCAGAGCCTCTATCGTAATATCTGATCTATACAACCAGCAATGACTCAATCCGAGGCGTTCGAATACAGCTCTAACAGCGATGATTGGCGAATCTAACACAGGCGCCACGAGCCCCAGCTCCCACTCGCAACAACATCTCTATACATCGACGCAAGAAAATGTCTCGTCAGCGAAATAAGAACCATGTAGTGATACAACGACCGGGTGTGCGCCCGCCAATCACCGCCCGTGGACCAGGGCGTCTTCGGAAGCGGTCGTGTGCAGGATACTGAACTCCTCCTTCTTCACCCGGTTCATGCGGATGGCGGGCGGCGTGTCATTTTCGTCGCTGGGGTACTGTTTCGTCGTTCCGAAGCAGGCGGGGAAAATCGGCTTCAGGAGGGAGGGAAGACATGGCATGCACGCGCAGATGATGGCCACATCGCACTCGACGACGCTCCAGTGGATCGCGGGATTGTTGTCCACTGTCTCTCATCAGGGTGGGCTACGTCGTTAGAAGGCATTGGACTTACTGCTGAAGTTTGAGGACTTGGAGAACTTGACCAGCGACTGTAAGCGCAGGCAGCTGACGATGGTAATTCTATCCGGATTAATATCTCGATTGACAGTGATCTCGTCAGGACACTTACAGAAAGCCAGTGCAGAACATGAGAAGCACTAGTGTCCTCTTTCTCTTGCTGAGCGAGAGTTTGGACAGAGGCCACAGAGGAAGACCAATGATCGAAAGATCCATGGCGATCTGCATGGCCGCCCGGTACCACGAGTAAGAGCTGATGTCGATGCAGGAGCCCGTCGTCTCGCCCGTCCAGTTTGTCCAGAAATACGACACCGGTGTGCACTGGAAGATCATGATGAAGGTGTTTGATATCCCAAAACAAATCGAGATGGCGCCGAGGGCGTATGCGAAGTAGCGGTATTTGGAAGGGGGGAAGATCCGAAGGTAGAACGCCAGGAAGGACAGCTGGGTGAACGCTTCAGATGGCATATAGAACACCTCGGCGAGTAGGAGTAGCTAATTCTTGTCAGTACAGTCATTCGCGTCGTGGGATGGCAGGTCTACCTTCAGCTGCTTGGTAACGTCGTCGAAGGGAATGGTCCAGATATTGGTACCGAGTCCGTAGGATTTCACTATACAGTGAGTCTCTGTATATCATCATGGCTGTCTTGCAACTTACTCGGAAATGTCAAACAGTTGAGTGGAGCGGCACAAACCTGTCACTGTAAGCGAAGCCCTGGTAGATACATTGCGAGTCACCAACCAATGCCATCAAGATTAAACCATCGTCCCAGCCAAGGGACTTTTTCACGAAGATCCGCTGCGACCAGCGCAGGATGACCATGATCAATGCGAGCATGCCCAGCGAGCCCGCCAACGCTGGGGTCAAGTCCGCTTCGTTATCCTCGGGAATGCCGCACACAGCTCGGGTCATGTTGGTGGATGCTATATCAGTCAATCCAAGTACTTGGACGTGGCGAACGGTCTGGCTTACAGAGACCCAATTCAGGTACACACGAGAGACTGTAGCACCCGAGAGCATTTGTCAGTAACTGCTGGTTCGTGCAGATACATGTCTGATCGGTGACTGTGCAAGAGGTTGCTTCGAGTGCCGTTGTGACACACTTGGCCTGGGAGGGTGTCAGAAGGTCTATAGCTGTAAAGTATGATGGTATACTTACGGCGCAAGCTGGTAAGTCTTCGAGGAACCCCTTCGTAATAGTCGAATTCATCCTATATTCTTGAGTTGCTCCAGGATCTTCTCTAGTTGTCGATGCTAACCACCGTCTCGGGTCTTCAGGATCGCACCAGGATTTATATGACTCTAACCTGACAAAGCCCGGAGATCCATTCACCATCTGACAGCTCTGTCCTAGTACACGGGCCATAGCGTACTGATTCCCAATTATTGGTCATACTGCCTGAGCACTGATCTACATCTGAGCCCTATCCAGTCTCCTGGTTCCAAATACCAAGAAATGGGACGGAAGCACAGGCCCGAGGAGAGTGTATCATCGCATCGCCGAACATATCAGGCGATCTGCCGCAAGGGCGAATACCTATGACTTGATTTGGAGAGCTGGACGTTTAGATTGGCCGCAGGATTCCATTCTAACAGCTCTGACAAGGTGACTTATCAATGATCTACAGTCCGCGGAAGAGGGCCGCTGACAAGTCGACGGCCCGACAGATAAGTTACTTTTCCGAGGCTGTCAAGTAGATCTTTTCTTATATGCAATCTCACATATGATCTTGCGGATAAGGGGTGTGTGTGGTGTTGCAGGGCCACCGGCCATAGGAGGCATACAGAGTATATCGGCTCATGTCCCATGGATACGCCATTGATCGGCCTGATACGGAACGCTGTCAAATCCAATCCAACGGCTCCTGGTCCAATCAGTCTGCAGCTTTCAAAGTGACGCGGTTGCAAGCCGGACGCACAGACAAGTGGCTTCGCACAATGTACTTTTGTCCAAGAGTATTCCCAAACAATCGCCTTGATACTCTAGAATTAGATATAGGATACATACTTTTTGTTTCTCTGCTGCAGATTTTTTCAACAACAGTCAAAGCACAGACAAGTATCTCATGAGGCAGAGATAACAAATTCGTCTACCGCTGGTCGAACCCCCACTATGCGAATGTGGAGATCTTTGACATCGCACAGACATTCAGACTGGCCACAAGAACTGCACTTAACAGCTGCATGGCTAGTCTACTCCGGAGTAAGTAAGGATCCCGTCGTCCAGACCCCGTTAGACCAGTCACAATATGTAGAATAAGAGGGGTTTGCTTCCTCAAATTTTCATCACTCTGGGACGCTTGATTGTGTCCCTTTCTCGTCGTCCCATCCCCTTTGCGGCTCCATGGCTCTGTACACGCTGGTAGGCACGCTTGTGGCGCTGGCGGTGGTCTATCTTTTGAAGCAGCTCCTGCTGTCGAAACCACCTACCGCGCCTCTCCCCCCAGGACCCAAGCCGAAACCCATCGTAGGAAATCTGGGCGACTTGCCTCCGCCAGGCCAGCAGGAATGGAAACATTGGCTGCAGTTCAAGAAGCTTTATGGTGCGTGCATCGGCATTCCATTGCAGAACTACTCGAGCGCCGTGACTGACAATTGTCTACCTCCGCAGGCCCCATCAGCTCTATCACTATTTTTGGCCAGACAATTGTCATCATCAATGATGCGCAAGTAGCCTTTGATCTCATGGAGAAGCGCTCCTCGATCTACTCCTCGCGACCGCGGATGGTCTTTGCGGGCGAAATGTAAGTATCCCTGCTGCCTGTATGAGGAGTGTGCGAACTAACCCCTAACGCGAACAGGGTGGGCTGGAACGACGCCCTAGCCATGCAAACGTACTCGGACAAGTTCCGAGCCTACCGCAAGGTGATGCATCGAGTTCTCGGCTCCAAGGCTGTCACGGCGCGCTTCAACCCGCTGCAACATGTCGAGATCCGTCGCTTCTTGCTGCGCGTCCTGGACAAGCCCAACGACCTGCTTCAGCATATCCGAACGTAGGTTCCATCCCCCTTAGCAGGGACAGTACTAATAGTGACGGCTGCAGAGAGGCAGGGGCAGTCATCCTGAAAATCGCCTATGGCTACACCATTGAGCCTCATGGCCGTGATCCTCTGATCGACCTGGCCAACGAGTCGATGGATAAGTTCTCCGTCGCAGGGACACCTGGCCGATGGATGGTCGATACTATCCCGTTTTGTGAGTGCCCGCGCCCGTATCGTCGTCCTCAGCTAATTTGTAGTGAAATACCTGCCTACCTGGCTCCCCGGGACGGATTTCATCCGGACAGGTAATGCATGGCGGAAGACCCTGCTCACCACCATCGAGAAACCGTATCAGCTGGTGCTGCAGCAGATGAAGCAGGGCTCGTGTCCGCCGTCGTACACAGCCAGTCTTCTCGAAGAGGCAAACGGCAACGCCACCCCCGAAGAAGATCTCGTCATCAAATGGACCGCAGGGTCGTTGTACACCGGCGGCGCAGATACAGTGCGACAGCCCTTTCACCCATCCACAGCTTCATCCTAGCTAACAAATTCCAGACGGTATCTGCGCTCTCCTGCTTCTTCCTAGCGATGACCCTGTACCCCGACGTCCAGCGCAAAGCGCAGGAAGAGCTCGACCGCGTCCTGGGGCCCAACCGCCTCCCGACGTTCGAAGACCGCGACAACCTCCCCTACATCGAAGCGCTCGTCAAAGAAACCCTGCGATGGCACCCCGTCGCCCCGACGGGCATCCCGCACCTGTGCACCGAGGACGACCTCTACAACGGCTATCTGATTCCAAAGGGGGCCCTCATTCTCCCGAACATCTGGTAAGCGCCGCCCCAACCCCGTCTTGTCTCGACCTAATACTCAACAGGGCATTCACCCATGATCCCAATGTCTACCGTGACCCCGCGAGCTTCAAGCCCGAGCGGTTCCTCGACACCGACGGGACCGCCCCCGAGCTCGACCCGCATATGCTTGCGTTCGGATTCGGTCGACGCATCTGCCCCGGGCGCTTCCTCGCAGACTCGACGATTTTCATGAGCATCGCGCAGTCGCTGACGGTCTTTCGCTTTGAGAAGGATCCCGCCGTCACTGCGCAGCCGGAGTTCCTCCCCGGGGTGGTCAGCCATCCCACTCCATACCAGCTGAAGATCACGCCGCGCAGCGCCCAGCATGAGGCGCTGATCCGGTCGGTCGAAGTGGAGCATCCGTGGGAGGAAAGCCATGCGAAGGAGATTGAGAAGATTGAGTGTGTGGTTTGAGGATGATCTACGGAGGAGAACTATGTACATAGTAGGAACGTGGCAGTGTTCCGTAGGGAGGTACTTAGATAAGCGGATGCCCGGCGGGCCGTTCAACGGGCTCCCGCGGTGGATCTACCAGGTGTGCCAATCGGGTCAGGTCAGATCAGATGCAAAATTGCTTCACTATATTCTCTGAGGTATATAGAGTACTACTATAGTTTGGAGTCCTATCACTAGATAGTGCACCTCCCTCATCAATGCGTGAATGGGATTGGAGAAGCTGTTGGTGGGCGATAATAGCCACGATCTCGGATGGCATGATGCCTTACGAACAAAGAAGGCAACCCTTTCACGAACCAGTCCGATGGCAGTCTAAGCCGACAATCGTCCATGTTCACTAGTACGAAGTATAGTACGATTGCTCATATAAACTGTAACTAGCCGATCTTCTCCGTAGCGAGTGGAGTATGTCCTCAATCCATGTCGGCCGACGCAAACTCCCCATGCACATCACCGCAACGGTTCTTAATACCTGCCAATTATCACACCAGTCCCGCCGAGACACAAGACCAGACCAATTGAACGCCCATGAACCAACGGCCCGTCTACTCCGTAGAGGCATCTTGCCAATAGTCTGTTGGCAGATGGACCACTCCAGCCCGAAACAGTCTAACGGCGGTTGGACTTTGTGCAACCTCCCCCCGGCCACGGGCCTGTCGCCGTCCAGGGCAATCGGCCGGCCCTTGTGCCACCGATTATAAGGCCCAGATACCCTAGGAAATTCCTTCCCCCCCGCAAATTTGCGATCAGTCACATTTCTCAAGTCCTAACGGGTTAGAAGGGCCATCATGTCTGCCGCTGCTCCTCAGAATGACACGCCGATTGTCCCCGAGGTCTGTGCCCAGTCGTGCCGGTGCTGGTATGGGATTATTGAGTGTTGTGGCTAATGGTTGTCAAACAGGCCGACGATGAGCTGTACAATGACAGCGAAGATTATGCAAGCACGTCAGTGGCCTTTTAGCATCCATTGGATCAGTTTCTTGCTGATGGTGGATTGCTTGCAGATACGGGACTTCCACCGACTCGCTTACATCTAGCATTATGAATTATCAGTGCGTTGTACCTGCATGCCTAACGCCGATAGAGTTGTTGATCGAAATCTAACTACTGCAAAAGATATGAAGTAAACCCTTCATTCGTTCCTGGCGCCTTTAGCGTACCGTCTAATGCAGCGGGATAGAACGGTCGGCGATACCACGCCTATCGTCAGGGCGAATATATCTTGGTAGGATGACATCTCGTGGAGGATCTAGATCGGTACTGACTGCCGGCAGCCTAACGATGAGCGAGAACAACAGCGCATGGAGTTGGTAGGTCATGATCTTCCCGTCGACGACGCTACCTGCTGACGCTGTCGGAGCAACACCATGTTCATAATCTGACTCTCGGTGGAGACCTATACAAGGCCCCTCTGAAGGAAGGCATCCAGCGCATTCTCGATCTGGGAACGGGGACGGGCGCGTGGGCAATCGACATTGCCGAGTAGGTGACGGAGCACGTATAACCCCCCACGAAACGTTTCCTAACAGGGTGAAGTGTGTTCCCCGAGGCGACAGTCATAGGCACTGATCTCAGCCCTATCCAACCCTCATGGTACGTCTACGATGTATACATCCACCGATCTGTCGCCCACTGAGCTCCGTCTAGGGTACCGCCCAACTGCATTTTCGAGATCGACGACTTTGAACTCGACTGGAACTTCTCGCGACCGTTCGACTACATCCACGCGCGCAGCATTGAAGGCTCCGTCAAGGATTTCCGCCGGCTCTTCCGGCAAGCGTACAATAATCTCACCCCGGGCGGATGGTTCGAGGTCCAGGAGTTCACTGTCGGCGTGTTTTCCGACGACGACAGTGAGGCAAAGGCGACGGGGATTTGCGAATGGCGCGACCATTTATTGAAGGGAAGCAGGGCGTTTGGCAAGCCCATGGGCATGGCGTCTCAGTACCAGGAGCTGATGAAGGAGGTCGGGTTCAAAGACGTGCAACAAAACATTTTCAAGGTCAGTGGCTCGGTTGATGAGAGCGAGAGTCGGGATGGTAGGGGCTGATGTCGATCTGTTAGGTACCATTCTCTCCGTGGGCGAAGGATGCCAAAATGAAAGAGCTGGGGCGCTACCAGCAGGTGAACATGCTGGAGGCGCTGGACGCGTACTCGTTGGCGCTGTTTACTCGCGTGTTGGGCTGGACTGTTGAGGAGGTCCAGGTTCTTCTGATGAGGGTCCGGAAGGACCTGTTGGATCGGTCGTTGCATATTTACTCGCGGTTATATGTGGTTTATGGGCAGAAGAGCGAGCCTTGAGACTGTGGATACAAGCAATTCAAAGGACCTGCCGGACCTGTTGGTGGGCACTGAGACCGAATTTAATGATAGGGTTAGCTAGCACTGTGATTTATGTCTGCCTGGTGCACCGTATTCTCCATTGTTCTAGTTAAATCATCTACTAAGACAGAGCTCCTATAATTCTATACCATTAGTTAAGCATTTGGTTGCAACATTGCTCAATCATCTTTGGTATTGCATGGAACAAGCACGGATTCAAGCTATCAAACAAAATGAAAAGCCAGTTATAACTTATTTCCCTGCGATGGATTGATTGTTCTTGTTAGGGAACTGCACAAGGAGTTCAGGACTAATAAGCAGCAAGAGACTGTCTAAGCTGATGTCCTCAACCAACAGAGAAGTATTTTGCTTTCCCAGTCTGCTCCACAGGGCCAGCTAGTCCGTCATTTCATTCCTCTGGTTGTACGTCAGAGGCTTTAGTTGATTGTTGAGGATGGAACGTCCCTAGGAGGAAGTCGAGGCCTCGTCTTTTTTCACAGGTGTAGAGTCGATCGTAATATGGGCAGACTCAGGACTGTAGCTGGAGTGCATAATGACAACATCTTTATCTTTTGCAAAGAGTTGCAAGGTCTCAATATATTCTTGCAGCAGGCTATCACCAGTCTGCGCTGACTGTTGGATCTCCGCCTTTCTGTTGATATCGTAGATGAACAGGGTGGGGTCCATATTGAAGGCCCAGAAGGTAGAGAGAGAAGAGACAGGAGACAATGAATGGAGAAGATAATGGAGTGGGATGTAAGTAGATCAACTGATGATATTTAGGATTGATTTGGGTTGATGGAAGGGATGAAGTCCGAACGAACTTTTATAAGACCAGCTGACGGTCACGTGAAAATGAGAAACAAAGCATCGTAGTGAATTATTCTCTTGAATGATATTTAATACTGTCTGCCTAAGTCGATGCCTGATAATGCCACCTGCAGCTGCCAAAAGCGGGTGAAAGAGTGTAGACAGGCAGAGAAGACAAGAAGACATATTACACTTCAGCATTGATGTGTGATCTGCTATCCTAACTGCTGAGCATGGAGAATTAAAGGAGACTCTAGAAACATGCTAGATATTGAATGCCTTTACACAGCCTGTCTACTGGCAAATATATGTATTCACAGGTGACACGATAGTATATCATTCATACCCATAGATCACCAATAGATTTGCCAACAGACAGATTGATTGACAACTCAATTGTAGCGAGCGACGGTAGTTAGATAACATAAAAACGAACAATATCAATAATAGTAATGCGTGGAACGAGGTTGTACGAGGCCAGATTCCAAAATCCACCAAGACTAACCAGGACACCATGACCTTTATATCCTTGCCTCATAACGTTCCACAAAACCCTAAAAACTGGTCTTCTATTGGAAGAGACTCCCATAGCCGGGCTGATTTGATTAACAAGAATATGGACAGAGCTGGATACTCATTTACTAACCTTAAGCAGTCCTCAACTGCCCTTGGCACATCGACAGTTTGTTTTGCATTCGAAAACCTTACTCCAATCTCCGCCTGTTCGGCATCTCTTCGTCTGTTCATTGTATGTACAGGTGCCCCCGCCACTTCTGCACGAGCTAGCGTTGCAGTCTTTGCCTGACTTGCTAGTGATGTAGCAGCTGGCGCTGACCTCGTTTGCCTCTGTCTGGACAGGAGTCGACAGGACTGGGGTCCACAGTGAAGCAAGCAGCATCAGAGCTGTAACTGGAGCGGACAACAGCTTCATCTTTCTTGCCAAATGTTGGTAGATTCTTCTAAAAGACTTTGGGTATGGAGTATGGATTGGAATTGACCGAGAAGGGGAGGTTGGATACTTGTTCATTCTGTATTGAGATAAAGGAGATCAGGGGGGTATTTATATTTTTCTTCTTTGGTTCTACTTGTAGAGATCTACCGCTAGAGGGTGAAAACAATCTGCTGACTATACAACGAGGTATTCAATGATCATGTTGGTGTAGTGGATGTTACACAGTCCGTAGGTAAGGCCCCCAAGCCTGTGACTCGATACCATAAGAAGTCTCATCGATCATGTCGATCTTATAGCTTCGAATACAAAGATGAGTACTAGAGACAACTCGCTGTGATGAAAGCCTTGATTCTCTAGATCAAACTATTTAAATGAATACTGTTTACCAATATCTTGATAATTTCTATTCTATCCATCCTACTCCCTATCATTATACTTTATGTTGTCAAGAAACCAGGGAGTATGATCTACCAAAGCAGTCAGAAGCAAAGAAACACAGCAGATTGCTTGTACAACACCCCATCTCACGTCAGCTTGGGGTTGCAGGCTCTGTAAGGGATGAACTATCAGTTTTAATCCAATTAAGACTTGTCCTTAGAAGGCCTTGCTTCAATGCTTGTTGTGTTTAGTTGTTCGATTGTTACCCTACCCCCCGACCTATGCTGAGGTCAACACACCATACCGTCGCATCGAGTAGGCAGGGAGCCAAACATTAGGATAAGCGAAGGGCTTATCGTCCGAGATTATTTTATATCCATACTCCTGTGGATTCCCCTGGAAGCAAGGCGGGTATGTCTTACTTGACACCCGTGTCTTCTATCAACTCAGCAGCAAGTCATCGGCTCACCTCTCTGTATACGGTATTAAAAGAAGAAGACCGGCCGACAAGGTAGCCCGACGATCAACCCAGATGGACTTCCGGATTGTACGAACATAGATAGAATGACCATTTGGAGTAGAGCCACTGTGATCTGCTTTGGAGTTTTGGACTCCAACATACCTGGGTAGAACCCTTGGTCCTTCCCGGATATTGGTCCGAAAACCGCTTCGTGACATCTGATCAAGGTAGCTCTCGGGGCCTTCTCAACTCAATGAAAAAGATGCTCCTCGTCTGGTCGGGATTATAAGATCTTGTTGTGGCGGCAGACAGGCGGGTAAAAGCAGCGAAACGGGAAGAAGACGGGCAAGTCCAACGCAAAAAAGAGCCGTACTACTGTACATACACTGTAGCCTAGTAGGAGTTAGTATATTTAGTCGAGTAGCTAGAGCACGGTCGAAGTGGACCCCCGGTTTCGGCGGTGGACATCTGCCGAAAAAGTGGTAGTAAATCTCTGTTCAAGACAATCGTCGCAGTATGACTGTGTACAAAGAAGTGAAACAGGTCTCTTTTGTAGAAAGTGTAGAGTAGAAGGAAGTGAAGTACGAGAAAGTGAACCATAGTCGGTAGATCTGAGGCCGCAACACGCCACCGGGCCGATCGGAGGACTCGCCGCCTTCCGGATCGAGGACCCCACCGGCGATAATGATGCGAACTGAATCCATCCATACTAACTACTCCTTCGCTCGGTAGTTTCTTTTTCCCTCTCATCCATTGCTTCGCTCTTTGCTAGACGCTTCGTCTCTTCGCTTATTATTACATCAGTCTCTAATCACACACCGTACGATTTCACTGCATCCTCCCTGCCCCTGCGATTGTTGTCGTCTGGTTCGCATCGCGGAATTTCGCGCCACTGAGCGCGCCGCAAAGCTTCCCCGATGATGGGCCTCTCCAAGACCAACAGGATTCTCATCCTGTTAGTGATTGACACGGCTTTCTTCCTGCTGGAATTGATCGTCGGTATGTCGGTCTACATCGCGTGGTGGTGCTGCTCTAACATTTCCAAGGATATGCCGTCCATTCGCTCGCCCTAGTTGCGGACTCCTTTCACATGGTATACCGCTCCCCCTACATATTTATTTTGACATTTTGGACATTTGGGCTTACGAGTCACCTGCCAGCTCAACGATGTACTCTCGCTCCTCGTCGGTTTATGGGCGGTCAAAGTCGCCAACCGAGAAACTACCTCCAAGTCATACACCTACGGAGTGCGTTCTCCCCACCCCTCGTCTCATACTGGTCGCATCGAAGCTAACCAAGCTTTTCGTCCAGTGGCAACGTGCCGAAACCCTCGGTGCCCTCGTCAATGGTGTCTTCCTGGTCGCCTTGTGCGTATCGATTTTCCTCGAGGCTATACAACGGTTGGTGGAACCCCAGGAGGTGAAGAACGGCAAACTCGTCTGTATTGTCGGTTGTCTTGGTCTTTTGTCCAACATCATTGGCCTGGTCCTCTTCCACGATCACTCCCATGGACACGGACATGGTCACGTTCACGCCGACGTTGAGGATGTGGAAGCTGCCGAGCATGGCATCGCCCATGACCACTCTACAATTCCCCACGCAGATACCCGCAGAACAAGTGTAAGAATTGATTCGACGACCCTGCCATCACGACGATGCTTGCTAACCTACATGCTAGCTTGAGCCCGCTACCGAACCCGCCTCTCCCTTCTCTCGCAGACAACGAGCCATCGAAAGCCATCGCGGCTCGCCACGATACACCACCTCTAGCCGTGGTTTTATGGATGTGGAAGACCTGCAGGTCCACCCAGCCACACTGAGACAGGAGATCATCGCCGCCAGCCGCAACCGCTTCCCGGAAGATGAGCCGTCGGAGTCAGACTCGGATCAAGCGGGCGAGAACGGAGATGAGAATGGCCAACCGTCGGAGCGGACGGGCCTGCTAGGCCGCAATGATCGAGCTGGAAAATACACAGACGAAATCCACGCTCCGGTGAATGCGCCGGTGATGGCCGCCGAGGATGACATCCATAAGCATCACAATCATGCCCAGCCGAAGCCCAAGGAGCACAAGCATGGCCACGGTCACGACCTCAACATGCGTGGTGTATTCCTGCACGTTATGGGGGATGCGTTGGGAAACATCGGCGTCATCGCGTCTGCTTTGGTGATCTGGCTGACAGATTACTCCTGGAGATTCTACGTCGATCCGGGCATTTCGCTTCTGATTACCATCATTATCCTTGCTTCCGCCATTCCCTTGTGCAAGGCCGCCTCCCGCATCCTTTTGCAGGCCGTCCCACAGGGAATGAGCATTGACCATATCAAGGAGGACATTGAACGCCTTCCGGGTGTGATTAGCTCTCACCATCTGCATGTCTGGCAGCTCAGCGACACCAAGCTGGTCGCCTCTCTCCATATCCAGGTGGACACAGAAATCAAGGGCGAAGGCTCCGACCGATACATGCACCTGGCCCGACAGGTCCGACGATGTCTGCACGCCTATGGCATTCATTCATCCACGATCCAGCCTGAGTTTATGCCGGAGAGCGACGCGGAGGACAACAATGCTGCGTCGTCTTCGGCCGGAAGCAGTAATGGCGCCGCGCGTGGGCCGGATGCTTTCCGGGACGGGGATCCCCAGGCCTGTCTTCTGGAATGTGGCGAGGAATGCGCCCGGGGTGGACAATGTTGCCCCAAACCCGCACCCTAATTCCGTGTGCGGGCGGGCGATGTCCTGCTTGTTGTTTTGTCTCGCATGATTACATATTCTTATGGTTCCTAATGTATGCCCTCGTTTACTGCGACAGCGGTGGGTATAGCTGTATGTTCTGTCCGGGATGTTTCTGTCGGTCCTAGAAGGGAGGCGGTGTGCTTACAGTCCTGATCCATGACGAATGGGATAGACTATGTATTTTTTCTTGTTAGTTGCTTGCATCGATATCTCCGCAAGCGTTGTATTGCTAAGGTTGAATGTACATGATCCGGGCATGAGCTGATGTGCGCTCTAATAGATTGGATCTCTTCGACAAGTCTGCCTATTCCATACGTATATCTGTGTCGAGTACATCCTGTGGCAGAGCGTAGACGTTCTATTGTTTGTTGACAGATACAATACTTTGGTTACTATTTTCGGCGACAATGGGTCTGGATCACCGCCACGTGACACCCCCCGATTAAGGACAACGGCTACAGCCAGGAACATCGACAACTCCAGCGCTAATGGAACCATGTGTTGAACCTCGCACTCTCCTTCGCTCCTTCATTCCTTCTGCTCGGATTCATATCCTTCTCTAGAGCATGCTACACCATTCCGTCAATTGTTGACTACCACCCAGACTCGTCTCAGCAAGGGCGGAGGCGATGCAGCAGACGCCATAGTTGCGTTGTCCCCATCCAAAGCTTGCGATAGCCACGATGAGTTACTCGTATTCGCACAGCGCTGGCGTCCACGCTTATCGCCCTGCTCGCCCGAATCTTCCCGCGTCGTCGTCGAACCTGTGGGATTCGGTGCAGGATGCCATGCCGGTCTGGGCCAAACAATGGATGGCCCAGGTCCAACTCCATCACATTCCCTGGACGCGGAGTAGCGACGGGATCGACATGAAAACGCTGGTGGCGAGGGTGGTACGGTGCATATTCAGCGTCAAAAATGCATTGATTCTACTGTGGTGCTTCACTCTGTGGTGGGGCGAGCGCACGGTGTTTCGCGATACGCTGGCGACGTGCGCCTGGAATAATTGGGAGAAATGGGTGAGTTCTGATATCGGGGGGATGAGGAGCCGATTGCTTGTCTATGTTCCTTTTGTGAATCGCAATGTCTAACCGGCCTTATCGCCATCAGCCCCAGCATGCTACGCCGCACCATGTCGCCTTCATCGCCGACCCCCAACTGGTCGATCCCCATACCTATCCCGGTCGCCCTTGGCCGCTGTCCACGTTGACGGTCAAATTTACGGATCAATACCTCCGCCGCTCTTTTTCGTCGATACAGACGACCTTTGGGCCCGACTCGGTGGTGTTTCTCGGCGATCTGTTCGATGGTGGTCGCGAGTGGGGTACCAGGGACAGCTCCAGCCCGGAGAAACGATATCAAAAATACAAGGATACGTTCTGGAAGGACGAATACCATCGCTTCGTGAAGATTTTCGCCGACCAGTGGAATGACGGGGACTGGGCAACCTCCGACCCACGCGGCCGCAGGATGATCTCCAGTCTGCCTGGTAACCACGATCTGGGCTTCGGTTCAGGCATCCAGATCCCCGTGCGGGATCGATTCCAGGCTTTCTTTGGCAAGGGAAACCGCGTCGACATTATCGGAAACCATACATTTGTCTCGATCGATACTGTGTCGCTCAGCGCCATGGACCAGCCTGACCCGGAGACGGGGAGCTCGGGAACTGGCTCAGGCGATGGTATCCAGCCAAATGAGCGTATCTGGAAGGAACCGGAGGAGTTCCTCAACAATATGAAGGTCCACCGGGGCAAGGCAGAGGCGAAGGAGCTGCGCATGCTGAGGAACCAGAGTGAGGGTCATTTGTTTGACCACAAGGTGGTCGACGACGTCTCGCAGCCCACCCTGCATCGAGACACCCCGCTGGAGGACTCGGACCTCCCTGCTATTCTTCTCACGCATGTCCCGTTGTATCGCAAGCCGGGCACGCCCTGCGGGCCTCTGCGCGAACGCTACCCACCCTCCTCCGACGAGGAGTTAGAAGAAGACGACCGCAATGCCATCACGATTGGCAGCGGCTATCAGTACCAGAACGTCCTCACGCCGAGTATCTCCAAGGACCTGGTGAGCAAGATCGGGCCCAATCTAATGCATGTATACTCGGGTGATGACCACGACTACTGTGAGATCTCCCATCGGGAGTTTAGCGGGTCGCCGAAGGAAATCACCGTGAAGAGTTTGTCCTGGGCCATGGGCGTCCGCCGGCCGGGGTTTGTGCTTACGAGTCTCTGGAACCCGATTGACCCTGCTACGGGGCACTCCTCCGGACAAGTGCGGTCCGGGGCCACCATCCAGAACCATCTCTGCCTTCTGCCGGACCAGCTGTCCATCTTCATCCATTACGGTCTCGTATTTGGGTTGACTCTTGCGGTGCTCCTTGCGCGGGCCGTCTTTTGCGTCAAATACGCGGCCCCCACGGGCACCCCAGGCCCCATCCTCCCTCTTTCGGAGACTAGACCATACTCCCAGTCCCCGGCTGTGTCCAAAACTCCCTCTTCTAGTACGTCCCGCTCTACCTACCCGACCCCGCGTGGGTTGGCCAGCCGGGCCACCAACGCCCCCCCTCGGCCCACCAAAGCGTATGCTGATGCTTACTCGGGCGCAGGTCCCGACGAGGATGACATGGACGGCTCGAAGTGGAAGCCGGGACGGTCGGGGAGTTCTGATCGCCCGCTCGACCGCATCCGAGGGGAGTTTTTAACATCTGTGAAGAGCGTTGCGATGATTGTACTCGCATGGTACTTTTTCCTGATATGGCGATGGTAGACACTTCTTGTACATACACATACACGCCTCATACAAATATTTGATTGCATAATGGAGTTTGGATGATTCTAGGCGTTTCGAAATATAACACGAAACGTCGAAGGCTGCGAAGCTTCTGCAACTGGCTTTAACCATGGCCGTCTCACGCCGATCCACCCTCTATGATTCGGGCCGCGCGATGGTGGCAACGCTATGCGAGTACCTGGTCGATTTTGAACATGGAGCCAGTCGCTCCTCGTGTCTGGAGACTGACTAGTCTAGACTTTGTGGGGATTTGTCGGGGATTGGGATTTTTTTTCTCCCCATGGGCCTGTTGTCGATCGTGGTAGAGACCCTGCGGGCTAGTGGCGGTGGCAGACGCTCACTGCATCTAGTGAGCGATAATAATAGAAGACTATGTATGATATTGAGACAGATTTTTCCCTTCTTTGACACCGGTGAAACATTGGAGCGTTTCACGGTTTGCTCTGTCGTGTTGGTGGATTACCATGTCTGACCATCTTGTAGCATACGGGGATACCTACTCTCGCCATAGAACGGGATAGAACCACATCCATCACATCGCACAATATACTCCTAATACCACATTTTCCCAAGTCCTCTTGCACCTGGCAATTCAAAGAGCATACTCTCGATAGGGTTTACCGCATGCGGCATCATCGTGTAACCAGCCCTAACGCATCGCCGCCAACATGCCAGCTGAGTCCACCCTCCCGAAGCGTCCATCGAAGCCAAATTCCAAGCCAAATGCGAATAGCCTTCGACGCCGCCTGGACTAGTGGGCTTCCAGAAACATTCGAACGAGACAACTATGGCTCGTCTGTTGGGCATCTGCCTAGTCCCTTGCGCAGCCGCCAATGGCATCTCCCATGAGGACCTGTACAGTGCAACATCTTCCACTCCTCGCGCCGTCGCAGCATGGTCCCCACCACAAAGACATTGTTTCTGAGCCGTAGGTAATAATGGCAGCATGGTCAGGGACTCCCAAACTTCCCCTGTCAGACAGAGTTGTTGGTGTCGACTGTTGCTGCTGCTGCTGCTGGTTTCGGTCCACCCAACCGCCTCTGGGATGCCGGATATGGCGACGGTCCTCACCTGGGTGTCTCTGCATGCTACCGGTCTGGGGAAGTACAAATATTTACTGACCCCGGATCGTCGGGTGCGGAGTTTCCTGTGGACTGACTTCTGTTCGACTCTTACTTCTTTCTGACTTCTGACGGGGCGTGCAAGACTCGAGATACTGTTACAATCACTACAGCTTGATTGACTGACCATTCCTACTATGGGTTTTCTACTGAAAAAGCCCCACGATGCGGCTGGGTCTGCAGCCCCGGCCATTATCATCGGCCTGTTTGTCGCATTTGGAGGATTGCTCTTCGGGTTCGTTGGATCGTTCGCCGTGAGGCATCGGTATGCGAAGCATAGCTAACCCACATAGATATGACACCGGCACCATCAACGGCATTCTGGCCATGAAATACTGGCGTAAACTCTTCTCCACCGGCTACATCAACCCCGCGGACAACTATCCCGATGTGACCTCGTCGCAGTCGTCCATGATCGTATCGCTGCTGTCCGCGGGCACCTTCTTCGGCGCCTTGACGGCGGCCCCCGTCGCCGACTACTTTGGTCGCCGCATCGGCATGATCCTCGACACCGGTGTCTTCTGCTTTGGCGTTATCCTCCAGACGGTGGCGACGTCGATCCCGCTATTCGTCGCGGGGCGGTTCTTCGCGGGGTACGGTGTGGGTTTGCTGTCGGCCACTGTGCCGCTGTACCAGTCCGAAACCGCGCCCAAGTGGATTCGAGGCACCATTGTCGGTGCTTACCAGCTGGCTATCACCATCGGACTGCTTGTCGCGGCCGTGGTGAACAATGCGACTAAGGACCGTATGGACACGGGGTCCTACCGCATTCCCGTCGCCGTGCAGTTTGCCTGGGCAATTATCCTCGTCACGGGTATGATTGTTCTGCCGGAGACGCCGCGCTTCCTGATTAAGAAGGGTAAGCATGAAGCGGCGTCTAAGGCGCTAGCTCGGCTGCGTCGTCTCGACATCAATAACCCGGCTATCGTCTCGGAGCTGGCGGAGATCCAGGCCAACCATGAATACGAGCTCAGCGTCGGCAAGGCCAGCTACTGGGAGATCCTCAAGGGCACTCTCGGAAAGCGTCTGGCGACCGGATGTGCGGTGCAGATGCTGCAGCAGCTTTCGGGAGTGAACTTCATCTGTGCGTGTCTCTCTACTTTACTCCCCTCGCACCCCGTAGTTTAGTATGATCAAAACTGACCTGATGCAGTTTACTATGGAACAACCTTCTTCGAGCACTCCGGCATTAAGAACGGCTTCATCATTACCCTGATCACGAACATCGTCAACGTCGTCTCCACCTTCCCGGGTCTCTATATGGTCGAGAAATGGGGTCGTCGTCCGCTGCTCCTCTTTGGGGCGGTGGGCATGTGCGTGTGCCAGCTGATCGTGGCCATCGTCGGCACCGTCGCCACCTCTGACGTCGCCAACAAGGTGCTGATCGCCTTCGTGTGCGTCTACATCTTCTTCTTCGCCTCGTCTTGGGGCCCTGTCGCCTGGGTGGTCACCGGCGAGCTGTTCCCACTCAAGGCCCGCGCTAAATGCTTGTCCATCACCACCGCGACGAACTGGCTCTTCAACTGGGCCATCGCCTACGCGACGCCGTATATGGTCAACGCGGGCCCCGGCAATGCGAACCTCCAGTCCAAGGTCTTCTTTATCTGGGGCGGCTTCTGTTTCTTCGCCATTATCTTCGTGTACACCTGTATCTACGAGACTAAGGGCCTTACCCTGGAGCAGGTCGACGAGCTGTACGCCAAGGTCGCTGTCGCGTGGCAGTCGACCTCATTCAGGCCCTCGGTGCATTACACGGATGTGCGCGATGTCGCCGATGGACATTCTGATGTGGATCTGGTGAAGCTCGAGGCCGAGGCCCAGGTGAAGCATGATGCGGAGCATGTTGAGAGCGCATGACTAAGCTGGATGGTTGTTATTCGTTTGTTTGGTTTTGTATGAGTCACGAGAGATGGTGCTTGATGTGTTTGATGTTTAGTGTGAAGAGTTAACTTGAATCTATGCGTTAATGCCTTATTTATGCCTTCATAATGCGTTCATAATGTCATAATTATGCCTTAGGCCGTAAGGGGCGGCTGTAATGTGATTGGCTAGATGAGCTTACGTAGCCCCGTGTCACGTGCCGGGCTTAACCAGGCCTCTTCCCAAAACGGAAATCCGGGGTGCTCTCAACTTCTTCCTCTCTCTTCCCTCTTCACTCTTTCTTTTCCTCATTTCGCTGTCAATGTCGAGATGACGCAGTCGTCTTGCAATTGTGCGACTGCCCTCGACTCCTGTATAACCAGGCTGCCCGCCTCTTCGCCATAAGCCACCAACCACCCCCTCACTTTCACATGCAGCCACCTACGTTCGGTCTCTCAACAACAGGGATTGCTCCGGTGTCCCAACCCCTACCCATCCTACTCTCATGGCGGACACGATAACGGTTGTGGACGAGCAGCGTCATCCCAACTCACTCGGTACGACGCAATTGCAGTCCGGATGGGAGTTGAACAATCTCAAGCACATGCACGATGCCGAGGACGATGATTCCACAGTGACCGATGTGCTGTTGGCCGACAGAGGCCCTCACACCGATCGTCAGCCTTCTCCGCCACAGACCTCGGCCTGGACGCCTGCGCCGCATCCGCTGTTCCCTCCGTTGCCTTCCTACGGCCCGCCGTCTTTCGGCTCCCGTCTGAAATACCTCGCGATCCGATGCGTCTCCTCCGTGCTCTCGCTTCTCTTTCTCGGCGCTGTTGTGATCGGCGCCCTCCTCCACAGCGTGGTGGGCGTCCTTTCCAATACTGGTGTCAGGCTGCGCGGGCGGGACCCCCGTGCGCAACGGGCGTTCCACGCAGAGGAACGCACCCGCAGTCTCGAGCGGCAAAGCAACTCCCAGAAATGGGAGCGCCGACAAGAGAAGAAAGAAGTCGACGAAGAAGCTCCCGATGAATGTCCGCCGCTGGAGGGCGGGAAGGACCCCATCGTCAGTGACGTCGCGTACTACGCGAGGAGAGTCGGGTTGGATGTGGAAACATTCAAGGTCCAGACGGAGGACGGGTTCATCCTGACGTTGTGGCATGTCTATAATCCGCAGGAGTACACTCCGTTGCCTCCGCGCGAGAGGAGAGCCCGCGGTCCGCGTGTGTTTGCTGAGCGGAAAGGCGCCGAGTCCGGCGGGCTCCGGCGAAAGTATCCGGTTCTCCTGATGCATGGCCTCCTCCAGAGCTCTGGCGCGTATTGCGCCAATGATGACGATAGTCTCGCTTTCTTCCTGTGCAAGTCAGGCTATGATGTGTGGCTCGGGAATAATCGCTGCGGCTTGGGCGCCGAGCATGCGACGCTGGATGAGGCGGACCCGCGCATGTGGGCGTGGAACATCCGGCATTTCGGCGTGTATGATCTGCCCGCCCTTGTTTCTCGCGTGCTCTATGAGACGGGGTTCGAGAAGCTGGGGTTAGTGGCCCACTCGCAGGGGACGACGGAGACGTTCGTCGCGCTCGCAAAAGACCAGCGACCTGAGCTGGGCGAGCGCATCTCTGTCTTTTGTGCTCTCGCGCCGGCTGTGTACGCGGGCCCGCTTGTGGACCGGTCGTATTTTCGCTTCATGCGCATCATTTCACCAACGGCCTTTCGCGTGATCTTCGGCATTCACTCGTTCATCCCTTTCATGATGACCATGCATCGGGCTCTGCCGCCTCGTGTCTACGGCACGCTGGGCTACTATGTCTTTTCCTATCTCTTTGGCTGGAGCGACACCCGCTGGGACCGGGGACTGCGTGATCGCATGTTCCAGTTCGCTCCCGTGTACGTCAGTACCGAGACTATGCACTGGTGGCTTGGCCCTGAATGTTTCGCGACCCAGAAGTGTATCTTGGCCACCCGCGACGTCAGCGTCGTCGAGACGGAAGAGGATCACCGCGTGGAGCGAGGCCTCGATGACGGCACCGCTCGCAGCGATACGGCGTGGTACGGTCCCCAGACACCGCCGGTTGCCCTCTGGGTTGCAGGATCCGACAACCTCGTCGACGGGCGCCGACTGCTGCGCCGATTGCGAAACGGTCGGGAACCACATGTCCGAGTAGTCCATGAGAAGATCATCGAGGACTACGAGCATCTCGATGTCCTCTGGGCCATGGACGCCGTCGAGCAGGTGGGCAGGGAGGTACGGCAAGTGTTGTGGTCGACAATGGCCCCTGAGATGCGAGCGGTCTGCCGTATGCCTCGAGGTGTGCGATCACCGCCATGTCCAGCATGAGACACGAATTATGTATGATGATTGCCGCAGCGGCTGTGCATAAACATGCAAATCTCACAGAGCATTTCCAAATTTGACGATTAAGTCCTGAGGAGACGGGATCCGTCCCAAGTAGCTTCCGGCGTTAAGAACGTCCAGACGCGTGGCAGATTGCTGCCTTGCCTTATCTCCGCTGTCTCCGGATGACCTCATATTTAAGCCTTGTCCGACCGTATGCGACACACCTCTGGTAAGGGATGTGGTAAAGCCTTGATAGGATCTGATAAAACCCAGTCTCACAATGTCGAAGCAATCCTTCAACCCAGACACTGACATCCCTGACCTCGCGGGGAAAGTCATCTTCGTCACCGGGGGTGAGCTACAACGCAGCCAAGCGATGGCAGCGACTTGACCATCCATCTAACAAACAACAGGGACTTCCGGTCTTGGGGCCGCAACGGTCCAGAACCTGGCCAAACACAACCCGGCCCATATCTACCTCAGCGGCCGGAATGCCACCAGCGCCTCCGTCGTGATCCAACAGGTCCAAGACTCTGGCAGCAGCGCCAAGCTCACTTTTCTGAAATGCGACCTCTCGTCGCTGGCTTCGGTCAAATCGGCCGCCGAGGAATTCCTTGCTCAAGAATCCCGGCTCGACATCCTCATCTGCAACGCCGGCATCATGGCCATGCCGCCGGGGACCACCGTCGACGGCTACGAGGTGCAATTTGGGACTAACCACCTCGGCCACGCGCTGTTGATCCGCAAGCTGCTGCCCCTGCTGACGGCAGCCGGCGACGGCGACGGCGACGGCGACGGCGGTCGGCTGGTCATCCTCAGCTCGGACGGCTACGCGATGCATCCCCGCTCCGGCATCTCCTTCGACACGCTCAAGACCACTCAGGACACCGGCCTTGGCGCATCGTGGGTGCGCTACGGCCAGAGCAAGCTGGCGAATTTGCTGTATGCGCGCGAGCTGGCCCGCCGGTATCCGGCGGTGACGGCCGTGTCCATCCACCCCGGCGTGGTCCGAACGGGACTGGCAGATGCGTTAAGCTGGCAGAAGCGCGCCTTCATCTACGCCATGACGCTCGGGACGATGACGATGGTGTCGGTCGAGGAGGGCGTGCTCAACTCGCTGTGGGCGGCCACGGCGCGTCGCGAGGCGCTGGTCAACGGCGCCTATTATGTGCCGGTGGGAAAGTTGCCGAAGAAGTTGGATGCCGCGGCGCAGGATGAGGCGCTGGCGGCGAGACTCTGGGAGTGGACAGAGGAGGCTTTAGCGGATTTTCTATAGTTTCTACAGTCCATACTAGGTAATGTTAATGCTCTCCACTCGAGGTCTCTGCATGCGTATGTCTGCGTACTTGCCTATTCCCACACGCTCCGGCTGAATATCCGCACGTAGCCTAGCCCAGCTACATACAGTCTTGGAATAATCCTGACCTGCATGCTGAAAGCATAGTCTTTACTAATTCTTAGCTGCATGCTGAAGGCATACGGGCCAGTCTCTACCCCTCGGAGGAATACACCCCTGCCATCAAACCGCACCACCATCTCCATCCATGAGGGGTAGATTTCTATTGATATCTCCCTGATGCTACCTGCATCTGCAGACAGCATATGATCATCCTGCTATTACATCCCGCTGTACTCTCCTGACCGGGTCCTCGTGCGGGGTCTCGACGGAACAAACATTCCGCGCATCGACTAAGACGCAAGTTGCCACCAATCCAGCCCTATCACTTGCTCCAGCGGCCGGCAAGTAGTTAACTAGCCCCGACGCTGAGGTCAGACATCGCTCGGGTGGGCCGGCATCTTCTTGAGGAATCCTGTTTGGCAGACTGCAGTTTCCGCATGTGGAGACGAGACTCGACTAGCGCAACGGACGGTTTATCCTTTGATGGGCCTTGGCCGAAGCTTGGAGTGCTTGGTATCTATTCTTGGAGATTTCTGGCGACGTACAATATACCGCCGGTCATGGCTGGAGTCTAGCACATGTGTGAGGAGAGTGTTGTTTTGGGTGAGACAACGCCCTCTGGGTAGGACTCGTCTTCGTCTGTAGACGAGACGATGATGATATCAGCTTAAGTCAGCTCAAGTCAGCCATATGCAGCCCTATGCCTATGCCATCTTCCTCCTCACTTTGCTGTTTGAATACCGCCTACAGGCAGAAGCGAATCCCTTGCGCACCCTTGCTCTTGCTAGTCACCCCCATCTTGTCGGTTCAGGATCAGGTAGTCTCCCCGCAGCGTGCCGGGACTGTATCCAATCCTGCCACGGTCATGGAGATCACTATCTTCTCTTCTCCAACTGCAGACTACATCGTGAGGGGTCATTTCCCAGGGGTGTTTGCTAGGCCGGTGGACTGAGAATGAGGGGGGCCTGCGTATACTACCTCTGCCTCTACTATATAACCTGGGAAGATACCCTGGTTTCCCCTCAGCCATCCTCCAAGCACACTAACCATCGTGTAGCAAAATGAAGATCAGCGACCTCTCTGCTCTTACTCTCCTGGCTCTCCTTGCTGGGACTGGCGCGGCAGCCCCGACTGCCCGGGACTCTGCCGGTAATCCACCGTTACGCGGCTCCGAGGACCTGCTGGGATACTCGGCCTCCAACAAGCTGTCCCCTCATTCCACCGAGGACATCAAGTACACGCTGGCCAGCGGGCAGAAGGACGATGCCGATCTCGGGGTGTATCTCGACTTTGAGACCGTAGACAATCCGCAGCCTATCCGTGGTGAGCTCGGAGGCACAGACCCTGGTCCTCGTAAGTCTCTTGGTATCCTTTGCGATGTATCTGTACTCACGATGCAGGAAACTATGCCTATGATAGGATCAACAGCGACAAGCTAGCTCCGCCGGGCACGGATTCCGGTCAGACTATCAATGCGCAGTGGCCAATGGGTAAGTCTGTATACTACATATCGTCGTCGTCTTCTTGCTAACCCCGCCCAGGACTCAGCAAGAATAGGTACGCACCCGTGTTCATATAGCCCGAACACGCTGACGCATCTAGACTCGGGCAAGACAACGCAGGCTGGGCCAGGCAGGAAAACACCAACGTCATGCCCGACGCCACCAAGATGGCTGGCGTCGACATGCGGCTGGAAGCAGGCGCCTACCGCGAGCTGCACTGGCACGTCGCGAGTGAGTGGTCGCTAGTGCTGAATGGGTCGTGCCGAATCCAGGCTATCAACGAGAACGGCGAGACATTTATCGACGACGTGACCGAGGGCGATGTGTGGTTCTTCCCGCCGTATGATTTCCTTCCATACTACTGCCCAGCGTCTAGCTGACTGAGCCAGGGGCGTCCCTCACTCCATCCAAGCCCTCGATACAGGCGTAGAGTTCCTCCTCGTCTTTGACGACGGATCCTTCTCGGAAGACAACACCTTCTTGGCCAGCGAGGTCTTCGCCCATAACCCCGTTCGTGTCTGCTACCCTCCTCATCCACCTCATGACTAACCAGTCTAGAAATCCGTCCTGGCAAAAGACCTAGGCCTCCCGATCAGCGCCTTCGAAAACATCCCAGACGACGAACTCTACATCTTCCCCGGCACCCCAGCCCCCAAGGACATCGAAGAACAGAACGTCACCACCGCCGCCGGCGTCGTCCCCCTCAAGGACAGCTACTCCTACCACTTCTCCGAGCAGCCCGCCCACCAGGTCGCCGGCGGCTCCGTCAAGATCGTCGACCCGGCCACCTTCCCCATCGCCTCGAACTTCGCCGCCGCCATCGTCACCGTGCAGCCGGGCGGCATGCGCGAGATCCACTGGCATCCCAGTAGCGACGAGTGGACCTTTTTCATCCGCGGCCAGGGGCGGGCGACCCTGTTCGAGGCGCCGAGTACCGCCACGACGTTTGATTATCGCGCTGGTGATGTGGGGTATTTCCCGCAGTCGCGCAGCCATTATATCGAGAATACGGGGGATGAGGAGTTGATGTTTTTGGAGGTGTTGCAGGCGGATTCGTTTACTGGTACGTGCTGTTGTTGTCTTCCCGTTGGATTTTGGGCGTTGTGCTGATGATCGTATAGATATTGCGCTGGGCCAGTGGATTGGCTCGACGCCGAAGCAGATCGTGGCCGATACGCTGAAGCTGCCGGAGAGTGCGTTGAGTAAGTTGAAGACGGAGAAGCAGTATGTGGTTGCTGGGTCGAATGAGACTTCTGTTGCGCAGAGGTGATGCAGCTGAGTGGATGGCACGGCGTGAGATGTTGAACTAGCCTGGTGTAGTCTACGTAGAGTATTCACAGTCTCTTTTGCTTCGTGCATTCCTTGGGAAGTAGGTAGTAAAGAAGTGAAACATAACAACTATTCCTTCACTCAGAATATGGCGGAGGAGCATCACTCTTTGACTGCACACTCTCATCGTCCGAAACATCCGACTCAGACTCATCCTGCATCCATACCTTGGCCTCTTTCGTGATGACCTTCTCCCCCTTGGATCCATCCGCAGTCTACAGAAAGTCAGTATAAAGCCAACACTCAACAACAAGAACATACCTCGCTCTGCTCACTCGGACCAATTCTCCCCACCAACCGCCCATTCTTCCAAACCTCATTGCGGAGCACCACTCCTTTGAAGTCTGTCCGCTGGATAATGCAGTTCCTCACGTCACAGTCTCTCAGAGTCGACCGTTTCACCCGACTACTCGCCATCTGGACGTTGTCCAGGCTACTGCGACGGACGGAGCTGCCGTCCGCGACGACGGAACCATGCACTCTGCTCCGCGTTATGGAGCTTCGCCCTGTCACGGTGCTGACTGTGATGGTGCTACGACGGACAGAGAACACATCCTCAAACCGCGAATCCTTCGCGTCGAGATGGCGCGCCGATGCAACGTGTGACAGTACGCTGTTGGTGATGACGCTGTGACGGGCTGAGACATGCGACAGCGTGCTGTGGGAGATGTCGCTGCGGATGATGCTTGTTGTACGGGGCGTGGCGATGTTGCTGATATCTGAAGGGGGCTTTGTGGTGATGGTGACTGCGTGCAGTTTGCTGCGCCGGATAGTATCCGCCTGCGTGAGATTGTTGAATGTGCATTGGTTGATTGAGGAGCGGCTTATACTTGGGGTTCCGTCGGGTCCTAGTATGGAGCTCGCGATGACTGTTTGTGTTGCCATATTGCTGTGAGTGCCTTGTTGTTGAGAATGTAGTTGAAGACGATGATGATACGAGAAGGATTACATAGACTGGAATGCGGCTGCCTGCGGGGCATTCTCGATGGCACGGGCTTGTGGCGTAGACAGGCTGCGATATAAGTGTCTAGTGCTTATGTGCTTTCATTCGCTGTCCATCTCGAAGGATTCATCTTAACCTCACTCAGCAGTTTACTCAGCACTTTTATTCGTAGCCCCTCGTGAAGGCTCATATAATAGACACTCAGCTCTGCACAGTCGCCAATCGACTGCGAACCGGAACACTCTTCTTGCTCTCCATGTCAGGAAACCCCGTCAGATTGACTCCCGCTCTGAACAAGAGGCAATGCGTTGAGCCTCCGTAATGGAACATGCCCAACTTGTCTCCCTTCCCCACATATTCCCCTTCGGACGCTGTCATCTCACACGTCGACACTTCCGCAAGTCCAACAGCAATAAAAGCCACCAGTCCAACAGCAGGGTTATCCGCCTCGATCAGGAACACCGCCCGCGTCGACATGGCCGGTCCGTACTCAGACTCTGCAAGCTCCTCGAGTCGGCCGTCCGAGTATCCCAGCGGTGCGTAGTGCATTCCATCCAGGACGTACGCCTGGACTATCCTCCCTGATACCGGTGCATGCCAGCGGTGGTAGCTCAGCGCGCTCAACAAGCCCTGGTAGACTGTTCCTCCCACGAAGTGGTCTGCCATCGCGCGATTGCCGTGCCCAAGCATGTCCAGGACGGAGTAGTGGCGCCCTTTGATCCAGAACTGATCTCGCAGTTTCACCCCGTGGACGACGTTGGTCGGTGTGTGTTCACATGCATTGGTTATCACGTTATCATCGTCTGCAGAGGCGACGGGCCGGATGCCCTCCCTGAAAGAGCGGGCGAAGAAGTCGTCCCATGAACGAAAGCCATAGTATGGCGCTGATGGATCGCTGACAAACATTTCCTCAAAGCTGTAATTCGATATCCCTGCGTTGGCGGTGTCAGTCAAGTGCTGTAGCGCTGACGCGCTGAACCACCCGGACGAGTTGTTCAACACGACCGCCGATGCTGGCGATCGAAGAAACGCGCCCCATGCGTTGAGCACCTTGCCCACCATTGCATTCACTTGTGGATCGAGGAACGCCGCAACGCCGCTCACTGTACTTTTGACCCGGCCAATGACGGCGAGGATGGAGAGCCCGGCTCTGTCAGCTTGCAGGAGATCTTCGCTCCACGCTGGTCCACGAGTAATGATATGGTTGAGGACTTGCAGTAGCTGCTGGTAGCTCTGTACTTCGTACGGGCAACCCCCCATCTCTTGGAACATCGACTGGAAGAGCATGTATATGCGCGTGTTGGTTTCGATGAGTTGCTGGAATTCGACAAGAACAGGGTGCAGTGTCTGTGGCTCTTGTTGTACGTCTTGCAGAAGCTGTACGAGCCATTTCTGCGGTATATTGGCCGAGATGTTCCTACTGATACCTCTTAGCACGTGTTTCTTGTCCAAGACATCAACTTGCCTCTGAAGAACACAGCCCACACCCTCCACTCCATGACCGCCAAACCATACCTGCTGCGCTGTTACGATGATGTTGTCTTTGGGTGTATCCCCTTACCTCGCCGTGTAACTGCTGGCATAACACTGCCACGTAGAAGGTTGCAGCAACAATACAAGTCAAGACGCGCATGTTGTCAAACTTTCTCAGTTCTTGCGCCTATGTAGCTGAGATGGAACTTGCGCGAATAGGACTCCACTGAGGTGCTATTTTGGTATAAACGCGTTGCATTCGTGTAGAGTAGCAGAATGTCTGTGAGGATGGATGCAAGGAGCTCCTGCGCTCTGGTCCAAATGGATCATCTAGATTCATTCTTCTATGTCAAACACATTCCACATACTCTACAACGACGAATGAGACTGCGTCGCGCCGGGACAAATACTTACAAGCACACAAGCACGTCGTATCCATTCCAGTTCACCGCAGAATGCAAGCCTTGGGTAGGCTACCACTTGCAGTCTAATCCCGTGCCAGTTCATACGTCCAATCTATACCCGATGTGTTACTACAATCCGCGAAGGCATGCAGCCACAAGCATCAATATATGCACGTTTGTGGCTCAAAGCAAAATGATGCAGCCTGCGTCAACGAGCACACTCCAGTCACGGTGTCTGTTTTTTGCTTTTCTAAGTCTTTATTGGAATGTTTGCAATAGACAGAGCCATGCATGCCCAGGAATAGGGTGAGCTGATATATCATTCGCGAATATTCCATCACTCTCTACTCTCCTGCGTCAATATGTACATCTACTGTAACAAGGTCGTGTTCCAAATCTATGGAAGTCTTCACTCTTCTTTCTCCAAAGCATCAGCTAGTAGCGTGTCGTTAGCCACACCAGTGACCCTCTCCACCCCATCCGCATACGCCCACCCTATTAACTGGTTAGTAAAATGCAATCTGATATAGAAGCTAGACTGACCCAGAGTCGGGTGCATGATCAAGCCAGGCTTGTAAATGTCAAAGCTACGCTGCTTCGCCCAGTCTTGGATCCGATCCCAGTCCTTGCACTGGTGTCGGCCTTGGTCGATTCCAAATGGGATTCGCTGTCTGATACATGGTCAGCCAACCTGCTCCAGTACAGCCCTAGCAGACGACTTATCATACCCTGCTCCCCATTGCATTGGGAAGACCGTAAGATCAGCATTGCATTTTGCGGAATGAAGCAAATAATTCAGACAGTGCTCTGGGTCTTCGATCAGTTTGATCCTCGTGTCGAACACAACCAAGACGCACCGGCATGCTTCTTCAGCTCATCCATTTCCTCTGCTGTCTTGTTTGCGTAATAGTGCTCTGGATACAGCATATAGCGAACCCGTTTGATGCAGTGGATGGAATGGAAAACGGCAACCGAGCTGTATATCCCGGAGCCATCACTGAGCTCCACGAGCGCAGGGTTGTCGCGAAAGTCGGCCCCGAGCTCGTCCCTGGACAGGCGTATATTGGAGTCTGCACATCTTCATCAGCCCTTGGACTCCCTCAGAGGGAGTACGGCACACGCACACTGAAGCAATTCATCCCACGCGGCTTCGAGCTCAGGTGACGGCGGTCCACGCTCACGGTCGTAGTGAGGGACGACAGTGCCGTTGTCCGCCAGTCGGGAGTCATCGCTGAGGACGTCGAGTCTATAGCTGATCGCTTCTTGAAATGGCGCTGTCGCGGTAACATTAGAGCCTTGCGCACTCGGTTCGAAGCGAGCCACTTACTCGGAACAGCGTTGGGCACGTAGTTGCCTTTTGGCCATAGGAAGGTCCCAACAAGAAGCATTATATTGCACAATGCCAACGCCGCATGGACTATGATTGCAGTCGAGTGTCGCCGGTATAAGGGCTTCGGAGTCGGCTGTAGATGCCCTTCTTTGAGCCATTCATGTTCGGCATCGCCGTCTTGGAGAAAGCCGGTTGTCGACTCGTCTTCCAAAGAGGATGACCTGCTCAGCAGGCTATACCGTGGGATTCTCCACTGGCTGAAGTTATGCATCGTCAAACATTCAGATCGTTGTTTGTTAACGTGGTTTTGCCGTTCCGGGCACCGAGGTCATAAGGACTACGTATAGTCTTATCCATTGCTCTGGCTGACCGCTACACTGTTGATTCTGTCTTAAACATTAGGCTACAAAGCCTTGGAAGCTGCAAGGAGTCAGGCAAGAACCAAGTTGTGTCACGTCCCCGTCCGACTCGCCATCGTCCCTTGCCTTAGATCATCTGTCTCTACGTATCTATGCAGTTATAGACGGACCATTCCACGCAATGACGTATCAAAGCCTTAACCAGGGCAGATCTGTTGTTCCACGCCTGCCCTTACATCCTCTGTACACGAGTGTGGTCCCTGATCTGTATATTGACCACGGCAGCGAAGAACGAAGCCGAAAGTCCCGCATCGCAATATCTTTACTAAATTCAGGCTGCAAATCGCCGTGAGATGAAGTCACAACTCCAACACACGCTCATATGTGAGGTCACTCTGCTTCGTGCAAGGGAGGTCTTACGTGTCCGCGATCGTGGGGCTCATCAATCGAGATAGCCGAATTCCATGATGAAATTCGACTATGAGAAGGTATAAATATCTAGCCAAAGCCAGCCCCTGGGGACAGGCATCCTACCTGTGCAAAGCCTTCCAGTACCGCACAATCGTCCATCGCTCTAAACAATCTCCTCCGATCCATCAAAATGATGTACCTACGCCAGATCCTCACCTTGGCGCTGGTGACTTGCGCCTACGCTCGTCCGGGTATGTGTTCGGAAGCCCGTTTGGGGGTATTCATAGCCCGCTAACATTATATCCCAAAGTGGCACATGAAGAAATGGCCAGTGCACTCAGCTCTAAGGACCATACCAGCCTCACAGGTTCTGATGAGGGGCATGAGGGTGTTATGAGACAGGGAGGTCTCGAGCCTGCCCCCATAGGTCAGTCGAACGACAATCCCGACGGCGGGTATGTCGGTGCATACGAGAGAGACTATGTGGTCAACAGCCCAGATGGAGGCTACGAGGGTCAGGGTGGCGACGGCTGGCGCAAGACAGACATCCCTTCAGCTAGCAATGCCGCCGGCGGCTACGAGGGTCGTACAGGGGGTAAGAGTGCTCTCGAGCCTGCCCCCATAGGTCAGCCAAAGGACAATCCCGACGGCGGGTATGTCGGGGCATACGAGAGAGACTATGTGGTCAACAGCCCAGATGGAGGCTACGAGGGTCAGGGTGGCGACGGCTGGCGCAAGACAGACATCCCTGCTGTTAGCAACCCAGAGGGGGGCCACGTAGGTGATGAGGGCTTCCACAAGGGAGACGTCCCTGCAGTTAGCAACCCAGATGGAGGGTCTAGCAACCCAGACGGGGGATATGTGGGCCAAGGTGCAGGATATTAGTCCGCGCAGTAATGAGATGACTATGGTGGGAGAGTCAATATGTTCTCGGGTCGTCAAGGAGCTGGCAGCCACTACTCCCTGGAGAAGAATGATGCTAAGAATGAGGAGATGTCTGATGAAATGACGGAGATGAAGGTATGCTGGACAGCGTTTCGGTCGTACGTTTCTGCCTCCCAATGATTATGCTTATGGTGTAAATTGCAAATCCCGTGGTATGCTTGAAGATCTACATTGCAAGAAATGGATATCCTTTCGGTTCGTCTCAAATAGCGTAGAATCTAGCGAGTAAGCAAGAAACACATATATGTTACTATGCGCCTAATGGACATGGCCGCGAACCTCGGGGCGGCACCAGTAGCATTATGTAGATATGCAGGGGCATACCTGTGCGCTCACCACATTTATACCTTCTCGCCAACAGACATTGCATGAAATAGCACTGGCTACGCTGTCGAGGCATTTTTGGATCCATGGCTTATGACATCCTAGTAACAACGACTCCAGCACCCGAACTGCTTGGTATCCATCACTCCCGCAATCATGCTGTCGGCGATTTGGCCGGTCTGCTGGGTTAGATTTCTACTACTACTTCTATCCATACAAATAGATTCAGAGAAGGTATGCAGGATAGATAGAAACGTCGACAATTGTCTCCGGGCTCCTGACTGGTGTGTGGTAACACACTCTGCATTGTCTAGTCCGTCATATCTAATGCTTTGTTCGAGATATTGTAGCTATAGGCAGATCAAGACAGAGTTCAGCTTGTCATCACCATCGGGTCTCATTTATAGAGGCAGATTAATGAAATATATTCGTCTGGTGTAGTAGATACATTAAAGAACTTTATGAGAAGAGAATAGGACGCCAACAAGTCCTTTAAAAGAAACACGTATGTTCCCCTCCCGACTTAGAAAATGCATGGGTTTAGGGATAACAATCGAAGCTTCACAACGCGCTCACAGAGCATCAGCAGGGTTGGCGAGGTCATTGCAGCCGAGAGCGACAGTGCCATCCTATCACACTGTTAGAGTATTCCTTTTCGGAAATTTCAGAGTCACTTACAAGCAGGTTGGCCTCACTGCAGCACTTGGGGGCAGTTGTGCAGGTCTCATCATAGGCGTGGCCTATGTCGAGTTAGTCTGTGTATCATATTGAGGGTCAGAACATGGCAGAATGTAACATACAGGCAAGACCAATGGAGCCAACGATAGCCTCGGGTCCGAGGTGAAGAGCCTCAAGGATAGGGTCGACAACGCCGTCCAGAGGAGTCTTCAGCTCCCCACAGCAGAGGAAGGGCTTGATGCACTTTGCCTTGACGAGGTAGGTCTCCTCGTCCTCCGAAGAGGTAGCAGGAGCAGCGGAGACGAGGGCAGCGCCAGCAGCAAGGAGAGAAAGAGCAGTAGAGAACTTCATCGTGATGGTATTTTCTGGTGATTTCTCGAAGAGAGATTAAGAGGTTTTTAAAGGACTAAGAGAGAGGTCTGAATTGGAATGTCCGCGGCTGAATGATTTGAGAGAATTTGGCTGGATTCTTGGGTCCTTATATGCCCGAGACTGGACTACATGACGAAATTGAGATGCGAGACCGCATCCAGAATTCGACAAGGGGATTTGAAGATGCCCAATAACAAGTACCAAAATCGTTATCTTTAATGTCAAGCCAGGCAGTCAGCCCTCGGGATTCGGTACGCGAACTTGTCCCTGTGGGAGATCAAGAGAAGGCGAGTCTGTCTTTCGCATGGAGGCAAGATCTACAGAGGATAGACGGTGGATGTAGATAAGAGATGAGGGTACTTGAGTCCCAAATACCAGAATAGAAGGACATATCTTGGATCGCCAACGAGAGGAGATTCAGGAACCGAAAAAAGGGTTCAATAGATCTTGGCGCCATGTAGATCGCCATGCAGGAACACATCTAGCGAGGACGCCACCGGGGAAGAAAAGGCCATTAGGGCAATGGTTCATGGAACCGGTTCCTTCGGTATGCAGACAAGCCGATAGTTCGGGGGAATGGAGCCGGCCAAGCCAATGCTCTTCCTGTCGGGCATGGAAGTCTTATCAGTGGAAACCTCATAAACTCCGGTTTGGTCCCGAATCCCCGCTCCCAGGAACTGATAACGGTCAACTGGAATATTGCAATTCATTTTGCGAATGCCATGTGCTCTAGCTTTTCCTTGGCTGCGTAGTCAAGGAGTTAATGTGCCCAGGGAATATATATGTACCATCAACAGAGGTCCGAAAGAGACGGACTGAGCAAGTCAATCTTCAGCTGATAAATGGCGAATCTCAGTGCCTCCGAATGCCAGGTTCCTCGGGATCGTACCACCTTGAGGGATCGACGAAAGGATTCTGTCCTAGTGCGGCTCTCGGGATCTCCCAGGGCTCTGGGTAGGAAAGGATGTCCTCGATCCTGGGGTGAACCCTATCGGATGAGAGGATTTACGTAAAGACGAGAAGCTGCCCTTCGGCTGGAGAGGTTGGAAGATCCTGATAGCATTCATCCGCAGGATTCGCTAAGCCAGGGTTTTGTCATCATTGTCTCGCTTGAGTAGACGACCCGGGCGATCACATGGGTCTGATAGAATGTGACTGCTGGTTTAGCCGAACTCGGTCTGATAAGGAACTGGGTCAGTCATTGGTTCCGATGAAGGAAAGTCTGCGGCTTTGTACCATAGAGATAGTATACGTCAGAAAGCCCCTTTCATGATGATTATTGTGTTCGCATAACGCGGAAGCTGATCTGGCTGTCTGCCATGGACTATAACTTATTGGCTAAGGCTTCATGTTCTCGCGTTGGAGAGGGCCGGGAAGATGACCAAGAAGAAGCATGTATCAAAAGGGAAAGGATGAAGCTATTGTGATTACTCTTTTTGGATCATCCTGCCTGAGGGAATGAGTCACGTGCCTATCACATGATGTGTCCCTGGCGGTGGCGGTGAGCAGCCACCGCACCAGCCACATACTCGCGACACAAAAAATGCATCGTCGATAATCGAGACTCTCCCCGTTGAACCATCCTTCTCCCCCCTCCACCCTCCATCCACCCTTCTTTCTGTGGGGTTTTTATCTTATATTCTCTTCCTTCTCCTACGTCCCTCCGGACATCTGACCATCATGGCCCCCCTCTCCATCGCCGACCTCGTGGCGGCCCTCCCCGCCGAAGACACTTGGGGCCCCGCGACCTCGGGCGACAACATGCTCAATGGCGTCCCCTATGCTCCCTTCTCCAAGGGTGACAAGCTGGGCCGCATGGCTGACTGGACTGCCGAGTCCAAGGACCGCGATCGTGCCGGTCGTCAGGCCTACAACCGCAACTACAGAGGTGCGATCTTCCACCCACATCTTATGAGTGCGTCAGCTAACAGAATCAAACAGACCAGCAAGTCTACGGTGCCGGTAGCTCCAGCCTCTTCTCGATCCAGGCCGCCGAAGAGGAATCCTCTTTCTCCGTCGTCGACAACACTCGTACCTCTGCCAAGCGCACCTTTGGTCGTGGCGGCGGCACCGTCTTCCGTGGCCGTGGCCAGCGCGGCGGTGCTCAGCGTGGTGGTCGCGCTGGTTTCCAGCGCGTTGGTGCTGGCCGTGGCCAGGGTGACCGCTATTACGACAACCGCTCGGGTCGCAGCAACCGCGGCCGTCGCTTCGGATGGAAGGACTACGACAAGCCTCAGCGCACCCGGGAGCCTTCGGTCAACGTTCGCCCCGACTGGACCATGCTGGAGGAGGTGGACTTCAGCCGTCTTTCCAAGCTGAACCTCGAGACCCCCGACGGCGAGGACCTCGACTCGTACGGTTTCCTCTACTACTACGACCGCTCCTACGACAAGGCCCCCGTTAAGAACGCCGAGCGTCGCCTGCAGGCCCTCGACCGCGGCTCGCCTACAACGTCACCACCTCCCAGGACCCCGTCATCCATTTTCTCGCGGAGAAGAACGAAGCGACCATCTTCGCCACCTCGGGACATCCTGTCGATGCTCATGTGCGCCACCCGCAGTGTGTACTCGTGGGATATTGTCATCGTGCACCAGGGCAACAAGATCTACTTCGATAAGCGTGAGGGCGCTTCTCTCGACATGGGGACCGTCAACGAGAACGCCGCGGATGCGCCTCTCGAGCTCGCCGAGACCTCGGGCAAGCAGGAATCCATCAACACCCCCAGCGCGCTCGCCATGGAAGCCACCTTCATCAACCACAACTTCGCCCTGCATACCGTGACCGAGTCCGAGAGCGCCAAGCTGGAGATGAGCCATCCCAACCCGTTCTACAACGCGTCCCGAGGAGACCGAGCCTCTCGCGTCCAAGCTTACAAATACCGCCGCTTTCTACCTGTCTCTTGGAGCGGGACGAGGAAGCCGTCACATGGTCGTCCGGACGGAGGTTGACGCGCTGCTGAG